TGAGCGGCGAACTTGGGAACTTCCCGTCCCGGAATTCCCGACGTACGGATGCCGGGGAGCCCACAATGGAGGAAAAAGTTCTCCACCTCCATGATGGTCATGAATGAGTAGAAGCGTGTTGCAACTCAACGGACACTGTCGTGAATATGAGCGACTACTTATCTCGAGCGGGGGGTCACCGTAAACTTGTGCACCTAGCGTCTCCCCGCACGATTCCAACAGGGTGACTCATCGGGCAACCTTGAGTTCTCCTCCGAGGAGATCTCTGCGGAAAGAAGGAGACGATCCGGGTGAACGACGTAAGAGGAAGGACGCCGAAATAAAAACGCATCCGAGTGAATCCTGATTTGTTTGAAGGAAGAGCTACCGCTGCCGTCGCTCCCGCCGCCCTTGCCGCTGCGGAACCAAGTCAGAGAGTCAGCCACGTTCCAGCACTGCAACGAGGTAGTTGCGACAAAATGTAACGAAATTGCAGCTTGCGTTTGATTTCTGATCGTTCTTGGAGCCCGCCGCCTAAGGGATCTGTCCTCGCTCCATGCAGACAGCGTGTGGCAGCCGAATCGCGTCAAACATCCCGATTGTCCTGGAATCGGAACCAATGCCAGGAGCGGGATCGACCGAGCGACTTGTGGGAGTCGTCGCAACTGGCCACTCCAGTGATCTGGAAAGATCTCTCGAAAATTCATGGAGAAGGCATTTATTTGTATTTTTTATTAAAGGCATTATCTCGCTGTCGGAGGACGGACGAACGAGGGATAGACAGAGTGAGTGGCGAAAGAAAGAAACAACAGCCGCCGCCGCGGCAGCGCAAGTAAAGAGAAAAGAGAGATTGGCGACCATTTATCATTTTCCCTGACCGACCGAGCCTCCCGCGCATTTTCTGCTGTGTCTTCCTTCGCTGTGATGTGGTCTGGGATTGGCGGTGTACCGGACCGAGGAGTACGGAAAAGTAGATAGAAAATCTTCCAGAGCAGACGAGCGACTCGGATGGCATTGTCGTACGGTAGAAACCATACCTCCTCGATAGCCACAGCAGGAGAGCGCAACGCTCTTCACTCCCTGAGCCTCCTCACCGAGAACGGGACAAGAAGTTATTGCTCTTGGAGTGGGATTCCATTCAAGGTTTTATTGTTTTTATCTACTCATGTCAGGCAGATCGCACACAAAGCAAGTTATCCACGAACTCCGAACCGCATCCCACAGAAAACCCACTGCGGGAAGTTTTTCCCCCTCCGAGGGGTCGGAGGTTGTTCCGAGTCTGGATCGACTTTCCAACGGGCGCTTACGTGATTTTAAGGAAGGGATCCAGTCATGCGAAATTTTCATGGCAAGACGGGAGAGAAGGTATTTTTTTTCCTCTGAAGAGCTCGCTCCTCCCGGCGGAGAACGATATTTGGAATTCGACTCGCGGAAACCGGAGACCTTTCCCTTGGAGCGTTGTCTTGACGAATTCGAAAAATGATCACAAGGCCGACTTCCCTCTCCCTGCCCCTGCGTCTCGAAACCACCAAGAAAAGCTTGCAAAGCAAACCTGAGGACGGAGGAAGGTCGTGACAGGACGGGAGATAGGGGAGGATTTGGCAGCTGCGGCGCTACGGAGGTACCGCCGACGACGGAGGATTCATCGAGGAGCACTGCGTGGTGAAGATCTCGGCCGGGCGCAGACGGGAGTGGCGAGAACGAACGAGGATCGACTTCTTCGAAGGAGGCCGAAGGATCAGCAGAAAGCTTCGCGTCGAAGCGAGCATCGAAAGCAGCGAGGTTAAATGTTATCAAACCATTTATTGAGCAGTTGTTGATAGCGTGAGACGGACGGGACGCAGACGGTCGTGGGATTCGACTCACGTCGAGAGCCTGTTCTGCTCGGCCTGCCAGCTTGCTCCGTGCTCCTTTCTCTGCGCCCAGTCGGATGAACGCCCGCCCACCATCCGCTCGCCGGCTCGTCCGCTTGCTCGTTTTTCCCTTTAGCTGCTGAAATATATTGGAGCCAGCCATTCGTAAAGCCATATCTGACACCTTCACGGCCCACGAGGATTTGTCACACAGATCTGCGAGCAGCTCCAGCGGACACGGCTGAAAAAAAAAACGGCCGAAAAGAAGCCGAACGAAAACTTTTGCTCCAAAGGCGGCGACGGCGAACACTACGACAGAGAGTTGAAGCCTCCAGGTGATGAAACAGTGATTTTGATTAGGTACTCCCAGCAAACACCTTGTCCGCTGATTGGGGTACCCAGTTTTCAATATCCGTAGGGCAGTTCTCTCCCGAGCATTTTGAATTATTTTCGTTCTCAAATTTTCGAGGGCCAGCTACCCCGAATTCGGGAATCACCTTTGGATTTCGAGAGGAGAATCGCACCGGAGGGGCGCCCGCCAAATCCATGGGAAGCCTCTGGGTTCGGGGAGGACGCCCTTGAGGTTGTTGCGCTTGCTAAAAACAACCGGGACGAGCCACACAATTAATAGCTCGAGGCGCGCTCGATATAGAAGATATTGATGCACATGCCTGCTGGAGATAGCGCGTGTCGCTTCTGAATTCTCGGAGCCCTTATTTTGTCCGCTGGCATCTACGAATCGCCAACCAAAATAGAAGAGACGTAGATGCCAATCATGCGCGGACCCGAGTTCCGAGAGAAGCGGCATACCTGTCGACTCTCGAGACGACGCGACAATGATGCATCGTGAAATGAGACATGCACGTCAATGAGCAGCAACAGCAGCAGCAGGATGGATCGTCGAGCGATCGTGAATTTCTCTCAGTAAAGTATGCGATACCGTCTCACTTAAGGATCCGTCCCAGCTCTCGACGGTGGGTAGGGAGCTAGGTCGGGGCTTCCGGGTGAGATTGACATCATAATTAGGCCGAGACGAATCGATGGCCCATCGCTTCATCTAATGCGAGCTCCTGCTGTCGATGCAGTTCTATCACGGAATCGCGCGCTCGCTCTCACCGGAGTGAGGGACCTTAACCCCCGGGACTTCCCATCCGAAGGATCTCTCGATTCCGACTAAGGATCGATCAATGACTCCACCGAGAGGCTGCGAGTCGTGAACGTGAAAGCTATACGAGAGACTTTTCCGAAATCATCCCGAGTAGCGGAGGACAGAGACGTTGTTAGCAATGGAAATTCGGTTCCGGAGAGGTACCGTCAAGCTGCAGACGCACGTTCGGCCCTTCAACAGTCGCGAGCACGCCCACGCTCAGAGAGACATTCATCGAGCTGGTTCCCTATTTCTCTCCGAGCCCCACCGCCTTCCTCTGCCCCATCTATTTATTTATTTAGTCATCCATCTGCCGTCCTACCTACCCGCTGTTAAAGACTTTTGTGCCCCCCCCCTTCCCGATCTTCAGAGCCGCCTTATTCAGTGCCAGCGGTAAGGGTTTTAATTAAGTCCGACTCCCTCACCCAGCTATCCCAATACTACTGAATCGTCCGCTCTTCCGTTCGTTCGTTAGTTCAAGCTTGGCTGACTGGCTGGTTGGTTTGATCGCTCCCTCCTTCCCCGCGTCGTACATTCGATCGTCTGTCCATCCGTCCACCGATCCGCCGTCTGTTCTCTCGATCGCAGTTCTCGCTGAATCTTGGAATCCCGGTAAGCGCCGAGATGCCGAGCACCTCCGAGCGGTAGGGGCGAACGGAACCGCACGTTTGCCTCTCCGCCGGAAAACTCCACTTGTACCGCCACGGGTACCGTCGTGCGGCTAAAAATCCACTTTGATCCCGATTGGATCTGAATCTATGCGTTTCTGCTGTTCACAAGATTACAGCGACAAGGACCCGCCCCTAGCTCAGGGAACGGCGGCCGGCGTTCAGCTGAGCAAGCTGGCGGTGGAGTGGTAGCAACTGGATTTAACAACAATGCTGCCGGCTAAGCTCAAGAGATTCCGCCGCTTCTGCCCCGACCAAATGGCTGCCGATACGAGGATCAAGCGAGAATATCCAAGCCGAAAATTCGGAACGTAACGATCGAGTCTTGACGAGCGACTGAAGTTCGAGAACTTCCGAAGCGAACGGACCAGTGAGAGCGAACGGGAGAGTCTGTCTGAGATCCCCCGACGCTGACGTGGTCGAAGGGAGAAGACCCGCCGTGGACTAGAGAGGTCGTGAGTGGCACCGACGGCAGCGTCAGTCGACTGCAGAGAGAGGACAGAGATTTCTCTCAAAATGAACTCTAAATCGAGTTGTAATCTTCTCCTTCTTCTTCTTTGGTCTCTCCCTCGCCGCCTGATGACGCCTCCTCATTACGAGCAATTACCTCTTCGTGCGTCCTCCTCATTCTACTTTTCTCTCCATGGTCTCTTCCTAGACCTTGGTCGCCGCTGTCTTGGCTTCTATCGTCATCCATCCTCTCATTGCCCGCGTTGTCCTCTCATTGCCCCGAAAAACCCCTCCGAAGCTTGCTTTCTGCGTAGCCGAACACCCTCCTCCCCTCTCCCCCCCCCGTCTTCCATCGAACACCCCCCCTCCTTATCCGGCCCTACAATTCCGAGTCTGCTGCTCTGGTTCGTATGGGAGAGCCCCGAAAACGCGTTGGTGCAGCCCGGCGGCCGGCTCCGCGGCGAGTACATTTCCTTCCCATTTAAGATCAGGACGTCGGTGAAATTCCCAGGGGAAGCTTCTCCTCTTCGGCAGCGGCCGATAGGCGCTGGAGAGGATCAGAGCCATTAGAGGAGCTGGCCCCAGTTTCCGGCTTTGGGCTTTCAGGTCGAACGGCACGCGGCTCGTATCCGAGTCTCTTCCTCTATTCTCCCACCTGAATTTCTTGCGACTTGTTTATTGCATTGTTTCCCGGAACTAATTCGCTCCTGAGAGTGCTATTGCAGGATAGGACCGTAATCCATGCCGATGTGGATCGGGGCTCTTCTTCCTCCCGCGCGATGATGACTCGTGGGAGCGGCTGCTCCCACGAGACGTGTGCGGTTCTACCGGGTGCGACAGAAAGTCACCGTCGCGACTTCAGAGCGCTGGCGGAATAAATCAAGACACAGAATCAGCTTCTATCAACGTACCGTGTATTTACAGAGTCAACAATCAATGCTCAACGCAGGCACGCTCGTACACACACTCATATCCAGGCACCCAACACTTGCATGCACAAGCAGCGCGAATGTATACACACGCGGTCCGTCCGTGCGTGCGCTCTCGCGTCCAGGCGACCGACCGCGCGTTCGTCGAGGAAGCTGCTTGTCGTCAACTAACGAGATTCGATTCGACGGCCGACGTCGTGCGTATCCGATGCTGATCTTCCAGATTCTCGCAGGGCCACAGATACTATCGAGAATCGTCACTCGATGCGGACTGTTTCTCGCTTCCGAAAGTTTTCCACTCGCTATCCTTGAAAGTTTTCCGAGCCGAACACGGTGATCATCGCTATTGCATTTCCAAAACCGTGTACGTGAACTTCTAGGATCTAGAACATCTCGTCCCTTTGTACAATCACAACTAGAGTTTAAATAAATTATTGCACCGTGAAGGATCCCGAAAGGTCGTTGAGTCGTTGTGCAAATGACGTTACGCTTCGTGGCTCTTGCGGTCAGGAAACAAGAATGGATGAGCTCGGACTCCTGACCCGCTTCTCTGAGCCTTTCAAGCGAAGCAAAAAGTCACTCGGCACCAAATAAATAAATAATATCATAGCTAATTCCCTAGTGGTGGTGATGAGCTGTCAGACGACCTCAAGCGCAATGACACTCGTCGACAATCATGTTCTCGAGGGTTGACTGATGAACGTTCTTGCCATCGACGGAGTAAGCGATATTCAACGATGACATCTTCACGCCGGTGCAACACATTGATAACTCGATCTTTTTGGCCTGACTCGGATAGTGTTTCATGTAGGCGCTCATGACGATTGTGTGTTGACGTTGCAGATTGACTTCGAGATTGCAAGTTCCGCGACAGAAGTTCGGCTTGTAGGATTTGGGCAAGATGATCCAGTCCCAGCCGATCTGATGGAAATCCACTTCGAATGGGTACCGGCAGCAACCCGGAGTCTCGTTTTTGAGATCACAGTCAACACTTCTTCGGGTTCTTCTCTTCATGCGTGAGTGATCCATTTTGAGCATCATGAAAGGTCGCGATAGCTCAGCGTCACGTAAACGTTGGACGTCCGATTGCTTGAGCGACGAGCACGTCGGACAGACCACTTGAAGAACTCTGATTTGCGGTTGACGCCTCTGCGTGCGGCTGCTTTCCATCGTCCATGCCCGAGAGAGATTCGTGGTATCGAAACGCACCCGATCTGGAAATGAATCTCCTTCAATGATATGCGAGTTTCGCTCCCAATGCTCTGACTGAGAGATTCTGCTCGGTCCATCCACATTGTCAAACCTTCTCCTACCACCACCCACTCCCTCCCCAAGAAAATTAGCTCAGGTGTACGGTTTCGATGCTTTTGAAACTCACCGCCGCTGAGCGACCCTTCGAGCCAGGGTTGGTTGAGGCCAGCTCGGACGTCCTTGCGGAACTCTCGCAATTGGAAAGAGTGATTCCGTCCAGCCGGGAATGAGAAGCCGATTTCCGCGTTGGCCACCACTCGACTCTGGATCTCTTTTGGAATTTGGAATTTCAAGCAAATGATGGCGTTCTCGCTCACGCCCGGGGCACATGAAAGATCTGCAAAGAGGAAGCAGGGTCAGTTATGATCGCGCGCTCCCTGGATCCAAACCCCACAACTTAGTGCTAGAGAACACTTCTCGGTACCGCCCAACGACCGAGCAAATATCATTCATTCTTCCAGCGTGACGGAGTCGTGGATCGTCTGATCAACGAGGACAGCCCGGTTTGTCGATCGAACTCATCGACGTACCCTCTCTAAGAAGTTGGATTTGACGGAGACATTTTGCAGGAAATGGTCCCCATACAGAGGAAAACTCGAGTCACGAGGAAGTCTTGGTCTGGCTGCTTTATCTCTGACTCGCGGTGAAATCCTTCGCGCTAGATTAATCGAGCTCAGAAATTCATCTAGTGGATCAGGCCGCCTACGGGAAATGATTTCGGTCTCGAGGTTGACCGGGGACGGTGGTCGGTTGCAAATCTCATTGTCAGAACGCTTCCACGAAGATCCTATTTTCTCAGCTCCGATGGAGTATCCGACGGATCTGGAGTGGGCGTCTCGGGTGCTCTCACAAAGGGAGCTAGCGATGCACAAATATCCGATGACCTTTCCCTCGCCATCTGTCCGTGTTGTTTTTTAGAGATCGGTCCCTCTCGACTTTGCCGGCAATCTTCAATGCTCGACGTCGGCAGTGTTTGTTGCATTGCTTGTTTGTCGCCATCTCTAAAGGTATTTGGAAAATGTCCATCTGCCGAGAGCGAAATTCTTATCAGTCAATCAAGTGGGTATCGTTGGAAAGCGTCCGATTGCGCTGATAGAAAGGAATACCATCTGGATTGTCGGCTCGCGTCACCGATCGCCACCAGCGAGTCTGTATGAGAGCGTTATGATTTGTCCTCGGCCTGGTCAAATATTTTATCAGCGCTGCTGTCTCAAAAGAAGAAGACGAAGCCCGCAAACGCCTTTCAAGAGCTCTCGCAAGCGGGTTGTCAGCTTGCCAACCAGCTTTCTTGCCGCTTCTCGTTTCTTACGTTTCGAGTTCGTTGGTCCCTTCTTCTGTCAAGCTCCTAGCCATCTTAAGTCCGCTCGTTTTTCGTCACTCCTCTCGTATCTTGGAAGAGCGACTCTCTGCAGTATCCGTTCGATGGCGCTTTGGAATCCGTGTCTCGATCGTTCAAGGGTTCGAGCTATCAGTTCGATCTTCCTAATCTGAGTGAGTGAGTGCGTGAGATCCGTGCCACGGCTCACGACCTCGATCGGCTCGAGCCTTCCAGCCGTGGGGCGGTCTGCCTTATTCGAGGCAGAGGATTCGCTGAGGACCGAATTCGTGCAGTCGTCCTTAATTATCTTTCATCTTTGATATCTCACTGCCATTAGAGATGAAGTGATAGGCTCCCCATCGTGCCACAACTGCCTCCAGAGAGATCGTAGCGGTCCGCCGAATCTGGGAACGTTGCCAGCCAATCGTGCGGCCAAGCGGCCGTCGAAGTGGCGTTGGTCGAGCAGCGGGGCGCAACTCTTCACCCGTCGAACGTATCCGCTACCAGGGAACGAAAACAAAATTGAGACGGGAAGTGCTCGTCGTGATAAGAGGAACACGGCGCGCGTAACCCCGGAAAACGCCCACGGGTTTCCCAGGAACTCGTGGTGCTCATCGCACACAGTCGATTTGATTTTCGGCTAATCCAGACGGGGACGAACAAATTCACGAACGTTCCCCTCGCGCCGGGTAGCGAGGGTTGGGCGGGAGTGAAGGCTCCCGAGGGGAATCGTCGTCGAGTCGTTCCGAGTCCACTACAAAAGCTCTCATTTTGACGAAACCACCTGTATGGCGGAGATTGCGAGCGAAGGAAGGCGACCCTCTTGATTACAGGACGGTGCCGGCCGTCTGCCCTCTGGTGGAGATCTCTCCGTGACCAGTAGCAATGGGAGCAAAAGCGGTAGCAAAGGAGAAAAATCGCCGGTTCCACGCGGTCTGCTGCGACCTATCGTGGGTTTCGAAAGTTCGGCGTGCGGCAAACGATGCTCGCTCTCGAAGGAAGCATCTCATCTGTCTTCCGAATCTTATCTCATCGGTTCGGCATTCCGCGGAGTCAGGTTACATTAGCTTGTTTGTCAGACGAAATCTGGCCATCTATAGCCTTCTAGTTGCTTATCGGCTCTTTTTCGAGAGGGAAATGAGTTGGATTCTAGAATGAGAGGAGAACAACTGAGAGTCTCCAGCCGACCATACGTAAGCGCCTTCTCCCCACCGGTGACCGTAGCAGAGTTCTCCAGGAAGCTGACCTCTCGACGCTATGGGAGATAGGTCACGCAAACCGGAAATTCCCATACGAAAAATACGAGAAATCGATTTGTCCAGTTGGCTTGTCTTCCGCCATGATTCACAATTCGTAGCAGACGGCCAGAGCCTTCTCCGGAGCTCCGGTAGAATTATTCTATCTGTGAGACAAGAGCTCAACATCGCGACAGAGTTTCAAAGCCTCGAGCAGCTGGTCGAAATCAAAGGGGAGACTCAACGGGCTCGGATTTCAAGATTTCGAAATATCTCCTCCGGACGAGTCACGCTCGCCGGAAAATCCATCATCACCGCGAGTGAACTCCAGGAACGTATCGAATTCGCGATGCTTCTGTTTTGAAGGTCAAGACTCCGCTAGTACATTGGGTAACATCCGAGTCGACGTCTACGTTCGGCAGATAAAAGACACATACGCTACCGGCTACGAATTCCGCCGCCTTTTTCTTTTTTTTTTCGTGGAGTTTCTTCAGTCAGAGACCGTCGAAAACATGTTGACTCTAGGGTCGGCGGATATCTTGTCGAGGTATACCTCAGTCAGATCAAACGTAGGAAACTTTGCATCGGCGCGTCCCACAGCCACTGGCATGACCTCTGCATGGAACGGAATTCCACGGAGATTCGCCCCGAAACTGACAAGCATTCGCTCCTGACGGTGACACGAAAATTTTCAGACCATAAAGCGAGACGGCTCTCCGAGAAAGGCCTAGAGGTCTCTTACCTTCGTCAGCGAATAAGGCACTCGATTTGCTTTCCTCCTCGAATTTCACCTCCTCATCACCCGGCGTCTTGTAGTTCTCTTCGGCTGCGAAACCCATCTCGTCGCTGAGCAAATCGAGAATTCTCTTTCTCCGTTCCGCCGGCATGGTGAAATTCGGCGCGTGCCTTAGGCCGAGATGTTTTAGGATCTTGTTCTTTATGGCCTGAACCTGGGCCTCCCGAACCAGTGCCGAATTCGGGTCCATCGAGGCCAACCTATTTTTGCTGCAACCATAGTTACAGCTTCCGATTGCGGACTGCACGGCTTGCGTCGAGTCGGGCATAGCAGCGCTGCAAACAGCCGCCAAGAGGAGAAGCCACCCGCACATTGTCGATGGAGCTTGAGACCCCGCTCTCACTCAATAGGGAACACTTTGTTTGGCGAGCTTGTCGCCTGTCGGCCTTGGGGTTCTTGATTCAGTCTCTGTTCTCCTGATTTCGTTTCGATGCTCGTCGTTCGCTCCGACTTCAGACTCCGCACAACGTGGGACCTTAAACGATAATCCTGGCAACACGGACGGTACAGTGGTTGCTGCGAGCTGTTTGCAACGAGTTGGTCACCAACGATCCGATGGAAAAACAACTTCCGGACGCTGCAGTCGGGTCTGATCGGAATCACTCACTGACGTGAATTGTTGTTATTTTGCACGTCAACTGTGACCCGGCTTTTGCCGATCGTCACTTTTGACGAATGAAGACGCGGAGAGGAGAACTCACACTTGCCACCACTCCCTATCAACGCATGTTCAAGAGATAGAAATGAAATAGCATCCTTGCCGGCTGTCTCCGAGAATCGAGCAAATAAACTCTTTCTATCCGAGCGTTTATCCCCGAGACTTCATATTCTCCTCTTCTCCCGAAACCTTTCCTCCGGATCAGACGTTCAGGCTCGACGGACTTCTTGAGGCTCTAAACAAAGCTCGAACGGACAACCTTTGTCTCAGGAGGGTCGAAGGATACCAGCCCAGGAGCCCACCCTTGAGCCCCTGGCTCGCGGTTCTCCCCGGATCTCAGCTGCCGGATTCTACCTCATCATGCAGAGATTATTTACTTGATGGATATCTCGCCCGATAGCGCGTTGTCCAGCGTATCGACGGATTGATCTACTTCAGCTGTTATCACACTGGGAGCGTTGCGGCTTCTGGCGGCAAAGCTGTTTGGAGTCCTTGTGAGCTGTTCGTGGATGTCCTCAAGGAAGAACATGGGTAAGCCTCGAAGGGGATTCCAGCGGGAGACGACTTGTCTGGGAGGAAGAGATCAGCGCGTCCCAGGTCGGAATTTATCTGTTCCTCGATGTTTCGTGCATCGGAAATGACAAACACGACACAACAATCCAGCGTTTCGAATGAGGCAAATATGACATCAGCAGCAGAATCACTTGAGATTACCGAGGAATTCTCGATGACACGAGTAAGAAAAAAATGGGAAGGTCACGCTGCATGAAGGGTCACTGCGAGGAAGCAGCTCCTGCGACTCGACAATGCAGCGACTTTCTGCTGAAACGCATATCGATATTTTGCGCAGCGAACGGTAGTCTCCCAACGTTGTTCCATCGCTGCACTGGCGAACCTTGAAGAATCCTGGAATGCGGGAACGAGCGTAGGAATCAGCACTCGGGAATATTCCATGAAGTGTTCAGGAAAACCCGGGGAGAACCCTCCTCAGTCCGTCGACTGCTTGGAGCAGCGGGGCAAGCTCATCAGCTGTATCTCGTGTCTTCAACAAACACGGGGATAGTTTATCGAGCTTCCGCGGGATTTGATGAGCAAAGACTCCTGCCGATCCGGTGCTCGATTGCCCTCATCCGAGGGAAGAGGTTGCGGAAAATCCTCAAGAACGGAATGAGCGTGAGATCGTGTCCTCCTTGATAAAGCTTCGATTATTATTTATCTTGGTAGTCGAATTTCCCTCGCTTTCATCAGCGCTCCTTAGTCGCGGCGCGAGGAGCCGTGACGACGTCTTTGATCGACTGGTGCTGCTTCCGTTGCCAAATGTTCCCCCCGAACGAAATTTTCAATGTTGATGATGCATCATCCCCGGATCTTCACCGCACTGTTCTCGTGAGCATCATCTTCCCTCAATAGCTTGCCTTCAAGAATCCATATCTCCCTCATGACCAGCGCTCCTCGTCAGTCATTAGTCATTATCTTTTTTTCCCTGTTAGGAGTTCCCAGGAGGAAACTTCACAGCTCGCGGCCTGGGACCGTCGCCACAGTTCTCGTTCTCCTTCGAGGGCCGTCAATGAGGATGTATCGTACGTATACTGGCATTAGGCACGGAGTGACGGGGGCTAGAGTAGTACGGAATCCTCGTGGCCTTCCAATCGAACTTAGGAATTGCCCAACTCTGAAGCCCTCGAGTTTCTCAAGTCCTGTTCGGTATTCCTCGCATCCAGACCCGGTGGTTTCGGTGGAAAGTTTCAAGGATCGAGGAACTCAGAGGAATTCTTCATTGGGATCACCCTCTAATTGAAGTGTTGACAGACCGGGCGGGAGTACTTTGAGCGGGAGGAGGAAAGAATAGAAGGTGTCAAATGTTAATTAGACCGGTCTTCGAAGACTTCGCTGAGGCGACTGTGAATTCAGGGAGCTTCGATCCTATTTTTGTTCCGGCTTCCTGAGCTCTTCTTCCCGCTCCACCTGGTACGGTCCCAGTTGTGTCAACAGATTCTCAACGTGTGGGTCTTTTTTCCCTTTGCAAATTGCCTCCCTCGACGTCAATCTTCCACGGGGAGGGAGCCGGCCCCCGTCATCTGTTCCATTGAACATCTAGAGTCTATTCCGTTCGCGATAAGAATCGTTCCATACCGGTGTCGCGATGGGATTCCCTCGATCTCTGCAGCATGGCAACCGTCGACGGAAAATGAAGTCTCTTGGCACAATCGTTGAAATCTTTGTAATGAAGTTTGAACTAACAATCACTGGATATTACGGGAGCAACCAAAGGCATCTGATCGCTACGATAAGATTACGGCTTCTCTAGAATCTTTCTCGGAGCTCATTTTTTCTATTCAATGTTAGAGCGCCTATCGGCTCCCTCATCAATACGCGCGTGTGTGGTTGGTGAGGTCCACGCTTGGCGATTTCCAGGCGGGGAAACGCCGATTCCAGCGGTCGGGGATTCGGAACGCTCGATTGCGTCGAATGATAACATGCCGGAAACTTCGGTCATTTAGAAGAGAAACGTAAGGCGTAATCTGAGCTCAGGGATGGCTATCGAGTGACACGGGATGACTCGTGTAGAAACTATTCCCTCTGAATTCATGGCGAGATCGAGAACACAAAACGCTGATAAGTCCGTGACATTCACCGCAAGGTAACGTGGCTCTCCCACTGGCCGCTTCAAGTTCCGCTTGCTGTTGTAGCATCGCTTTATTAGACGTTTCATCGCGATATGTCCGTATCGTTGGTGGTCAAGGACTGCACACGGGGACAGTCGGTAAGGGGGACTAGAGCTTCGGGACCGGTGCTGGCAAGTGTCCCCAGTATCCTTTTCCTGTACTCACTCGTCTCAACACGGTCTCGGAGAATGTGTTCCGACATCCAGCACATGGATGAAGCCTGCGAATTATTCAGATAAGCGAGCCTCGGAATTCTCGACGTGGGTTTAGGGTCAAATAGTTTTCACCAGAAGGCAATCAAGGGAGGACATTCAAACGGCACGGACTCCGACCGTGTCTCTCCCCGTCTCCGTCGGCAACGACGAGTGGGAGCGAGCCTGAATTGAAACTGTCTTTTCGGAACGCGGAGGAGAACAGCAGAGCGAATTCGTTCTTTGAGTCTGCCTAATCGAGCTGATTCCGAGTAGATCTCCGAGGATCCCGCCGTTCTGATTCCTGTCCGTCTCCCCGGCAGATCCATCGGAGAGGGAGCGGGAGGCAGTCCCGCTCCCTCCCCGAGATAGGGTCAGAAATCTGACTCCAGCTCCAACCGGTGTAAAATGAATTAGGACAACTCCGTCGAGTGCTTCCTGGAACCGTCGTGGGGACGAGAGGATGAAATGATCGTCGATAACCGTAATGAATAATGAAGACAATCGGAGAATGCTTCGGATTGCGGAATCGTCATCGGGGCGCTCTCATTTTCCGCCGATTCTCGGCGCGCAGATAAAAAAAAACGCAGCCCGTAGTCCCCTTCGGGGAAGCCCGGAATGTGTCAGGACGACCGCAAATCGGCACCCGACCGAGATTCCCCTGCGATCCTGACAGCGTTAATATATGAACTTCCCAAAAGCCAGAGAGCAGCACTCTCGGCGAATGAATTGTATTGGCAGAGGGAACGGTCGGCAAAGGCCGGTTGTAGCCGAAACGGACGGGAGCGGAGGCTGTTGATTCGTCTTGTTGTTTTGCACATCTGCTGGGCACGTAGGCAACCCTAGAATCCACGTCGACAACTTTTTCCCGAATCCATCACCTACGTGATGAGTACGTAGGTAGTCCATTGCCGCGGAGGACTTCCAGTGCGTTCGGAACCGCGCCGGAGAGTCGACGAGGGGAGAAAAACGGAGGATTCATTGGCGCCGAACTGCGAACGGGGCGTGAACGATGCGTCGGATGAACATTCCTCGGGTCGGATTGATCCCGATAGCCATCGTAGTTTGCTATCACTAACTATTCAAAGCTTTCCGGCCAGTAGAACGAGGCACCGAATTCTCGTTAGGGCCTCTTTAATTAGGGCCGGAGTGGAGCTCAAGTTTTGCATCTATTAAGGACAACAATAGAGTAGGCCTAATTCATTTTGCGCCGTCATCCATCCTCGCACCCTTACTCGCAGCGTCGACGGCTCGCTCGCTCGCTCATTCACTTCGTCCATATAGCACTGCCGTTAAGCTATCTCGCATACGTACGTCTACGCACGTATTCAATTCAACGCTGCAGCATGAACGAGCGCATTCCGACGTTTCCGACCTGCACAGCGTCCTATCGTTGCTTAGAATCTCGATTATTCTCTTGATAAAATATTTCCCTAATGAGGATAGATCGCGCACTAGATAAATTCACCGTACATATGTACCTAGATCGAGAGCTCCTCTCCAGTGGAAAGACGATTCGAGTGAGAAACCCGACACCGCCTACCGGGCAGGCCTATAACGGTGCAAGCAGAAGCCCGAGCGTATGGTGAATTGTTTCACGGAGAATGATTCATATCCGATTCCGGGTCGTCCTCATGATGGGCTCGGTTCTGCTAAGTTGAATGGCTTCGCCGATCAGTTCGCTACAGATTGTTTTAATGGGTCGCCGAGCCGCTGGACCATTTGGAGCAGCGACCTGGCGTCCGAAAGCCAATCGGGCGCCGGGCTGACTCTACTGGATGTCTCGGAAAGCGTGCCCGCTCGAGAGAGTGCGGATGATGGAACACGGAAGCAATTGAATACACCCCACCAGGACGAACGCCATTGTCCTTTGAACTCCCGCAACGAAAGTCCTTTATGGCAACGGCGGTGCTCATTCAGTTTCATGCCTTCGCTTACGTTGACTCTGTTGTGTTTCCTTCTCAGAGCACACTCGGTCGCGCTTTTGTGTGTTCAGGGTGCTGGAGAGCCGGACGACATCGGCGTCTTGGATTGCCTTCTCGAGGGGTACGATGTTCTCCTGCGGCCGCAGAATCTCACAGTGGTCGATATTTCACTCCTGGCGGACTCGTCCACGACCCCGGATGAGACGAGTTTAGACTACAGATTCACTCTGACCGTTGGCCATCGATACATCGATGAGCGGCTGCAGTTTGAGCCCAACAACGCCACGTCTCCCGCGCGTGAGTCTTACCATGGTATTCGCATGTTGCGTGGAAATTAATTCATTCACTCCGAACACGAGCATTCGAGTCCGTCGAATAGGGGGCGGGCTCAAGTCAGAACCGAAAAACCCGATCCCCGTTTCCCCTCGAATCTTCCCGAGTTCGCCTGATGTCTGAATATTTGTAGTTAAATAATTGACTTTCGATTCCGTGCTGCTCCAGCTCTCAATGCTTGGTACCACATGAGACGCATCTGGCGGCCGGCGCTCACCGTGCTCGAGAGTCGGAACGACCTCAGTTTCGACCCAGAGCACGCCGCTATGAGAATCTGGCCCTCTGGCTTGATCGAACTCACCAGATCACTGGTCGTCGATATGAGATGCCGAACCATATACGAGTTATTCCCCTTCGACAAGCCCGTTTGTATAATGACGTTCGTCGTGACCGGTTCCACCGGAAATGAGGTAGGACTTCCCGGATCGGGCGGATATACCCGAAACCGCATCTAGTATCCAGTGAGCGGCGCTAGGGATCTCACTCAGTGGATTCTCCTCGATGAGCAATTCTCTCTTCCACGCCTTCCAGGTCCAATTACGCTGGTTAAATCAATACGATGACCTAACTTCGAGTGAAACTGTTTATTCAAATACGTACCTTGAAGCAACGGGCCGCTCGGATTGCCCACAGGAAGAGATGGATCAGTGCAACTACACCTGTCTGAAGGTAGTACTACACTCGGTTGCGAAATTACACGTGCCCCTGACATGGATGAAAGATGCGCCCATAGAAGGGGCGCGCACGATTTTACGACTGAGGGTATAGTCTGAATCGTAACCGCAGCCAAGGCGATCCGATCCGGTATGGAGGCTAGACGATGTGAGGTTTCGATTAATCAGGGAGGGAGCGAAGGAATCTGAAGAATGACTCCAGGACCTTCCGCTCAAGATTCGCTTCGTCCGAGTGGGAGTATCACGGGTCGGCGAGGGCTTGGGTACGCTATCAAGAAGTGCTGATCCCTGATCGAGCGGGTTTCCTCATTTCGCGGATCATTCTCCGCAGGCACTCTTGCTGTTCGCGCGGGAGCGCACCGTTTACTGGGTGACCGTCTTCATCCCGGGCTTCATTTTGGTCACTTCTTCATTCATGACCTTCTGGCTCTCGCTGAAAGCACCTCAACCAAGGGTTATGATCGGTGAGTTTGGAACGGAGACCTTCCATAACGGTCATGTGACTTTTTCTCTCGTTCTCTCCGAACGCGTCGTCTCTCCAGCGTCGTTCCCCTCTCCGCTTCGACACTCATGTCTCCTATGAAGTAATAGTTTTCGAACAATGGCTGTCCACTGATAGGAGATTCCATACATTGCTTGCGGCATTGCTCTCGGCCACCTCGTCCCGCTTTTTGCGCTAATATACAATAGCTTGTCCGGGTCGCCTACTCCATGCGAGTCTCTTCCTTCCCGACAGTCGAAGAGGCATCGATCGCTGGAAGAGTGGACCAGGCCGAAGAATGGTAGAGGGCCCTGCGATTCACCATGCCCTCGACCGCGTGCGATGAGCGCTCGAGCTCAGAGTTCAGCTCAGAGCGCTCATTTAGCGCGCTCCAGCTGCACCTGTTTTTTCTTCTTTCTCAAGTGCCTCAAAGGGTCTCCTTGAACTTTGTCGATGTGCCCTTCGAGTAGTCTGACGATAAACCATCGTCTTCTCTGAATTCTTCGCCCCCCCTTCCTTCGTTACGGGAAGAGAACATCTCAGAGTTCAAAGCCGGAAAACCCCTCGAGCTGCATTCATTCTTCCTCGATCGGAAGGGCTAAGGGAGGCATTTCCTCAGGAAGAATCCTCCACGTTTCTCATCGCTCAGCCGGGTTTTGCTAAGCGCGACGTTTGTGAAGTACAGAAGGGTTCGCATTTTCGTAACCTAATTACGCTCAGCGGAGCGACGACAGCGGCATGAGCCGGGAGGGGATCCCTTTCGCGACTCCCCATTCATCGCTCCACTCATGCATAAAAGAACGACGAAATATATAAACTGAGGCGAGGAAATAGGAAATTAAGGTCGGGAACTCTTTGCTACTGCCGCTCTCGGCATTTTCCGACTCCTGCAACAACCGATACAGCTGCCTCGCTATGAAGAAATCTTATGAGGGGCGACCTGACTGGGATGAAGAGGGAAGCCGACCACGGTGCACATCATCAGTGTTCCTTACGACTCGCCAGCTATTCCGTTCGCTTAGAAAGGGGGCACCTGAAAGAAGGAACCTGAAGCAAGGACCGAGAGAAGTACCGCCGCCGCTTGAGTCACTCACCGGCCCATCATGGCACCGAGAAGACAGTCTACGGAAGTCCTACTTTTTTCAGGAACGACAACTCGACTAAACTTCCTGGCCACGGCCAGGTCCTTCCGGAACAAGGTCCCTGCTTTTTACAACTTGGTCGCCATGAATATTTGGGACTCGGTTGGTATCATCTTCATTTACATGAGTCTCTGTGAGTTCATCTTAGCAGTATACATCGATCGGCATCCGCGTGCAAACGAAGAGGAGGACGCGCGGTACCTCGAAGCGATTCGCAAGCCCGGCTACGTGTTGACCGCGAAGGAACGATTCCTCCTCTACTTCAAAAGATCCAACAAGCAGATCGCCGCGGACATCGAGTGGTTCTCGAGAATCGTCATACCAGGTCTATATTTTCTCTTCATCATCGGATATTTCGTCGCCTTCCAAGGACATTACCACCATGAGGTTGGCTTCACCTATGGCGCCTTCGAGAAAACTATCGACTTGTGATTGCTCAGGCTATGTCCTCGACGTCTCTTCTCCCATGATACGTAGCTGGGATCATTAAGCCGGAGTAGAACCCACCAAGTAACAGGAGTAAAACAAAATATTCTGCGGGGGGACCGCTGTGAGCCTCGGATCAAGCATGAGATTTTTCATATACTCCTGAGCTCCTCCGCCTTGACAGAATTTGGCCTCGACAGGATGCTTCAGGATCCCATTAGATCCGTCGGATACAGAGCTCGGTGTTCTCTCTCAATCGGGGCTACGTTCGGCGTGGTCGCGGTTTTCGGGAAGGGACCGAACCCTGCTCCGCTCCGTTATGAATATCGCTCGGGAGCCGAGTCTCGGTGCGCTTTCCGTCCGACGGAGTCAGCATGCAGTGAGAGCGGAAGGGAGCTCCGATGCCTACTCGGAGGAATTGAGGCGAGACAATCGGTAGAGCAACATCCCTAATTTTTTAAAGCCAAGTAATCGTCCCCGTTGCGCTGTACTGACCGGCCCCAATTTCCGGAGTTGCAATGCCCCTGGGTTTGATCGTTATTGCTCGCGCAGTGCTCCTGCTCTTGTTCCTCCTGTAGTAGCAGCCGCGAACTCGGAAAAGCAAATTCGCTCTAACGACAGCGATTGAACGGACGATTGACTGAATAGAACAATTTCGGAAGGCAAATCAGGCTTCCCGACTCGCCTCTCTTGTTCAGTCGTCCGAGTAGTCGTCAGACTCGCCTCGCTCCCCGCCTGCTCTGGGTGTTCTTATTCCTCGGCACTCCTCCGAATCCATTCGATCCGGTCATTGTTTGCAGTAAATAGGGACTCGGAAAACAGTCTTCTCGCAGTCTACGCGCGAGGACAAGGAACACTGTCGAGCTCCTCTCCTCGTCCCATGATAAATACGATCGTTGGAGCATCAGATGAGACTTTCGTGTTCGTCGGCAGCTCCGCGAGGACGCGCTGCAACATCCCGAATGAGCGATGCTATGCACGGATACTCGAACTCCTTCGATCCTGCCTTTAGGGCTGCCTCTGCTCTCTGCCTGCAGGACTGGATCCCCCTCGATTTTCGAGGTAGCGTTAGACCGTATCCTCGAGCCCGCAGCAGAAGGGTCCGCGTTTGATGTGCCCGCCTATTCCTCCCGGCTCAAGCAGATATGAGAAAAAAAAGTCTGGCGAGTGGGTCAGAACCCTCCTCGTTGTACGAACCGTCCAGTGGGAGAGAGAATCTTAAGGTGCGTTCGGCGTGCGAATGTCGTCCCATAGATACGACCGACTTCAGAAGCTTCATACCGACGCGGAGGTGCGTATTCGGATTTACGGGAGGGATCAGGCATCGGCGTGAGATGACGCGGGCGCGGACAGAGATGAACGACGGGCCAGAATCGGGACCTCTTCGGCTAGACCTCTTCAGAAAATTCGTGATATCGGAATATAGGCAGCGACGCACAAAGAATGATCTGGAACCAATGGAAAATAAATATCAAGGCCGGCTCTCGGCGCGGGAATGAATTACTAGAAAAGAAATGTGAAGTGCTTTAGCTCGAGGCGGAGGGGAAGAAATAAGTGCTCAGCAGCGGTAGGAAACGCCTCGGAACATTTCTTTTTTCTGTGCCCCCTACATATGAGCGGGCGTTTGTAGGCGAGCGTATCCTTTGTGATACGTCCCCTGAGAGACTTTCGCAAATGCAAAGACAAGCCATTCTCAGCCGAGCGCAGGGAACACCGGCCACCAACCGCAGCAGCGGAGGGCGTTCGCAGGAGCCATTCTAAGCTTCCGCCTGTAAATCCGACATTCGGTTGAGATTCGAGAAACGGCGGCGGAACCGAGCGTCGCAACCCCGTGTGCGCCTACAAGATCTCCCTAAGGAACTCGCAACGAAACCTCTGTTCGTCCGCTGGTTCGTTCGGCTCGATGGCTGTTCCGTTCTCCCTGCTCGGGACCTCGAGGGTTTCTGAGTTTTGGCGGCGGCGGCTCAGACCTCACAAAGTTTAGATGACAGATTCCGATGAAAAGTTTCCCGCTATGAGGATGAATACGCCAACCAACGAGATTCGAACCGCCCAGCAACTGTCTACGTCTTCCAGGAATAACGCCACCGACAGCGACGAGAGAGGACACCGAGAAGAGAGGGCGGATCGGCGCCGGCGGGGCCACCAGGGCTCGTCTCGCTTTCGTGCGTGAATCAGGCCCAAGACACCCATCACGCGCTCGCGCGTCCTCTCTCCTTGTGACCTCAGCTCGAGAACCGACCTCAAGAGACCTTGCGGCTGCGAGATCTCCTCTGAGATGTTCATACGTAGCTTCCTCAATCTTCCACGCAGAGCAGAACTCGAAAAGAGTCATAATTCCAGGATATTAATCAGCAGCAGTGGAAACGCCCGCTCGGCGGGATTCACCGCCGCGGGACTCCTACCTGTGTCGGGGAGCATGACCAGCGTTCAGCTTCGAGCTCTTGAACTCAGCTGACGGAGTGTTCGCAACCCTTACCCGTGCTCCGGATCTCTAACGGGATCTCTAACCAGCGACTGGAAACACTGGGAAAACTCGTGTGCCACGAGTGTCGTTCCCCCACTCATTAGCGTATGCTGCCCATGATGAAATCTTCAGAGTATTCGCTCCGGGGATCCGTTGAATTTATTTCTAGGCCGCGTAGCCAGGTGGTCCTGGTCGTATTCCGACTCTGGCACGCAGTCCGGCGTGTTGACATGCTGAGAAGAGTGCTCGAGTGGAAATTATGAGGCCGCGCAACATTCTCGTTTCGCAGCCGCCTCGCGCGACTAAACCACGCAGCCGAGCATCGAGCGGAGGCATGGGGCATCATACGACCGATCTTCCCTTTCGGAACAAAACGGTCTCCTTTCGCAGTCCAAGAGCCGGAGCCGCGCTTAGAATGGAGGCAATCCTCCCGTGAGGCCGTTGCTCCGCGCGGAATCGCCTCTCGCTCATTCCTCGATTTTTTATTCGTTGTGTAAAAACCACACGGGCAGTCTGCTTTTGACTTTTGAAATTCCTCGAAGTTGTCTCGGGCAGCCAGCTCTGAGACAACTCGTGGGGTGAGCGGCAGCTGAAGGATCCTGACCACTGGACCTGAGAGGTAAGAAAATCACCCAGCATTTAGCGCTCTCAGATGATTGCTGTTATCACGCCGAGGTCACATCCCGTGGCAGTTTCTCTCGCAGCGGGGAGCAACGCGTTGTGCATTGATGAACGTGTTGTTCCGGAAGTCTGAAACAATCCTTTGTAGCAAGCTCAGTATCCGACGACTTTCGAATAGCTCGCCCTATCGAATTACTTCCCATGCGGAATAGGTTTTTGAACGTTTTCTTAGTGATATTTCCCTCGTGTCTGGGTGATTGTGTTCAGGATTCGATTGATGTGCTCGTATTGGACTGCATTCTCGAGGGTTACGACGTCTCGAAAGGGCCCGAGACCGACTCGCTTGTGAACGTTTCGATGTTTGTGGAATCGATCGCGTCTTCCGAAGAAACGAGCCTCGACTATAGCTTTCGTATTCAGCTGATACATCACTACATCGATGAGAGACTCCAATACGATCCTGGGAATAACAGCGTACTACAAGGTGGGATCAGGCGGTCTCGCTCCGTGAGGCTGGATGCCCTCCCAGTTCTCTTCCCGTATCCGAACTCTCCAGACCGCTGTCCTGCGTCACTATCCTCGATCGAATCCGTTTTGAGAATTCGGATAGTTATTTACAGTGCCCGACCTCTCCGACAGGTCTGAATGCGTGGTATCATCTCCATCGGATATGGAGACCCTTCGTTCTGGTCATCGAGAACAGAAACATTCTAGACTTCAATCCTGCTGACGATACGATGCGGGTTTGGCCAACGGGGCTTGTAGAGTACACACGATCGCTGGACCTCGATCTCTCCTGTCGCACACTCCTCGATGTGTTCCCCTTCGATTTCCCCGTGTGCATGATGACCATGACGGTATCCGGCTTCAGCGAAAACGACGTAAAGAGAATCTCTGAGCTCCTCGAAATACTCTAAGAACTAAACACGAATGCGTTTTCCTTTGCCATACCCGATGGTCTTGCATCCAGGTGAAACTCAATTGGACGGACAAGGACCTTCCGATGATGAGCACATTCTTTTACAATGCCTATCCCGTGAGGTACACTTTATCGGCGTGTCGCCCCGAGGAAGTCGACGTTTACAACGCCACATGCCTGAAGGTAGAGCTGCGATTTCTCTCCCACCCGGAACACGGCGATGATCGGTGAATTCACAGCAGCCGCTCCCCGCTTCGGCGGCGAGCTGCTTCTGGCTCTCTTGCATGAATCTCTGATGAGAAAATCTTTTCCAGAGCATGATATTGTTTACACGCGATCGTGGATCCTATTGGGTTACGGTCTTTATTCCGGGCTTCATACTGGTCACTTCATCCTTCATGGCTTTCTGGGTCTCAATAAGATGCGTCCCTCCAAGAGCAATGATAGGTGCGTATCGACAAAACTACGTCGGCCTCGATGATGGGATCGGAGAAGTCGTCCGAGCCACGCTCACAGGCTCGGATGAGAATCATTACCACATTCACAAATGACACTTATCTCGTGATTATTTTCGCAGGGATGACTAATCGTCTGACCTTCCTTTCCGCGGCGAGCTCGTTCAGGAATCAGCTACCCATGGTTTCGAACTTGGAGGCATTGAACATTTGGGACTCTGTATCAATCTTATTCATCTACGTCAGCCTACTGGAATTAATTATCGTCGACCATTTGCAACGCCACCCGAGAGACGGCCAGGAGACCGACTCGGAATTCCGCCGGAGAGAGTTGCAGCGCGCCGATCTCACTCATTGGGATCGCTTCTGTTTATACTTCCGAAAACCAAACGCGGAGATCGGTGCCGATATTGATGCTTGGTGCCGTGGAGTATTCCCGGTTCTCTATTTTTTCTTCATCATAGGCTATTTCATAACTTTCCATGGTCACTACGGATACAATACTGACTACACCTACGATACATTCGAGGCGCTCATCAGCTAATTCCCGACGCTGATCGATAGCGTGGCCTCCGCAAACCAGAAGGGAGCGGCGTTTCTACCATGATGTTCACCGCAGATCTGACAGCGGAAGGAATGAAAATACATATTATCCCCGAGTACAAGAGTCCTATTACGGGAATAATCTCGCGGGCACTCTCAAAATGGGGCCTTCAAGGATTGCATCCGATTGGACTCCCGATGAATGCTCAGAAAGGGTTGAAGTTCGTAAACACTGACTAATTGACTCAAGTCCCCTCCGATGGGAAATCGATCTAGCTGATGGAAGATGTCGGAGAGATCCATAGCCTCGTCTCATAAAATCGGTGATTGAATGGATCGAACAAGGCATAACACTAAATATGGATATTTAATGGGCTCGAAAATACATAGGTACACTTCCCTTATATGTAGCGAGTTTTCGAAAAGTGATACCTACATATGTAGCAGTCGCGCCACCCTCTCGGCTGAGAATACGACTGTCCTGCTTCCAAGTCGGGCCAGCAACGTATTGAAGTCGCTCCGGAGAGTTGGAGGTTTTTGAGAATATCATGAAAGAGGCTCGACTCTCGTCGCGGTCTGTGACCGTGGCCGCGATTTTTCGGAGCATTGCGGCAAATGCCGAGAATTTCCGGCTAGAAAGTCGAGCTCTGATCATCAGCAATGGGCGCGAAAAAACCTCTCGAGACTGGTGATGCGTCGAAGGCCCCGAAGAGTCAGTGAGCGATTCTCTGCCTTCGATCGAATAAGAGCGTCCCCTGCTCGACCTGTTTCCCGATGGCACGCCACCCGTTCCAGATCTACCCAAGGTTTGAACGACGATTTGAGCGGATCAAGCAGGCAAGATAAAAACCTACTCGACCCATCAGTACAAGTAGCTCCCCTCGGCGAAATACCAAGCCGTAATGGTCGTCGTTCTCACCTTTGGAATATTCAGCAGCTGAGGAGCTTCGAGCCACGGTTTCCGAGAGCCTCTTGACCGCAACATCTGAGTTCCGAGAATCGTTGAAGGGTGCCACAGCTGGTCAAGATGGGAGCCTCGTATTGCTTGTGAGCGTCATTGCTGCAAATCTGTGTGTTCCTACGTCGCGGGACAGATCGTGACGCCAGCCGTGGTTTCTGAATTCTGATGACATCTGTCGTTTTATCTCCTCAGAGTCGCGACCTCTATTTGCCGAGAATACTGTGATCTTGTGATGGGGAGGGCTGAACGAAGCGTACACACGTTTTCGCTGCTCAAGTCGATTGTTTCCAGCAGGATCAGAATTTTCGGTCGAATCTTCCGATCATGGAGCGCGGTCGTCGAAAACTTCCAGAGGAACACCCTGGGGACGGCATCCCGGGGACCCGCCTCAGAGACTTCTGCTCCATCTACGCATTCTCCCACGATAAACATGGAGCTGAGCAGATGAACTTCCAACTCCGATCCACGAGGGTCTCCGGGATCCATTCTGGATGGGAATAAATGGCCTTTCATGCGAAGGCATCGGATCGGAAGTCATCATGCTTCAATGTCAAGAACATAATCCTTGATCCCGCCAGCGAGAAGCAGAATCGCGTATCAGATTCTCTCCATCAATACCAATAGTCATCAGGCGAGATCGGAACGAAATATAGCGAAAGACCTAAAAGCGCGACCTCGATTCAACCATGGCGAAATATTGATGCTCTCCACGACTCCGCCGTCGGCTGTCTTCCCTCCGAGCGAGTCTCCGAGAGCACGAAGAAGTGAGGTTTCCCTCCTCCGCCTCTTCCCTTCCCGAACCTTTTTCCAAAATGGCTCCCCGAGCTCTCCGCGGAGACGTACATCCCGTCCATTCAATATTTCGAACGTAGATGAAAAGCAGTTGATCAAGTCGACTAGCTTTATTCAATCAATTTTTATGGAGACTTGACATTATCGATGAAAGAAGCAACTGAAAAATACGAAGTCTGCGTAGCAGAGTCAGGCTAAGACTGTGAGCGACTCAGCTTCCCTCGACCCGACGGAAGGATAAACAACGCCAGACATCGAAAATGGGAACCCGTGCGGCAGCCTGTAAGTATATTTCCGACTCCGGGGATTCTCTACGGAACATTCAGGCGGCAAGTGATTGGCCGTGAGCTGCTCGTCCTGACTATGAGCTGAGAGGCAATGGTCTGGTCGAGGTCCGACCAGCTCGGAAAAACAATTGCATGAACACACGATCTCCTGACTCCTGTCCCCTATGGTCACGCGAAGCCGATTTTCGTCGCGACTTGTTACGTTCCCGAGATGGAAGAGAATCTACGAATGGGGTCGCAGAAACAAGCTTACTCGCGCCCAAGCGAGGCTTCTGAGCAGGCTAAAGAGGAGTTAATTCATACAACAGAGAGTCCCTTCGATTTCAGTTACGGCTAAGATCAAGAACCTGCAGGAATTTCACACGCGTATACTGTACGGTTTACCGCCGCCACCTTCCGGAGTCGACGTCGCTAATACCCTGAAATACTTCTCGCTCACACTTCTTAGGCAAGTTCAGGAAACCTTCTGATTCGGAAATTTGGACTCCATGTCATCGCGAGGATGTACGCTCAGGAGGTTTCTCGTAATCGAGTGAGGCTCGCCCTTCTAATTATACCGCCATTCCAGCGTGCTCAAGGATGTTCCAACGATTCCCCTCGAAATGTTGCGCTCAGCTGAGAAAGACCATGCGCGCATCAGCCTTTTCCCGAGCCTCGACTATAAGGCACTGTACAATGCGCTGGTCCAACTCGTTGATTGCGTACCTCTAGTTACATGCGGGGCACACGGTCAGTATTCTCCCTCCTCCCGTACAACGTACGTGGATGCCTCCGGGATGGAAAACTTGAAAGACGTATGAATGAGACCTAATGAAATTGTTTTTGTTCTTTCCCCTTGCAGTTTTGGGCCAGACGATTCTCAACACGATGGCATGCCTCGTGCCCTTCTTAGAACACGAATTTATGGATACGCTTGGCTATATTGTGGCATCGGCGCTTGCGAATTTTCCTGCCAGTCTTCACAAAGACATCGTTGATTTGCTTTGCAATCATTTGCTCCCGGTCACGATAAGTGAGCATTCCAACCGAATTTCATGGTCAACTAGTAAGTTTTTCCGCGACTCGCGATCTCGTTCGATAACGCTAAGCGCTGAACGTCATCTGCTTCAGCGAACTACTCTGTGGGTTGTGGAAATGAGCCGGAGGTGCCCGACTACGCCAATCTGTCGGTCGCCAGCGTTATCATGCTGGTATTCCAATACACCGACAATATGGCTCATCAGGCTCAACTGCTCGAGTGTCTCCTGTCGCTTAAAAAGGACATCGTCAAAGACCTTTTGTGCGTGATAGCGCATGGTACGGCCAAAGCGCGCCATCCTGCCGTGGAGATGCTGTTCCACTACTGGCCCACACTAAATCCGACGCTCAGAGATAAGAAATTCGCGCCGCCGTCTGGACTCGGGGGAAGCGGTAGTTCTGCAAGTGGAGTCATCCAATGGAAGGCGCAGCAGTGTCAGATGGAGAACTGCATCGGGGCGGCCACCGGGAATAATCAAGCGATAAAGGTAGAGCCCAGCAGGTTTCCCACTCGCTCATCCATCGATCGCTTTCGACGTCTCGGAACGGATAAAATATGCCTCCGTTTCAGATCTGTCTTGATCATTCGGTGTCAATCTCATCCGGTGAGCGCCCTCCTCCGCTGTACGTCTGCCAGGCATGTTCCGATCTGATTCAGGGTGAACACGCCAACGCCAACTCCTTCTTGCAGCCTTGTCTGCTACCCCTGAACGAGATATCGCTACAGTGCGAAAACAAAGTACGCAGAAACTTCCATCGATCGGTCATCATGATATCAACGGGGATGAACCCATCCCAGCTGTGCTCGATCATGAGTCATGAGGTGTCATAAAGTCAGACCCTATTCACAGACCTGCGCAAGCAAGGACAAGACGGCAACAAGCACATGCTTCTCGACAGAGTGCGCCTCCACGAACGGCAACCGACCTACCAGGCTATGCGGGCTCTGTACTCACCTAAAGCACCCAGTAGGGCACAACCACGTAATTCATCGAAACATACCAAGTCCCTGGTCGATGGACACCGAAACGCAAATGTTCTTCGTTGAGGCTGTTGTAAGGTCAGTGGAGAGTCACGACACCACGATCCCGATCGGGAAGCATGTCCGGAAGTCAGCTCCAGAGAGCCGATCTTAAGGGAAGTCGGCTCGTTGTTTACCCCGTTGGTGGAATCTCTTGTTTGCAGTTTACTGAAGGAAGCTCAACCAAGCAACGAGAAAGGATCTAAAGATTCTACATCAGTGGATCGACGAGCCGGTGTTACTCTACAGAGTAACGAAGGTGAAGAAAGCTCTGAGCGCTTAGCCCAGGAGGAGAGACAATTGCTTAGTAGATATGGTGAGTTTGCTTCCGATGAGCAGCGAGGAGCGTTAGAATATCCGGAACGAATGTCCCCTTCCGATCCTTGTTCCCAAAAATAATGAGCGACTCAACCCCTTGCTCAGGAATTTGGCTTCTTGTCGGTCTGTGTACTCCCGAGGACAAAACACCTCCGGACGCGCTGGGTCGATTACTCGGAATGCTCTTCCAATGGTTCCATTATACCGCCTGCTTACCTGACGACCAGACTGGCAATTCCTTGGAACGCCTGAAAACGGAATACATCAACGGCTGGCTGATGGACATCGTACGTACGCATTTTGAAGTGTTCGTCTCGTGTTTGCTGCCTCATCCGGCCGAATATGCCCAGGTGGGCGGCCACTGGGACGTGTGGCCCTCTCAGACAGATCATATAAAAGAGGGCTTCAGGACGCTTTTGTGCCTCGTTCCCTACGACATAATAAACCGGCAGGTGAGTACATTCGCTTGGCGGAGAATCGCCGTCCCTTCCGCTAATTACCACTCACCAGTCTTCAAATATATCGTTGTCCTAACGTGAATGATCCTACAGGTCTGGGAGTTCATCATGCCCTATTGGATGGAAGCATTTCGATTCGAAATCCCGGAGGCTGAACTTGCGGAGTTGAAGATCTTACTCAGCAAAGTTCTCGATCCTGATCTGAGTCCATTGGGTTTCGAAATCAAGCAAATGTACAGCTTTCTCACACAACGTTTCGAATGTACCACCGCGAGAGTTCAGGAGCAAGCCCTGTTCTGGCTTCAAGTGAGTCTTGAGGCGAATGCGGGTATGCGGGTTGAAATCAATCACGAATGGGGTCGCAGAAGCCAGGGGAACGAACGAAAATGGATCTCTTTCGCCTTGCAGATAATTACACAACTCGAAGTCCCAGTTCCGCTCAGTCTCCTGTTCTCCATGTTCAAACAAGGTATCGAGGCTCTCAAGAAGAGCCACGAAGAATCGGCATCCCTTGAGGAAAGCAGCGGGGCAAACCAGCCTACACCAAAGTTCCATCCAGTGCGCCAGGATACGACCGGAACAATGCTCTCCAGTTTGGGTCTCGACGGTCTACCCTCTAGCTGCTTTCCACAAGACCTTGTTCCCGAAGAGAAACCCGACGGAGAAGTCCACATCAGCTGCCACATTCTCATGCTCGACATCTTGATAAAGCAGCTCGAGCTGCAAGAGCTGAACAGCCACAGGGGTCTGAACACGAAGGAAAGCAAGGAAATACAGATCCTCATCCGAGAAATGCTCATTTGTGAATGGACGAGAACCCACGACTGCACGCCACCGTCCACAGAAGAGACGGGGACGCAGGTGGTCGATCTTGGATGCGTCAACTGCGAACTCAACTCCATCTGGTTCCAGTTGGCGCTGTCGCTCATCGAGTTTATCTGCCCCGTCATGGAGGTTGCCATGGCAGATGTGAGTGGACGAGGTCGCGATAGCTCGGGCCTCTACCAACCTATATGTCTTTCGCAGTGGCTTGCAACCCCCTCTCGGCGCCCGGGGCGGTCAACGAAAGTTTAGAATTTCTGGACGCGATCAACCAAAATGCCGCCCCTGTCAGATTACTTTTCGAGAGAAATTCCGCAAAATAGCCGTTTTTTTCAATGTCGAACCCGGAAATGCCGCCCTCTCGATAGTGCCGCCCGGGGCGGACCGCTCCCAAACCCCGCCCCCCGGAGCACCCTACTGGTCGTTCGAGATCGACCTAATCGCTGACACCGTATCGCTCCTTCACAGATTCCAGGCGACCACGCCCCCGCCCCCAGAACACCGAAAGATCAGCACCCCTCGTCGGGGAGTGGCTCGGAGAGGCACAGATCGATGACAAAGAAAGATAAAGACAAAGAATTCGTTGCGATAGACATTGATGAGCCAACGCCTCCAGTAGCCGGCGCTATCCTTCATACTGCCCAAGTCACCGACGTAACAGGAGAGGTCGTGGCAGCCCTGCCGCAAGAGCAGGTGAGCATGTTTGTATTTCACGTGAATTTCATTCGAACAGGACCCGACCGACACAGGGATGGCATTGGTCTATGAGATTCTCTTCGAAGGAAGAAAATATCTTCCAGGTCATGAGAGCGATAGCAACAGCTGTAACTCTAACAGAAGACGACGTGCCCGAAGCTAAAGTAAGAACCCGACCTTCTCTCGATATCCGTCATCTACGGATAGTACTTAACCCGATCGAGGTTTCGCGAGTAATTGTTCCCGAGAACGAGAACCTTATCGATGCATTCTCGTCGAGCACGTTCATTTTTCTCCCAGGTGACTGTGGCCGCAGCCATGCTGTTGGACGAAAATGACAAGCAAGTTCCAGTGACGGAGGACAGTGATTTCTGGGTGACGAGTCAGGGGAAGTTCAAGATCAACATCGATGAACTGCCGCCCCATCTCTCCCTGGTGTTTCACCTGCTGCAGGAAATGACTCGGCCGCTGAACACGGACGTGATGTACCATCTTCTGCATTGTCTCAAGCTCCTATGTCTCCACGCAGAAGTTCTGAACAAGGCTGCGCATGATCATCGCGGCTTCCTTCTGTGGTGTCAAGAAAATCTCTTGGTGGTCAAGTGAGTTCCCGTCCGGGCAAATCAGTCCCTTGGAACCGTAATTTGTCGCAAGAGATGCTTTCACTTAGCTTCCTCCGATTGAATTGGAATCATGTCTGGCGAATTACAGCCTATGGAAACTACTGCAAGCAGAGTGCTCACAGATCGCAAGACTGTGTGTTCCACTGCTCCTCCACTGCGTCACACTGCCATCCGGAATGGACCAATTCTGGAAACACGTGGAGAAAGATTTCCACTCCGACTCGTGGTTGGACCGCTTTTCGGCAGTGGAAAAAGTTACAATGATTGGACACTTCATGGAGCCAGCGACTGTTCGGAACAGTCCACTCCTACAATCGTCTCTGGCCAATGCTTTCTGCTACCTCAGCCACAGCATGGACGATATCAATGCGGCGGTCGCGCAGCGGGCACTGCTGTGTCTGGACACAATCAAAACGGTGAGTCCGACATTCCGAGGCGCGCGCTGCCTTGGCCGAGATGCGGACGGCTGGATCTCGCAGGAAACTTCGCGGTTCTTGAAGGCTAGAGACGTGAACCTCATCCACAGGTGTCCCTGAAACTATTCATTTGGTGCCTGGAAGCCCAATTCGACACGGTGGTCGTGGACCGACCTATGATCCTGCAGACAATTTTCCAACTGTTCAGTCACTTTTCCGAGCGCCGTTTCTTGTCTTGGGACTTTTTCCTAAACAGGTTCGACGCCTTATTCATGGAAGTACAACTTGTCATGGAACGAAACGGAGAAATATCCTACACGAGAGGTACGACTGTGACTGTCCCGCCTATCCTCTAGATCTTTCGTCCTCCGCTCACTCATCGTCTCCGATGCTAAAAAGAGGTCCGTTTCCCTCTACTAATCTGCTTCATGCCTCTCTCTCCGGACTAGATCTGAAAAACAGCAACAAGAGCAGCGAGGTCTTCCAGCGCAAACTGTCCCGCGCTCAAGAAGCTCTCTCGTTCACGAAGATCAATCGAAGTCTCACTTCAAGCTTTGCAACTAAATACCCCTATAAGAGAACTATGTCTGCCCCAGGACTTCTACGCTTTTCTGATCCCAAAGTCCAGCATGGTAAAAACGGATGGCTCCGATAACATATTTTTCCTCATTGCAATTCCCCTCTCAAGACCATCTCACTGATATCAACCCATGGGGTCGAGGGATCTCCGAAACCTATAATTTAGTCGGTACTTCCGCAGATAAAGAGAAGATCCATAGTAGACAGTCGTCAGCGCCAGTCCTGAAGAGAAAGAGCTCGCGTCTCTCGACGGGCCCTGCAGCCGGAATGGCGCTTGTGATGGCGGCTACTATTCCTACTCAACATTTCCCCAACAGTTTCTTCCAAGGTCTGTAGCCCTAGACTGTTTGATGGGTCCCAGCTCTCCCGATGAAAATCATTCGCGGAATATATTTTCTAATCCTTCCAATTATATTCCCCGAATGGGATTCGACCGAGATCAGGGTCTTGACCCTCTTGTTCCTGATTTTAGGAGATCCTAGTCAGAAAGAAGCGGCGGAAGAGAAACACTTTCTGCAAGTCATGCAGCGGACTCTTGAGAACGATGATCTCAATGACCAGGTGAGCGGGCGACACGTCGCGTCGTCAACGTAACGTCTGAATTATTATGATTCATGGTTCCCATTATGTTTGGGCTCTCGCTCCCGTATAGCATGTCGACATCGAGACTGACTCGTGATGACATTTTCAGGATACCCTTCACATGTTAGTGTTCGTATTCCTGGAGTTCCTCTCCCGACCAGACCCCTCACATCCTACCGAAGAGAAGACGATGGTCAGATCGCATTCCATCGTTTTAACCCATCTCAACATGTTGATGGGCTACGGAATGCAAGACCGGCACTTCATCATCAACCCGAACCGCTTGCGGGTGTCGGCCGTCTTCAACGCATTCTTGTCGCAAATAGCAAGAGTTCTCGACCTCAATCACTCTATGGGGAACGTTCTCATGTCAACAGTGATGGCCGTTCTGCTTTACTGTCCTGCACCCCAGAGGCACAGTTTCAACGCGGGAGCCCACCCTCGTTATTCTCTTTGGTCACTCGATTTTAGTCAGAGACGATCGTGGCTCATGTCAGTGCTCGTCATCCTGTATAAGGTGAGTGACCGCTGAGGCGCAGGGAATAAATTCTGTTGATTTCTTACGGGAGGCTTCGGATTCTCTGCGGCATTCCAGTCGGATTCTGATGCGTCGCCGAATTACAGTTTGACTACGAATCTCCGCCGCTGTCGCGTCAGGTCAAACACCTGGTGCATATCATTCTGAATACATTGCAAGCTCACAACCATCTCTGTAGAAACGTAACCGATCCGTCCGTTTTCGGTCCAGTGTCATCCATCTCCCGAGGTAGGATATCCTCCGTTCGGAGAGAGTTCGCCTCTTCCAGGACAAGACCCATGCTTAAAACTTTTCGAAAAGTCTCTATCGTTGCAGACCTCATGAGTAGTGAACTGAGCACTGCGGCATCGGGTGGTGACTTGAGTGGCGTACTTCAAAACGAAGAAAACGCAATAGCTGCAACGACACTCGGAAACGAGGCGGGGAGTCTAAGTGACAGCAAACTATCAACGTCTGCAGGATCATCTTCAGGGACCAGTCAGGGCTACGTCCACAAGCCACTCTCTAGACTAGACGCTCACGACCCTTCCAAACCTCATCCCTTAAGGTTGACCGGCTCATCGCTACAACGAGACAGCGAGGAGCAAACGGAGCCCGAGCAGGAACTCGAGGCCATTCCCGAATCGCCCAAGTCCGACGAGGGTTCCAATGAAGTTCAAGAACTCCAGCTGTCGGCCACCCTCGTCGAGCAAGCCGTGCTTCGCGTCGTCAAGGACGCACCGCCTGGAAGTATGCAGCTTACGATAATCGAACCGACTTCGAAAGAGAGCGTGCAGCAGAATATAATCGTCAAAGAAGCGTCACAAACCGAAGCGCAATCGGCCATTTCGATAACGATTGAGGAAAGAGAAGAACGAAACCATGCCACACCGATAAGCCTTTCCGTCTCCGAAAAAGAACCCGATTTGAAAGACACCGCGGAAAAAAGCTCCTCCGAGCCCATGGAAAAGGTAATTGAGCGAATCCCGCTCGGACGAATTCTCTGTTTGGTGATTATTTTCTTCGATGCTTCAGGCCAGACTGGCGAGCTTCAGCTGATCCCTCGTCTTCTTCCCGCTTTGAGGCTCTTGACTTAGATGTTCTTTGTTTCCTTCGAGAAGCAGGCTTTAGAAGATGAGTCCGCACGCAGTAGCAGCGTCGTAGCCGCCGGCAAAAAACGTGAGGAGAGTATGAACGAGCCGAAGAAGCCTGAAGCTCCGGTACAGAAGTTTTTCGCTCCGCCACAGCTGCAGGACCAGGAACAGCAGGAGCGGGACGGGAAAAAAGAGCTGCTTTCCGGCCAGCGATCGCTAGACATCTACACTGGGAGTCATGGGACCGCTACGGCCGCTGGCCTAGGCTCCAGTCACGTCCGAGAAAAGGAGTTCGTCTATAGGACGCGGTCAGAGCAGACCCCCGCGCCGATGCCGTCTCTTCCGTGCGTTGAACGGCTTCTGCCAATTGGTCCCCAGCCTGTAGCCAAATTAGATAGGTCAGACAGAGACCGAAGGTTTCCCTTCGATGCGAACGTGAGGCTCACTCAAGTACTCATGCCGAGAAGCGCTGGATCCAGCATAGAGATTCCCTCACTAGAACGACTATTGCCGGTCGGTCCTATGCCTACTAGGTGAGTGTTCGCCTTGTTGTCAATGGCTTCAACCACGGGCTCTCTCGACGTTCATCCGCGCTGATGCCTCATCTGATAATGGGATTGTTCCTCTTCCATGAATTCCACAGACGAGAGGGAGACTCCCATGGTCGCAGTGTCCCGGGTTCTCCCGCGAGACAGAGGCTCGGCAACCAAACGGCCCCGTCAGGCTCGACAATAAGCCTAGGACCAGGACCTTTCAGAGACCACAGCACTGCGAAAGACGACCTGCCGCTGACGGATATTGCAATCAAGGATGGAAATACTGCAGAAATCGTAGTAAGCGAACGTGGTTCTCAGCTTAGAGATTTGGTTTAGCTTCCCCCCCGCCCCGCGTTGGGCTTCCGGAGTCTAACTGCGGATTCGGAGCTCGTGTCTCCCGACCAAAATCAAACAATATATACATTCTTCTCAGGACACTTCATTCATCGTTGAGCCGTCGACCCTCACTACCGTTCAGGCCGAAATCATATCCGCTGGTGAGACCACGAAGACGAAAGATCAACTCGAACGAAATCAAACATTCGAAAAAGACGCTGACTCCAAGAACAAGAAAAACGAAAAGAAAAAGGAGAAGGATGATGATCGCAGAAAAGAGAAGCAGGAGAAAGACGACAAGAAAGAGAAGAAAGGTTTGTGACAACCCTCGAATTTTCATAGAGAGCCGGTGGTTATTGGAATCCGTCATGTTCGAGCCTCTCGACGATGGTTAACCCATCGATTATTCTCGTTCCAGAAAAATCCGTAACTTTATCTCAAGACGAATCGAAATCCGCTGGACTGACCGTCCCCGATGAAGAAGATAATAAAGGTTTGAATCAGCGGCGCATAATGCGGGAACCTTCATTCCGATGAAGCAAAACTCCACTGATAAGAAACTCCGAAACGATTCACGGCAAACGCATTCCACAGGTAGTCACATCGAAGAAAGCAAATCGAAGCTCCATTACAAGCAACGAAAGCAACGACGAGCAGCCGAAGACGCCCAGAGGAAGAACGATGCAAAATCAGCTGCCCAACTGAGACGATCACGAAAAATCAACGAGGTCAACTTCCAGTCTCAACCGAATACTTCTGGAACGGCAAAAAGGTATAGCCGAATTGGCGAGCGCTTCTCGCGGAGAGAACTTCCGGACGAGAAACTAGGAACCACTAATCGGGACTCATTGCAGGTCGAGCTCCGTTTCGTCATCGAGTGTTCCGCGTCCTGCCGATGATATCGTTCTGGATCGGTGCTCGGACTGTGGAGCGATAATCGAGCATTACGCCCACGACGAAATCGGTCTATGCATTGTGGCGTTGGCGACTTACATTCATAGAGAACCGTCTTTGGCCGCTCCCATCATGCCCGACATGCTTCGAGTTGTCGCAAAAATAGCCCAGCAATATTTTTATGCTTGGCAGAGTGAGAGGTGAGTCTCGAATTGAGGCTTCAAGAACACAAGAGATCGGAAAACCGCAGAACACGCTGCACTAGGCTAGGTCATTCGCAGAGCTATAATGCTGATCCTTTCATCCCACAGCAACATGCACTTGCCCGGAGGATGCAATAGCGTGGCTTGCCAATTCATCCGATGTACCTTGCATCGTCTTTCAGCAAACGGGATATTCATACAGATATTCCAAGGACATTTTGGTGAGCTCATCCCATACGACTCGGCGCGAGCCTCAGTTCCGCACCCTCTTCGAGCTCCTCGTTAATTTTGACCATGCTTCCAGATCGAGACTTCTTCAAGGTACTAGCTTCATGTCTAGCGGATTTCAACGAACTGAATCAACTGCAGCCTCTGATCACTCTGGTGGAGGATCTCAACGAACGCAAACAGCTCTGTCGCGAGCAAACTTTGCACACTCTAACGAACGTAGCAACGTACCTGGAAGCACTCCTACCCGCGGACAGCAATGTCAGCCATTGGTCAACGTTTCTTCCTCACCTTGATACTCTCTTGAGAAGAGTCATACTCATTCTGAGCCCCTTACAACAAACGTCTGGTAGGTGGGGCGACTCGATCGGCGCGCACAAATATTTTCCCCGCATGCTATCTCTCTCTGTCTTATGCCCGAGCGCATGTGATGAAAGAAACCCGATGAAGTGTCGATAATTACCCGCAGGCGGAAACACGTTGAACACTTCGGTGGCATCCCTGAGTTGTCTGCTACGCATAATGACTTCGATACTTAAGGTTAGTCCTTCTGCTGAAAAATTTTCTCCTATCCCGCAAAGCATATCCCTCAATCGGAGCGTTTAGTCAAAAGCGAAATTCACTGCAGGCTCCCGGAATAAACGCGTGTAAAACCATCCTGGAACCATTCTCCAAAATCCTGAGTCACGCCATCGAACATTCGATTGTGGGCTATCACCAGGTTTTGGAGCTCTGTCATCTCTGTTACAGAAATATGCAACGAGTGAGTAGGAACGACCCTGACGTTCTCGGTACTGACAGTTTATTCCCTTCCGGGGAGCCCATGTGAGCACCGGAAAAGGCGAAGGAGGAATAAGAGGAAATTCAGGAAAAAAATCTTTCCAGGACCGAGACAAGAACTTGTTGACGAGGACTGTCGTATTCGAACTGGTTCAGGCGCTCAAGTTCAAAGTGTCCATACCCGACGAGAACCTCCTCATGCTCGTTCAATTCGTCTTGCAAGACGCCGGCGGTGCTCTGTGCCCGAATGTCATCCTGGACGACTCACCGCTGATGCATGAACTGCAGACGAGTCAATACAATACCAACGCGGCCGATTGTCTCCGAGCGAACCTCGCGGACGCCATAGAATTCTTGGCAGATGTGCATACGCTCAGCCGCGTCAAGAGCAATTTCCATGGCACGACGAGTCGGCTGAACGAGGAAACTTTGGGTGGTCAGCTGAAGGCTGGCGTCTCCCAATACCTCGCGCTGGAAATCACCAGAGGTAGGGCGTTGAACAAATACTCTATCTGTTTCACATTCCGAAGATTTTTCCGGAAGCGTCGCGGGACATCCTCTCGAGACTTTCCTGTGAACTCATCCTTTCTTCCCCCGATCCCTTCCCCAGTTAACGGTAGGGACAACAGAGCCATTAGCAAATACCTTCCCTGGCTGTACAATCCCCCCAACGCAGCGCAACAAGGGTGAGTGGGATTGGAGCGCCGAGTCGTGCCTCCGGAGCGGTATCGATCGAAATAGGAATGTAGAACGCGGATCATCATAGCAATATCTAAGACGATCAATTCACAGGCCGAAGGAATTCTCCGATTGCGTGGCCCATATACGACTCCTTTCCTGGATTCTCGTCGGAGCTCTCACACACTCTGCGTTACTAGGTGGGCAAAGCTCGAGGTTCTAGCGCTTTTCCGAAATTCGGATGCCGTCGAAGCAAATGATAAGAACACTGTCTCTATTCCGTCTGGTTCGAAATAGCGAGCTCGATCCGATAGTTATTTTGTCTTTGAAGTCCCAAATGAACTGTTCCCAATCCTCCTGCAGGTGGTCAGCACAGCCACTCGACAATAACGTGCCAGCCAATACCACTCGAAGCGAATGCTCATATCGCAGACCACATCCAAGTGGTCCTCGCAGGTTTCTTCGAGCAATCGAAGGCCTGCATTCTCCACATGTCTTCGCTATTTCATGCGTTCATTCTGTGCCAGGTAAATCCCGAGTAGGGTGCCCGTCGAGAAAATGAATACTGATCGAGTCAGATCGAGCTTCTAGACTCATGCATATATCATCCCGATTACGAGAGCATACATTAAGAGAAACTTCGTCGCAGCTATGGACCATGTACTGCGAACACATGGTTTCACTCAATCCACCCGGATCTGAGCAGAATACCACGTGCACCCTGGTCCTCACGGACTTCTGGATAAAAGTCACTCCTGGGGTCCTGCAGGTGGTCTGCAATCCCAAGCTGACCGATATGGTCAGCCTTCATTTCCTCACCTTGATGGAGGCTCTGATGGAATGCAATTCCACAGTGTTGGCTCGGGTACTCGTCCCATCTATTATATGAAGAGGCTGGCTCGCTAACATGTCATCGCCGATATCAAAAGACTGAATTGTGTTTTGCCCGATGTTCCAGTTGCTTCCCATGTGGACTCCGGCCCTTTATTCGTTCCAAGGCCAAATACCGAATCAGCTCCGAGTGCGGCTCCAGGCGTGTCTCGATTGGGTTCCCCCGCTCCAAACTCGGGAAGAAGCTGCCTTCGTGTCAACAACTTTCCTGAAGTGGCTGCAACGCCTCCAATTCAAAATGGGTCAAATCGAACAACAGTCGTCTACTGCGACTCAATTCTACTCCTTGTAAATTATCCATCTGGACTATATGAATATTCGGATCCTGTTCGAACTCGCTCTCTGAGAGGGAGCTCTCGGCGCGTGAAAGACTGGGATGCGATCGAGCCGCGATAATCCATCCCTGACCCACTGTCGCTGACATAAGGAAGATCTTTTACTGAGGGAACGGGAGACTTGAGCTAATATTTATTCATGCCTGTTGGAAATCAATCCGAGCCGCTTCCAAGCTTCCCCATAGTTGTTCTACGACAGTCCCAGGTTTTATGACCTTGAAGTTGCCCGCTGTTACCTATATGAGTTGATCCTCGTAACGCTAGACCTTTCCACGTTTCTATACGGGATCTGTATGAACGGATCGATAGTTATGAGAGAATTGAATTGAATATGATACAAATCGTTGAAATTCGCGCACTCATTGGAGTAGCACGACGCCGACGGGGTAGAGCGCTTCAGTTCCCCTCAAGAGTCAGGGACATCGATTAAAAAATTGAGTAAGCCTTAGAATATGGGAACACAGATTTTCAAACAACCACAGGAGCTAATTTCGGTCGCCATTGGCTCCTGCCTGGTTCGGATCGAAGAATCGGAGAGGCAGTTCCTCAACCTAGGCTACTTTCGTAATCGGTTGCAGACTGATCGGGATGTCGTCAATCTCTTCGTCGATCTCGAGAATCGCCTGACTCACTGAGCTCGGGGTCGGTGACGCGGACTTGACGCTGAAAACCGAGTCCCTCCGGGTCGCAGAGGCGGCTCTGCCTCGACGAGTGTCGGGTCTCGCGAGAACCGCGGTTCTCGGTCGTGGTGCCACACGACTCTCGATAGCTGTAAAAGGCGTTCTCGACATCAGCCAGCGATTCAATCAACACCTAAGGATGGAACTTCCTGCTTATTGCTTCATTCGACTCACAACTCGCTGAAGAGGTGGGGCTCGTGGGCTCGACCGTGACGATCCTCGCCACGCTTGCACCGTCCACAGGTGTCATCCCGCAGGCCGAGTCCATCGGCGACTGGACTTCAAGGATGTCCGGTGCTTCGTTCTCGGTTGAGATTTCAGTAGGGACGTCCTCGTCTTTGGTGCTGATGCCCAGAATGGTCTCGTCTTTCTTGAATGAAGAGGATTGCGAATCTTCACCGATTCCTCCCACACCCAATATCCTCAAGTTCGGCGAAGAAGGATCGCTCCATGTGTGGACTCATTGATTCCTTATCCTAGTGTCGCTTAGGACATCCCCGGAAAGAGTGAGCTAATAAGGCGAATCTGTGCCTCCATCCCAACTCTAAACCTCTCTTTATTGAGTAGGATTCCTGTTCAACTTGTGAACTTCCCGAAGCCCTTTTACTTACCTCAGCTTTTGACGGATCGTTCGAAGGATGAGCCGTCGCAGGAGTTATCTTGATCTCTGTGATGGTACAGAAGATTACATATCATGGAGCGAGATATTGTTTCTCTCCGCAGTCTGCACATGCTTATATACGTTCATGAAGTCCTAGACCGTACTTACGGACCGCCGGCTCAGCGATTATCCTGTGCTTCGGCTTGAAATTCAGACCCTCCCAACAGTTTGAGCAACAACTTCCGAGCCAGGAGATCATGAGGGCCGCTGCTCTCGCAAGGAAATATTTCACTCGTATGGAGCGAATAGAGGGTAATATTCTCTCAGGCAATCTACAGGAGCCTCACTCACCTCGGGAGATCACCACGATCAGCAATCAACACAGGTGCAGCGGTGCTGGGCACGTATTCCGGGTCCGGGACGTGCTGCGCCGGAGCGGAGTCCCACAACTTTTCCTTTTATTTCCTTTCGAGGAGGCTCCCGCATAGCCCCAGTTTTCCACCACTGTGAGAGGTCCGTAAACTACAGAGCCCTCCCTGAGACATGACTCCAATCCCCTGCTCTCGACCAGCTCAAAACGTTGCGAGAGGTGCAGAAAACATTTCATACTTCAGAATCGTCATCACGTGAGAGAACGGAGGGCTGTCGATGGAGAAGAGAAGAGGCGAGGTCTTAAGCCATCATCGGCAGTTGCGACATTCGGAGAAATGAGGTAAATGAATCGTGAGAAGGTTTTCGACGAGAGACTCTCCTCCGATTATTACCCGTGTTCGCCTGAAAGAATAGAGTCTCATCCGGAATTAAACTGAGGGCAGAATTGGCCGATTACGGATTTCGGGAGCGCGTTCCTGCCACGAATCCCTCACTGGCCCGCCATGTGTCGGAACTAAGACATACAGTTTGTGAAAACTTCGATCGCGACTCCCTGGCAACGGGAAACTCACGCTTAAGAAATACTCCAGTCCATTGACATCGAGGAAGGCGGCGTCAGCCGGAGGTTTCAACTCCTCGGAGCATTGCTGAATTCAGGATTTTGCCGTCATAGGGCTAATCCGAAGCTACCGCCTAACCCTGACCAGGGAGGGGAAGGGGAACTCCATAGTAGCGCTCTCCAGAATATTTTTCGCTTGCGGCTATCGTCTTCTCGGTCCACGTGGAAATCCGGAACTTCCTCAGAGGGAATCAGAAAAGCAAATGAGGAGCCTGGGAGAAGCCCGCGAGCGGTCTCTGAGCCCAACCTTTCAATCCGATAGCGGCAACGGCTATCGAGCGGTTGGGAAAACATCTTAGGTCTCTGAGTTCCCCCCTTGATTCCCCCGAATTTCCCTGAATCGGCTAACTTTTAGGTGCTCCCTCATGTACACTCCATGACGTCTGTGAGAGAATGGTACCCTTCGAGGGTAACGAAGAAGACGAGGTTAGCCACAGCCGTGTCAGAGGCTTCCATCTAATCCATCGGACGACGTCAACTATCAGGGAGTTTTCGTCTAGGCACACCGATAGAAGCGATCAATCAATCAATCGATCAATCAATCGATCGACTGGACGACAATACTATCAGCAGATTCACTTGCGTTTCGAGAATGCTCGTAATCGAAGCGAATGTTGCGTATGATACAATATCACTCTGTCGCCAGTTTTCGAATCTGCGCGGCATTGGGTCCGATGTACAGGTCCTGTTTGTGTTGCTCACCGCCGCTGCGCAGCTGTCTCACTTCTCCTTAACCTCCATTCGACTGACGAGAAAAGAGTGCCAGACACCTGGAAAAAAGGAACAGATGCTGCTCCAGCGCTGCAATGGAGCCCTTCGTGGCTCTTTGAGGGCGTTTTCCTCGTCTGCCGCGACTCCTCCGGGGACTCCCCCGCCGCAGACTAGAACCAAGTTCGGTGAGTACCTAGCTACTCTGAATGGAGCATCGCGACAGTGGCAGAGAAGCAACGCAGCGAACGGATGGGGAAATTCAGGACCCCAATGAGACTGAATGAGTTCTGGGATTGACCAGCCATGGTGCTCGGAGCGCAAGTTCCCGCTCACCCAACTCTTGTCAAGGCTCGGGAACAAGTCCGGACATGCCCGCTGGGTCCATCAGTTTCTGTTGTCACTTGCCGTCGAGAAAAAAACGAGCCTGAACTTACCCCCGACCTGAGGCACATCGACGTGCGGCGCTGCCCTCTTTGTAGCTCATGTCACTGCATGGACTCAGTAGTTCCGATATAAGTTGACTATAATAATCTTGGAGCTTTCCTCCGCGAAAGCGTCAAGGAAGAGCATCTGTGTGCCGTGCGCCGTCAACATTTTGCTCAGTATTCCAGGACCTCTCAAGGATGAAGACCGTATCTTCCAGAACCTATATGGACGCCACGACTGGCGCCTCAAGGGCGCCATGTCCCGTGGAGAGTGGTGAGATTTCTTCCCAGACGAAATTTCTCGGCACCTTTGTTATCCGGGAAGAGTCTCGAATAGTTTACCCATCTGGGCGCAATGCGATGCTTGTGTCAATTCCACAGGTACAAGACCAAGGAGATCGTGGAGAAGGGAGCGGACTGGATCATCAACGAAGTGAAGACCTCGGGATTGCGGGGTCGGGGAGGCGCTGGATTCCCGACTGGCTTGAAGTGGAGTTTCATGAATAAGCCTTCCGACGGACGCCCGAAGTTCGTATTCCAATTTTTCGAATCGTCGCAGATATTTTGAGAGGCAATACTTCATGATCGAAAACCGTGTTCATGACGGTCTCTCGCGGAGTGACCGGCGTGGGGGACGGTCCGTCACGGCAGCAAAGCTCACCTCCTTAGTTTTCCCATTGAAATTACAGATACTTGGTCGTCAATGCCGACGAGGGGGAGCCTGGGACATGCAAGGACCGGGAGATCATGCGACACGATCCGCACACCCTCGTCGAAGGATGTCTCATCGCTGGTAGGGCCATGGGCGCGCGCGCGGCCTACATCTACATCCGTGGCGAGTTCTACAACGAAGCGTCGAATCTCCAAATAGCGATCAAGGAAGCCTACCAAGCTGGCTTTCTGGGGAAGAACGCCTGCAACAGCGGCTACGACTTCGACGTGTACGTTCATCGTGGTGCAGGAGCCTACATCTGCGGAGAGGAAACTGCTCTCATCGAGTCAATCGAGGGCAAACAAGGGAAGCCTCGGCTCAAGCCCCCGTTCCCTGCCGACGTCGGTGTTTTTGGATGTCCAACGACCGTGACCAACGTCGAGACGGTCGCTGTGGCTCCGACAATTTGTCGCAGAGGTCCGTGAGAACTCCATCCCCCGGAATAGTGTCGGCAAGCTCATCGAAATTGAGAGGTTCCACTCATGCGAGCGGTACCTAATTTTGGAATTCGTTTCTCTCAGGAGGCGCTTGGTTTGCTTCTTTCGGAAGAACCCGCAACAGCGGAACGAAGCTCTTCAACATATCGGGCCACGTCAACAATCCGTGCACCGTTGAGGAGGAGATGAGCATTCCGCTCAAAGAACTCATCGAACGTCACTCGGGAGGAGTGATCGGTGGATGGGATAACCTGCTCTGCGTCATCCCCGGTATGCGACTCTGAGGAATCCCGCTCTCATCTCCCATTCCCATGCCTATCGATAGGGATGCATTGGTGGAGGCGAGAGTAGCGCTGAATATTATGCACGTGTTGATCTACGTATGTACCTAGCATGATGAGGGACGATGTAAATGACGCCCTCCTCTCGTAACAGGCGGATCGTCCACACCCGTGATCCCGAGATCGGTCTGCGACACCGTCCTCATGGACTTCGACGCCCTGGTTGAGGCCCAAACCGGTCTTGGGACCGCTGCGATCATCGTGATGAATAAACAGACCGATATCATCAGAGCCATTCATCGACTCATCGAGTTCTACAAGCACGAGTCTTGTGGACAATGCACTCCCTGTCGAGAGGGAGTGGGTTGGATGAACAAGATAATGGAGCGCTTCGTGAGAGGTTCGTGGACACCCAGATGAGTTCGAGCTCCGGCTTCTATATTATTCCTTCTGCCGTTCTTCCTCCTGGAGGACATGAGTTTTCGCCGTCGCGGTCTTATGCTAACGTCATTTTATAGGTGATGCCAGAATAGAGGAAATCGACATGATTTACGAAATTTCCAAGCAGATAGAAGGACATTCTATCTGCGCCCTGGGAGACGGAGCCGCTTGGCCGGTTCAGGGCTTGATTCGTCACTTTAGACCTATCGTTGAGAGCAGGATTGCTGATTTCCAGGCTCGAGCGCAGGCTAGGAATTGATAGACCTCCCTCCGGCCATTCGATGCGCCACACCTCAGTTGTTTATGTAAAAAGAAACTCGAGTCGAAATAAACTTTTCCGATCTAGTACACGTTGGCTCTTGACCGGTATCTTCTCATTCGAGGCCCATGCGTGTCCGAGCTGGCTCGCGGGGACCAGATGGATACCTCACTCCTCTCACAGGGCAGGGGTTCGGAGCTCTTTTGTTTTCAACTCCCGTCTCGAGATGCACTGGACAGTGATCATCGCCACTTCTCAGTAGCCATCTGTCGCTCGTAGACCACGTTGAAAGTCTTGTCATGGGGACTTATGACGCTAGATAGGAGCGAACATGGAAGCCGTTGAATGACCCGATGAATTCATGACACCATACGTCGTCAAGTCATAGTTGTTGCCAGAGAGTTTCATGAGCAAGAGACGAGTTCGTCGAGGCTGAAAAACAAGATTTTCGCTAAATGTTCATCCCCACCGCGAGCACGAGAGATGGATTCTCATCCCACTGATTCAGTGATATATCGCTTGATAAAATCACGAAGTGCCGCTCTAGAATCGGGGTTCTCGCTGAGGTCGAACGGCTTCAGCAGAGCCGTACGGAATATCAATGGAACCGATTCTCTCCGGAATATCAATGGAACCGGGTCTCCGACTTTTGCATTGATTCCAACTTTTGGATGGAGGTCTGTAATCAATTCTTGTTGGATACGTTTTGCTCGCCGGGCTTCACGAGGATCCGGTACACCCGCGAGGCCGCCATGAACAATTTGAACAGAATCGTCCTCTCATCGACGCTACAAGGAGCTCTCCAGAAGCCATCAACATCTCATGGTTCATGAGACATTTTTTTTCTTCTCTTTCTCTGTTCGAATACTGTAGGATCATATACAAAATTTACAAATCGCTTATAGGAAGTACTGCTTAGCTAACGTCCTCAAGAAGGCGCATTTCCTCCGTGCGGCGGCGTCTTCGAGAACTCTCTTCGGATTGTTCGAGTTCAGTTCCAGCATGGACATGTGGGATAAGACTGCTTTCTTAGCTTCAATTTCGCCTCTCCGCGTGTGGAGATTCGCTAGGAACTCGAGGATGTTAGTGTCCCAAATGTATCTGGAATTCGACAAATATATCAGACTTCGTAGTCGAGGTACTACCATCGAACTTCATCCGCACGGCGGGATTCTTCCGAAAGTCACGAGCCAATACTGACTTGTACAGCGAGTCGCAGCTGTCGTTACAATTTTTCTCGTTTAATGACTTGAAGGTAGCGGCGTAATCCGGAGCAGCCATGAATTGGAACAATATGGCGGCTTGCGTGTGACAGGAGAGCTTCGCGCAGCACTGCGCCATCCGCCGATAGAGGGTGTCATCGACGAGTCCTGGCACCGAACAAGGTGCCGTGAAGAAATTCGTCACTGCAAGGAGAGAGGGATGCCTCGGTTGGGAACAGAACGCAATTCAATTCACAGCCTCCGCCTTCGAGGCCTCTCTAAAATTCAGGATCATGGAATCATAAGAATTTCTAGCACCAACCCGATACGAGTGTCTCGATGTAGTGTTTCAGAGCCACCGAGAAATAGTTCTGATCGAAGCAGAGGTCGGCATGAGTCTTCAGCCAATGCGGCGATCGAGCTCCGTGCAAACACGTTTGCAGAAGGTGCGCACATGTATCCAAACAGTAATGAGGAGCGTCTTGTAGCGACGGTGGCCAGAGTTGGGGGTACTCGTGGGAGATGCTTGTATTCGAATCGTCCCTGCGATTGATCGAATGTCATTGAGTGGGCTTCTCGCTTCCGACCCGCTTCCGGGGGAGTTCGGATGGGCGGAGCTTCTTCCGATGAGACCCGCCGCAGACCCTTGATTCCCCATTGGAGTGAGAAGTACTGAGAAACCTACCTCAAAACATTGTAGAGGTGGGCGAGGAGCGATATGAGGATTCCTTTGGCCAGCTTGTTCCTCAGGCGTCGGATTATGAATATCAGCGCTTGACATCCATCGGCATCCGCGTGATTGCGCTTGACATGGAGGAAGGATATGACGTTTTTCCAGAGTTCCTGCTCATGATTCGACTCCTTAATCCGCAAACAGCAGAAGGCTAAGGGTCGCACTACGGCCATAATCGCTCCTCTAGCATCTTGATTCGCCGCGGCTTCGTATCTCTCTTCGTTGAGGAGCTCGATGATGGCGGTGTTTACCATTCCGACTGGCATGTCTTGGGCTCGTTGTCCCGCGAGAATGATTTCCACAGATGGGAGAATGTTCACCCCTTCCATGATGTGAGTGTACGCCAATTCCCATTGCAATCGGTCGGCTTTTGGAAACGCAGATATCAGGTGCTTCAGCAATTGCGAGCATTCAGAAAACTTCTTGAGACGCCTGAGCTCGATCGCTTTCGCAAGAATTATGTGAGTCCGCGAGTTTTTCACTAGACCTTGCAGTTGCGTGGGGAGCACCTGCCAATCCGAGTTCAGTGTGTGTCCTGGATCGGAACGAGAAGAATTAGCACGATCAATAATAATAATAATTGATCGGGCCAGCTCAGGGCACAACTTCCACACCGGCCATATATCCATGACAGCTGTTCACCATTTGGAACTTGATCGGCGAGCTTCAGTATCTCGCTGGCACTCTGCGAGATGAGGAGCCGAGTTTCGACGGAGCTTTGAGAGGACGTTTCATTGAGGAATCGTTCCTCGGTTGGTTTCTCTTCGAGAACTTTATCGATGCGTCTTATGATGTCATCGTCTTCATGGTCCATTTCCTCGTCCGTGGACTCCTCTTGCTCGACGAAATTCACGATGAAACCTTCGACTCTCGGATAATCGGAATGGCTCTTTGGCATCAGTTGCTGAGCGGTCACGAGCAGCTCCCGGGCTTCGTTGTATCGTTCCTGTGGATTACGTTTTCAAGTGATTAAACGAACGGACCCAAACAATCCATGAAACCTGTCGACTTTCATCATGATCGAACTCCTCTATACGCACTTTGAAAAAGAGAAAACTGCCGAGGTCGAGACTCGTCTCGGCTTTGAGCGTGTCTTCGTCAGCTTTGCAGCCTCGTTCGATGAGAAAATGTGGAGCTCGCAGACTGAAGCAGTCATGAGTCGCCATCGTGACCGAGGGGCTCTTCAGGAATTCCCGAAGCCACTCCGCGCACTGGTCTGCTTCTTCTGTCAGGCTTTTCTCGAGTTTCTCCAGAATGTCGGGAGCCACATATGTCGGATCGGTCTGTCCCGGCAACGAAACGACCAAGCCTCGATGGCCTCTGACCTGCAAACGGGAAGCCGCTCGATTCTCAGCCATGGTTTTGGATTCTGTGATTGCCTTGGATGAGTGCCAGGTGTGTAGGATTCCGAATTGGGGCGCTTAACTCACCGGAACTTGCGACTTGAACACGTATCGTAGGACCCAGCGACAGTACAAGGCGTAAGCAAACGCTTCGTGAGGACTTCCCCAATGATTGCTGTGTGGGGTTTTGGTGAGAGCGCAGAATTCTCCGAGGAGCAGCTGTTGCATGTGCACGGGTAATTCCGACATCAGCTTGCCGAGGTCCCAGCTATGAGAGGGAAGAAAACGCTCAGGTCATCCGACGACAAGCTTCAAATGCGTCGCTTTTCAACGACTGGCATTCCCCGGAATCCCCGTATGCTCACTTGTTCAAGGCGACGATCCGGAGCGCGAGCATCTTCTTCTTGAAAGCCTTGTCCGGATTATCATTGCTGTTAGAGAGCAGCACGAGACAGAGCTCCCATGACCCGGGATCTGGAACACAGTTTCTCTTATGAATGGTATTCTGCGTTGGGCTTCGCTCGGATTACAATGTAAGACACTATTTCCAACGTACCGGCATCAGGCTGCTTGAGGTGTTCGACCAGGAGGTTCTCATCGAGAAGAAATTCGAACCACTGCCTCTTGTCTACCGAACTACTCGACATTTGTAGATACTTTTCAGGTACGCATACTTCTCAGAGCGATCTACGTCACGGTGTTTCCACGGCGTATCCCACTCGACGGCGAACGGACTGCTTCAGATATGAACGATCGAGCACCAGTCCTTCATACACAGAGCTCCTGATGTTTACAAATACGCGGAACCCGCACAGCTGATTTCTGATCGGTGTCGGAGATAAACAATATTCATCATTCTCCTGTTCAGGAGAGCGAGGAAGCGCGGCTAGATCGATCATGAAAAATGGAATCCGGCATGTGATCGGGAATTATTCGGCGTCCGTCTCGGCCACGTGGAAGCTCGGCGAGGCATTCACACGATGATGCCGAAAGGCGCGCTCAGGCAGCCGATGAGCGAGTGAACCCAAACACGAACCACAAGCATCATCCAGCTGGTCACTGGAGTCCGTTATAGTACATGCCACACTGCATAGAACGTATCGTATTCGGGAGTCGATTGCGAAACATAACCACGCGCTCTGGGTCTCGGAGGTGATGAGAGGGGAGACTGCGCTGATGAACGACACTTTCTCCAATCAATCCAAACGACGGGTGGCCTGGACTCTATAATCCTTAAAAGATGTCCCAGGCCGGAGATCAATGCTCCGGATCCGGCACTGGGCGGCGTCGCACATATATTCCCCCCAGGAGTCCGCCGTGTCCCCTCTCTACGCATCGACGCCGAACCATACGTATATGTACCTTGACCTGATCGAGCGCACGTGTCCAAGCCGCGCGCCGCCTGCATGGCGGAACCCAGGCTCGGCGAGAGGAAAAATTCCAAGCGAGATCAGTGATGCTGATTAGTAATCACTGATGAAATTGAGCATAAAATACCGAAATCCTGTCTGACGGGACGACTGGCTCATGCCCAAAGAGCGTGGCGCAGACACAGTTTGGCTTTTCGAATCCGTTCACCGCGAGTTCGACACGGGGGAAGAGACTCATGACCGCCGGGAAAGATTTCCCGATGGGAGCTCGCGTCCGGGGTTGAGACGGTTCCGGTTCAATCTCAAGTTGCGCTTCCTAATCACACAGATATCAGTAGCGCAGCTGTTTTATATTTTTCGAGTCGTAAAGGGGAGGGGGTTGCGCGAACGCAGACCCCCCACTACCAAAAATTACATGCCCCATCTTTCCCAGTTTGGGAGAGTGGCAGGTCTCAACCCCGTCGAAGTGCAATGACGAAGCCTCCTCCTGGGGTCTCCACCTCAATGATCATGGAGGTCCCGGCACCAGGTAAGTATGAGGGTAAGTACTGCTACGATGGTGTTGTATTGGCCGGGTGTCCGAGCCAGCCATGATCGATGAGCTCGTTACAGCTAAATACCGAGCAGGAGAACAGGAGAGTAGTATGAGGTGACAACAGACCCTCTCTATCAGTCTCTTCTCAGCAATTCTATAATCCGTTCCCATGCGTCGTCTGGCTCAGATTGTATCATATCTCCACGAAGCTCTCCACAGGACCTGCATGGCTCCGGTCACTATCGAGCGTCGGATTGCTTCGGTTCATCGAACCAGTGTGGTCGGAGTCCGGCATCCGACTGTCTCGACGGACCAGAGGACCAATTTTCAGGGCTTCATTTCACGGCATGACCACTGGCCAACTGTCATAGCCGTTAGAGAAATCACAGTTATCAGATACCACGGTTGATTCATCGGATTGAGTCAGTCTTTCTCTTTGAATTTCCGAGGTCTCCTTCGGAAAAGGGATCCAGATAAGAGAACTTCGCTTCTCCGCATGCGAAAATGGACCTTCAGATCAACTCCGCTCCATGCTAATGATTTACCGACCGGAATCAGGTCCCCAGGGCCCCGTGGGCTCCTAGACAAAGACATCTGCCCTGTTGTGAGCTGGAATCGGATGAGAATCCAGCGAACCGCATTCCGCGCGAGCTCAGTCAGAATTGTCTCTACCAAGTAACGTCGCATCGATTGCACTTTCATCGCTTCCAGCTAGTATCTCTCCCCAGCCGGATTCCGAACCTTCGCGAGAGCGAGACTTCGAGAATGAAGACATGCCTGTAATTCGCAGCGCAGCAACACCAAAGAGCTTTTATTATGTGGATTGTAGAGAGTTTGATGATCAACTCAGCTGCAGAAGCTGACTCGACTCTCTTCGTTCAAGAATTCATGGAGTCAGGGTCTCATTACTGTTGAAATTAGAAAAACATAGATAGCGATGCCTCCGAGCCACCCCGCGAGGACGCATCTTCAATCTCTGGAAGACCGCTCAAACATTCGCCTCGAACCACCTGTCATCGGGACGGAATCATCCGAAATGGATTGAGCCGTCTTCAAGAGAAGCTAGCTAGAAGTCAGCCGATCTCGGATTCGCATATCTAACTACATCCGGGTCTCATTGGACCCCGGTTTGCGGCTCCGCATACGCTTGCGCACGACCACAAGTGCCGACAAAGCGCTCGGCTCGAGAGAGCCCACCGTTCAATTATGGGGACCCATAGTGTACGGGGGTGTGCGCATCAATCAAGTAGAAGGGGTGCCGGATCGGCGCCCCAACATAGGTTCCCCTCTCTCTTAGACAATAGTATAAGAAACGACCTTTTTCAATCAATAAACACACTGTCTTGTGGAAACTCTACCCGAGTGCTTCTTCGATTCTTCACGAGTGTGGTGGCTGAGCTTCAGATCCGCCTTGGCGACGCTGAGCGACAGCGGAGACGACCCTACTGCCGTCTACCCTATCTCACTAACCAATCTTGTGTGCCAGTACAAGCTTTCCAATTCCCTGTTTATCAATTACGTCCAAAATGAGCCCACATTCGACCCGGCACCGTGGTCCATGCAGTTGATCCCGCGGGCTGCGGAACGAGCTTCGATTTCCGGGTGCGCAGAGAGAAACTAGCGCCACCATCAGCTGCTATGCTGGCCGTGGACCTCAAGGTACGAGGAATAGTGCCAGCAAGCAGCCTACGTCGAATCTTATTCCGTGTTCTCCATCCGATCTCATCCCAGTCTTGATGAAGCACATCCAGTGATCAGACATTCGCTTCGTATGTTGAGTCGAAAATATTGCATCGATCTTGTGCTGTTGCAGCGGCACCCCTGTACCAGTTGTTCGTGTATCTTTGGGACACACGGGAATTTCAAGGAACAAAAACATACGAAGCAGAGAAGGAGCTGTGAAGTCAGAACGATCGACGGAAGGCGGTGACGGAAGATTCCACAAGGAAGCTGCGAGGATGAGCGATAACGAGGATCCCTCGACTCTTGCAGGGGTTGGGGATGAGGTTAGTGGATTGGCCCTCGACCCACGATATTTCTGTGCTGAGATGCGGCCGACTGAGCGTGAAACTTACCGTATGAGTCACGGTTGACGCGCGATCAGCTGGGATATGGAAGCTGTCTGAGCCCGACGAAGGGGATCGACCGAGGCACGGATTACGTGCAAGGAGAGGAAATCATAATTTGGCAAATTAACGTGTACAGGTGGTCCTCGGTATGGCTTCGAGCTCGAGTCAGCGTGACAGTGTTTTGCTTTCAAGTACTTGAGGAAGAGATCTGTGTCGAATGCAACGTAGAAAAGTGATTCACTGCTAATGACCGAGGCTTCCTTCGTGAAGTCAACTGTCTGTCAAACGCCATTCGGAGAGCAGATACGTTCCACGATCGACCCGGCGTCGGAATCCCGAGAAGGGCTTCGGAGACGGTATCTGAACTCGACCCCTTTCAAGCATATGTGAACAGAGGGAGGCTTTGGCCGAAAAATTCGAGGTCAGCCCACAGGGGCTGAATACCCGTAAACCGGCTCCTGTCTGAATATCTAAATACGAGAAGCATCGTGTTCTCCTCTGAATCTCTCGCCCTTGCGAGAAAATCGGAACACGCGTTCAAGATCCAAGCTGGCCGTTCATGTTCGCTAAGCTTCGAGATTTACCGACGGGTGGTCGAGTGGTTAGCGCGTTTGTCACTACTCGTGCAAACGTGCGTTTCACTTCGTGAAATGCCGCAACGACGCCGCTAGCGCGGGAGGCGGTGCACAGTGTGGCCAAACCCGATTTTAGGCGGCAGAAATTATTTCAGTGAGTTTTTTGGATTATTCTCGTAGTACGAACTCGTATCAGTCATCAGAGGAGATATCTGGCTCTTGGGCTGCTCACAAATAGTGAGCTCTCTATCTGCTGGCGACTGAGGGTAGAACATGGCTTCCATGCCTCGTGCTTGGGGAGCACGCCGTATCGCATCGATATGGGGGATTCTCCTCCAATCTCGGCCACACCTGTTCAATGGAGCTCGATTGAGCCTTCATTCATCGTTCTGCGTCCAAACGGGGCAGAGAAGAGGTGAAGAAAGAATTCTTAGCCGGCAATTTGGACGATCCGTGGACGGGAGGCAGAATTTCTTGGCTCTCTGAACCCTTTGTAGGATGGTAGCAGAGAATGACCTAAGGAAACAGTTTTCTTCCGTAGGCGACCGTAGGATCGCGTGCTCCATTTGCAGTCGAGGTATAGAGCCAAAGTCTCTACTGAACCACAGGTTCGCGCATTTTTGCAGATACTCGGAGTTTCGCTCGTGGGAGTACCGACATTTTTGATCTGTTTGGCGCTGCTTCGGTCTCCGGTAGCAAACACTGAGCGGTAAGCCGCGTACAATAACTTAGAAGGTCCGGCAGGCAGAAGATCTTTGACTTTGTCCCGTTTTGTCCTCTCCGCCAAGTCCGATAAATTTTTCTCTGGACGTCCCGCTCGAGGTGTCCCTTGTGACGCTCTTAATGGTCCCGGCTCCTCGGGCACGTCTTCTTGTGCGGGTACCTCAGTGTAGTGCACGATGAATTCGAAGTTTCTGGCTTCGAGCCATTCGGCTTCTTTTTCGAACAAACGTTCCGCTTTTGAATTATGTCTCTCGATTTTTCCCCTCACTCGGGACACATGCCTGGTGATCTGCTTTCTGATGTGAGATCTGTTGCTTAGTTGCTCAATTTCAACATGAGCATGACTCAAAATGAGTTTCTCCAACCGATCGACGCACTCGTTCTTCCGGGAGTTAAAGATTGTCTCCACAAATGTCCTCCGGGGCACCCAAATTCGAATATCTGAAAACAGCACGCATCCACGTTCGCCAAAACTTGCTGGTTTTTTTTTTCGGAAATGGAAGGAGGGAGGGTGAAAGAAGATTTTCCGACCCATGAGCCGCCCGGGTCCGCCCTGGTCCATATACTTTTTTGGCGGTGAAATTTCATGAAAATCAGGATTTTTTCGCAAAAAAGGATGCACTCAGAAAAACTTCTAATTTGCATATTCTCGTCGAATGAAACGCTGAACGTGGAGTTTCAGACTCAATCTTACTCACGATTTGGTGTTCGCTCAATTCTGAATCGATTCCACGGAAACTCGAGCGTCAGCACGAATCGGAAGAAAAAAGTGACAGTCCGGAGCAAAAAAAACTTCCTCTTTCCAGAGTCTCTCCACAGAGATTCAAGTGCTCGGTTTCTGATTGGTATGTGTTTCTGAGGTCCCCATACTTCCTCCAAGAAGCCACGACATAAATTTTCAAAATTTTTCATTTTCGATTTCTGCCGCCTAAAATCGGGTTTGGCCACACTGTGCGGTGTGGGTTCGATCCCTATCGCCGGAAAAATATGCAGGTACTCGGCCTTGATCCTCCTGGGTGCATTTGCTCTATGGATCCGTCCTCGGAAGCAATGTGAATTACAGTACCCGGGACGTTAAACCTTGGCTGTGTGGGTCAGCCCGAAAAAGTTTAAGCTACGAGATTTGAACTAGCGGAATAAAACTGACCTACCTCCACAGGTGTTGACAACTACACTAGTTACAATCGTGTTCCTTGCCGGGGTTCTCCACCACCTATGGTGAGCACTCAGTTTTCATTCCCGAAGCAGCGACAAACCATTCTCGGGGGTCCCCCGATTTTCTGTTTTATGCAACGTGTCTCGATGATGCTGATAACGATGAGTGATCATCTAGTTTGCCCGATCGCATCCAATTTGCATCGGAAACAGCACAAGTATCCAGATATTTGCAGGAGAACGATGGACTTCCGGTGGATTGGAGAATGGTGGCAAGCGCGGCAGAACCCCCCACCTCCGGCGGAGCAAACGGCAGTGACGCAAAGAGCCAACGTAAGTTACCTGACCGCCCCAATCATCGTATGCGTTCATTTCCCAAATCCCAGAGGAAGCTCCGGGCTCTCCGAAGCTTCACTCGAATCCGCCCAGCGCTGAAACCTTGCTCACCCAGGTCTGCGTCGTTTCCAGCGTTCGTATTCTGATGACAAATGTCTCATTTGTCTCGAAGACATACGACTTCCCCTGACGACGAACTGCGGGCATCGCTTTTGCGCGGAATGCTTGATTAAATGGCTTCAAGGCCCCGCAAGACGGCCGACGACTTCGTGTCCAACGTGCCGGCAGCACGTATCGGCTCTGCTTAGGAACTTCGAACCCGTCGCGGACGATGAAGCTCGACGGGTGTTGATGAGGCAAATCAATTTCTACAATCGACGATATTCCGGGGAGCCACGACCCGTAAGTTTGTTCGCCAAGCTTATTTGTACCATGATTCTTTCACACACTCCCCTCCCCCTCCCCGGGTTCGGGACACGCCGCCCGTAGAGAGAGCTCTCGGATAAAAACACGAGAAAGTATTTTGCATGCCGCTTCCTTTCTCGATGACGCACTTGGTTTCACAATCGACCAATCTTTGAAGGTTCGAGAAGTTACTATCTTGCACATGTTGAGAGGGGAGGAGCCCTGGGACTGAAGAGATGATCCGAGCATGAGAAGAACCGACGCACAGTGGTAGATTTCTACGGAAATTCATAACTTTTGAACGGCTGGACCGATTTTCCTGAAATTTTCTTTAGGAGCTCTGTGGACGGATAGGCAACTCTTGAGCATATTGGCAACTTTGAGTCTCGGCTCCTTCACTCCGAAAATCGAAAATTTCTCCTTAAATCGACGATTGCGGCTAAACGGCTGAAGTGATTTCGGACTGCTTGATGGCGTTGGAAAGCTCTTTCGATCCCGCATCTTTTGTTTGCTAGGCGATTCACTCTAGAACGTCTCGTTGAGGAGCTAAAGGCCGATTTATTAAAGTAACGTTTGAGTAAACAGGCGAGAATTTTTTTCTCGAAGAGACTAGCCTTACCCGCGCTCAATAGACCCAACTCACATAAGAGAGTACTATTGGAACCATTCAGCCACAGCGAATACCTTTAAAAATAAAAACATTCCGAAATTTCCATATTTTCCGAGCTCTCCCATCTGAAGGTGCCGCCCTTTACGGCTCCTATGGGCACCAATGGACTTCGTGAAATGCCGCAACGACGCCGCTCGCGCGGGAGGCGGTGTGGGTTCGATCCAGGTACTCGGCCTTGATCCTCCTGGGTACATTTGCTCTATGGATCCGTCCTCGGAAGCAATGTGAATAACAGTACCCGGGACGTTAAACCTTGGCTGTGTGGATCAGCCCGAAAAAGTGAGCATGAGAAGAGTCGCGGGAGTCCTCTGAAAAGGAGCATTCAGGGGATCATATATTTATTTCCAAGCCCGAGCTGTAGCGCTGTTCACGGAAAAGTGTTGTGATGATTCGGTAGAACCGCCCTTCGATGGGAACGCTAAAACTGTGCGGACCCCTGCGGGAGATATCGCATATAGTATATGCACCGCAAATCCACATCGGTGTCGGGTGTATCCCGGGATCTATCCGATGAATTGTTTATTCCCATTCCCATTGAAAATAATTGACGTTTGAATAATTCGAGTCTGGCCCATGGATGAGTTAATTCAGACCGACGGAATCATCGATAAGATGAAGGATTCCACTCAGCGTCGAATCAGAAAGCAATATTGCAGAAGGGGAGCGTCGCCACCGGCGCTTCTGTGCTGAAGATCTGCTACTTCTTACAAGCAGCCACCAGCCTGGCGAAGCCTGCAGATCCTTTGCTTGGTGCTGATTCCTGTCAGGCCACCGAAGATCTACCTCGAATTACGTTGAGCGATTTCCGGGAACGAAACTCCGAGCACCGCTCCGAGGATAGGAACCTTTTCCGACGACCGCGAATCTTCGTGGCATATCTGTGGAATCAATCGATGCTCATTGGGCCCCCTCCATCCCTCTTCTAAGCTGCTGCCAGCTTGTAAGGGGGATGAAGTTCGCTGTTCCCTGTTCAATCTCTCCCGTGTGGTAATCTCTTGAACATGATTTTCGACGGACGCAATGAGAGCTTCCAAGACACTCCAGGCTCAGTTTCACTCCTCTCTCTCTTGGGTTCCGATTGCCCGAGGCAGCACGGTCACTTCCAAGCCCCATAGGATATGGTCAATTATGGTTTGATTAAGTGTTAATCCACCTAGGGGTTCCGAATCGTGGATCAAATATTTTTCTTTTCAGTTCTGGGAGCACGTTCGGGATCTCCCTCTGTTGTTGAGCCACTTGGCAAGCGAATTCTTCTCTCTCGGAGGCCTAATGTACATGTTCCGGATCAGGATCGCCGTATGTTTCTTCCTGGCTCTTGTATATCTTCTATCGCCCGTCGATGTCGTCCCGGAAGCAATGTTCGGCCTCCTTGGATTCCTCGATGACCTCTTTGTCCTGATCGTCTTAGGAGTCTACATGTCGCTTATATACCGGAGACTCCTCGCGGAACGTTACGTCGAATAGATCAGCACCATGAGTGTAAATAGTTATATAGTAGATACAGAGCTGTTCAGCGATCGGAGCAGGAAAAGTGAGAAGGAGGAGCCCGTGACTGAGAGCAGAGAGAGGAGAAACTCTGCGACCTTGAGGCCGCTCTATGACTCGAAGCTCAAAAGTTCCATCGCGATGTCATTCATATAATTATCACGGTTACACGAGAGATCCGTTGGTTGTTGGTGATGATGCTGATGCTATTTGAGTTCCATTTTCGACCGAGAGACGATATTTTCGACCGTGTCCAGATGCCGAGCACGGTACTCGAAGCACCCGAATTGCTCAGAGAATGAAGTTTCCCCACTCGAATATTAGGGAGGGAAAATCTTGAAATAAATTATTTTGCCGAGCGAATCGAGATTCCCTGTGCAAAAATTTCCAAGTGTAGAACGCAAATCTTTTATCCTTTGCGGGATATTCCTTAGATCGTGCTCTTTATTCGACATGGAATACGTATGAGATCCAACATTTCCCAAGACAGGCTCCGGAGTAGGGGTTTTCCCCCGGCGAAGTACAGTGTATCCCGACGAGATCCAGGGGCCTCCCGAACGAAAGAAAAACGTCCGTCGCAGCATGGTCGAGCTGCGGGTGCATGCCTCTGTCTGACGGAGAGGTTGTCTTCGACTCAGGACATACATGACACATGATGCCAACAGATTTCCGGCTCCCTCCAGCCTTCCGTATATCAATTGGCTCGGTCCTTCTGTGGTCAACATTCCAATATGTCGCATTCTCAGCCAGGACAACCTGCTCAAGTACTTCGCCGTCGTCTGTTTTCCCGAACTCGTAGGGGCGTTTCCGTATGCCGTCTCGAACTGGCAAGAAACTCCGAGCCCCTGTATTATGTTCATTGCTATTATTCAAGCACACTGCTCCCCTCTCTGAAATCTTCGTAAGATACGAAAGGAGTCGTCAAATCAATATTTCAGATGACCGACTGAACTGATGCCCCTTTCCCCCCCCCCCACCGTTCCTGCCCGCGTCGCCTTCTGGACGCTCTCCTCATTTCCTCTCATCCTCACCAGATGTGGGAGGACAAAAGCCGCTCATGAAGAACACCCCTTCCGATCATTTGTACCACGCATTCTGTGGCGGTCGATACTCAGCCAGTGATAAAGTCCAGGGCTACCGAGGGTAATCGCGAGAAGCGTTCTGTCATTAGGGAGACGCTGTGCAAAATGAGGAGGATCTGAAGGAGCCGGTTACCCTAAGAGTAGGGGGGAATCGAAAGCAAACGCAGGAATGAAAGTTTGATAATATATTCCGATACGCCTCATGATAATTGTTCGTCTTCTCGCCCATGTGGCTGATATTAGTCGAAGTCGCTCGACGGAGAGAGGTAGGACCGGATTCGATCAAATGGAGTCTATCCGGAAGAATCCATGAGAACGTTCAATCTGTTCACAAAGAAGTATGAACGGATATGTGCCGTTCAATCAGACAGGGAAGCAATCTCGACCGAGGAGCCCTAGTTCCGAAAGCTCTGGAGAGGCTTGACGGTTTCTTGCATCAGTGCGACTCTTTGCTTGCGGGGGTAATTGGGAGGCTGGAAACCTTATGCGGAGACTTTATCGGAAAACCTATGCAGTGAAAACGGAGAGAGGAGAGAATATAATTCGAAACCGTGTGTTTCTGAGACTAAGCACCATGAGAGCCTATGGACGAGGAAGAGTCAGAAGAAAATCTCGAAGTGGAAGACGGAGAACTGGTCACAATCAGAGTCCCGCTTGCATCTACGAGAAGCAAGCGACACCTGACTTCCGAATTTGACGAGGGAAAGCAAGCGGATTTGCACCGCGTACATAAGTTCCTTCGGTGCAGAGTCCTTTTCGGTGCACTCTGCCCCGCTGCCGCTTCCGGGTATTGAAGTTTTGCTTCGAACGATCAGGCACGCAGCTTCCCTTCCTATAGGAGAAAATACGTTGCTCGCCGACCGTCCACTGCTGCTGAGTTGTCAACGATCCCCTATGCTGGTCAGCCGCAGGCGGAGGCGGCACGCCGCGCCGTTGAGACCCCTCGCTTCATTTTGGCTCGTCACTCGACCGTGATATTCTGGCTTAAGTTCCCACACTGCCCTGACTCCTTATTCCGAAGAAACCCGGAGCCAAGACTGGCCGTGATATCCTGGCCCTAGTCCCTATGACGCTCGGATTCCTCACTTCGATTGTCTGTTTGTTCCTTTTCGCCTCCAGCCGGTTCTCCACGGCGTCGGACTCAGACTGTAATAACGAAAAAAGAAGCCATCGATCAATGTAAACATTGGGGTATTTTGTTTACTATCTTATGTGAGCGACCGCTGCGCCGTGTGCTTAGTGGCCGGGTGGCCGCCGTCGCTTATTCAGCCTTTGAATCGCAGCATCCGCTGTCTTGCTCTGCGATCAAATGACACAGTCGAACAATCAGTCATACGAGTTACAGATTGCAGAAGTGCACGCATAACATTTGTTAATTAGATGCTGGTACATCATACACGGCTTGAAACGACAACAATTCATATTCTATGAACTAATACAACGAACGAATAATCCATTTACGTCCGAAGTCTCATAACAAGAGATGGTGAGATAATTCCGATGATTATCCTCTCCGATCATCCGCCGGAAAAACAGTAGGATGGAGAGACCGAGGACGAAAGCATCGATCCATCCGTGAGTCCCCGACATCGAGATGAAGCTAGGTCAAACTTCAAATTCAACCCTCAATCGTCGCAACGCTCCGAACGTCCGCGACGACGGTTTCGGCAACAGCAATAGCCAATAGCCGTCATTCAACCATTAGTAAAAGATCATCCGTATCGTTTCATATACGTTAAGACGTATGTTCGCAGACGTATCCTTGTGTGTTTGTATTCATGTCTGAAGCTACGTTCATAACTGGGTGAAGCAACAAGTTTTTTGTTCCTGCAACATTAACAAATCCTTTATCACTGCCGTTTCAGTCATTTCACCATTCTTCCAGATAATGTGATTTACGCATACATATTTCAAAATCCGCTGCGTTGCCACGACGTGGCTCCTTCACCTCATTCGACATTTCAAATCCTCGTACAGCATTCAACAACACCCCCGGGAGCGTAGCTCGCTCACATTCTTCGGAATTCAGAACCTTTCTCGCTCGTACTCTCAGGGATCGCTCATCATCATCATCATCATCAACACAATCAACATCAACGAACCTATAGTCTCGTCGTTCGCTGTTTATCTTGTTTACCATTCAACAGTGGACATCAAACTCGCTACATCGCTGGCTAAGGAGCGAACGTCTCAAGTGATCGGTCAACAATTCCCTCAGATTGGGCCGTGCTAACCCAGACGTCATCATTCAAGAATTCGTCGTCCTGCCTGAGGACGGCATTCACCCTCCATGACCGTGAATCGGTATTCTCCCCCTCCTCCTCCTCCTCTTGCTTCCGTCGGGGCGGTATTCGGAACGACGCGCGAACCCTCACACCTCGAGATAGGATCGACCCTCTCGCACAGTAAAGCACGCAGAGATTTATATTCGGTCAGCTGTTTCCCATGCCCCGCGCTACTGGAGCCCCGGAGTTAAAGGTACCCGAGTTGTCGACGTTTCGCCAAACTCGATCGATTCCCCATGCTCGGATCGAACTTCAACAACATCTCGTCGTTTCGCGACCGAACACAACAATGGCATATGGCAACATCAGTAGAATCAAAACTCCGAGCCGTTGCGCTGGACAAACTTCAGCGGAGTCGAAGTTTGCAGCGTCTCCGAGTCTCCTCGCGATCGCATCGATCGGTAGCGAATAATTTCCATCACAGTCGTTTTCATGTATCGAGCGCACAATCTTCCGAATGATCAGTTGATGAATCGATGTCATTACCAGCACGACACGGGAACGAGCATAAACAGTATTGCGTGCAGCAACACAACATGCACTTATCGACTCTTGAGAACATACAGATAGTCGAGCAGCCTCGGGAAATCGGAAGGAGATGTTCCGGCTCCTTCCGTCAAGACATGAGTCGATGAGTCGTTTCCCACTAGTCAATGCCGGGGCCCACAGTCCGTACGACCCCCGATTCTTCCAATGGTTCCACAAGTTCCGAATTTTGAGCCAGTAGGATCCATCAGCCATGTCTTGACGATAATCCCGGCGTCTGTCGCTTGCGTCCGGAAATTATGGCACACCATTGATTTCTGGCTGTCTATGGATGGCTTAATTTTTCGGATTCCCCTTTCGGATTTTCCGTCTCGAAGTTCTCATCCGCGAGAAACATCTCAATAGGACCGTCAAAATCGTCAAATCATCATCGAGACAGTTCGTCGTTGTTCACATGCTCCGGTAGGGTCCCTTCATTTTGAGGTACTGGATAACCAGCGATGGCCCGCCGATAACGATTTCGGCCGGCATCTGACTCAGAGGACAGTTCTCGATCGACATGATCTGGAGGTTGCTGCATAGAGCTAGCTCGAAAGGTAGAGCGTGCAGCGGATTATCGTTGAGATAAAGCGATTCGAGCGCCTCCATGGTACCGATCTCTTCGGGAATGTGCTGAACGTTGTTTTCGCCAACATTGAGGTACGTCAGTGAGGTAAGATGACCGATTGCACGTGGCAGTGTTTGGAGAAGGTTATTCTGAACCATAAGCTTCTGCAAATCATGGAGGAAACCGATCTCGTTCGGCAGCTGTTCGAGCTTGTTCTCCTCTAGATCTAGAACGCGAAGCTTGCTCAAACCGCCAATCGAGCCGGGAAGACGTCTCAGAATGTTATTGGAGAGCACGAGTACTTCAAGCGAGTGCAAGTACTGTATATCATCGGGAATTTTCACCAGTTGATTCGTGGCTAAATTCAACTCAACCATGTTGGTCCAAGTTCCTATGTCAAGAGGTAAAGCGGATAATTGGTTGTCTTTCATGTTGAGTTTGCTGAGATTTTTGGCTCGGGAAAACATGCCGAAAGGAATTTTCGAAATGTGGTTGTGTTCGAAATTGATTGAATGCACCGACGTAAACTGCCCGGGACCTCCTACGGGGTAACTGGTGAACTGGTTCCGGGAGAGGGTCAGAGACGTCATTTGAGTGAAAGATGAAAGAAGGCCATCGGGCAGAGCCGATATGTTGTTCGACTCAACATTGAATTCCTGCATGAGTGCGCAAGCCGCGAAGCTCTTCGGCACCGAGGTCAGTTGGTTGTACCTGCGGGACGAGCAGAGACCGTTCGAGTGCCTTACCGTGGATCAAGCTCGGAGAGCGTCGAACCTATTTTATCATTTGCCCTAAGGCTCGGTCAAACATCCTCACCTGAGTCCAAGTCTGACAAGAGATTTGAGGTTTCCAAGGGTCTCGGGAACGTCAATCAACTCGTTGTGTTGCACGTCGAGCGTGGAAAGGTTTTTGCATTTGCCGATTTCGGGTGGCAAGTGTAGCATGTGGTTATTGGATGCATCCAAAGTGACGAGTTGCTCGAGAAGGCCGATACCCGCAGGCAGCATTCGTATCTTGTTCTCTCTCAAGGACAGCATGGTCAAGTTGGAAAGTTGAGCTATTTCATTGCTAACCTGGAAAGAGGAGCTCAATGTAAACACGCGATCTCAAACTCGCGGCAGGCAAACCGTATTCACTGCGCAAGACTCGGGAAACGTAGCTTACTTCTCTGATGCGGTTGAATCGCAGAAACAAGGTCGTGAGGGAGCGTAGCGTGTAGATAACAGGGGGGATTTCAGTGAATTTATTATGACGGAGATCTAGAACCCTGAGCTGTTTCAGATTGGTGAGTGAGTCAGGCAGATGTGTTAGAGAATTTTCGCTCAGCGCCAGCGTAGCCAAGTTCACCAAGCCTGGAACGAGGAGAAACCACTCAGTTATCCAGGCCTAGTCAGAAGACGGCGAGACGAACGTTGGTCAACTTTCGATCGAAAAATCTTCTGCCGTCATGCCGAAGATGTGAAAAGTTTCTTCGGCGTACCGCTCCGCACATACGAACCTCCGATTTCATTGGGAAGCGTAGAAAGCTTGTTGCCGTACAAATAAAGCTCGACGAGATGAGTCAAATCTTTGACATTCGCAGGGAGAGCGGTAATCTGCAATATTATTGTTTAGGTCAGTCGAGCCCCTACTCCTCTCGTCCGTACAACCTCTTCGCCGATGCCGACTAGTCCAACAAAAGCGAGGATCGATGCTCACATTGGATCTACTAAGGTCGAGTCTGGTGTTTCCTTCGTCTCGGCAACGAGTGAGCTCTTTGGCGACATCGAGATCTGCTTGGATGGAGGTTTTTTTCCTTGATGCAGGCTTCGGTTTTGAAGCACCGGGGGTGGTCACCATCACCTGTGGAATCCGATATTAGATTTCGAGCGCGGACCCTTTCCCGCCATATTCCATGGAGCATTCCGATTCGGTGAGTGAGGAAATCACGTTCCGACTCCGGAAGGCAGACAAGTGTCTCATACGAACCTGTTTCACACCAGGAGGGGTTCCTGACGAAGACTTCTGCTTCGACGTTGACGGCTGATCCATTCTGGCTGTGCTCTAGTGTCAAAAAATTGTTTTTCGATGGAAGTATTTTTCTCTGCCGATCAAAAAGCTAGCTCATTCGAACTTCACTGAAAGCTAAACGGCTCAGTGTTACGACCAGAGCATAATTGCCCACGGATTCGCGATTCTCCTCCTGAAACGTAATAACGATCATTTGTTATGAGAGAAGCGAACGTCCATCAAAGTTTACTTGAGTCTACACTTGAGAAGATAGCGAAGCGGGCTCGGAGCCGCTCTTCGAGGAAGTCTCTCACGGCAGGAAGTTTCCGGAGCGCAGTTTTTTTTTCTCATGCCGGCAGTATTTTTTGACAAGAATCGCGAAGAGAAATTCAATAGAATAGCTCATGTAGGACACGCAATCCCGAAAACTGAGGCCAGTCTTCGAGATGACGCCCGGATGTGTGCACGTCAACCGCGAGATCAAGATAAATCGAGTTTCTTTCTCGTTCCTTGTCAGTAGCAGCAGCTTTAGCGGCAGTCTCTCTCATCGACCCCTAGGACACGGGAGCAACATTCAGCAATAACACGGGCTCAAGATGAACAAGGCGTCTACGGGAGCCATACCAAGACTCGGAGCTCCCGCTCAACGTGGTTGAAGCACTGAGCGCTCCGAAAATATCGAAATAATCTCAGCTATCCGCACTTCGGTGTGGAGCAAGCACCATGTCGTGATTTGTTGTTTACCCACTCGGACTATTGTCCACTCAATGTCGTTGACAGTCGGCACCGCAATCACTTAGAGCGTGTTCCAGTGGCGAGTCGTCGGCCGACGAAAAAAGCACACGACTACTGAGCACTCAAAATTTCACTTTGCATGCTTCAACAAAGCTCTCGGGCGCTGCCGCGCGGCGTTTCTCCCACTATATCGCTGGTCTCGTACAGAGCTTAGGGGCTCGGTGTCCAAGTAGGAACACTCGTCGTGACAGAGAAAGTTGCGCGAAGTGGACAAGCTCGCTTCCGGAACCTGTTTCCCAACTTCTCGAGGGAGTGGACCCGGGCCGGTCTTGCCATCGATGACAATCGGGACGAAAACGTCTGAAGCCGCTCTATTTTCCGCTCATGTATCGCTGACCAGCACGCCTCCTGCAAATGCGTTTCGAATGCCGCAATCTGTGGCACATCGCCCTGATGAACATCACAAATGCGACTCATGCTCAAAGAGCCGAGTCAGTTAACGCCAGCGCCCCTGCGTTACGCGCTCACCGCTCACGCTGTCGGCGATGAGACAGGCGGTGGCTGCAGCGTCGACGGCTGACGGCGGCGCGGCAGCGGCGGCCGAATCAACGCCAGGGTCCACTCCATCCATTTGAGCGCTACGGCCAACTGATGCACACAGGTCGTTGCGGCCCTATCCGAGAACTGTCACTCGAGTTCAGATGGGAAATTCGCGCTGACACCGCGCCGAAAGGTTCCGGTCGGAGCCTCGGAATCGATCGGAAACGAACTGAATCACTGTCCTCCCCAAGAACAGGAGTATGAAATTGTATCGTTGAAGATAAGTCAGAGGCACACGCACCCGACGAAACCGAAAGCCGACGATGCTTCACTCCGAAATCGATAGGGGTACTACTGAGTGAAGACGTCGTTTGAAGTCGTAATCGGCCGGCGTATTTCTTCATCGCAGCTGCCACCGGCTACTCGCGGAGCTCCAGAGGAAAATTCTGACAGGAACCCTTCGGGCTCAGACACGCGCAAGGGTGATGAGCGGCAGTCGGAGATCACCACCGCCGTTGCTCTGGCACACATACCCACACACACACGAGCACGCGTACACGCATATTATATACGGCAGCAGCCCCGTACGGCGTTTCTGGGATCGCTGCTGACGATGGAGCTCCCTGGTGCCTCATTCCGCCGATGCGGCTGTCCAGACGACGAGTCCTGAGCAAGGACCGTCTCTCACTATGGGGCCCCATAGCCGAGCATGGAAAATCGAAATTTTTCCTGGGAAACTGCACCGCATTTCCCTCGGCCAGAAGATGGCCATGCAAGACCTGCATGCGAAAAGCGCTGTCCCGCCGACGACAGACGCCGTGGGAAAGCACAAAATATTCCGAACGATAGAGCCTGCTTTGGGAGATGAATTCTTCAAAAGAGTTCCGAGAAGCTCGCGATCTGGTGCAGAACGATCCTTACCTCTCACAGGACGCGATGCATCACCGGAGCCGCGGCATTGTGGACCTTTAGGTGCGAAAAACCTCAGCTTTCCGCAGCTCGTTCGTACTCTACACATAGGCCTTGCGAACTGGAGAGATCGTCTGCTCTCGAGGCCCGGCCGCCGAGCTCTGCTAGGTGGCCGCCACCGCAGCCGCAGCTGCTCGCCCGGATCTCAAGGCCACGCAACAAGACTTGCAACCTTAATCGTGTTCAGCCACACTCCTTCGCCTAATGAGCGGGCATTCTTTATCACTGTAACTGAGTCATTTGAAGGCGGTCGTCTCGGGACTGCCCTCTCTTCAGTCGGTGGTCAGAAACTCGTTGACAGGCCACCCGAAACCCTGGGTCGGTGGTCGTGCGCGACCTCGAAAGTCCCAGATTCCAAGGTCAAGCTCATCGCGGGCTCCCGATTGTGCTCTGGCGATCGGCAACGAACGGGGAGAGAACTCGCGCTTCTCGCGGGAGGGACCGATCGCGTAAAAGGGACTGTCACGGGGATTCACGTTTATCGTCATGTATCGTCGACGGCCCCGCGAATCGAGACCTGAGCGTCAATCAGAGCTCGCCACATGACCTTGACTGCGACGCATAGTTGAGCTCGGAGATTTAATCGATTGTCTGTCAAGTGGGTCTGACAGGTTGGAAGCAGCTTGCTCTAAAACGACATCCGTCAACCCTTCGCCGCTCAGAGGTGAATGTCTGGGTCTCGCGAAGCGGATAATCTCGACTTCGTTCGGTAGCTCTTCCCGATCCCGGGGATCAGCCTCTCTGTGCGATCGAGGAATCATTCGACACTGCTCAATGCCCCCCGTTCCAATGAGCCTTCCCGGGGAACCTAGAACGCGACAGAATCGATGCGTTCCCTCCCTTATCGAATCAATTTCCGGTGGGCGAGCCCAGGGGAACAAGGTGTTTATCGTGAATCGTGAGACATTCGAATCGGTCCTAGAACATCGCTCTCAGAAAAATCGAAGCTGTGGAGGGTGGGGCGTTCGCAGAAGCGTGCGACCGTTCTCGAGACGGGATATCCCTGTCCTTTTGGTTTTTTCCCCATCCCACGATGATGAGCTGAGGTCGATCATCGATGTGAGCCGCGCCATCGAGGCCGGCGCCCGAATATCGTTGGAAATCGGAAAATCAGCCGACTGAGGCAGATACTCCCCGAAGTAAATTACGTCGGAAAAACGGGATCAGAGGTAATTTATATTCGGCCCAAAGATAGCGAAGGACATTGTCAACAGATCAAGAATGCTCTAGATTGCACCGTCGCCAACGAGGAATTCCCCGTGAGGGCTGATCTTGAATCCGGACTCATTTTTTCCCGCAGACTCCTCCATTCTCCCTCCCGCTGGCCAGTGTGATGACAGAAGCGAAGCAGAAGATATCCGTCTTCGAAAGGAGTCACGTATGCGTCGATCAGACCGGGCCTCGGAAGACAGAACTTCTTAGGATCACTCACCCTCAAGCACATGGGAGACCCAGCGAGGTGCACGGAAGGCTTCCCTCTAATTCAATCATGAAGCCTTGAAAATTCGGATCTAGATATCACTCACATGGAGTTGGGCTCGGAAGATTTGGAACGCGACTGCTTCTGGAACACGTCGGCACGCCGGAATATTCAGTCTCATTTCTCTTCCCGGTAGTCGGTTCCTTGTGGGCTCTGAGGACACACTTTAGAAGGACAGAGAGAGGGAGGTCAGAATACTCGATGCTTTGTCGACTGCAAGGACGATTTTTGGCAGATGAAGACTCCCGCCTCACCTTGATGCACATGATAACTGCTACCAAATACAGCGTGGCCGCGACGATAAGTATGTAGAATATGTACGGAGACGTGAAGGAAAAAAGTGGGCTCATCCCCCACGAGCCGGGACGGAGAAGGGGACTTGGAGAGCACTCAGGTACCGCCGGCGCCGTGGTCAGAGATACCGTGTCGAAGGTCCGGCCTTGCTAAAGTCAGAGAAACTCCGAATTAGGACGTGAGACATCGGCTCCCCAGTCAGAGAGGAAGCCGCTCAATGTGCATGGAACTTCTGACTTATGATAATCATATGGCATTCACCTCATCGGCGACGACAGCATTCGGAACGATCACTGCAATGGCAGTGGCGTTGTATGACTCTTCCTCGGGCTCTCCGGTATCTTGACATCTGTGGAAGTCATACCGTGTCCGATGGCCAACGGACAGGAATATAGAGTGATGTTCAATTCGATCCAGGATGCCCGACGCATCGAGGATTTCAGCTCTGATACAATATTATTGTCACAATTAAATGATATTGTTACGAAGGGCAAGTTTCAAAACTGACAGCTCGATGACGTCGCTGAGGCGCTCTCTGTCTAGTGGTGTCGCAGAAAAAAGACCATTGTAGCAGTAATGGCATATCCGTTTTTCTCTAGCGAGCATTCGAGGCGTGACCAAGCGAGCAAGTGAGAAGTCGCTGGCAGTCGGACACGACGCACGATGCACAGTCACCAGCAGACTGACTTGCTTACCTGACTTGCTTGCTAGACCACAGCAAGACGGCGAGAGCAAGTGGCCACATCAAATGTTAGATTTCAAAGGCTCGCCAGGGCAGTTCCCTTCAGTAACTTCTCTTCTTTCCTTCGATCATAGTTCTCATCTATCTGTAAGCAAGGGGCATTGTTTGCCGTCAGATGGTCGAGCCTCCGAATCTCCTTTAGACCCTCTCAGAAACCGATACCTCGCGGATCAATACTGGTCGTCGCTTCCATGAGATTTCCATCTCGTTGAGACGAGTTCATTGCGTACAAAATTGTGGGTGAAAAAATCAGGACATGCTCATCGAGCATTTGTACCATGTTTATTACAATTTTGAAGGTGAATACGAATTCGTGCATTGGGTCGATCAATTCTCTTCGATAAAACCCAATCGAAGCTTCATACTCGTGCAGTACAAATTCCATGTGTCATTGGATTCCCGCCGGGAAATATTCGAGCGATTGAATATCCACGCGGCTAAGCGAGCATTCGTTGTGAGACGATGACCGCCCGAGGGGATATCTATTTTTTTAAAAATTAAAAAGTATTCTTAAAACTTTACAACATCACAAGTATCTGATGAGCTTTGTTAGGGTATTCTATAATCTCTTATTCAAGTTGACGAGGAGACTCCTCTGAGCAATCGACCACCGAGACGCGGTGAGGACTGGAGGGGCCGGAATGTGCCTCGTCTTGTAAGTTTGGTTATTCGATACAACATTAACTAAAACATGCCGTTATCAAATGTGTCGATGTAGTTGAGGATGTTGTAGCCGAATAATTCGAAATCGAAACGGTATATTCTATACAAGGCCATAATCTGGTTTCGTTCTAGCTGTATGAAGAACTGTTCGACGAAGGTGGACTCGTTGCGTGCGTTGAGGTGTTTCAGTCGGGGTTCGAGCTCGTCGAGTCCGTTCACTTTGAGCATGGCTTCGAAGTCGCTATCAGCGGTCTCCAGCTTCCCCAGGAAATCGTAGCCGACAGTGCAGGGTTCACATCTCTCAAAATATGGCATCCAGTGCTCATCGTATTCGAATCTTGGTGTTTCGATCAGATAATCGACGAAGTCCACGAAACTCATCGTTCCAGTGATGTTCCGGCGTCCGTTGAATTTCTTGAAGTATTTGTCGTAGAAAAACGAGACCTCTGAAGGTTCCCGACCCACCTTGTCTTCGTAAACGGACACCAACCTCTCGAACGGATGACGAACGAACATGGCTTTGTGAAACGTCTTCAACTGCTTCGGACCGTAGTACATCGGACCTACCCGGAGCAGTTTATCGTTGGCAACTTCATGTAAAGCGGTGACTTCGTCTCTTCTGAGAGCTCGATCAGGGGTGCGGAACTCGCGGAGGAACAGGACTTTAGCCGAAGTCGACGCGACTTTTTGGACGAAACAGAAAAGAAATCTGTGCTTGAGATCCACCAGTAGCGGACAATCTGCAGTGCTACAGAAGCGAGGCTGGTGAGTTTTTGGGAAAAAGTTACTTCCGCGACCTCGATGACGTGTTCGATTGAGACGATCCTGGTACCGGAGACAGACTCTCTTCAGTCGAGCCTGCCGGTATTCCTGGGAGTCGGGCAGCGTCAAGTTGATGTCGTCGAGGTTGGCACGCAGCGGGGACTCCTCAGAATAACGACGATTGAAACGAAAGAACCATTTGCGTTCCAACAATGCGGTGGCGTTCAGGTCGTACCGATAACCAAGCAGAGCCAAGAACCCTACCCCGCACAGAAGAAGCGTCAAGTCTCTACGCATGCTCGACGCTCTACCGCCCCTCCACTAGATAGTCTCGATATACTCGCTCTGGACTTTCCTGACTTCTTCCCGGCGATGACGGTCGGCGAGTCCGCACTCCATCGCGAGGATGCAACACTGGTCGATGGGTTCCGACTGTCGGTTTCGCTCGGAGAGCTCTCTGTTGTGCGGCGGCGAGTTCCCCAGAAGAAAACAGACGATCAGCTGAGCGAACCGATTCAGGGTAGCTTCCATGTTGTCAGGGATTTTGGCACATGCGAATCCTCCGCGGAGGATGCCACTGAAGAATTGCGAAGCCGCCGCTGCCGTCAGCCCGACGGATCGGTCTGCGAGGCGACCGATCACTTGAGCAACAGATGGACCAAGTGAGCGGGCCGGCGAGCTTGGAGCGCCCGTGAGGGAAGTCGTCAGAGGATCTGTCACTTGCGAGCCAGATGACGACTGGCGTCTGCTGTAATGCGAAAAAAAAGCTCCGTCGCTGTCGATGTGGAAAGCAGAGCCGAGCCGATGACCCAGCGGTTCCGCATAAGGGACCAGAAGAGTGTTGGAAAGGGAGGGAAATATTCTTGTTGTCGACGCAGAAGATCCAAGAAAAGAATGCTTCCTTCATCTAGTGCTCCACCGCGCCAGCATCAGTGATAGCAGCCGCAGAAGCAACGTCAACAACAAGAGCAGCAGCAGCGGGAACAACGACAACGGATCCCTTTGTTCGCGGACAGCGATTACGTCGGATAGGGAGAGAATGAAATCTCCCTGTCCGAATCTCCGAGATCGGCTCCATCGTTCCCTTATCTGGCTGTCCCGTAACGTCATTTTTACGCTGGAGATTCAGTTCAGACGGAACAGATGATGTCACATTACAGGTTTCGCATGTTATGAAGGTCAAAGTCAGCAAAATCTGGCTCACTATCTGACGTCTCATGTTCGGGGTCAATGGCCTCGTATGACACGGCGAAAGGGTTCCTAGGGGCCTTCGTTGTCGTGGAAGTCGCCCTACCAATCGTTGTGTCTTCACATTATCTCCCCGACAGGATGGATGGGACGACCTGGAGTCGACAAGCCGAAGTTCCTCGAGTTTCCCTTTTTTCTTTCCTCTGCTCGACTCGCGAACCTGAGCCCGCTCTTCGTTCCATCGGAAATTTCCTCGTATGCAAACTTCTATCGCAGCTCGATTCTGTTCGAGCGGGTCCACGACGCGTTCACGGTCACGCGCCTTATATCACGCCCTAGGAATTCAGAGCTTGCGGCCTCGCGTTGGAGGGAGCAGCGATCAGATCTAAGCGCGCGAGTACGGCGGGAGAACGCCGCGTGAGATCGAAACGTATTCTAGCTCCTCCCTGCACGAGTCCCCAGGAAAAGAGAGTGGAAGTTGACTCAAACTCGATAATATTCAATTTCCTCAGTTTTGCTTCACAGCTACCAGGTTCAGGGCGTCAGCCTTGGGCTCGTATTGATGCGGTCCGAAGGGAATACTCCTTTTCGCGCACAAGAACGACCAGTGGGTGCGCTAAGGACCGTCGTCAAGTCGGTCATTCATTCGCGTTCGAAATAGTGAGAGGCCAAGCTCTGGGTGCCTTGTATTCGATGCCGCCGGAAGATCCCGAACCTGAGGGACTCCGGGAAGTTCTTTTCCGGGTATGCCCATTGAATGAACGGGATATCGGTGTTCAGCTGGTCGCAGGCCACGGCCCTTCACCTCTGGAGGAAATCCGTCTCCGAGAGGCACTCACGATTGATCGGACCTATGTTCACGTCTCTTCGTGAACTATCGTCCCAGACGCAGGTCCTCTGTGTGGACGTCGTGTTACGGATCGAGAAGGGATGATTGCACATAGATCGTGTTGGCTAGTCCCACCAACGATGAAATATGAAATGTCAGCATGATGTTTTCCCAGGCGAATCACCCGGAGGATTGCCCCGGGTGGTACTGTTCAGTCCGATCAGTCCACGACACAGGAATACTGTGGGTTTTCTCGTGATTCCTGGTCCTATTCTTATAATCCATCCCATACGGAGGAGGAAATCAACTCCGTGAAGGAGCATTCCTTTCTACAGGAGCTCAGCGAATTTAATTCATCAAGACACTTACAACGCAATCTGTAGCATCGATATCCGAAGATCCAGTGGAACGCTCCCTCGAGAGTCCTCTTGTTTTCTCGCAATCCACGGAAAAACGAATGATTTGGGAGTGGATCGTCCAACACACAAGATCGTGAGACCGGTTGGCACAGCTGTCGGAGATTCAGTGCATCCAATCGAGGGAAACCATCTGTGGAATCTCAGCAGTGGGAGTGCGCCGATCACTCTCCAAGATCTTAGCCTCCGACTGTCTCCGTCAACTGAGGCGCACGGACTTCTGTTCCGCCTGCGACACCGGTTCCTGGAACGGAGGACAACGACGAAGTCGATGATCGACAATCATCATCAAAGATTCTATTCAATGTGTCGAAATCTTGTTCCCTCCCGCGAAACTCCGTCGATAGTCCGTGCTGGCGGCACCATCTCTTAGCGGTCGGACGGACGTTCGAAAATTGGCGCCACTCTTTCCCTGAGCCGACACATGCAGAACGATTCGATCGTGTCTCGCAAACTCTTGACAGTGTCGCCGACGTCGCGCCGCGGCGGCTGATGTCGCGGGGAGGAAGGAGAGTGTTCGTCGTCTGGGTCGTCGTAATAGCACTCTCCTCAACAACGAATCCTCAGACAACAGATGTTCCGCTGAGTTTTGACATAACTTACGCTCGAGTGACAACTCGGGAAGTTTCCTCTGCGGATTGGATTGCCCACGTGAAAGTCGGCGCTCTGGCGATCTGTTAGATATACAGAGCATGACGTGAGAGCGATCATGGATGCAGATCTGTGCCAAAGGATCTTGAGCGATCTGGAGTCGATCTTGAGGAAGAATCCACTTTTAGAAAGTTTCGACGTGATCTCAAGTGCTGACGATCAAGAACGCGCGAACCGCAGTCCTGTATACGTCATCGAAAATCACCTAGGTTTAGACTCTTGGTGCCTTGTTCCTGTTTATGTCGCTGCTCACGATGAGCTGCTCCGAACCCAGGATGCCCAAAAAGTGAGTTCTTGATCCGTAAATTCGCGGGAAAGCCACAGCGCCGCGCGCATCTCGGTGGTCCCTGTCACTAAGCGAGTACGAGGATCGGAATTCTCCCGTGTAGCCCCCCCCAACGAGAGACTCTCCTCCCACCTTGATTTCGCGCAGGAATCGTACGGAGTCGAAACCCGCAGAGAAAGCTTTTAGTGCGGCATATGGGGAGGCTTCTCCTCAGGAGTGATCGGCTGACAAATTTTATTTTCGCAGTTACTGCAGCTTTCAAATTTCGTCCTTCTCATCAATCCGGAACTTGAAGCAGGATGGAATTGTCGTAAAAAACTCTTCCTGCAGAAAAAGTGCAGCTTCCAACAAGAATTGCAACTTTCTCATCTAGCTCTGTCTAGAAAACCAAAGACGGCTGAGGCGTTTTTTCATCGGAAATGGGTGTTATCCCAAGAGATGGAGAATTACACGTTGGAGCGACGTCAGGCCGTTCTCCACAGCGAGCTCCAGCTCTGTGAAACCATGGCTGGAAAGTGAGTTCTGAGCAACTGAAGCAGCATCCAACAATGTCTTTCTTGGCAGGGCTGGTATACTCGAGACTTGAGCCTCAGGCACCTGATCGTTTCGTTATTTCAGATACTTTTCCAACTATCACGCATGGGACTATCGGCGCCATCTGTTGAAGGAATACGTTGAGGGAGCCCCGTTGATTGTGGAAAGCGAACTTCAACGGAGCAAGGATTTTCTACAATCACATGTCTCAGATTACTCAGGAATGAGTTACAGGCAGTATGTTCTTCTCAGGGTGAATTCGCGTCCTCTGTTCGAGTCTGAGCTCACATTCGTATCGGATCTCATCCACACTTTCCCAGGTAGGTGGGGACTGCACGAATAATTCCGCATATCATACGAGGTATTGACCTCTCCCCGTTCGAAATCATGCAAATCGCCATGCTCAGGGGTGGTTTGCCAGAGTTTCCCACTCTCGTGGGTCGTGCGCATTTTTTTTAGCACCGCTCTGCGAACTGCTCTTCACAACGAAAGCTCGAGCAGGTGAAAAAAAACTTTAAAATTACAGGACACGAAGCGCTGTGGAGTCATCGTCGATTTTGCGTTCTCGCCAACATCGGCCTTCTGAAATGGGCGGAGAAGCGGCAACGCCTGATTCTTAAGGAGAACAAGGATCCTAAGAGACTAGAAAATGTCAGAGAAATCGAACAATCATTCTTGAGGAAGACGCTTCGAGATAGCGGCAATTGGCAAACGGCGCTCTGCGAGAGGCATGTACGATGGGCGAGCGCTACGCTCCACATCGATATCGCTCCGCTACAGGCTAACGGCTCAACTGACGAACAAGAACGACCGATCATCGAGGCGAATGATTCAGATTGATGGTGCGGCCGAGACACTGTAAAACCGTTCCCGCACCCTCCCCCTCAATTTCGGACCCGTCCGCAGGAGCGAATTCCAGCATGGGTCCCGCAGGATATTTCACCGGAAGGTGGAGGGAAATCCCCCCTAGGCAAGTCCTGCTTGGAGAATGCCGGAGAAACACACAGATATGACCGACGAGAGGAAGTCAATAAATTATTATTATCGATGGGATCTCTTGCGACGACGGGATTTTCCCTAGCATGACAAGGCTCACGCTCTTCCCTTAGCCAATAAGCGAAACTTTATTCATCCGTTTGAGAACATCCGGTCTCAAGGCGAGCATTCACAGGCACTCATAAACATACTTTACTCTAATCTTCCTAAAAACTCGAGCATTCTGCTCGAGTTGTCACTCTCACATGAGGAGATCCAACGGAAAAAATCGGAATTCCCCCAATCAACAATAAATTGCACTCTATATACTGCTGTCGCTTTTAGCGGAAGAAGGTTCAGTCGACGACCTCTGTGAAGCGTCGACAGCGGCAAACACTGCGGTATTGGGCTTGGCGTTCAAATGCTAAGAATGCGTTGAGACCACAAATCTTTTCGGTTCGGGAAGCACAGATTGGGGAAGCGACCGCTCTCCGAGAACGAGAGTCGATTCTCTCAGTCTTCGAATAAGCTCCCGGAGGTGATCAGCCGATTGATCTCTGCTAACGCCTGCGTTAACAGCTGCTCAGAAGCGCTCTTGCCGTCGATGACGAGATGATTCTTCTGATCTTTGCGTTTGACGAGCAGACAGACGATTTCTCCTGTGATAGCCGTCGCCAGAAGAGAGGCAGTCTGACCCACCTGGTTGAAGCGGAAACAAATAGAATAAGACATGAATCAGACGTGATATATCCTTCGGGGAAAGATATTCTAGAGGTCAAGGGATGGGAACAGATTCGAGGAACAGGTCACATCCAAACGTCCAGTAATAAAAATCATCACCAAGGATTCAGGATCCAGGCCACGCTCGACTAACCTGCTCGACGAGAGCGAAACGCGCGTGGAACGCAAGCTTCGAGAGTAAATGAGTGAAATCAACCTCAACGTCTGGGATCGTAAGAGAGCCTTCGGCGTTCAACGTTCCGGAGGTCAGCATTTGAGCAAACACGTCACTGTAACGAAGAGAGAAGATTTACAAGAGTTCCGACGCTGCGGATTCGGCCAATGTTCATGAATAAGGCTCCGAGCTAGGATCCCGTGCTCACCTAGCTACCGGTCGCGGTACAAGGAAGGCCACGAGCGGGACCTTTATCTTGCAGTCGAGCTTTTCGCTCACGGCACCGTCTTCGTCCAGACGCATGTAGGTCAAGGTGGCCTTCACTATGTCTGAGGCCATTCTCTTCACGTCGAATGCGAACTCATTGATGTAAGATGCTCCAGATGCTAAAAGGGCGAACGGTAAGGCCGCCACCGTGGTTGCCTCCGACTCGGGTCTTACAAATCGCAGACACTGTCCGTCGCGGAACGATAACTCTAGCTGTTTCAGTGGACGGGCTGATTTGTTGGTGAACTTCAAGGCACAAACAAGCTGGTCGCTAACATTGTACAGTGTTCGGATCTCATAGCTCTGTCGGGAAGAATCGAGGATAGTGAGCATAAGACGAAGATCCTCCAACGGAATCCGTCACAGCATTCGACGTGGATAGCGGGAAATGCGGAGTCCTGTCGTGGACCTACCAATTTCATGTTGGAGTCTTCTGTTAGATGCTCGAACTTGGACTCGCATTGAAGCAGAGCCAGGGACGGACTCATGGGAGTCTGCGGCACGGAACTCCCTCTCTCATGCGACGGGGTCGCTATTCCCGGCGCTTCCTCGTAACCTAATTTCTTGCTCTTGTTCTGTCCCTTTCTGCGCTCGCCGCTCTCTCCCTTCAATTCCTGCAGCGAGTGAGGAGTATCGTAATTATCACCCGACTTAGAAGGGGAATTTTCCTCGCAGTTTCGGCTCGATAGCATCGAGAACCTAGAACCAACCTTCTCGAGTTTGGACTTCTTGGACTTGGGCTTCACTGCAACGGGATCACCAGTCTCGAGAAGGTCGCCAATTTTTTCTTTCTTCTTTTCTCGAGACTCCTTCCGCGCTCTCTTGTCCTTTTTCTCCGACTTATCCCTCTTGTTTTTGTGGGACTTCTTCTTCTCCTTCGTGGGTTCCGCAGCTGCCTCCACTCCAGCGTCCCTGTTGACAAAGAGAAATCAATGAATATTCCTCGGGAGGAATGAGAAATCAATTATTATTATCTATGATCCGAGACAGCATCGACGGCATGCGGAATAATAACGCGATCTCAATCAGACGCGGAACTTACACTGCCTTCTCGATGTGATTGCGCGACTGATCCTTCGGGCTTTTGCTGACGCTCGAACTGCCTAGGGAATACGTCGACGGCAAGAGGTCCATCGTGCCAGCGAGGTCGATGTCCAAGGCTCTGTGAGGATCGTTGATGTCTTTGTCGTCATCACTGTCGCTCATCCTTGCTCCATCCGGTAACTCCATCTGGATTTTCACCGTGGGAACGTCCACTTCTTCGTCTTCCTCCTCGTTCTCTTCGTTGCCTGCAGGAGCCAAGAGGGTCACTTTGCTTTTGGACTTGCGACCTTCCTTCTTCTTTGACTTATTGCGCTTCTTGGAATCCTTGTCGCGATGGCTCTTCTCATCTTTGCCAATTATGAGCATCATATCCCTCTCCAACAGTCCCTTGGTGTCTCGTTTCGATTTCGTGGAGCCCTTCAAATAATTAGGATTTTCCGCCTGTAGAGATTTCCTCGCTTTCCGCCGTCTCTCCAGCTCCTCCTCATCGGGCTCATAGCGAACTTCCTCCGCGATCGTTGCTCTGTGGGAGAGAGATTCAAATCTTTAAGTTTCGTTTCGGGGGAGTCGAGGACCAGAACAAAGAGCATCGATGGATATCGAGGGAGAACGTACTTCTCTGGTTTGAAGAATACATCCATTCCTCCGACAGACTCAGGATCGCTTTCGCTATCGCTTGGAGGCTCGTTGATCCACGCGTCCAAGTCGAGTCCTTCGGGGAGCGGAACTTTCTTCTGGGCTTTCGGCGCTACCGGATTGAGCTCACCCTTGAATATAAGCTTGAGGTCTGCCCTGATATCTTCTCCTTTGTCGAAGAGTTTCAGAGCTTGCTTCACGAGCGCTAAGGCGCAGCACGCCCTCTCTTGGACCTCGAGATCTCCCGAATGCACGAAGATCGGAAGTCTTTCAATGAGATGATTGGCCAGTCTACGGAACGTGGCATCGTCGCTAGTTTCCGATATCGAAGCGAAAATCTTCAGCACATTTTGAACGAACGTCGCCTGAATGTGCGCTGGGAGCTGAGCTGCCCTAGGTTTGAGCATGTGTTCCATACAGATCTCTGGTTCGTCCAGGAGGCTTCATTGAAGGGGGGGGGGCAGAAAAAGAGTGTCAAACAGCCGAATACGAGAAATTCGCCTCGAGAAACATCCGGAATAATTCCACGTATCGATCGAGGATCCAATACTCGTACTCACTGGCAGAATTCGCCGCAGATATAGGCGGCGGCGAGCAGCACCTGTGTTATGGAATCTTTCTGTCCGACCAACAACGGTATGTTCTCGAGCAAATGACTCATTTGTCGACACGCTTCCGTTCGAACGGCTTCGACTCGAATGGCAACATCGAGCATCTGTCCAGCGATAAGCTCTCCATGCTTTGTACCCTCGATTCTCGTCAGCTCTACCAGAACTCCGATGTACCTGAGAGCGGAGACGACGTTACGATAAGAGCACGCTTTGCAGCGACGATTCTCGCAGAAGGCTCCTGGAAAGCTGGGAATCCCCATACACTCACCATTCGAAGTTCATGATGAATTGGTAGTTGTTCTGTGAGCATATGTCGATGATTTTTGCTAAAAGCTGATCGCGGTAGTGCTGGCCCTCGGCCTTATCGACGTGGCTCATCAGTTTCCGAACGATCTCTTGGAGGTTCTTCTTCGAGACCATGCCATATAGCAAATCCAGCGCGCGCAGTCGGATTGACTCATCCTTATCGTCCAGACATTGAAGTACCAGGTCCTTGTGCGACTGGACTGTTTTCGGGTGCGTTTTCAGAATCTTCGCCATCGCCAACAAACCGAGATATTTCACTGAAACACAACATATCTAAGTCGGACTATATCTCAGGTGCCGAGACCGCGGCGCTCCGCTGTCTCGAACTCCCGGCTAAGTGAATTTTCGCATAATCTCTATGCGGGAAACGTACAGTTCTGATCCGAATCTTCGATGAGCACTCTGAGTTTCTGCACGCAAAGCTGTATAGATGCAGAGTGGCTTGGGAGTCCGGATGATATCGATATCAACACTGCAAATTTTAATGATAATTTAACGAGACGCGACGGAATCGTCTTTTCATGCTCATTAACGGGGGTTGTACATTCGGTCACCGCATCACAATACTCACCAGCGATCACTGTGTTGATGCACTCGTACAAGAGTGACATGGCCGAAGTGCTGCAACGTGGTCAGTAAACTTAATTTCCAGCAGGGGAAGCTCAGAGCAACGTGCTGCGACAACGTCAAAATGAAATCATGAATATTGGAGCGAAAAACATTCAAAATCAAAGCATGCAGGCGTGCTCATGCCGGCGGCTCGAGGGCTCATGCAGGATGCACCGTCGCAAAAACGGGAAATGAGCATGCATCGACCCCAAACTCATTCGCTGGATGAGTTCCAGGGAGCTCTCTCTGCGGAAAAGAAAAGCATTGATAATGCGGAAATTGCCTAACACGAAGCGTACCTGAGGATTAAATTAGTCAGTGGCTCTATGAGTTTTTTGCCGAGGCGAGGCTCAAGCGGCGTCAGCGCCCCAAACTGAAATCAGAAATCGGAAAATAATCAAAATCAGACTCTCGGGAATCTAGGTATACTTTCAGCACGCCAACAGTTTGACCATTTGCTCAGTCATTCTGACCAGTGTAGAAGCTCGCAAGGACTCGCTTAGAACTGAAAGTAGGAGATACGCTGAGACACTTCGGGGGAGCGAGCCCGAGCCAATTCGACTGGCTCGTCGTCCGAGGTTAAGAATACGAGACTTTCTGCGCCCCTCGCTCAAAGCTTCGAGAAACACATGAGAATACACCCTATCCTTGGCATGATGGTCCATTATCGAGAATATCTACGATAGCGTCGACAATACACCTATCTTCATTCTACAGCTATGACTGGTTCGTCAGTTCCATCGTCAGCCGCCGGAAGCTAGACAAGGGTCTCATGCTTCGTTGCCCCTGTGGTTTGTGGAAATTAATCGAACCGACTATCACTGAACAACGAAAGTCACAGTGTGGTCGCAATAACCGGAACTCATTGCCACCAATGGCTATAAGACGAAAGAAGATCGTTCGCTTCTACGTGAAATAACTTCGCCAAAACTACCGCTACGAGAGGAATTAAGGAACGAAAACTTCATTCAATGTGGTCTCCGGCCGCCCTTTGTGCAGTCAACGTTCCGGGCATTTCGGGTGCTCCAAGCGACTGCGGGGTGCTATAGACGGAGCCCTGGCTGGGGGGCCGTGCGTTTCAGCGGTGTCGAAGAATGCGAAGAGTCGCATTTTTCTCTGGCTACTCGACGTGTTGTCGCTCACTCTCTTTACCTTCGAATAAGGCAAATCAGAGGTTGACTGAGTTTTCTTCCCAATCGCGGCTCGTAGTGGGTCAAAACCCCAAACTGAAACAGATAACATGAAGACATACTCTTCGCTTCCACGTCTACCAAGATCACGGGCAGCTGCCGGTAGCCTTTGCTCTCGGATTCCATCGCGGACATTTGCGAGGATCAAGATCAGTCGATCTTCCGCGAAAAAATACTTCTTTCCGGTCACCGGAATGCAGTCGAGCCTGTCTAAATTTTCCACCCAGCTATCGGATAGAATTGAGGTCTTCAAAATCAGAATACAGTAAAAGCTCGTTATAACGACCCCCATTACAACGAATTTCTCGGTACAACGAACAAGGAATTTTTCCTCCTTTGGCCAGCCCGCCATAGGGATAGTGTTGAGCGGCATTCGTTACAGCGAAAACTCGGTACAACGAACCAGTTTCGTCGGTCCCTTCGTGTTCGTAGTAACGAGCTTTTACTGTACATTCTCCGAGGCGAGCCAAGACCCTCCACATCGAATGATGGAATGAATAGCGCGGAGCTATTTGCCAAGGCGAAACCTGGGCGAAAACTTACCAGCTTAATGATTTTGATCAACATCCAATTATTCGTTGAAGAAGTCATGAGTTTGAAAAAACTGGGGCCAGCGGTAAGTAATTTTTTGGGTTTTTTCGCGCCAACTCGCATATGACGTTGACTGCTGCAGACTGAACCCCTGGGAATGTAGAGAAAATAGGCTATACCACTGAAGCGGACCTGATCCCTACAGGGGCACGGGTTCCGGCCCTTCGTCGCTGTAGAAGCGGACGCAAAGTAGACGTCTCTCGTCGATTACATTCAACTCGTTCCAGCTTACCTGGATCGGGATCTTCGAGCTTCTCTTTGAGCTTCGGAAAGGCAGGCCTCAAGGCGTCAGGAAACCGCAAGAAAATCTTGTACATTAGGAGAACGGCTTTTTTCCGGAGGTACGGCTTCGTTGAAGTCAACAATGTCATGACGTCATTGCTGAGATCGCGAGCCAGATCCGGAGTAACGAAGCAAGCTAAGCCCGACATCGCCACACCCGATTCGTACACATTGACACTATTCAAATCCTGCAACGTGTTCAGAACGTGAGATTAGAGAGCCCCTCTGGCTTCTTCCGACGGTGTTGACAGGTCGGCGCGAAGTTTCCGTCGATTCAATATTTTTTTAAGAAACACTCCGCTGCTCCCAGCTAAGGAATAAATCACCGACAGACCTTCCTAATCATGTTGGTTGTCAACATGAGCACGTCTGTTTCATCGTGGAAGGATTGGGAGGCCGCCAGGTAGCCTATCCGCTTGAAAGTGAACTTCGATGATGACATCACTTCGATCACATTGAAAGCCGCCCAACTTATGTCGTATCCGAGCATCTGGAGCTGTGAAGCGAAGACGATCCTTGATTATCCTATGACCATTGTATAACGTAGAAGTAATTTTTTCCTTCGATCTCGGATATCGACTCTCATCGCTATGCTGCTTTGGTCAACCATTAAGTCAACTCATCGTATTTCGCTCGGGAGCGTTCGTCTCACTCGGGGAATGATCCGTCATGTGGCAAAAAATCATGCTCGGAATCATGTTTTTACCTCGACGAGAACTGCTTCGCTCCAAAAGCCTCGTGATTGAATTCAGTCATATCTCAAGTCGAAGAGAACGCTTGGGCGCCTCCGAGATTGACTTTTGATCCCATATATCGCAACGGTGGTCGGTCGCCGGGAAGACTGCGCGCAGCATGTTCTCGAACGCCGCGATCAAATTTCTTCCGCGAGACTCTCTGACGCGTATTTCATTCTGCCTCGAGAGAAGCAACCCGCTTTCCGTACGATTGATAAGATCAGCGTTGGCTTTGACGGAGTGCACGCAGCTTTTTCATTCCATTCTCGGCCCCTTGATAGAGGCTTATTGTTGTATCAAAGGATAACGGATCGAACACTTACGTAGGCCAGTTTGGCGACAGCATTCGCTTTGACGCTGGGATTGTCTTGGCGAAGCTCTTCCTTGATCTCCTCCATGCATTGCGTTATGTATTTCGCCTGGAAGATGATTTCACCAGTGTTATTGAGCGCATATTCGGTGCACGTCCGTCACGTGAACTTCCTCGTGAATCAAATTGCTACTTTTAATCCCAGTCAATGAGATCTGACTGTCCTCCGACGTGGAATCTCTGCGCAATCCGCCTCGCCTCCATGCCTCTGGAGGGCATTTCGTTGTAGAATTCCGGCTTTCGACGTGATAGGTAGACCCTTCGTGATCACCTTTCTCTGGAATTCGGTTTTCTCCGCTCCGTGACGGAGTTCTGGGATCGATTCCGAGCTACACGACCGGATCGAGTGCCAATTCCGCTTAATCGAGTTTGACAGCCGGTTTGGGTGAAATCCGGATGTCAAAGTCGACAATCCACGCGACATATGTTTTCGCCCTCGTTAGTCGAGCACGCTCATACGTTCGGTCTTTCAACCGGATTTGCGACACTCGAGCCTTGGACTTGTTCGTTCATCTATCCCCGCATCAGCGCCGTTCATCCGAACGCTACGTCGAGCCACAGCTGCGAACTTGGGTCACTCTTACCTCATTATCTCTGTTGTTCCGAATTCCTCTAACGAGATCAGTGAGGTTCTTGTCAAACATACGCTCCAGGTTTCCTTTGACTTTTTTGAGGGCCATCGTTCCGCCGATTTCGTGATGGAATCACGAGTCTGCGCTCACAGAGAAACTCGATTGCACTCCGACCAGTGTTTCTAGTGTAAGTAATGTCAGTCAGACAGTTCGACAGTCAGTCATAGCGACTAGCGGAGCGCACGTAAACAAATGGGCGGAGCGAACGGTTCGAAAAAGGCTGGCGGCGCGAAACGGATGATCTTGATAAATTTTCAATCAGATATCAGAAACTAGCGGCAAGGATTGATCCGGTCTTGAGTCATCCTACCGAACTTGGACTCTGATGGCGATCAGATTCTTCGATGTACTCGCATGAGCATGCCCGATAGGTGAATCATAGATCAGTCTTGATAGTCCGTCGTCGGGGTGAGAGAATTTTAGGTGCGCTATTCGGCAAACGCTCTCAATGTTCTGAGGTCTATCAATTCAAGAGTACGCTGAGATCTCAATCGCTGAATCGATCAACGAGAGGGCGAAGGCTCACTGAGTCCGAAGGATCCAGGAGCGGGCCGGGGCGAGGACTGGTGTGATGTATGGTTCGTCGGATCGAAAATCGGGAGCTTTCCTCAACTCCTGATGTCACCAATTTCACTCAATGGATTCGAATACCTTCCTCGGGCGCCCGGGATAATAATCGACGCTATATAAATTGGAACAATCAGCGGCGAATTCAATCCATTCAGCCCAAGGATGAGAGGCGACGCATTTTATGCCGAAGAAAACGGGAGGTAGTTGACCACAAGCCTGTATATGACAATGATTCCGGTCAGAGCTCCGCGTAATCATATATTTTTTTCCTCGATGATAAATAGAAAATCGTTTCCGGAGAGCTTCGAGTGAAATCTGTGAGTGTGTGCGGTAGCGTAGCTGGAACGATTCTCTAATCAAAGCAGACTCCGTGACTCGATCCTACTCTACGAGTACGAAGTCGCCGATGCCCAAGCTCCGTGGCTGTATCAATGGAGCCGTCGATGCCGATAGAATGAACAGTTGACGGTCCATCTTTGCGGACTCATTCCCCATATCGAGACCGATCCATGAAGACGTCGCTTCGTTGCTATTCCGGAGTTTCAAGAACATGCTTCCCATACAGCAAGAAAGTCAAAGCTTCCAAGCTTCAGATCGTTCAAGTCTGAGCATTCTGACTGAGCCGCTCGAGCCGCTGCTTGGGCTTAAGCAGCACTGCTTCGTGAGAGTCTATGTTCCCGATCAGGCCACACCTAACCCAATTCCCTACTGTTATCAGCGGAACCCCTAGGAAATTCTGTTGTCCAAATCAAATCTCAGTCCCAGCATAAGTTTTATGGCGGAGTGACGAATATCGATTATTTGCGGATGAGTTGGCAGGCTGCAGAAGAAGAGCTCCCGAACTTTGATCTGATATCTGCTTGAAGTGACGCAGTGAACACCGCTGCGAGAAATGATGCTCATCATGATCCTTCATCTCTCGTGCCACGCAATCGGGAGCATCGAGACATCAGCCTGCGCGCGCAGCGACTCGGATCACCTTTTCCCGGATACAGTCGATAGAAGATCCAGGCGCTCGGTTCGTGAGGAGAGCACCTCCTCGCGGGATCGATCTCTTAACTCACGCTCCACGGGATTCATGGATGAGAAGGGAGAGGGGGGGGGGAGAGTTGCAGCTGCGTGTCGTCTTATGGTCGTCTGCTCTTCGCAGAAGAGGCTTTATGACTATAATTCGAAATTGAACACTCATCGTATGCTAACCAATCAAGGCTTACTATCACCCCCGTCGGGAGTGTGTTCGAATCCAGGGAACGCTCATCAGAATCCCGTTCACAGCAGGGCCTCTCTGCATTTGTCCCGGCTCAGGTTACCTCACAACTCACAACAGTGACAAAATGAAAACATCAACAAGCCGACTCTAAACGGAGAGTATGCCCTGGCGATCTACCGCAAGACGAGGTCGCCAGCTGCGCTTTGTTCGAGCCGTGACATTCGTTGTGCAATTATTTCTCCTCACCATAATTGCGGGTTTTCAATCTATATTCGGTAACCGAGAGCCGACTCAAGGAGTCGCGTCCCGAGAATCGAACACCGTGAGAGGAGAGTCCAGCCGAAAACGCAGAACGGACTGATGTCGCGGCAGCGGAGTGTTCTCCAGGTTCTTTATGACAACTTTTGGAACTCACTCCGGAGACAGCCTCCGCTGAAACCCGTTGGGGAGGATTATCTTGGCAACAAATACTTCGAGTTCCAAGCAGGTGATCAATTGAGCAACCTCAGCTCGGTCTTTGCTATACTCAAGAATTCTTTATGATTGCTGAGAGAGATAGCTCCAGTCAAGCATTCAATATTCGGGGAGGGGGGGAAGGTGAGGGAGCTAGTGAATGCGATTGTCAAAAGAAGGAGTCTAATTGAATACTGCTCCATCTGGCAAGGTGAAAGAAGTGGCCGTCGCAGCAAACGTCAAGTCCAGCCGGTGAGTGAGGAGGTCGATTACGAACTGCCTTTCGAGTGGGAAGCTTGGCTGAGGGGGAGGAGACGTGATCCTCCCACTGCAGAGGAAATACAGGAGAGAATCGCTCGTCAGGCCCAAGCTGTGGCAAACGCAAAACGCCTCGAAAAGGTAAGCTTCCTTCCCGATCCAAAGCGGTATCTTCAGGTCTAGCCTTCCGGACGGCGGAATCGCACATCCAGGTTGATTTTCTCACCGAAGCTCTCTCACCGATATTCTCGTTCCTCAGGATATGGGAAAGGAAGTCATTCCGGCCAGTACAGACCCGCACGCCTTTCCCAAACTCGGTAACTATTCATCTAATCCCCAAATTGGAAGTCAGCCCCTGAGGGACAAGGATGAAAATAGTAGTCTGTGATTTTGTTCGAGATCGACGAATAAATTTTGCCTGAGTAGAATCTTCAGCAGCACCGCGCCTTCATTTGCAGAGCGGGGAATGGGAATTCCATTCACGAAGCATAAACGCATTAGATAACCCTCGATTTCGGCTCGGGGACGCTCGAGAGCCCTGTGCTCATCAAGGGCAAGACAGGATGTTCTAGACTCAGGAGCGTCGCAAGGACCTCTGGATATGTATGACCTGAGACCTCTTCATCCACCTTTCCCCTTTCTGGTATTCCCCCCTCGAACTAGATGTATCATCGATACCCGAGGCGGTGCGTACCTCAGGAACCATGAGGTACGCACTCAATCCCAGGGTAATTCGCCACCCATGAGCGGGAGGACGGGGTAAGCTCCCGCTTCGGGGAAACCATTGGTGACCGCATTGAGAATTCCTAGATTTCTCGTCGATCCCTCAAGAGGCCTCTTCCACCTCCGTCAGAGCCCTGTCCATTGGAAGGATGCGGAAGCTCTTGCCAGATCCTTTTGCTCGTTCTCCCAGAGGAGAATGAGAACGAACTTGGAAAATAGGAGGGTAGCGCGAGGTCGATCGAAATTATTGGCTGGCTTCGCCCGCAGAAATCGGTGTTCGAAGGAGTGAGTAAGGCCGACCGAAGTCCTACCGGGGCCCACGAGCGTGTGAGAATTCAGAGAGGTCGGAGAAGCTCCTTGTCAAGCCACACCATCAAACGGAATCGTCTGCCGTTTTATTGCTCGGTAGAAATTAAGAAAGCTTCATGAATTTACAACGTTGCCGACTCGGAGCCGTTCTAGAATCCGAGGCCTGATTTGGAATGTCGCGGTGAGATCGGGTCTCGAATGCGGTCTCACAACACTAGTACAATATCACGCAGGATGATACCCATTCGGCAGCAATGACATCGTTCAACGGAAGCACCCGATGGAGCGGGTGTTGTTTAGTGATTCGCTCTGGCTCTCTCCCTGATAATTGATATTCGAGCCGACTCGATGGGATGCGTCATGGGATCCATGGGTCGTTCCCGGCGAATAGTGTCGAGTTTTGGCCACTACTTGATCTTTCTCTGCTTGATCGCGTTTGTTCGCTTCGCGTGCGCTTTGCGCAACTTTTCTTCCCTCTCGAGCTGCTTCGCCAATTTCCAAGATAGAATCCCAGAGAGGCACAAGAAGGGACTCAAGCACATGATCGTGTACTGGAGGAACTCCCACGGATTCACAGCCGCGTACTCGACTAGCGGGAGTATCCAAGCCACGTACCACGGAGCGTCTAAGGGGACCTGAAACGCAGGCGGATACTTTTAGCAGAAAATCGTGGCGAATTTTCGAAGCTTGAACGCATCCCCGCGGAAGGTTCTCATGCTCATGACCAGCTGCAGGGCATTTCGAGAAACGCGTCGCTCGAAATGCCCTGCCGCTGGTCGTGGATCACGGTCGATTCAGCCGATCGCTGGGGGCCTACGAACCTTGAAAACTCGCTCTGCTTCGGACATTTCTCTTCTTCGAAAGTTTTCTGCGCCGTGGTATGATGGAACAACTCTCTCAGCAGCTGGGAGCCCAGCCGAATCGACTGCTGTGGTCCCGCTCGTGCGCCCGGCTGATTGTCAGTCCTAAAAGTCGGAACTTTGCTACTTCGCTGGCCCCTGCCGCAGGGAATGTGTCGTGTACCACCGGGAGAGCATCGAATGCATTTATTCGTTACGATTCTCCACCGCTCCTCGTGATAAAACATGTTAGACTGCCATATAGCCGTGAGATTCGGCCGTCGAGCGAGCAGCCTCCCAGCACAGCGTGAAAACCGCTACCGTCCGGCTCTATCCGCGCGGTTACCTGTGGTACGAATTTGTGATTCGTTCGAGCCGCACTGTGGGTGCTCCTCTCTCAATCTCGCCTGGATGATGATATTTAGTGTTTGTATAATTCGTGGATGTTTCTGACGACTGTGAGCGAGTGTGTGACGGCTGGAAATAGTGGGAATCCATCGTAGTGTCTCGCTCTGGTGGCTCAAGAGACCAATAGTCGAGAATAAACTCCGCTCAACAACCATGGCCAGCCTGAACTACGAGGGTCCCTTGTCGAAATGGACCAATGTGATGAAAGGTTGGCAGTATCGCTGGTTTGTTCTTGACGACAATGCCGGCCTGCTATCATACTATACGGTGAGTTTTTCTTCGAGTGAGCCTGCCACTCAGCGTTCGAGATTTACCAGGCTCGGGGAGAAGGGATCCCTCAACTCTCCGGAAATTGTCCCCGAATTTTTCACATGAAGAAAGTCTTGTGTCGAACGCCCCGTCATTCCAGCTGAGCATCCGAATGGATGTCCTGATCTCATTGATAAGAAATCGTGTTAGACCTGGAATGCCCGATCTCAGGTTCTGGGGAAAGATGACCTGGAACTAGCTCATAGGCTTTGATTTGTACAATAAGACATAGAGTAGCAGCTCCGGGTTCCTTTCACAGCGTTCGTCATTTATTTCTGCTTAGGCGGTGCTTATGTACAGATCCAGTATCGGGGGTGAGAGCGAGGGGGTACTTGTTTACCTAGGGTGATTAGAACCCCAGTCTTTTGGCGCTTGCACCTATTTTTTGATCTACGTGTCGCTTCGACTGCCGTAGACAGACGAAGGAGCTTGCTCCGGACTCGATTGATTTATGGTGCCGAAGTCCTCTACGCCCACCTAAGTAACGGGGTTCCGGAGCTCACCGCACCCGACGTCCCGGCTCCGGCTCTCTAAACTGAGAGGCTCAGAGCCTCACTGTCTAATTGAAATCCTATCTAGAACAAGTCGTGCTGGTTCCGCTCTCATGTTTTCGCTACGGCGCATATCCACGAAGCATCAGGTGAAGAATTTGGTGCTCGGGAACTTAGGAGTGCCCTTCGGGATACTGATACCTTGAGCTAGCAATCGGACCTACGTCCTCCGAACTCGGATAGACTGAGCTGGAGGGTAAGACGGCTCTGACTGCATAGCGACGGAGGATCCAAACTTGCGGTCGATTCGATAGGATTCTGGATTTTCGGAACGTTTCCCGCTTCTCTATCCCGATGGATCTGAGCTACCACTTGCCGAATCAATTATTGCGCAGAAGACAAAGCCGTCCCACCGGGCATTGGATTTTCAGCGCTATCGAAGCAGCAGTCGAGAACGGGTCGAAACTCCAGTGCAAGGGTTCGCGGGACATGAGCCATAGGGTCGAGCTTGCCCGCCGACGGACGTATCCCGGCTGATTCGTTAGGTCGGCATCGAAGATTCGCCTCCAACGATAATGATCATTGTCGACGCAGCGCATTCGCCGTGCGCGGGCAATGGAAACGGTTATCATTAGAATGCGAAAGTAGCCTCGAGTGGCTGGGTCTGCTTGCTTAGTGCGGCAGATAAGCAGGACTCTTGGGGATAGTAGGGAGTAGGGATTGAGCTTTTCGAAGCAGGGGACGCTCATTTGCGGAACGAATATCACAGAATTCGCCGGGCATTTCGAAGAGGTCAACGACTAGGGAATTCCAGTGCATAGTCTCTGGAGCCGCAATTATGGAAACTGGCGATCCCCGCTCCGTGGATGGCACCGCCTGTACCCTCAAAATACAGCTCAGGAAATACTGATCAGGCGTGATCGCGAATCAGATTCACGGTACATCCAATATGCAGACGAGTTTCCTGCTCTTCCTCGAGTCGGCAAAGCAGGACGTCAGGGTCGCGGCTTTTCAGGATAGCTCTGAGACTCTTCGGTCCCGGCTCAGAGCCGTCAAAGTCAGATGAACATAGGTCAGGTACTCTCCGAAGTCTGATCACTCTCTCAGATGTCGAGAAACGTGACCGAAATAGCCGTGTCCGGAAAAGCCTTTTGTTCGATCTAGACTCGGAGCTGCTCGATGACAATTCTCTGCCGATTCCCGGGCGCCTGATTCCGACGTCGGAATCCAGCAGTGTTCGTGAGTGGTGCGCGTGGTAAATAACAGGAAAACCTATTTCAGTCGAAAGAAAACATGGCGCGGGGAGCTCGTCGTGGTTGTGTAAGACTTCAAGGAGCTGTGATCGGGATCGACGACGAAGACGATTCCACTTTCACGATTCGTGTAGACCGAAAGGGATTCCATTTCCAAGGTGAGTGGCTCCCGAAAATACTGTGGCTCATGGTACTTCTCCCTTCTCACGTCATAACCCGAATCGAATGACGTACACTCATGGGGAAGGGGAATATCGATTCCCTATTGTATTGCTTCAACGTCATTGGTTCGAGGTCCTCATGCGGGTAAATGTGCTGTCAGTTCCATCTTGTGGAGGACCCTCTCCTGGTGGGAAATCACGGCGCGGCGTCCCGAGCGCTTGGTTCCTCAAAGTGAGTGCAACGCACTAGGTATCGCCGGAGTGAAATTCGCGGTCGCTTGATCTCGTGAAGCCAAGTTCACGTTATCGAACGGCGAGAGACGAGCTCCGAGAGGTGGCTCGTTCCGCAAGTGACGAGCGAGCCAATCTATTCGCTTGAGTCGATGCCTTGCTCACGGGCATGCCCTGGAATTCTTCGAATATTCTAAATTCGAGTGTCAGGAATCACGGCGGCCTGCGGTATACCGAAGTGCGCCAGTCGGTTGACCCTCCCTCGGTGCTCAATGTCCACGGAATCACCCCGAAGTCAAGCTGGGATCATGACTAATGGATTCCCCGGGAATTCCGTGGGAATCCGCCGTGGGGACAATACGGCTCTGACCACGGAACAGGTCTTTCAAGATACATATACGCAGTGACAGCATTCTATCATTCGATTCGGAACAGCACTCTGGGCGATGAAGCGGACCCCGTGCTTGCCACCTGTGCTCACCTGAAGAAAGTCCTTTCGAGCAACAGATTGTCACGCAATCTCACTCAGGAGGCAGAACTCTCAATTAAAACTCGGCAATTCTCCACAGCTCGTGACGCTGAGGAGCGGCAGCGTTGGGTCCGCGCACTCGAGGATACCATCCTGCGCCACACTCACAGACACGCTCATCATAACTTGGTAAATACGGCAGAGAATATCAAGGATGTCTTGTGTACTTCCTGAGGCACGGATGCCTTTATCATTCCGCTCGTCACATCAAGCAAACGAAATTTCGAGCAACTGTATTCATTTAGGCTTGTTTATTTCAGCATCTCTGGGAACGGCCGACTTCTGTGAGGAACTTCGATGACAAGCTGGCAGAAGCTGACAGCTATCTTCAGCTTCTGATACAGCAGATTGACGTGAGTTAAGAACCCTCCATTGTCCTCTGTCTAGGAGTGGATTAGTGCAAACAGTCCTTGACAAGGGCAGACCTTCCGTCGGCTCAATAATGATGGAAATGCAGTCTGTCAACCGACGCGAGCTTCGACGCTTCCGAGTAATCACCTGAACCTTGAAGTCGGTTCGAGAGGAGCGGGATCCTTTAAGCGAGAGAGGGGGAAGCGGCATATTCGATCGGCTTAACTCGATTGTCGGAGACTCTCAACAGAGCTGCTGGGCTCTCACAAACGCCCTCGAATACCCACGGTGACGATCGTACCGACCGAATTCTCATGATTTGGTTCCTTGCCCGCCACCTCTCCCACGAGTGTCTGGAATCCCTGATTAAGGATGATTGCCACTTCCCTGATGATGGAAGCGATCGATTCGTGGATGCACAACCTGTGGTCTCGATCACTTTCTTCTTCGACATCGCTTCGAAACGTTCCTCTATACCCACTTGAAATCTCGAAGAAATCGGGAATGTGGCATTCGCTGCCATCCGGTGGTCGGTCACTCAGTTGTCGAGTCAGTCGGTCGAGTGTCTCGCATTCAAAGTGAAAGTATGAATGCCGTGGCCGGAGAGTTGTGCCTCTTCTGGAGCGCACGCTGGAAAGAGAATATTTACCACAAGCGTCTCGCCGCTGGCCAGTCGGTTGAGACCGCTGGTCGAGGAGTAGAATTACACAGTTCATTCCGTCGAATTCTTCCATAGCCCGCTTTCGGATCCGACATTGTGACTCCGATATAGTCTGTCACTGAACAACTCGAGCCCAGAGAGAATTCTCGCGTCGTCTACAAGAAGGTATTACTCTTTATTCCGTCGACGGAATCATCGAATCCTCTGCATTCTGCGAAACAGTCTGCACGCAACACGTCAGGGTTAAACTACATACAACATTTGAAAAAATATCCTTTCATCCCGCACCAATTCAAATTGTACATCGAGAACTCGTCGGATTGGCGATCGCGATCTTTCGACATTTGGTATAAAATGCAATCGTTCGTCCTGAGGTGTCCGGCGGCGAACAACCGGCCGGCGATTTGGAACCGGAGTCCTCCTCGACCTCCTGGTCGGAACGTCTTGTCTTCATAGGTCAGCCTCGGAACACTGTTGCAGGGTTCCCAGTTCGCTGTCGAGATGACTTTCGAGCTGACCCGATGCGGCCAAGATCAGACCGAGGTACGGTGGCGACGGTCTCAGCGGTCTAGAAACGTACTCCGGGTGGTATTGAACGGCAACATAGTACGGATGGTCTTGCAACTCGAGCACCTCCATCCTTTGGTTATCGGTGTCCTTGGCGACGAACCTCAATCCCGCCTTCTCGAGCTCGTCGACCACAGCCGGATTGACTTCGTATCGATGACGGTGACGTTCGTGTATGACGGCTTTATTGCCATACAATTTACGGAGGACCGAATCCTCGGTTTGGAAGATGGACTCCCGTTTTCCCAATCGCATGGTGCCCCCCATCTGACCGGGATGGTGTTCGGGCATGTCGATCACTACGAAATCAGTCGATCCTTCTCCTAATTCCTGGCCTGACGCTTCCTTGACGAACTCCGAAGACGTCGCCCCTTTGCGGCCGAGAACGTCACGCGCGTATTCAATCACAGCGCATTGGAATCCCAAGCAGACCCCAAGGAAAGGTTTCTTCGCGGTCCGGGCGTATTTTATCGCGGCGATTTTTCCCTCGATGCCTCTGGTGCCGAAACCGCCGGGAACGAGTACGCCGTCGGTCTCGCACATTTTTTTCCACGCATCGTAGTGCTCGACTGGATTTGTCTCTTTGTAGCTATTCTCGAGAGATTCGGCGTCGATGAACTTGATCACGAGTTTGCGATCGGCCCGTAGAGCTGAATGCTGCATGGCCTTGATGATCGAAGAGTACGAGTCCTCGAATTTCGTATATTTCCCAACGAGCGCGATCGTCACGATGGTGGCACATCTGTCGCTACGAGTCGCCAGAGATTTCCACGCATCGAGAGACTGTTGGTCGAGCTCGACGTGCAGATTCAGATGCTTTGCGAATAGTCCCACTAGGCCCTGCTGACGCAGGAACACCGGCACGTGATACGTGTTCGGCACGTCGTGCAAACATATAACTTGGTTGGGCTCTACATGACAGAAATTAGAGATCTTGTCCTTGACTTCATCGTTGATCGGATGCTCACTCCGACATACGATAATGTCCGGGGAAATTCCGAGGCCGCGCAATTCCCTCACACTGTTCTGAGTGGGTTTCGTCTTGCTGTCGCCAGTACTTTTCGGCTGGGGAACTAACGAAACGTGAACGGAGCAGAAGTTGCGTTTCTTCACACGGAACTGGAACTGTCTGAAGGCCTCGATGAATGCCATCCCCTCAATGTCCCCGACGGTTCCGCCGAGCTCAATGATGCACACGTCGGGCACGTGAACTCCGTCGAGCGGTGTTTTCGCAACTCGTTCGACCCATTCCTGAATTGCGTCGGTGATGTGCGGCACGACTTGGACCGTTTTTCCAAGGTAGTCCCCGGCTCGTTCCTTATTGATAACGCTCTGATAGATCTTACCGGTGGTGATGTTGCTGTCGCTCCGCAAGGTTACGTCGAGAAAACGCTCGTAGTTGCCGAGGTCCAGGTCGACTTCGCCGCCGTCGTCAAGTACGAACACTTCTCCGTGCTCGTACGGAGAAAACGTTCCCGCGTCGATGTTTATGTACGGATCGATTTTTATGGCGGTCACGTGTAGACCGGCCGCTTTGAGAATCGCGCCTATCGACGATGAGATCACACCTTTCCCGATTCCGGAGATGACACCACCGGTGACCAGAATGTACTTCATGTTCGATTCGCTCGGCACGATTCGAGGGAACGTCGATTCAGGCGTCAACGGTCGATCCCTCAGAGCTGCACTGAGCGCACGAAATCCGTGGACGGCCGCAGAACGCGTCGGGTGGACAACGCCGCGAGGACTCGGCCTCAGGATTGATAGTGCGCTCGCTAGTCTCGCTCGCCCGAACATGTATCGAGACGCCGCGCCACTGGATGCGAGAGAGGGCTGCGGTTCTACGGGCTGGATACGCGAGCAGCTGATAGGGGTCTTCGCGCTCTCGCCCCTCCGGAGCACGAGAGATCCGAGTCGTTCAGACCCCGAACCTCACTCACGCCTTCGACTCACTCGCAATCCAGGGGTGCGGCATGATGTCTGGAATTCGAAGAACAGGCGAGCGCGCTCTCTTCGAGACGGGTAAACACTCGGAACGCGCGGACCAATGTCACCACAATGGAGAAGATTCAGCGGTGTCTCACGTGGTGCCGCTAAAACGGCGGGTGATGAACATCGGGTCTCGCGCCTTTCTACCGCGGCTCGCTCATGATGTCAGGCATCGAGTCTTGGTCACTGCTACGCTGCGAACGCTTCTGCCCTCGCCCCGCGATGAGCCAAAATTTTCAACTTCTCCGTCTGCGTTCTCCTTGACGACCTTCTGCTCGGCTGGCTGGCCGGCCGGCCGAGCAGCTGCTGTCAGATTGGCGGGCCCCTGGTTCCGTCGATTAGCTTAAGCGTCGGAGCTCCGGGCCCTTTTGCCGCAGCCGCCAGTGGCAGTGAGTAAGGGGGCTGGCTGCTTGGCTAGTTTAGCTCGGTCGGTCGGTCGGTTCGTCGTTGCTCGTTACGGGCAGCTACTGCTGCTGCTGCTGCTGCTGCTTGGCTTTAGAGTGTGCGGCGACGGCGGCAGCGTTTCCCGAGTGCACGGAATTCTGAGCGGGTCGGTTTTGTTCTGCGAGTGTGTTCAACGCAACGACTAACATGGAAGCGGTGGTAAAACGTGCCTTGGGTGGTGGAGTGTGCTGCACGTCATCGTAGGTATAACAACGTCCGAACTGCATCGGAATTAAGCGAATGCATGATGAAATCATATCCCATGGCGCAAGCTGTACGGTCAGCTGTGCCGTCACAGGCAGCAGCGAGTCGATTAGAACAGCGACTGACACTCGTTTCTGGAGCTACAGAAAGTACAGTGCGTTGGTCCTGGAGACGATTTTCAACTTCTGTCACTCGCTCGTGAAACAATTGTGATTTGAGGATGTGAGCAGAAAATCTCGAGACAGTCAACCGATCAACCGGATCGATTTCTCGAAAGTGCCTCCGAGAGTGAGCGATCGGTAATTGATGCCGACGTCAGAGAATAAGTTGCCGTCTGTGAACTTGGCTGGCGGTGCTTGCTCCTGTTCAAACTTAACTTCTGTCTGCGAAATGAGGCGACGCCGACGCTCACCTCAATTGCGACAGAAAAACCCCGGCGTAGCGAACGGCCGCCAAGGGGGCGCACAGAGACTCCTGCTGCTGGAAGGGCTCGACGAAGAGATTAATGAGCGACGCGATCGAATTGATTAGATCTCGTGCAAGGTCGTCCGGAATCTCTGAATACGTGAGGGGAATCCTGCCATGGTCGTGGGTATTTCCCCAGAGCTAAAGGATCGTCGCGAGGGGCGGATGGATTTTGGAAAGCCTTGGATTGTAGAGGAAAATAGTTCTGTGACGGAATCTACACGTTCTCGAGCTCCATCCGTGTCGAGTCCTGAGCCTCGTCGATCATCAGAGTCGTAGATCCTCCGACCTTTTTTCGAGTTTCATTCCGGAAACAAGGATTGACTTCGTCGCGGGTCGATTCCTTAGTGTTGCACCCGTCTTTGTTCAGCTTATCCCGTGCGGATAATCGTCCGAAGCTCCCAGGATTGGAGGTCATTGACGCCTAAGTGAACACTCGCTTTGAAAAAAAACTCGGTGTTCATTGGTCGAGGCCGGAATGCGGAAAAAACTACCCTTCGAATCCCGTGAGGAGTGCGCGGGCTGTACGACTCGACGAGCGACCCGACGTTCGTCATTTTTGAGAGAGTCGACGCCGTTATCGATCACGTTCGAATAGTGATCCGCATATGACATGCCGAGAGTACGACTGTCAAGGATTGGTTATGATCCCACGTAGATTGTTGATTTACTGGATCACTAATTTGGCCTCTTTCGTTGTTCACCCGAACTAGTACCTAGCTCGGTGGAATCGATCGAAAGTCAAAGAGGGACAGCTATCTCGGACGAATCCATCCCGCGACTCCGCGGAGATCGGCGGAAATTAGAAAATTCCGATTATGGTGCCCGCTACATTTGCAGTCGGGCTGCGACCTTCATTGAGGCGGCAGGTTGTTCGTCTGTGCGAACGATCGACCGACCGACAGACTTTCCGTCTGTCCATTCATCGTTCGAGCGGTCGACTGAGCTATTGCGAACACCACTGTTGCATGCATTAAAAGCAACACGTTCATATCCTGTGCTCGATTTCACTGTTGTTGGCTGACGTGAGAAGCGACGGTGTAGCGGTGGCTAATCAAAAATAGCGCCCCCATGGTGGAAAAAGTGCCAGGGCTCTCCTCGAGTAGAATGTACATGGACTCTCCCCGTGTTCAGATGAATCCCGATCGTCTCGATTCTCCCCAACCGGAATGCATCCGGTTCTCTCGAATAGAACCGAGCTCACCCCGAAATAATCCTGTAGGTCATCCTCGTAGAAATCGTTGCATGACTGGTGTATTCAAGAGAATGGTCACGTATGTATGAACACTCCTTGACGTTCGAAACCGGTACCAGTTCGAGTAACCTACATGATTGATTGTAATTCAAATGAGTCTTCAGGACAGCGAAACCAATCAATTTCCCCCATCCTAGCGGTGCCCGAAACGATGTTATTGTCATATCCACACGGGTCGCTCTGCATGATGACGTTCGCGACTCGACGCTTCGTGACGAGTCTCCGAGAATTAAATGAGGATCTTGATTGAGCGATCCCTGATAGTTCTTCTGTCACGCTCTCAATCGAATTGGGTCGGAGATTTCCCCCTGGTTTGTGAGAAGCTCAGTCCAATAACCGGTCGCATTCTTAATTGCAGAAATTGCGAAAGAAGACCCAAGTTCTCGATGAGAGAGAACGCTCACAGCTTGACGGCGTTTGCAATAATGCCAATGTAAGTCACGCCCCTGCATGCTTCCAGGAAAAGAAATTCCCATTGCTCAGGCTGCGCAAATTGAACGAATGTGATCCAGCGCAGATTACGCGAGATTCTTCTAAGATCTTGCGAAACCGGATCCTGTCTGGAAATTCTGAATCTTGTCTCTTCTAGGCCTTCCTCGAAACTGTGAAGCATTCCATTGTCTCTCTGCAGATCGCCAAGGTGAGCAAACTCATATTCGACGTAGGAATATACAATACGATGGGTCCTCGTTGAGCGTAATCGAACATCCAGGAAGGATCGGAACTCATCGAGTACGTTTTCCCTCTAGAATACGACCGACGTCGCTGGCCAACGAGATAAGGCAGCCGCAACGAACGGGTCGCTTCAAAGTATCCGATCGCCGACGGAATCCTTGCAGATTTCCAACTTCAATTCGTCCGTGCCCGCTACCTCATATTCGTCGTCGGAGGACAGTGATAACGAAGAATCGGACGACGACTTCTTCGACGCGTGCGAGGACGCCGTCAGTACAGAGGAAGGGACCGAAACTCCCCTCTCCGATAGTCCTCTGGCAGACCACGCTCCGATGTTCAAGAAAGGTCGCAAGAATTCCAGAGATGGGCGCCCATCGCAAGGCAATATCGTACAGAGTCCGTCGGAGAGCTCGACGATTTGTGAATTGTCCGAAGCCGACATGACGCCCTTCGTGGCGCCGCCCGAAGCTCCCTCCCACATGAAACCTCACGAGTTCGATGAGCTCTATGAGAATCAGTCGGACTCGGCTGACCAGAACGCCAACTTCAGGTCAGCGGCCGGCCTATTGTCAAGTTTCGAACAAGCATCTGAGAAACCTCCGCCTCAAGATCTCTCGGGGTGGAGGAATCCGGGTTCCGTTGACAGCTTACTAAAAGAACGGTCAGGAGCTAAGATTGTAGCGACGTAAATTCTTCATGGGTTTCCAGCGTCCTCGGCCATCTTGTGTCTCAGATCCGCATTGGAATGGACCTTACCAAAGTTACGCTCCCGACCTTCATTTTGGAGAGAAGATCCTTGCTGGAAATGTATGCTGACTTTTTCGCTCATGCCGACCTTTTCGTAAGGTGAGTTTCCGTCGTCTTCCCCAAGGGGGAAATACTACCCGACTGCACACGGGAGGGAGCTAAACGGCTTCGCATGAAATAGGATTCCCTCCCGGGTCAATTCGTGTTCGGTCGAGCATTGCCATCACGACTTCCGTTTCGCGTTTCAGCATCGTTGACCAGACGACTCCGGAAAAGCGGATGATCGAGGTGGTACGATGGTATTTGTCTGCTTTCCACGCCGGGAGGAATGCGGAGGTCGCGAAGAAACCCTACAATCCGATCCTTGGGGAAATATTCAAGTGTCATTACGCTCTGTCGCCAGCTGGCTCCGAGGTAGGATCAATGATGGATACGTTTAGCGAACTTCCGTTCTTCCTGCGGGTTTCGACGCGTAACTGACCGATTTTCAATCCCTCCCCCGCCTCCACAGAGGAGAGCAGCATCGGATGGGCCGTGTCCATGGGCGACAGAAGACGACGTGACTTTCGTGGCCGAACAAGTTTCTCATCATCCGCCCGTTTCGGCATTCTACGCCGAGTGTATATCAAGGGGAATCACATGTTCTGCGCACATCTGGACCAAGAGTAAATTCTTGGGGCTTTCTGTTGCTGTACAAAATTTAGGCCAAGGTTGCATAAGTTTCCAGAAGTACGACGAGGAGTACACTTGTACGTTCCCATCGGCTTACGCGCGCTCCATTCTCGGCGTGCCGTGGGTAGAACTTGGGGGTGAAGTGCACATTAATTGTGTGAAGACCGGTTACAATGCGAAAATAGATTTCTTGACGAAACCGACATTCGGCGGAAAGAAGCATCAAGTCAAAGGAGTCATCCACAGACCTCAGAACGACGGATCTCGATCTCCGACGCCTTTCGTTCAGATAACGGGAGCGTGGAACGATCTTATGACGGCTAAATACTTGGACACGAACGAGACGTTCGAGTTTTTCAACCCGCACACTACGGCAACGATCAAGAAACAGGTTCGACCTTCCGTCGAAATGCTGCCTTACGAATCCAGGAGGCTCTGGATGAACGTCACCTACAACCTCCGGGAAGGAAATGTAGATAAGGCTACCGAACATAAGACTCTTCTCGAACAACGTCAACGAGACGAGACCCGAGAACGCAATGAGACAGGGAAGCGGTGGAAGCAAAGGGTGAGTTGAGAGCGAAAGTCATCCATAGATTTCTCACTCCCGAGTTATATCTTAGCCGTAACCTCTCAGAAATCGCGGCGGATACTATCGAGTTGGCGACTCGTCCTCAGCCAGAGATCCGGGGAATAATTTTCGATTCTCGTGGTCTTATCCTCTGTTCTAACTTTGCAGCTGTTCAGTGATAGGGGCGAGAACTGGGTCTATCGGAACTCGCTCGAGACTCGAATGCGTCAAGGACGCCGAAGGAGCCATGCAACTCTCGTAACGAACGCTGAAAACTAGTCTCGACCATTCTACACGCCTGAAAGCGGAGTGCATTGCGCATCGAGTTCTGCACTGGCTTCATCGCCCCCTCTACGGGAAGAATTGTTTTTATCGTGTATCCTGCTCGGTGCATCGGTAGGCAGAAAGCTTTGCTATCTTCGACTCACGCCACAAGACCCATCAATTTCGGATCCGACTCCGAGGAGACGGGTGCCGTTTTCCACAATTAGGATGGTAGTCCGCATTCCATGCCAGAATCCGGATCCGGACCGGAGGCAGCACGCTGACGCTACTGAAACAGCGTCAGTCTCGATCCGCGGATTCATCATCAGTTTTCTGATTCTATCTAGGCGGATGAGGAATGTTTGAGCGTCTATTTTAATGTACGGAAACTTGTTCTGGTCGAGTCGGCGATCGAGTATCGTGGACTATGGGGAGTCTAAATGATTATGTAGCGCTTTAGGGAACAAATTCGTATTCATCAACTGAATGTATGACGACGATGATGGTGAATAAGATACGGGGGAAACGGATGTGGATGATCCTTCAATCCGGTCGACCGGAACACGGGATCGGGAGAGACCAGACCAATCGATTGTTGACGTCTCTCATGAAATACGTTTGCTCTTGATTTTAATTTATCAATCAGCCGGGAGCTTTTCAACTCTTGAGACCTTAACAGATTTTCGGGACATACTCCTCTACGACTAATGCCTTACAAAACCTTAAGCTGTGTTACGAGCTCCGAATGTTCAATAAACTTATTCATATTATTGTTTTGTAAGAAGCGTGAGAGTAACTTCTATGGGAGGCACACTCAGTATACGGCTCGTCCCGCATGGGAGCATATCTATGTGTCTCTCAAACCTAGAACCCGCACCCGTCTGAGCCCGAGATCGTCGAGCAGTGCGAGATGAGTGACGGGGTGTTTCGGAAAAATGGAATGGGAATAGTGAGAGTCTCATCGACTGGGATTAGGAATAGTACAGAAATAACGCAAAATAATCATCAGGCGCATGGACTGATTCGAAAAGAATAAGGCGGACTTCAGGTGACCAAATTCCCCGGGAGAGCTCAGTGGCGTCCGCAGAATTTTCATGGAAGGGAAAGCTAGATCGCGTCTTCGCATGGGGCAGGGGGCTTTAGTCCCCCTAGCCCCCCCCCCCCCCCACGCCGACGCACCTGGGAGAGCTCAGGGAAAAGAGGCCGATCCGTTTTTCGTAATGAATGAGATGAGTGTTTCTGATATCATGTGATTTGAGGAGGCAAGTGTTGAACATGATCATCATGGTTCTATGATTTTTCTGCCTTTAGAGCTGTCGATAGAATGTACCGAGTACGCGAGGGTGCTCGAGGAAACTTTTCACGTAGTCGACGCCTGCTTTCCCCCATCAGTACTCGTTGATGGTCTCTGCGGTAGGAATTTCCGGGTCATCATCATATTCATGATTCCGAACGCTACCGTATTGCGAATTCCGTGACGTGGAGGAGAGAACGCCGCTCATCTATCCGGTGACACCGGATGACGGAGTCGAGAGCAGCTCGACCGGACCCAAACGGCTCCTCCGGGTCATGCGGGGAAGATGCGCTTTCAGTGAGTGGAGCGAACATCATAAAAGCGATGACGTTCGTATTTGAGGAGTCGTCCCACCAGAAACGAGAATCGAGAGCCAGCTCGCGCCGTCTATGCACAAAACGACTGCCTTCTCACCCATGCGACCCTCCCTGCTTGCTCGCTTGCTTGTTTCCTTCCGACAGAGGTTCATTGAAAGTTGCTCGACGACGAGGCAGCTTCGACAGAAAGCTCCGCTGATCAGAGTCCGGTATATGTGTGCCGTCACCTGTCAAGGAAGACGCGCCGAGACCCGCGACGTCTCTTACCGAGACGGAGATTCCTAAGCCTGATCGCAAATCGCCAAGGAAGCCCATCTCCGGGGCTTCTCCCTCAACAGCACCGTTCCGATGGGCAACAGACGCCGTGCAGCGATGGGTGCGGGGAAGGGATCCGATTGAACGCCCGCGGAAACGACCGCGTTTTCCGTGCTCTGATCGTGTATCTGTGAGATGAACAACACGCAGGAGTTGTTGACAGATCACTTATGACATTGCGTTTTGTGAAAGCTGTCTTTTCCGGAAGTGAGTTCACTTTGGACCCTCTCGCGCACGAATTTGGAAGGAGCAGCCTTTCCCTGCAAAGATCCTTGCAATAATGTGTAAGTCATTCCCGCTTCCGGAGCTGGTGCTCCAAGCCTCGGGTTCTGAGATTCTTGGGAGGCGCCGAAGTGAATTTCTAGATTTCCAGTCACCGGTACGCGCTCTCCGAATCGGAAGAAATACTTTCAATCGTTGTGAAACAGGCGTCACCTACTCTCGGATTTCCCCGGAACAAGTGCTGTGACGCATATCGCTGAGGTCGATCCGCTGCTATTGGCAGCGGATTCCCACTGTAGAGAGTATCGAATCTACCGAACGAAGTAAAGTCATCCTTGACGATCGTTTTACAGATATGAAGTGGATATGCTTCGCGTCCTTGCTACCTTTCGTCCACTTGGTCGACCCAAACCATACTGATCTCGCGTCGGATCCCACAGGGTCAGCCTCCGTAGCGAATGAAGGTTCGTCACATTGCCCCGACGGATCGTGTAGGATTTGTATGAGGGGTCTTATCCATTCCGGATTCTCCGGCGGAGGATCCCGCGAGTTTACTTTCTGTGATTCCTCTCGTTCAGAATGCGATGGCCTCCGCCAAGTCATCCTCGTCGATGGAGTCCACCCTAACAATCGAGAATTCGCAGACGCTGGAAATCGACGACGCATCAAAAGACACTTCGAAGGGACTGTCCGTATAAAAATCGCATTCCGTGAATTCGGAGCCCATCACCGGAACCGCCGACATCCCCCTCTGGAAGAAGGTTTCGGTCCACACTTCGGTCCCGGACCTGAATTCGGTCCTGGCGCCGGCGGCGAGAGGAGACCCCACCGTCGACGTGGTCCCCATGGGCCGAGGGGACCACATGGGTCTCGGGGCCCTGGGGGACCTCCTGGGCCTCGCCACGGTCCAGGCGGTCCGAGGGGACCACACGGGCCTCATGGATTTGATGGACCCAGAGGACCGCCCGGGCATCATGGACCCAGAGGACCACCCGGGCCTCATGGACTTGATGGACCCAGAGGACCACCCGGTCCAGGCGGACCGGAGAGGCCACCAGGTCCTGAGGGACCTCAGAGACACCCTGGCGAGTCGCCAGCTAACTTGGAGAGACATCCGGATTTGAGCCACACTGATGGTAAATTCCGCCTGTTTCAGCGCTCGCCAAGCTCGTACTCGCATTTCATGATTCTTAAACATACTCGCATTTCATGATTCTTGGAGGAAAAATTGTACTCGCCAGGTGCCACTTTCGAGGACAAAAAGGAGACACAGAAGCCGATTTTGAAGTTCCAAACGTGTAAGCATTACAATGCATTGTATGATGATATCTGAGGGCGGCCGAATCTCGTTCCTTACGAGAATACGATGAGGAACACTCACCAGACCTCAATCCATACACTAATCGAGAAAGCGTGAGACCTGAAGTCTCGTATCACAGTTCGAGACCTCCGGAAATCCATGAGTCCCTGCTCTGGGTGCCCAATTTGATGCGATCATTCAATATCTTCGAAGGATATCGTCTAGCTCACGGAGAGAGCTGGACTCGATCTGAACGAGCGAAAACGGGTTCCGAGAGGAGCGACTTGTTCGGAAAGTTCTCGAATGCCCCGCGCGAAACGACCGCACAGGGAAGGAATGCGTACTTTGATCGATGTTTCATTTTTCTCCTCCGCGAGCGGGTTCAAGGGTCTCGTGGCAGTCGTCGGAACATCACGGCACTGGCGAGAGGCCAACGCCAAAAGTCGGAGGTCTTTTCATTCGGACACAAGTCAGACTCCGATCGCGGAGCAAACGTACATCAGTGCTTCAAAAGAATCGTGAATAATCCGAAATACAAGACGAGGGGCGTAAGCGACTTTCCTTCGAGAGAAAGCTTTGCTTTGAGGGATTAATTATTCAATTGAGGGAGATTCCCCCGGAGATCATTTTTGTGTCAGATCGTCTGACAGATTCCTCTCTGAGCACAGCGGAACCAAGCATGGATGTCGCTGCAGTGGATGACGTCAGCAAAGTCCCTTTATGGGTCTAGCCGCTCGCATAGAAGAATCTTGAAAAATGACTTGGACGGCATGAATCGATGAATGGAGACTAAGAACACGTATGACTTCCAGCTTGTGGCGTAAGCACAACATCCCGAATCGTGGGCGGTGAAGAGGTTCACAAAGACGACTGGAGTTGGACTGTAAGTGGCAACGACAGATCTGAGAGCAACACCAAAGAATCGCCGTGCAAGAAGTAGCTTTCTCACGTAATTCACTCACGCACCCTGTAGATAGAAGGTAAATCTCTTCCTCACCGAGCTATCTCATGTTCTCTGTCAGCTTGCTCTTCTCTCGGGGATTGGGCTCTGGAGCTACGCTCACTTTTGCTCCTCTAAACTTCTTTAGCTGAGACGACCTCTCTCAGACCATACTCATTTCACAGGCAGCCCTCATGAGACCATCGCGCGCCGGTCTGGACCACTTCTGCGGCGCTACCATCGTCTCTGACTGGCATCTGATCACCGCTTCGCACTGCTTGAAGAAGTGAGGACCCGAGCGCGATCAGAATGCATGATCGAGAATCCTTGAGTATCGTTTCTTTCACGGAGCTTCGCGGTTTTTCAGTATGAAAGCCTCAGATCTCTCCGCGCGAATCGGTGTGATCAACTTGAAAAACGGTGATCCGTCACGGGATGTCAGAGTGCAGAAAATCGTCCAGCATCCGGATTATAACGCGACCAATTATTACGCCGACATCGCTATACTGAAGCTCCAAAATCCTATTGAATTCTCGACCAAGGTCCAACCTTGTTGCCTTCCCGACGATTCCGATGCAGCCGGTCGCGACGGTATGGAGAATTTCCTGAGGAGGTAGTTTGCACTATCGATAAGAATTTATCAATGCACATTAGCGAAAAACATCTTTCGTTGTCGCAGGTTTTGTCGTTGGTTGGGGCTCAACGTCTTTCGGCGGACCTCAGTCGCAGGTATTGCAACAAGTCTCATTGCCGATTTGGAGTAACGAGGAGTGCCAGAAGAAAATAGCGATTACAGTGAAGGACGTCATGGTCTGTGCGGGACGCAAAGACGTCGGAGGTCATGACGCTTGCCAGGTACGATTTGACGATTTTATCCCACTCCCCCCAGCCACATAATAGCTCGTTGAGTTTCCGCAATTCGAATTCATCTTTCAGGGGGACTCCGGTGGACCTTTGCTGGTTCGCGATGAGGCAGACAGATGGTGTCTGCAAGGCGTTGTTTCCTTTGGCTTCAAGTGTGCCCAGAAAGGAGTTCCTGGAGTTTACACTCGCGTCAGCAAGTTTCGGGACTGGATAATCGAGAATGCCGATTAGACAACCAACCGCCCGTTCATGTCTCCAACCGGGACACCGTTGTATACTGAGCGCCCTGCTTTTTCCGAGGGGAACATAATGGCCGCAGAAATCTCGATTAGGAGAACTCAAAAAGCACACTCTCCAGCAAGGAACTTCCCCCCCCCCCCCTCGGCGTACAGTAAGGAGTAAGGGTTGTACATGCGATGTATCAATCATATCAAGAGATCTTGCCGTCTTGGATAGTGCGCCTTCCACAGTATAACGTTTAGCTCCTTGGAGTTCCTTCGAGCCTCCGCGAGACCCAACGCAGGGCAACCGTTTCCTCTAGGATTGATAAATAATCATCATTCCCAGGCCGAGAAGAAGCGGGACGAGACGAGCCCTGAATAGACTTCACATTCCCTAGTCTAGAAGTATCCAAGTTTCGAGTGAGAGAGTCGCGCCACCGAATAGATCGTCCCATGTAAGAAGCTTCCGCGAGTATTCCTCTCCTCTCTCGTATCGAAGAGCGTTCTCCTCCCGCATCGATGGCTGAGCTTAAGAGTGGCTTCCTGCCGCGATAGGTTTCTTTTTCTTTTCGCGGTACACAGAAGCAGACTCGAGCGCGCGAGTTCCATCCCAGACACCGCCTGTTTTGCGCAGCGTATCGGGAGGGAATCAGAAGCTCGCTGCCGGCCTTGCTTGGAACCAGCTGACGTTCGCTCCAGTCGGAAGTTTCTCGGAGGAAGATCCGGGAAGCACTCGACGGCATTGGCTGTTTAAGCGCGGAAGCTATCCACGAGTGAGTGACCATGACCCTCGTCGGAATGTGTGCTCAGTTCTGTCCGAAGCGGGAAGTCGATGAGCGCACGAGAAATAGACAGCTCGATCCGCTCTTCGAAAGAGAAGTCGTTTTCAAGAGGTACACTCGATCGGCCGCTGGAAGATCAGCCGAGAAGCCTGAAGACGTGCGCCCTCCCGCGGTCCTCCTAAAAACCGTCGAGTATCTCCTGGGTGACACAGTAAGGCTTGCGGACTTCCCGAGGTGTTACCCCTTCATATGGGATAGATTATGGGCTGTGCGTCAAGATCTCACACTCCAGCAAAGTGCGTGTGTTCTGACGAGAAAAATCTTGGTTCGATGCGTGAAGTTCTATACGGTATCGGTGGTTCTTTGCTCTGGGCGCGACGTACCGCTGAGTTCGTTCGATCCCAAAATAAACGACACCCATCTCGTAGACACTCTCGGCAAACTCTTGCGAATCTACGAGGAGCTTGAAATCGAGGACGAAGATCGTCCTCTGATGGAATCTTTGTGGTTACTCATTAATCTCCGCAGCTCCAGAATTGTTTATAGGGCTTTCAATTTGTCGCCGGAGATCAAATCCAAAATGAAACATGTTCTGAAACTTGCAAAGACCTATTTTTCGTCGAATAATTTCCGCTTTCTTCATTCGATTGACGAATTGCACGTTCTAGAGTCGTGTTTAGTCAGCAAGATCCTCAACAGTGTTAGGCTCGATCTTCTGCAAATCCTGAACGTGGCTTTCAGCAGCAGAAGCTGCGCGTTCCCTCTGGCCGTGCTGTCGGACTGGCTCAACTGTGATGAGAGCGACTGTGAGAAAATCGTTGAATTCTGTGGCTTGCCGCTAGACGGGAACTCTAGGGTCAACTTTCTCAAAACGCATCGAAACTGTAGATTCATTGAGGATCAAACGACCTTATTCCCGAACGACAGCAGGAAATTCGCTATTTCCGAGGACCTCTCCTCGATACTACTACTGTGAATAAACCAATGCATTTTGAATCCGATTTCCTCGAGATAAGGAAGCTATACACGTCCGTCTACGAGAATCAATACCTCGTTGGGAAGAGTTCCTAGGAGTGGAAGGTATGCGATACAGGGCGTACCCTCGACTACAGCCAGAAAATTTTCAACTCGACTGGCAGAGCGGCGTCTATCGATGCTCAGCGGTCATCGAGAAATTCACTGCGATTTTCCATCCGAACTGTCTTTGCCGATTCCTTGGCGTGTCGTCGGCGTCGAGGAGCTACATTATTGCTTCGGGAATCTGTTCAATCTAATAAGCAAGGACATATACCTGTTGCGCGTAACGAAACGTTCATCCCATCTTCCCTCGAAAAGGTGGTCAATGGCTGCCTAATTCCTTGAATGATACGAACAAGTTTCCAAAGCTGCGGAATCAAGGATCCGGAAATCGCCGACCGCCGATCATTGTTCAGATTCATGGCTGCGACCTCCGAAAGCCATGCCAAAGACGCAATCGCGCGAGCCTACTGCGAGATCGGTCCGGAGCTCAGCTGTCCGTCGTGAGTTCGACTGTTGAATAATCAGCGTAATTAAGACAACTAAATACCCCTCTAGACCGGACTTCATCTTCTGCTCGTGAAAAATTGTCCCACGGCCGACGACCATTGATTCTGAAAGTATCGTACTCTTGGATCATATGCGCTCCGAGCTCATCCAATCACCGATGAGCCTCATTTGCTGGATGCGAATCCCGGCTTTCTGAGCTTCCTTCCATTCATAAAATCAGTTCTCGAATCGGAAACGACTCCGAACAGATTTTCGGGGGCTCCCCGAATCTGCCTCAGGACGCTTGATCGCCAGAGACTCCCCTTCCCGATTCCTCTTTTCGCGATGTTTCTTCGGATTTCTCTCCAGTGCCGGAGTCTTGAGGGGAGGTCACCTGTTGAGAAGGAAATCGTACACCGCTCCGTCGAGAACCCATCTCTCGGCAAGCATCCGGCGGGGAGGCTTACTGATGTGAGTATTTTTGACTTACTGAGCATACTTTGTACTTTGCGAAGCTTTGAAGTGAAGCCCGTGAAGCCCTCTCACCGACGATTTCGCTGTAAGCGGCGAAGACGGCGACATACATGTCGTCATGGATCGGCTCTGAGTCGAGGGGGCCAGAACGAGCCCAACTGCGAACGATAAATCCCGCTTTGCGCATGAATTATCTGATTATTAATTATTAATTATTCATTATCTGCTCGGAGGAGTTTTTCCCGAATGAGTAGAAATGGAATCACTCACAGATACCATTCACGCTCAGGGCGTGTCCCATGAGATCTACTCGCGGGTGAGTTCCACTTTTTTTCCTTGTGGCTCTCGTCTGAGAAACGACGTGATCATTCAACAGAGGTTCTCTGGGACACGACCAGGATTCAGCGAGACCCACCAAACGAACTTACGACGATACTGATAATGAAACTCGCAGTGGAGCTCCGGAAGAGGTCTCTGTGTGGACCGATCCGGCGGAATTTGACGCTCTCGGGCTGTGCGAGCAGTCGAGACACCTGGCAGACTTGATATACACATTCCAGGAGATGCAGATTCTCCTCTGTTCCGGGCTTTCTTCCGATTTCCAATCTCGAATCCGGTGTGAGGCCGGAACAATTCGAATGGGTCTTTCCATCCCATGCGCTCTCCAAGAGCTCTCTGCTACGACATGAGAATTGCTGTCCGGATATAATCTGCAGATGAAATCCGAGATCCGATCAGCCTCGGAGTGTCTGAAGGCGAATGAAGGTGAAATTGGAAGAACATGTTCGATACGACCCTCCTCGTTTCAGGAATGTCCGATCGAATCTGTCGACCTCGATCAAAAATGATCTGCTCAGAGCAAGAGGAGATTATGATCAACTTCAGATAGGCGTGATGATAAGTTTGCGGAACTTCTCGTTCGTCAGATGATAATCAGGGGAGGAAAGAAATAGTGGAGCGGCGATGATGAGCATTGAACAAATGGATATGTCGATATCACTGCGGGTGACGTGCTTGCGATTCTGATCTGTACAGAGGAACGAACAAACCTCTACATCATCTTGAATAGGGTTAGCAATATGAGCCACCTTGACGCCATAAAGTGGAGCTTATTTACGCCGCACCTGGACGCATGGAACTTTTGATTTTATCATCTCGGGGGATTCCGTCTGCGTTCAGGCGAACCACACCCAGTCACTGAACTCACCAGAAAAACTGTTGGAGGAAGAATGTGACATCGAGGCTACAGTGACATCTTGAGCAGTGGATAGCCGAGTAGATGAGTTGGCCTATGAGAAGCATGGTGTTGGCCAGAGCGATATACTTCAGATGGACGGAGAGCGAATCGCATAGCTTTCCGCAGTGAGTGGTAGAGAACATCAGACGGTCGCCACCGACTCCGGATAGCGAGAACAGGGGAATAATGAAGACGGACGCAGCGAAGCTTTCAACGAGATCTTGAGAGCTGGATTTCTAAGCAAGCCGAAAAGTTCTTGAGTTCACGACGGCGCATAATCTCGGAGCTTTTTCGCGATGTGAGAATGATGAGCCTCTACTACACCCATAGCTTCAAGAGACGGAATTTCCGGACGAAAAATCCGGGGTGGAAAAGCCGAAAAACACTCCAAAGCCCGACTGTGGTCTCCGGGAGGCGACGCCAACGCGATATCGAGGCTCCATGGACAACTTCAAGCATTGAATAGAGCGAAGTCTTTTCACGACTTGCGGAGGTAGCGATTGATCCTACCATGAAAGTCGGAGAAAAGGGGCATTTGGTGTCGGCAAGAATCATTGAATCTTGCGGGGAGCGGCATCAGGGGTTTGCTCCCGCGGCTCACTCCCCACCGGAGGTTCCCGGAATAATCAGGGGTGTTCCAGAAACCTGGAGGGAAGACCGAGGCGGTTAGGTACCGCATGCCCGTCTCCCACATGCCCGTCTCCCACATGCCCGTCTCCCACATGCCCGTCTCCCACATGCCCGTCTCCCACATGCCCGTCTCCCATATGCCCGTTTCCCATATGCCCGTCTCCCATACGTGCTCCCGATCACGCCTCACGAGACCCTTCCCTGGACCTCAGGTAGGCAGAAGAATCAATCTGTCTCGCGGTATTTTAAGGGAGCGAAGGATCACAGTGTTTTCGGGAGCTTACCATCGAATGTCTTGAGGCCGAGACATTGTAGATGCCTACCGCGGGACTTCCGAATCACAATTTAGAAGATCTTCGAGCGCGTAACGGAATTCTTTTGAATCCTTCGAACCTGCATGGCCATCGTCCGATCACGACTGGAGAAAAATAGAGGCTCTTCGAGAGCCTTCGAAACGCTTACGAGAGACAACCATCCGGGGTAACCTCTTGCGAATGGGCTCTCGATGCGCTGTACAACTTTAACTGCGGAGGGCTTCGTGTCCGCGGGCGCCATCTACACTCCAGAACACTTCATGGTAGGGCATCATTTATTGACGGTATCCTTGTAGGGTGGTGTGGGGTATGAAGACGTTTCAATAACGCCCGAGGGTAGGGCAGTCGTATTCGATTCGGCAGCAGCGGAGTGCGATTTTCCCCATATAAAATCTCAGACATTTCGCAGAAGAGGAGGCTGGCTCGAAGTCTCTTCTAGAGAATAATGAGTGTTTGATGGACGCAATTCGCTTCGTCACTTGACCAGTGTTATTCCGAAAGTGTACTCGGAGAGACGCCGCGGCGGCGGTTACCCTCAAGCCGCACTAAAGCGGATCAGATGAGCGGCGGCGGCTCCGGCAATACCGATACCACTCGGATGGCTGACTTTCCCACGTTAATTCTCCTCCTTCTCCAAGATTGACTAATGTCCTTGTTTTATTAAAAGCAGCACCAAGCGATAGGTAGGCAGTCGGACGAGCGAGCGAACGCGCGAACGCACGAAGGAGGGATACATATATACGTATAAATCGTTATACCGAGGAGTTATTCAGAGCCGTACACTGGCGGCTAAGCGGAATCCACTTTGATCGGACGAGGGAGAGCCTCAGCGCTGTTTCATCAATCGCCCACCACATAGAGACTGTGGCCTCCTCATCACCCGCGTCTTTCACTGCCCGCCAAGAGGGGCTAGTGGAAAGCGGATTTTCGTTGGATGAGGAGCTTCTCATGAATCCACGGAGCTCCAGTTGTCCAATGCATCAGTCGGCCCCCAATGCATAGTCATTGCTCCCCGGAGGGATGTTTTCTATATTGATGCACTTATGAGACAGATCCTTCAACCAGAATGCTCGAATCACCTGAAGTCAGATTTGACGATAGAAGTCATTCACGTGAGATAGTTACGGGAAGAGTCCTCTCACGATCATCGCCTCCTATGCGAAGATCACCTCCTCTCCAGCCCGATGATCTGGTGAGCAGCAGATGATGGTTCCAAAAAGAGCCCGTTCGGAACGACGACGAGCATCTACTCTTCCCGCTCATCGGGGGAGGATGTATGAATCCTCTCGCGGGAGGTTATTCTGCGTCGTTCCCCTTTCGTCGCCAGCAATGAGTCCCGCAATGCAGGTTCCGATCGAGACTGATCAGGACGAGGTACAATCAATCAGCAGGGGAGAAATTCCTCCTGTTTCCGAATGCGAGGCCTTGTGCCTTCATCGGAAAATAAGCGGCTCGTGAACCAGAGCTTGTAGGGAGTGGAAGAGCGTCCGTTCGATTTTGGAGAAATCATGAGACAAAGGCATTCTTCGGAATCTGACAAGACGATTACAAGGACACACGTCTACGGTAGAGGTTCGGTCGCTCCTCTGTGTGGAGAAGTGGTGTGTTGCTGCTTCCACGTGCTCACCCAAGCCCTCACCGATTCGCGTGTGTCCTTCAGTGGCTACTCCGTACCGCGGGGAGGTCGAATATCTACGCGCATTTCTCTGCGGGCTCTAGACCGACATTAAGTCAATCGAGGGAAAGACATTCTCGGATTTGCGCGACCGAGAGAAATTCCAACCACTATTTTGCTGATTTCGGGGATCTGCGGAATCATGAGTGAGTCTTATAGCAGAGAGAGTGCTCCGTTCAAGCAATCGAAGGACTCAAAACCCCCGCCATCTGGCCCGTTGCTATGTCTATAGAACCCTGGGAGTCGCTTTTTTTGCTCTTGTGAGGATCGCATGCCTTACGACGCTGCTCTTTCTGATTCGAATGTTGGATCGAGAGGTCACGGATCTCGCTACGGATTCGACCACTGAGGGAGCGAAAATTTAGTCAAAAATGTCAGCATTTCAATTTTGAGGAGAGCATCGAAGAAATTCAACCAAGAATTGACCTGGTGATTCAGCTGCCGTCACGATCGCTCCTTGATTGTCGGGCCTTCGGAGGATACGGAATAGGAATGAGGTAGAATAAATATTCATGTTTTCCCCGGTCTCCACCTCTGATGTCCCGAACACATCTAAAAGAACGATTCGTATGTTTCAAGCATGTGAGTACTCTACGGAAGCGGAAACTGAGAGTCCTCCCACAACGTTTGGGGTTCGCAAATTCTGCATGGACGGCGAAGGAGGGGATGAGACAGCAGATCGACAGAATGGCCGGTCTGCAGAACGCTGGGTTCTGTTCAGATGTTTTCGAAAGGCCTTCATATAGCGGATCGGGAGTCAAAGTACTTGCTGTAGACTTGAATGCCATACAGAGAAGGCTTCGATTCAGCGGAGCCGGATTCTGCGGATTCGGGACGGCACAGCGTTTCTCCGGTGTGACGATGATATGCCACAGACGGCGAGTATGCGGCTCATGGACTGCATACGTGCCACACATGCCTATTCGAACGTCTTTCCGATTTGAGAGACGGAATATGCATTGTCCGAACGCCCAGCATGTTGTAAGAAGGAGCCGAGTTGGGTACGCGTCGTCTGAATATTGATGGAGAGTCCTGAGACCTCCTGCCGCCTCTGCTATCCTACCATGGAATTCTCGGGGCACGTCTTCACGTCATCACTGCACTTGAGACAACACTGTCGAGAGTGGAACGGACTCATCCGCGGCACAAGGAAATTCCCTCAGGGTGCCAGACAACGGATCCGCCTCATCATAGATTTTTATCCAAGTCTGAGTATCTTGTGGTGATTAGTAGGTCCGTCCCGATCGAGTCTATCTGCAATATTCCGGGAGATCTGTCCCCGGCGACTACGCCCCTCTCGCACGCGTGACAACGGGCTTCGGCTGCTCTTCGGATGGCATCCTTATAAACTTTGGGAGCAGGTATCCGTTCGAGCTAAAAATTATGTCGGAGTTCGTTCTTGACATGAACCTTCCGACTACGAATTTGTTGGTCGGTGTCTTCGCGTGGGCCGAAGTTAGAGACCGCTTTCTACTAGCCGACGTACTCCTCCATGGGGATTTAGCATGGTTCGAAAATACTCTCGAGCCTCTGATTTCCGGCATTTTCAATTTTTTCCACAGACAGTATGTGGAATCGATATGCTAACATAGGTTTCGGGTGGGCCTTGATACGGTGCATCTCTGACATTTTCAGCTCTCAACGTTCATCCGTTTTCTCGGAAAAGCATCGAATGTATGTTTGAAAATACTGTTGTCGCTACTGTAGATTGATCGTGGATAAGCGGTGTTAGAGCCGAGACTCCGAGGCTGATATTTTAAAATGCCTTCAAGCTTGCGGTTCCCAGGTAGAGTCTTCAGCTTAGAACAAATACCCTGATTGGAAGCATAACTCAAACTCGACGAGGCCGCGAGAAGAGCTCGAGTCCAAGTCTCTCCCCGATGTTTAACGTCTCATGGGTTGATGCGCGCATCGTCTCAATTCTGAGAGAAACCATCCGTCGAAGGCCGAGCTCCGCCTCCATTTTCTCTTGAGCTCGAAATTCCATCAAAATGTCGCCGTGGACAGACCCTCTCACGTAGGCATTTCTCCTGGTGAATACTACACCGATATCCGAGGCGTATTGGGTTTCCGATCAACATATGATAACCCCCTCTCGATGCTTTCTCTAGTGAGTAGAGCTCCCCCCTGCAATCAGAGAAGATAGAGGCGGAGCCGCAGCTGTCGGGATTTTCTTGGAACGTTCTCGAAGTTCAAAAGACAGTATTGCATCCGAAGTACAATGCAACGAATAGGCGTGCCGACATAGCGATCGTGAAGCTGCGGAATTCCGTCGAGTTATCATCGAAGCTGCAACCCTGCCGTCAGCCTGTTGATGCTGCGGAAAGGAATGGTGAGTCCACAGACTTGCTCGGAAGATCAGATTGAAGAACCTCCATTGTCCGGGATCTTCCCTCGAGTTTCCCCCTTTTCTGGACAATCGAATGTTCTCCCTGGTTGGGAATCGAGATCTGCATTTTACGAGAAGCAGAGTCTCAAACGAATCGTGATCTACATAATAATGACGATCTTCGCCGGAAGAAATCGGTGGACGTGGCCAACGAAGACAAGATCTGTCCGGGGAGCGCGACTCGTCTATACTACACTCGTATACGGACCTACTACGAGGTTCGAAAAGACTCGATTTTTGTGCGAATGAATAATTATTTCATCGTGAAAACCGGGAAGTTGAAAAGTAGCTCATGAAGAATCTATTTCACAGGGGTATCACTCGTCACCCTCGCTAGCCCGCGATAATGCTAGCAGATGGATTCTTGAGGGAATCGTGTCTTCCGGCTTTCATTGCACTGACTCACCTCAGATATACGAATTAGATCAGATCACAAATTATTACTTAGATGGATTAGAGCGCTCACTCGAAGAAGGTCGATCGTGCAGTCGTCGATAGCCGCCCCCCAGAAAAAGGACACAGAAATCTGCCGTTCAGCATCTGGCTCCATGACCCTTCGATTGTAGGGGTCCCCATTGAAGACTCATCCATCGATGCTCGACACGAAAGTCTCCGCATCATGTGGAATTGTGGAATCGTTCCTGCGAAGAAGCCCACCCATTCATATTCTGAAGCGTAGATCTCCCAAATACCCCTATTGGGGGATATTAGATCTTATCCTCCTCAATAAACATTTCCACTCGCACCTGGCTCATTTCATGTCTTTCTCATTTCTATCACAATCGTCCGGAAGCGGGAGGAGAAAGATAGGTTTCTTGAGAATCCAAAGGAAGTCTATCACTGGAAATACACATATACAACTGCCTCGAGAACCAGCACATCGCTAGCTAGGAAAATCGCGCATCTTTCCATGAATGCCGCCGCGGGCCTACCCTGGCTTCTCTCGGGCGTTCTCGCCCGATCCTGCGTTTCGGGCCTGAAGTACCTTTGAGGGCATTCAAGGAGTCCCAGGGGAGGACTGTTGAGCGATGAAGGAACCTGAAAGATCTGACTAGACGGAAATTCTGAAAGGATCTGACCCACTCCGATGCTCGCCAAGATGATTTTCCAGTTTCAACGAGTGATGATGCCTTGTACATGTATGATGAGCTCTTATCGAGCGACCACGTCGCCGATTGAAAAATTTGGCCTTTCACTGCCTATAAGGGCTTTCCTGCCTTCTCGCAGCGTCCTGCATGTCCTCTCCGGTGCCTTATTGCCGGCCTCCTCTGAGATTTCTTCGATGTCAAAAGTTCGCTGATTCTCAGCTCTGGATATCATGGTTGGTGCGCCTCCTGACACTCCTGACACAGAGGGTTATGCCGACCGAGAATCTCTTCCAAAACTATAATCATCTTCACCAGCTGGACGAGTGGAGAGTATCCACATCAGGGGATCTCCTCAAGAAGCATCCGGCGGGATCATGATCGATGCAAGAAATTTCCCGGAAGAAACTTCTGGATTGCGCCCAATGTTGTTCCTTCGTCTTCAAACTGACGAGCCTGATTTTTGCACGGGATTTTAAGCTCTACGCAGCCTTCACATCCGTCATTTTTTTCTGTCACCTTCAGGACTCACGAGGCGACGTTAATTCAGAACGAGGCGACGTTAACTCAGAAAGAGGCTTGCGAATTTCTATACTTACATGGCTCAGGAGCTCAGGTGAACAGCGCGCCGATGCATATGCGAATGGTTGTATCGATCATAAAAAAAAACATTTTTTCGGAACAAGCATAGCGGATCGCGGAGCTCTGATTTGGCGACTGCTGCTTTTTCTGTGCGAGAAGATAGAGGCCCGACCAGTGAGTTCCCTGCCTCTTAAAGACCGATGCCTTCAAAGTCTGCGAGAGTGAGATTTGCTCGTACGCGCGGTCCAGCAGCAGACCTGACCTCGGCATGGCTCACTTTTCAAGACGGTGTAGATACACCAGCTGATCCGCGTTCCGGGTTTCAAGTAATTCCCTCCCCTACCGGGAAAATTGTCGAGCTTCTGCTCATGTCTGCAGAGATTCCATTGAGTTTTCCGCTCCTGCGCTCGGCATCATATTCCAGGTCCGAGAGATGTTAGCACCGAAACTTGTGAAACTCTCTAGTGTCCACGGCGGCCTCAAACGGCTCATGTGCTCGCATGTCGTGGAGAAGTTAAAGGTAACCTTGGGGATTTCTCTCTCCGTATTCTCATATGTATGGAGGCATATCTCACGAATCGCAGATTCAAATTCCAAGTGCTGCTTCCGGAAAAGTGGACTATGAAATGCCATACATACGAGTTGGCGATAGAAACGGCACCACAAAAATCGTGGCCATCCATGGCACACCGGGATCATTGGAGGATTACCGATGTCTGATAGCTCCTCTCCAGAAGCGAATACCGAAGCTGGAATTCGTAGCCATGACATTGCCGGGTGAGACAATAGACGCAGGATCCGTAGTCTCAGGAGGTGTTCGGCTCCGATAGAGAAGCTCGAAGCACTCGGATAGCCGAAGAAAATAAATAAGCAATCAATCCGTAATGGACACTTACGCTATGTGCTCCGGAACTTTATACGACAGTTTCGCTCCGAGGGCCCCCGACGCGCCGGAGAATAGCAAACAGAATGATCGGGCAGTCTCATCTTACTTAGATAAAACTCTCGGTTCGACCCGGAAGATTTTCTTCCCCAAATAGGGAGTTCCTTTCTCTCCGACGCGAATAGCATTGAAGTTTGCGAATGAATGTTACATATAGTTCCAGTCCCCTTCCAAGTTTGGATTGAAGGCTCGACGCCGACGACCATTACGATATGGGGCATACATTTCACGTAGCTCACTTCCTTGCCTTATCCATGACATCTTGACAGATCTGAATTATTCGTTCCGAACGGGGGCCTTCTGGCATTCGGCTGAAGAGAAGAAGCAGCTCATTTTGGAATTGCTCACGAGTCTGCGGATAGAGAATGTCGACGTTCTGATCGGGCATTCAGCCGGAGTGTATCCAGCACTGTTGACAGCCCTGTATTCCCCGATCCGGGTAAGATCTCTAGTATCCTTATCCAGCTCCGGGACGAAGATTTTAAGGTGAGGAAAACCCTGAACTTGCGCAGCTCGATCGGTCAAGTGAATCGCATCCGTATCGATAGGGGAGGTCTACTTCCAGGAAGTCGCCGGCGATCCAAACTCATATTCAACTTCGGCCTGAATTGCAGATTTCTTCATCCGGAGTGGCTCTTCTCGAAAATACTTCTACCCCTCGTTCGGCGTCCTTCGACTAGACCCGCTGTTCTGGCACTCTTCGACGCCGCGATGGTCGTAACAGGTTTCGACAAGATGAGCGGATACGACGCATGCTCGTCCCAGCAAAGTCAACATGCTACCAGATACTGGGACAAGCGGAACGCTCCTCGTTGGTTCAGCGATCTTGAACGAAAAGGTTCCAGCGAGAAGATTACGATTGGGTGGAAGATAACCTCTGAGTGAGAGGCTGGATCTCATTTGACTTTTTTCCCAGATATACCTCGGTTGATGATTTATGGAGGGAGAGACAGACTCGTCAGACCTAGAGATAGCGCCGCCCTGACCAAAGTCTGGGGTAGTCCCTCTCCTAGCAGCCATTTCATATTCGACGGCAAGGACGACAATTCAGCTAGCCTTAAACAAATGGTAGGGATAATTTCACTCGAGGTACTTCCGATTGATTGACCAGTATGAGATGAAGATCAATTACACTTTCCAGGGGGATACCGAGAGTCGATGTCCCGTCCTAGTGTTCAATGAAGGAGGACACTTCGCCTTCATGCAGTTCCCCGAAATTGTCGCTGAGCACATCGCACGACTGAATAAATTCATGGTTTGACTCAGGTTGTTCGAAATAAACGAGATCCCTCTCTTTCAAATACAACATCTTAGGGAATAATCCCGGAACTGGGCGCATTATCATGGCGGGTCCATGACATCAAGCCCCATTTGAGACTCGAGATCGTGCTCATCGCGAATGGACCTGACATTGCCCAGATTGGGATGAGATGTATAACTAGTATAGTAAGTTTGAACGACCGCTGCTGTAAGGTCCGCCCCCCTATCCCAGCGGCGAACCGTCAAAGATCATCGACAGCATTTTGTTCGATTATGTGCGATGGGATTCCATTATTCTCAAACTCGAACCGCTGTCATCGTCGCGCGAGTTCTGGCCGACACTCCCAGCTTCAGGGGATATCATTTGAACGTGCTTGCATACGAGCCCCGGGTCCGCACCTACTGTTCGAAGGCGGCAGCTCCGTTGCTTTGAGTTCCGACCTTTAGTGATTGATGTCTATCGGCGGCCGCCGTAGCTAGGGATGGATAGTTTGTGTCTGTTCGCGGTTTTCGTTGCTTCATGATGGTTGGTTCCGAGCGAGCACAGTAAGTGAATCGGCACGAGTGGTCCCCCTGCGGAAGCAGCTCGACGGAGAAAGGCCAGACCCGGCGGGAACCATTCCCTATCAGCTGAGGCAAGACGCCTGCCTCAGCGAGCAGCACACTGATTGTTTTCAACACGGAGATTGACATCAATGATTCCTCCCCGAATGAAGCGACATCGAGCTCCTTGATTCTCGAGCTTCGCTCTACATATTTTTCCGCGGATCAATCGATGTCGTCATAGGAGTCAGCTCCGATGTCTCCGTTCCGCCGTTAGCTGAGAGTGTCCGTTCCGAACGGCTGTGGCCTAAGGAGCTTCACCTTACCGTAGTCACGTAGTCCGCGAGTCTCGCTGGCTTGGCTCGAATATCTTCATAGAAAATTGTTTCCGCGAATCGAGTGATACGGGGTTCGACTTCGGGACTTGGTATTCTATTGTCTCATGTTTTCATCGAAGATGAAGCCTTCTTGGATACAAACTATCGCTCGCGACGCAATGATTTAATCTACTTGGTACTCATGTTTAGTAAATACATTTGGAGTCGGTCCAGGGCTTCTGGTCTCCCACGCGCGGCAACCCGCTCCGGGGAGGTTCAATGGATCTCGAAACTCGCGATGAGCCTGAATAATGGAACTAATTCAGAACGATCGCAAGCATATCAAACCAATACTTTTTTAGGGGTCTCCCGCCATCGCCAGACATATCGCCAGAGTGGGTCATAATTCATGACATCGGAGGTTCCGATTCCAACGCGTCGACTCGCCACGAAATCCACGAGCTCGAGTTCGACAGAGCTTTAGAATTCACCCCCAAGATCATCGTGATCGAACCGCGGAGTTTGGCGGACGCCACGACGAGGTAAGATTGATATAGCCCCTCATGCCGCCTCGACGCGAAGCCTCAATTAAAAAATCACAAATGTCCCGAGTCTTTCCAAGACAATCCCTGTGTGATTTTCGCTCTGCCCAGGTTCGAACTTCGGGTTCCTCAAATCTCGAATTAGCTCGTTCCGGCGCGATTCACTCGATGCGTCGCGTGTTCCAGACTCTTTGAGATACAGTTCGTCATACATTAATTTGCGGACATGACGACCTGATTTTGGGTTTTGATTTTTCAGATGGATTAACATCGGTAACGGCCTCAACCGGGTCGGGATCGCTTGTGGCCTCGCAACGGCAGCAACGTTCTCGGCCACCAAAAGCACTTCCCAATCTCTGTAGGTTTGACGTATTAATGGAGCTCCAGCGCAATTTCTGTACACCTGTACGGAGCCGGAGAAGCCGACTTCGGGTGTAATCGCTTTAAGCTCTCAAGACGTTTGTTCGCATATCTTTCTCCTCCTCAGGTACATCATGTTCCCGTTGGTGGGTGTGAACGCCCTGTGTTGCACGTTGTACAACATGTCTTGGAGCAGCGATCCCTGCGTACACTACCAGGTTGGTTCTCAGTGACGTATAACCGCTCCGGAAGTCTGGGAGTCTCCCGATACGGACATAGTCCACAGTCTCCAGACGTTCAGCGCTCAGAAACAGCGTTTCAAGAGATCACTGCATTTTCCTTCTAGGTGAACAAATCGCCCAAGATACTCGAGGAGCTGCCCACGGGAGACAAAATCGCGAAATCTGTGATTCTAGTTCGATCCTCAGACACTAAGCGAAGGGTCTTTCACACAACTGTGACCTTGGTTGCTCTATCTCTGGTTGTACTCAGAGTTTTCCAATGGTTCAAACATTTGTAGATTGTTTGGGAACTAGAAGCTAGATTCAGCAAATTCAGGTTTGCCCGGACTCGCCGGAAATCCATGCCGCATACTTCATCGGCTCGAGGAAGAAGCTAGATAAGCATGATTCCTTAAGCTTTGAAACGATCGACTATCGGGAATCGTGATCCAGAGTTGGACGGCGTGTATTTCTTCGGCGTGGATATCGGATCGATCGGGAATCCTTTCCTGGCGGAGTTCTTGGCCTGAGCGGGATTCCCTTCTGAAGGGGATCTGTCTGAGATTGAAATCGCCGACAATGCCGCAATCGATCATCGTCTCGTCCGAGTCCGTAATGATCGTGTAGAGGTAATCCTGACGTGGCAGCCATAAAGACTTTTCCTCGCGCTCGAAGAGTTTGCATTCCGTACATATTTCAACTCAAGTGGGGCACACCTGAAAGAATCGTCGTCTGTTATCTTTGCTGATCGAGCTGACTGCCCGAGGATACGCGCACCCCGCGATTATTGAGCGATGGAAATGCGCCGTGCATCGGATCGTGAGAACGAGTGATATTGTAGCGCTGAATAGTTCTTCATCACATTGTAGACGGATGTGATCGCGAAGGCGGTGGAGTAGCCCGCAGCAGATGGAATATTTTTGTCTAGAAAGGTCGAAGAAGGTTCCCAGCAGGATGTCCGGGAGCCCCTTTTTCTGGAGGTAAATCTCCTTTTTCTTCTCTTTTTCCTATGGTAGACATTCTTTCTTGCTCCCCTGTTCACCATCCAATGGAATCAGTCCCCTTTGGGAATCAAGAATGCCAAAGTTTGATAGGAGAATGCGATTGGCAGGTTGGTGATTCACACAGATGCCGCATCTCATTTGCGATTCCGAAAACCAGGGATTGTATCGAGATCCTCTGGGGAAGAAGGTCTCTCGCGAGGGATCGATTCCAAGCGTATGGGAGCACGGCTTTTGGAAGGGAGTGAGCATGAAATCAAAGCCGGTTTTTGATACCGGAGTCGCACATTTGGGATTACATCTCATTGGTGCGAAACTAGTGAGAAACAGAGAGAGACCTAGGGGTCTTTCCCTCGGGAATCGGTACATTGACTCAGCAAGTGGTTCCTGGACTCATCCGTGTTCTTGCTCCTCATGCATATACCTTCCCGATGTTGATACAAGCTAGGATGACTCGAATACGATTCCGTGTAAATAAACTCTGGAAACGAAAATCAAGGTTCGAGTGTTTTCCATTACTCCTCCCATGCCATTCTGAGTAGGCGTCCGCGACGAGACGAAAAGCTGGTCCGCGAATTTGTCTTAAGAGGGGAAAAGGATATGGTGAATGGTCTCGCCGCTTCAACTGCAAGCTATTGCAAGGTCACTTCATTGTTAGAGCTCTGCCTCGGAGCTCGTACATTTTGATGGACTGGGTCTCTCCAGATCTCGTGTATGATCATATGACAGTTCGACTCTGGACTTCCGGGGCTCAATATTTCTTCTGACGCACGATCGGATACGACCGACTTGACGGGTTGGAACACACCCGCAGATTTGAGATTCGGGAGGCGTGGGACCGGAGCGCACACTCATCGAAGAACTCGATACGGCCAGGAGAGCATGTTTCTTCCAGCTCATGTTTTGAATCGTGATATAAGGAAAATGTGCGGAGCCGCGCATCAAAGTCCGACATGAAAACGCCGAAGATGGCCCCTGGGTCGCCATCGATATATCTCATGATGTCCGATCTGGCGGCGAGCCTTTCAAAATATACGGACTCGCTCCGGATCCCTGAGCCCTGTGAGAGATCACAGACTTCCGCGGCGAAAGCTTCCTGTCCGACGATCAAGGCTATCACGCACTCACGAGGATCTGAGGCGCGTTTCCACTGTGGACTGAAGTCGACGTAAAGATCGACTCCATTATCTCTTGCGCAACTTGTCCCAAAATCAGAGTCTCATACGGAATAATCTGAGACCCACCTCGGATTGTAAAACAGACTCTGTGTCGCTACGTGCTCTTTCGACGCCGGGGAAGCAACGAGGTGCTCATCGGGTTTCAGCTTTCGGATCGTGGAATCGGAGGTGTGGTCCAGATTCCGTCCCAACCTTGTTGATAGCCTCCGGTCCGTCTGTAACTCAGATATCGAATATATTTGCGGGGACGGCTAGAGTTCAGCGGACTCCGAATGGATGAGAACTCAAGGAATATTCACCTTGAAGCCATCGTCCGAGGACCTCTCCATACGTCACTTGAGGAAATCTCCGGGACCCGTGAGTCTGATAGCCTTCTGGAACACAAAGGATTAGAGTTTGGGTCGGATACTCCTTGTCGGCTGTCCATTGGGGTGGACCGGGGCTTACATCGCCTCCTGGAGTACCACCAGGAAGCGATGAGATATATCACTGGAGTGAAATGGTAATAATTTCGAAGGATCTAAGTCTGCTCCTGGGCCTATGGACAAAGAATCGATCGGAATCTGTCGGGAAGCGTCTGCTGCTATTGGCAGCGCGAGGCACTGAATTCCTGTGGACAATTTTTGGTTCAGAATACTGGATATGCTGATTCTCGTAGCTTAGGATGTGTCTCCAGTCTCCATCCGCGCAGAAGCCGCATAAATATGACCCTTCGAACGTCGTTCTATGACGAGTGCCGCTCAAGCATGCCCCCATTCGCGCGTTATCCCCCCTGAGAGTCGATTACAGGATAGTAGCTGATCCGTTCGTGCTGCAAGTCCTTCGGTGTCTGGAGCGAATCAGAGGGGAAGGAGAATTCCGAGGAGACGGCAGGCTCGGGCAAGATGGGAGTACGACCGGATCTCCTTGATGGCCTAGCCTCGAGCTTGGATCGAGATACAGGCAACTCACCAAGAAGAAGTCCCACCTCGCAACCCGATTGATCCGATAGAGCGGCAGACAAACTGCACCGACGGACGCTAATGTTCCCCCCAAATAGACTAGACAATCGATCGTAGTGTTCCTTGAGGGTAGGGGGAAGGGCGCGGGGCGAAGCAAGTCGAGGGATCCGGTCTCGTCAGCCCCATACCGAGTCTAGCGAGTCAACATATCCTCGCTGCCTGAGATCTGAGGTGCGGTAGTTCTCGAGAAGGATTGCAAAGCGTGGATGAGGAGACTGATATCAGATATCAGAGCTATAGGGTAGAATTCGACATCGCGCCGTTCGACCTTCTTGGGCAAACCCCGAGAACTTCCCACACTTCGAAATTTTTCTTGGAAGGAGAAAAGCTAGGCACTATTCCCTCGAAAGCGCAATTCATGGGGAGCTTCTTTCTCATACCTCAAAGTTCGAAACCGAGTCTTTTTGGGACGCGGCCCTGGACGGTGTCGCAAACGGCGTCAGCACGGAAAAGACATTGGAAGGATGTTCCAAACATATGAATCATTTATTCTCTTCTAAGATTATTGCACTTCAAATCTTCCGAAGCTCCTAAACACTGTATTTATCTACACATAGCCTCGCCTTACTCAAACGGATTTCCAGATGCCTGTTGGTTCAGCGGAAATCTGGGACGGAAACAGCCGAGCCCGGGTTCGGCATCATATTGGAAAAGGGAAAGTCCCGATGAGCTCATTTCGGGGTCCCCGTGCGGAGCTCATTCTTCATAGAGGAGTTTTTATGTCGAGAACAACTTCATAGGGACTATCATGGAAATCGGCTTCGTCTTCAGCGAGAGGGACCCTACCGTCCACGCTCGAGGTTGCATTCTTCTCCGATAGATTCGCTCTCGATTTTGCTGAAGCGATCGCGAAGCTCAACTCGGGGTTCATCCTGTTCCGGTTTCTTCGGGTGTGAGTCAGCTGGAAAATGTAACCTTGATGTAAAGGGAGCTTCGCAAGTTCCCGCCCTAATCGAATGAAGGCAAGAGGAGCCCGACGAATGATGTTTCATCTTCCATGAAAAACTCTGGGACGCAAGACTAGGTTTTGATGGAAGTAGCTTTCTCAGCAGGAGGGGTGGGGCTCTGACGTTCTCGCGGGGCATAAACAAGCCTTATCGCCTCGTGAGTCAGGAGTCGTTAGGCTCAAGTAAAGATTCTCGGCATGACTCACCAGGACGGGTAATTCTTGGAATCCGGTGAGACCTGTGCTGAGATTCGAACACGACATTGTGTCGTCGTACAGATCGCAATGGCTCGGGGCAGTCGGTAGAGAAGGCATAGACCTTCCAAAACTCAAGAGCATCGAACTCGGTCGTTTGGCTTCTTGTGGTTGATCAGATTCTTTTTCAAACATCCGGGACCACGATTTCCCCCTCCGAGATTCATCGTACCCAGTCGCATTCTTCATATACCTGCAATCAGCATCCGGTGAGACCGAGTAGATGTTGGTGACACTTTTCCCGCGGAGCAGGCTCGCGAAACTTTTCTTATGCCGCCACGATTCCGCCGACATGAATGAAACGAGCATGAAATCGCCCCAATCTGCTTCAAAAGGACAGGCACCAGACTGAATCGCGTGATACGATCCCAGTCTCATGGAGCTTGTCGTCAAAAGCGGATTAAGTATATTTACCGCAATTCACGTAGTCGGCTCTCGTCAAGCTCATTTTCGAGACGAGTATCATCCATCTGTCAGTTATTCAATAGAATGGTGACACGGGAAGAGAGTCACAGAGAGAGGGTTTATGGAGGGCGCCGACGAATGCGAGCAATGAATCGAGAGGCATCTGACTCCAAGACTCCAGAGGAAGTATACTTCCGGCGCTTAAGACAGAGATCTATAAACTCAGACGTTCGCCGAATCGCAGTGGAGCTTAGGTCTTGTTTTCCCCAAGTTCTGTCTCGGTTTTTCAGAGTGACCGACGGAAACCACGATGGGTCATTTCCGACGGCTCCAGGAGTATCGTCCCGTACTCCGACTTTCCTGAATATCGCGAGAGAGTGCCGAGCTCGGGGAGAATGTTGAATCGCACCGTATTCGTCCGAAAAGAATCCGTGAAATAATTTCCTCAAATTGATTCTCATTCAGTTCTTGTGATATTGCAATGTATTATTTTGATGCTTTAGCCTCGGAAGGGAACGCTACTGCTGACTTATTGTATGCGGGTGTCTTCGTTGGGACCCTCCGCCGATTGAGTTTCCGAGGCGTACGCGCATTACATACGTTACGTTTTTTGCTCTATGTCTATCATCAGCGTCCAGCCGTCATGTGTGACGAATCAGGGAGGAAGGGAGCTCTCGGGGAATTCGGGCTTCTTTCTCGACCCTCGAGCTCGTTTTCTCGGATTTTGTCCGGATTCTCAGTGGAGCAGCGAAGTCCTTCTGGCATGATGGATAGTTCCGAGAGGAAAACTCTTCGGGGAACGACGAGTGCTGTCTGCGAACGAGCTTTCCGGCGACCGACTCAACCTGCCCCACTTTGTCGGCGAGCGACGGCGTATGGAATCGATTTGTGTTCCTTTCCGACAGCATGATACGTTAGAGGGGAGATAGAGCAGTCAGAAACTTTTCCATGATCATCATCGAAGATGGCGAGCTTTGGGCTCCATCTGAGCTGATGTCAAAGAAGCTCCGGTAAGAGAAATCTGACTCCTAATTGAGCCTTATCGAGCTACCTTGCACGAACTCACTTTGTTTTGAGCATGAAGCAGAGGAGTCCCAGAACGAAGACGCACACGAGAATTGTCACTCCTGGGGAAGCAACGACAAGTCGATCAAATTACGAACTCGTTTTCCGATGGCATCGCGCCGAGGAACGACACTCTTGCACTTGACACGTACGGCATCATCGCCATCGGTGAGCATGATTTCGGCTGTCAGCGTGACACAATCCATGTAGAGCTATCAGAGAGAGCCACTTACCGAGAGCCGCGTAGGCGATGTTTTCGTTCACACGGGCACGGGTCACACCGTTATTGGGGTACTCGTTCGGATCGTAGTCTCCGTCGTCATAATAATCGTCTTCGCTTTTCAGAAGAAAATCGTCGGGTTTCCGAATCGAGAAATACGCAATTTTGTACGCCATATCGCGATTCGGATACTTCGATCACAGATCGAACTTCCGAACCCGAAACTGTACTCTCATGCCGGCTTCCGCACCCGAAGCTCACCCAGGGCTGGAGGCGGTAAGGCTGCCGGCGATGCTGCTGCTGCTGCCACCTCGAGTGCCCACCCTATGAGTCACGCGTGGCCCTCTCCCTTGCCAACCCCAGAGTGGGCGTAGATGAAGGTTGAGAGACCCGCTTCCTTGCCCGCCTCACGATCACCACTGAGATAATCCGATTTTTCCTCCGAGGAACAATCTGCTCATCAGCACATTGAGCAAATTAACCACTTCTCTCTTTCCCTCGGGATGAGCTCCGAGCTTTCCGTGGAGGTCCTGCCGACTCGAATAAACGATTCCTTGTTTTGTCGACTCCGCATCAACATCGCCGTCAAAGAGAGTTGATTCGATGAGCGGAGTCAAAACATGGAGAGAAAGCGGCAACGTTCCGTCAGGGGAAATGGCTGTGCGGTCTCCGAGCAGGCTGGCTGAGACCGAGGCGCGGGGCAGACGCAAATCGACGCAGTCCCTATGTCGTCATCAGATTGGTTCACAAGAATTCGGAAGGACTCATGTTGACTCTTTGGGTAACCAACACCGCGATGGCTCGGGAGCTTTCCGGCGGATTCCATAGAAAACCTAGAATGAAGACTTTCCTGAATCGTCCCCCGACTGGATTCGAGGAACGAAAGATATGTACTCCTAGAAGGGATCAGATTGTCTACCCTCTACACTCGCTTTCGAGGGATTCGCCAACTTTCAGAGGGATTGCTCCATCGGAGAACCTTGCCGGCGCGAAGAGCGTTGTCACCAGGCCTGAGATCACATAAACCTAGTCCTACCGGCCGAAAGAATATCAGATGACTACGTGTGCTCTCTGATGAATATTCTCTGTGGAAGAGATCCATAAGTCATCGCCATCACAGCCAGCGTTCGGGGGCGAATCGGCTCACCCTTCACCTATTCAGTGAACTATCCGGGGGACCTCCTCGAGACTTGGCTGCGATCTGCCGGTTTTTCATTCGCCAGTGGAAAAGTCGCTCTATCCATGACCGATTCAGATTTTCTCGGGGCATCGATACCGACCGGACAATGGTCGTCGATCGGGACCTGATACGTACAATCCTCACCCTGTGCTCGTCCAACACTATCTGTTGAGCGAACTTGGAGCCGCACCCTGGGTGGAGCGGCGTTGATGGGACTTGTATCGAGTAAGTTATTCAGGAGTAACCAAGTTTGGCCCGGGGCGATGGCCGATGCGGGATACACAGCTCCCAGAGCTCCTTTGCCGAAAAGAGACTGACCACGCAGCGAGAGCTCTGCTTACGTCGGCAAGATCGAGCACCGTCCCCCTGTATTGATCGAGCCGAATGAGAAACCTGATGTTGCAGATAGCCTGATTAATTATTGACCTACGGAGACGGATCGCACCAACAACTTTCCCTCGAAAAGATGCTGCTCGCGGACTCGTGGAACAGAATTCAATCAGAGTCGCTCGCTTAAAATCTCTTCGCCGATGAGCCATTCAGGCCTCGTTCTCCCGAAGCGAATAGCAGCGGCATCACTCACACTGCACGATAGAACGAAAGTTGTACGTCGAATAACCCAAAACGATTTTTCTTCCAATTGCTGGAGACGAATCCTCAAGGGTCGCCGAGTCTGTCTACCGCAGTATTTGTTCTCCGGGGATATGCATATGAACCCCGCGATCTGGGTCTTGCGATCATTCATGGTTCATGGGGCCATGAATCTAAGAAAAACATATATATTCGGCTCCAAGCTAGTAGCCGCTTTCTACGAGCTTCCACGCGATTGTCTATGGTTCACAGTGTACAATGCTGAAAATCGGAAGAGATCCCCTGGTATCGAGATGCGAAGCAGCGAGTCATCCGGTCGAGTGGTGTCAAACAATATTCCGAGCCATAGGCGGAAATTATTGTCGACAGAGAATGATTCTCAATTTCGAAAGGAATCAGCGAGATGTGTTTATGATGATGAGTCACAAGTCACAACGCTGTCGGGGTCGCGGCATCGTCGCTTTTCTGCATTGTCTGTTTGTGTGAGAACACAAGAGCGAGATCCTTTGTTTTGACCGATAAGAGACCACAATATATAAATATTCATCAACCATGCGGGCTATCGCCAAGGGGCTGTTCCTTGATATTGGTGCATATGGATATGAGCGGATGATCGATTTCAGCAACGCAGCTGTTTCCAGAGCGCGATTGATTCGAGTACAATACAGATTTGAACGAGCTCAGTTCAAGTAAAATTGATATGAGGGAAATCCACCTGAGCGGAAGTGATCTGGGCGGGATTCAGTTGGGCGAAATGGATTTGGGCGCATGTTTGAGCTATCGAGCAATTGATTCCAGCGCGTGGCTGATTTTGGCGCAGAATTCATAAGGGCGTCCCTTCCGGGAGACTGCGCGGCGTCCATCAAAGAGAAATCCTTCCGATCCCTTATCGACTTGGTTCGGGTTCCGTTGTGCAAAGCGGGCTACCCCGAGGCGTACGTCAGGCGGCTCTCAACGAGGAGACTCGCGCGAATGACGAAGCGAAACCTTTTACTTGCAAGTCTCAAACTCGCACTTGCTAGAAAATTCATTTATGTACGTTGGAAGATTAAGTCAGAAAATGATAAGCCTGAAAAACACTCCCACTATACGATGACGGAAAGGATTAAACGTTTCAATTCACGCTGCGACAGCCCGTTTCGTACCCACGGGCACCGCGGCCGGACCTGGCGTCGTCCGAACGTCCACCACCATTTTTTTCCAAGAGACGCTCTTAAGAGAGAACGAGAAAGCGCACTGAGAGCTCCGCACGGCTCCGATGCATAACACTATGGTGACAACCTTTGCCGGCCGGAGTCGCTCACTCTATGCACTTTGTTTTCCTCAACTTCGCCTGCTTTACCCCATCACTCATTGGTCTCGGAGTGGGGATTGCCAATGGTGTGTGGAAATGGATGAAGGGGAAACTTGGCATGAAAACAGCCTTCAGAACGTCCTTCGGAGAATCGGCCATCGCGTCGGCTATCGCTCGGATACGGGCACCTTCAGAAAGCGCAATCGATCTGATCGGAGAGGGGACGGTGAATCGAATCGAATCTTCATTGCGAGCCCGCGGATCAAACCCCTCCCCTCAAACTTTCCCCTTGAGAATTCTCTCAAATAATGGCCAAGTGAAGCACTGAGTATGCTTCATCGAGCGGGTGTATCGAAGCGCTTCTCAGCTCACAATTAGTCTTCAATGACAGCGGCGCCAGTGGACTGAAGTAGGCGCGAGACGGATTTCAGGGACGCTCAGGAGTTCCTCATTCAGGAAAGGAATATTCGCCGAGATATTCGCTCCCCTTGGCGGGTCGGAGGCCATGTCGACGACACCAGTAAGGTTCTTGGGGACCCCCAGGAGAGTTCTTCCATTCTCCATTGATAGTGGTTTGCCTGTAGGATGAGATTGACGCAGAGAGTAGAGTTGAAGTACGGAACGCAGATGATGAACCATGAATCACGAAGAGCCTCCAGAGGCTTTTCGTCCCTATCATTCGTGCGGGCTCATGCGTGGATCAAGCATCACTCCCACTGGGAGCACATGAGGAAATCCAGCATGACGGAAAATTCCTCAGAATTGATGGAGAAATTGAAGAGAATTGTCAGGGCCTGTCGCGCCATATGCATCATGCACCGGGCACAGACGACGAGGTCTCGAGTTGCCCCGAATAGAGAACATCCGGACATTCCTACAAGATATATAGCCCAGGGTCCCTGGGATTCCCGAAGAAGGTCATCGGTTCCGGCGGAGCGCGAGTACTCAGAACCGGCTACATCGCACGTAGTTCAAACAGCTGAGTAAACAAATAGCAGACGGATGTAGAAGGAATTAACTTTTCCCCTGAGAGAATGATTGGGTATAGGGAGAGCAGCGCGAAGTCATTACTTTTCAGCGTCCCAGGTTGAGAGAAAAACTCTCTCTTATCAATCGTGCCACGGGAAAATGTCAGCGGTGGGCAAAGATCATCGACATCATTGCTCATTGCGCTGATTCTTACGAGTTACGAGGCCCGTGCCGTTCTCATGATTATTATCCTAAAGAGAAGCCTCAACATCTCTGAAGCTCAATTCCGAGCTGAAATTATTCCGAAGCTTCTTCAAAGAAGAGAATTGAGCGGGCAATTATTAGACCTGCGTCGAGCGCCATAGTGTGCAGTCTAGCGAGCAACAGCGGCGAATACGGGGAGCGATGCGACTGGCGGAGCTGTTGTTGCCGATGCCGTCGAGGATTGGTCAAAGCATAAGGTCGAAACAAGAATTGTTGTTGTCGTCGTCGTCAAGAGAAATCCGAGCTACGTGAGAACCGGGAGCTATTGTTGGCGCCGGGAATCGTACACAACCGAGTATTAACACTTAGTCGCTCGTTCCTGCGTAAGAGCCGGTGTGTTGTTGTCATATCTGTGTGTTGGACGATCGGGTAGATCTCTCCCGGATTCCGAAGGATCAATACGAAAGACGTCCGTCTGGTCTGTCTACCACCGAGATGACTATCATAACCGTGCGTAATCAAGCCGAGTTCGAGGCTCATATGAAGGCGGCTGGAAAGCGGTTGGTTGTCGCCGACTTCACGGCCTCATGGTGAGTCCCCGTCGAGTCATGCCGGTTGGAGGAGAGGCCGTGCGACGAGACGTTGGCTCTGTCAACAATGATGAAGCAGAAAAACATTGAAAAAATAATGCCACACGGATCCGATACGGGATCGACGAGAGAAAATTTGAGAATTCGCGCTTGACGAATGACATCATAATCTACGCTTGTACAATTCGAACACTTCATGACAGGGATCTTGGCATCATGGTTCGATTCGGTTCTTTATTATAGGTGCGGTCCGTGCAAGCAGATTGCTCCCCATTTCACGGCCTTATCGAATACCCACGCTGCTGATGCTGTTTTTCTCAAGGTGAGTTATTGCGAGAGATGACGGATCTCGGATCGAGAAGCTCGAACCTACGCGCACGCATTTTGATGTGATGATTTCAACCCAATAGTTGGGCGTAATTTCTCCGCGAACTTTCTTGACCGCGTCCGAATTTTTTCGATTCACAGGTCGATATCGATGAAGCTCGTGATGTCGCCGAGAGCTTCAATGTGACAGCGGTCCCCACTTTCATATTCTTCAGAAATGGACAACGGCTCCAGAACCTGAGAGGTTCCGACTCCACGATTTTGGAAGCGAAAATCAATGAATTCATCGCAAAAGGAGGGTCCGGCGAGCAGGTGAGTATCTGCCCATTTCGTGCCCCAGCGTTGACGAGGCTTGTGATACGAGAACTGAGATTCTTATCATTCCATTGTGAAGCCGCACAAGCACGGAGATATCGGAGTTCTTATATCCAAGAAAGACTCGGAATGTCTCAACGAAAGCGATGAGAACAATTTCGCCAAGCTGATGGCAGGGGAAGGCTACTTGGAGTCAGATTGCGACGAGCAACTGCTTATCAACATCGGTGAGTAGTCTGAAGAGATTGGAATGTGTGAATCTCAGAACGGATGGTTTCAACCATGGGAGGACAGAAGCCTTCCGGAAACTCGGAATATCGCTGAATTTGCTTCAAAAATTGCTAGGTTTCACGCAACCGGTGAAGCTCCACTCACTCCGTCTCACTGGGCCGAAGAACGCGCCGAAGACCGTCTGTATTTACATAAATCAGCTGCATACCCTGGATTTCGATGCTGCCGCGTCGATGCAGCCCGTACAAATGCTCGAATTGGAAAGCAAAGACACCGAAAAAGATGCTCAGATCGAGCTGAAATACGTCAAATTCCAGAATGTTTCAAATATACAGCTGTTCGTCAAGGACAACCAGGATGGCTCGGACGTCACGAGAATCGATCAGCTCCAGCTCTTCGGCACAGGACTCTGCTCCACGAATATGAGTGATTTCAAGCGAGTTTCCGGTCATAAAGGCGAAGTTCATTGACGGATCCGAGGAGTCATCGATATCGAGAAGCTATCAAATCGGACCACGATGGACAGCAGCAGTCATGGCAATAATTATTGCGTATACTGCGATGTTGGCGGTGATGATAATGGATATAATATCAAGGAGAATCATGGAGTCGATTTCTGTAATAAAAGTCGATAGTTTTTCTCAAGAATATCTGTAGCTTCGTAGTCTCGATTGCGTCAGCTCGAGAGCGGAAAGCCCGCCAGCGCGACGCGAGGGCTCTGCGAATTCTTCTCGCTCGCCGAGCCAGCCATCAAACCAGTCCGCAAAATCAGGAGGGAAAAGCCTTCATTTTCAAATCAACTACCAATTCATTTATAGTGTCGGATCAGCTGCTTCGATCACAATATTTATATGAAGTATTCACATGCGAAAGATGTACCACTCCATAACAAACGAATTTCCTTCATCACCGAAACGGGTCATTGGATTGTTTTACCTTAACGGGGTAGTAGTCATCAGAAACATAGGTTTTATTTGCTTATGAGTCTTTAGGAGAAACTTCCTCTCAACAGTATTCTCATTCATTCCCCGTGTGATGTCACGAATGGTACGAAAAAAAAAGTGGGTGTGGTGAGGGTCGAACACAGACATGCATCGATGAAAACAATGATCCAGCGATTAGACAAACGCTTCGGGCGGTAGCTTCTTGCTTTGTGACAATTGCCAGAAAACCGCGTAGGCTGATTCGGGGTTCCAGTTATTTTGTTCCAGGCAGTCGACAGCGAATTGCCGATTCATCTTTGTGGCTGCCATGAAACTTGCGAGAACTTCTTCTCTCGACGTCATGTCGGTCATGGTAGAAGTGCCGGCGATGGCGGGTGAGGGAGGCCGTGAAGGCGAAGGCTCCTGGTAGGCGCGAGACTGCAAGAAGACGAAGGAAGTGAGCTTAGGAAACGGTTCAGTCTTTCGTCAAGTCGCTATTCGAAGTATCTCCGGGACTCCGATCCCGCGACAAGGCACTTCTGTCCGAGCTTTACCTGCTTGTCCGTGGCTATCGTTATGAACCATTCCTCATTGACTATAGCCAGACCGCTTCCCTGAGGAACAACGACGAAAGTTCGTTGGAAACTCCGCAGGTTCGGGAAAAAGCTCCCGTCGGGCCGCTTTTCCCGGAATACCCCAGAAACATGAAACACCATCATTGTTGGCATCATGAGCGAAAGGTCAACGATGAACGAGTTCGGGTCGTGTTGAGTTTTCTCGAATTTCTTGAAGAAATCTATCACGTTCAGACGACCTTGGACCAAGAGTCTCCGCTTGAGATCTGGAAGAGATTTTTCGCTTAGCTCGTCGGTCGTTCTAAAGAGTTGAGAGATAAAATGCGATGCCATCTGAGAGTCGTCGGAGATCACGAAACGTTGTAAGTTCGCTCGTATTCACCTTCGTCGTGCTGCATGCGTAGAAAATTCCTGGATTGTCCGTTGTAGTCCAGTTTTTCCCGATCCTTGCTGTATTTTGAATTGGCGATGTTAGCCGATGAAAGCGAGAAGAGAGCCGCTTCATGATAGGCATCTAACAAGGGACCTCGATCCTCGCGATCGAAGCAGAAGAAGAATTGCTCCACGAAACCGACGACCAAAGGTTTCACGCTCTCGTCCGGCAGGAAGCTCGGCTGGAATAGCATCGGCACCAGATTAGCTCAGAGCGCGCCGCAATTTCGTTCAGAATAACTCGTTGTGACCTATGCGTGCCAATAAACGACTTCATGTGACTAACCATCGATCGAGGCACAAGAATTTTCTCCTCTTCAATATCAAACACAATGGGTGGTGGCAGCTCCTTTTGGTCCTGTCGAGGGAGGCATCCTGTTAGAGCTATAGGAGGGCGGGCTCGTACAATAAGATGCGTTAAAATTCTTGGATGTCAATGACAATCATTTAACTATATATCCGATCGGATGCTCACCAACATCGTCACTCGCGGGAAACGCTCGCGTATGGCACTGTAATAAATTGCTGAGAATCTTCACGTCTGTTTCAAGCTGGTCTACAGGTAAAAAGTTGTAGATGATTTTGTCTTGTCTCTCTTCGGAACGTGATTCGTGTGGGACGAAATTCATGTTCCCTATCACATAGGGGCTGAACTCATATAGAGGAGAGTGGAATATTGTGCGCTTGTTATCTTGAATTATCGATTTGTGGCTTTGTGCATTTCGCTCAGTTTTCGGCTGCGATAGCTTTCCATGATTGATGGATCGCTACAAGATCGAGCCCCGGAGCTATACCGGATCCAGTCCCAAAAAGAAGAATGTTTTTCATTTTTGTTTGGTTACAGATATTCTGGAGAAGATTCGAGCTCGACAGCTATCCGAGCATGTCTCGGAGGAATGACATAGTGTAGGCGGTTTGAGATTTTTCCGACGTTCTCTTATCAGCGGAACTTCTCATCCTCTCGAGGAGTCTCTTTTTTTGAACCAACTCACTCGCAGGGGTCGGTTTTGAATTCCTCCGGAAAGTCTCCAATGCCTGGACTCATTGGTCTCCCGAGCCGTCCCAGTCTACGGTAGCTCCCGATACCGGGTTTTGGCCAGTGACATTCATTTTTTCACACTCAGTACGCAACTCAGATCCACAACCATGCCAGAATTGGGTGCCAATTCTTCGGCTCAACTGCCCTCCTGATGTCACTCAGAGAGAAACGTCTTCAGAGGCGCAGGGATCCAGAGGTCGAGGATTCTTCTTCGAGTGGATTTCTCCGCCCCGTACGGAGTGCGGGGTATTTCACCGTAAACGAGTCTCGGATGAGAACCCCGCGATTCCAACGATTGGGTAGGATGGGGTATTTTCGAATGACTGAGCCTCAACGAGTACGGGCGGAGCTGGTCCGCGGACCGATCAGGATGACGAGATGCCATGAGTCCAGTTTCTCGGGACTGTACCCCGCTGTTCATATTTCAAAAATCAACCCGCGCAAGTGAATCGGTCTTTCCGCTGTGAGGACTACGCCTGGAAAAAGATCCTGATCGTTTTGGCAGGGGAGACGCGGAGGAGCTCGCAACTTCAGGAAAATCCGGAACCAAATTCTGATTGGATAAATCTGCCCCGGGGACTGGATGGAGCTCAGGAGCTGGACTCGTTAGCGAATGTGTTTAGTCAGATTCGGGGAACCGTAGCATTTCGATTTTCAATGTGCATGCTTCGACTTCGACTAGTGTCTGGGGTTTGATTGGGCGATCGGAACATTGTATGTGTTGACATTTGGGAATGCGCAGGGCCGTGATAAATTACGAAGTGTGCCACTGATATGATTCCCTACGACGGAATGTAAGGCCCTGCGCAGATGTCAAAAGCAGCATCGTGTCCGAAGCAACGTCCATTCTGGAAGCAACTTGAACACGGTATCTTGCCACACTAGAAAGCCTAGCGATTATACAACGATACTCTGTGCGCTATGAATCGAGTTCTTCGAAAAATCACGGGAAACTCCACGTTACCTGACATAATCATCGACTTCTTTGTAATGATGAGTGAAAGGGCATCCAGCGAATGTGGCCACCGTCAATGGAAGACCTTTCAAAGGGTCGAGATCCCTGACGTGTTTTATCTTGAAGAAGATCATTCGGTCAATTCTCTTCCACAGCTGAAATGGGCGGGCCTCGCTGACATGGGTTCATGCTTGTTCCGTCCCGGCTACGCGACTTACTCTGTTTCCAGCCATTTTGAGAATTTTCAATTCTTTGCACTTGACGGCCAACGGTGCCAAGCAGTTCACATTGTACATTTCATTCCGTGAAATGTCGATGCCCACGACTTCCGGTATGTGATCGGTGATTACACTGACAACGCAATTGGCAACATTGACCCTGCACAAGGGTAGGTACAAGCCTTTGCTCAAAAGGGATTCATCTGATTCGAACTGGGATAAGTTCAACTGCTTCGAGTCCGTGTCGTAACGGTTCGACATTGCCTCTGTAGGGGAGAAAAGTCATCGTTGAATTCACAGCATTCCACAAAGAACATTCGAATCTGACAGGTCTACCGCGGCCCGTGCAGCCCGGGACGCAATATTAAAACTCACGTTTTATAGCGTTCTCAATGACGTCAGTGATGGACGGTACTTGGGGGAGATCGCTCGTCCTCATAATGACGGACATTTTAGTTCCCTGAGGAGTCACGATTGTGTTGTTGAGTTTCTTGAGTTCTTGTGCAGTTCTATGTTCCCTCACGAAGAAAATGGCGCAATTCGCGTCCAGATGGAAGTTGAACATTTTCAGGGGGCATTTACAACGGCTCGTAAGCTCGCGCACAACGAAATCTTGGCCGAACCGTCGCCCGCCAGGGATCAAAATCCTATACCACAGTGATTGAACTGGAGGAGAAGAGATTGCATGGGGTTAAAGTACAATAAAATACACGCGGATCTCTCCTCGTGGTGAGCCTAGTTCAGCCCGGGCAAGCAGAATGATAGATGCAGCGGGAAACAGAACTTACGGACGATACGACTCGGGTCCATCTTCCGGGTGAAAGTCAAGTCTCGCTTCCACGGAGGTTTCATGTTGGTGGTCATCATGCGATTCCTCGAGAGCTGACGGCCTTTCGCCATCGAAGAGCCGTCCATGTCCGTGTCGCCATCCTCGTCCAACTCTACGGAAGATCCGGCCAGAAATCAGTTACAGAATCTGCATAATCTCACATCCCCACCATATGGCAGAGGCAAACTCAACGCCAACACACACTCGGCGACGGGAATAGAGACATGTCGCATTTCTGGAAGTTTGGAACGTAGTTCGGCTACTTACGTCTCCGTGGTGGCTTCTGGAACTTCTTCTTTTGATTGAATTTCTTCATATTCCTTCGAGATGGATGTGCTTCCAAAACTAGCACCGAGACATCGAACCCAGGCAATTTCGCTGGACGGCTTTCAGCTTGTTGTGGAGGGGCGGCCATATTGGCAAATGGCGGCGATCGGCAGCTTGGCGCGGTTTTCGAAACGCCGGAGATAATTTATTGGAGTTCCACACACAGTACCCCTTCAGGAATCCATTCCGAAAATCTTCGGGACAACAAGCCCGAGCAATGTCAGGCTGCTGTCCTCGGCGCACAGAGCCCTTCCAAGGATGATAGCCGACGGAATCCCGTATTGATAGCGAGAAAATCGCTCTTCTCCTGAAGCTCCCGGGAGTTAATTGCGCTCTTGACCAACGGATATCAGCGCTTCAACAAGACCGTATTGTATGCGGCAATGACTTATGGCTGAATGTGCGGAGGCGTCATGCAAGGAGCCGCACGGAGATTTCCCGCGCTGATGACCCACGAATGACTCGATGCGCTTGCTCCTACTAGCCTTAGGGTCAAGGGGCCCCTTCATCCAATCCATAGCTGAGGATTGGCTCCAAAGAATTGCATCTTTGCACGATCTAATTTCTCTTCCAATGAGAGACTGGACCCCGGCGCCAGACGGCTCCTAATGACAAACAAGGTAGCTCGGATTCCAGAAGGCGTGAAAAGGTACCTGCTTTCGGTGAATTCCTCCCACGGCCGCGGCCGCGACTTGGAATAATAATCTTTCAGAAGTATATGCTTCGAGGGTCTTCCATACGCTCTCGATTGTACGCGCGAGCCTTCCCGGCCTTGCTGAACAGCCCTGCCGCAGGAACGCTTGCTGTTAGAAGCTCGCCGAGGGCCGTGCATATCTCGACCGGTAGACGCATGAGGACGGCTCCGAACACACACCCGCTTGAGGACAACTGATCGTCCGTGATGTCTGTCAAAATTCCCAAATCTATTCTCTCACGTAGTTATTTTGAGCTTGCGGCGCTCATGATCGGTGGACGTAGAATCCCGAGCGATCGTCTACAGCCTTGCCTCCTTGAGGCACATGGTGACAGACTTTTCTAGCTCTTTCTGGAGGGGCCCGCCCCCCCCCACTTCCGACTCCGGATTCTGGCGGAAGCACCGCGGACACGGTCCGATTTCGCTACCATTTTCCCTGGAGGGACGCAAAGGACTGGGTCCTGTTTTCGCGATTCAGATAAATTCGCACTACCTGCTCATCCGGATGAGGCCTGGGAACAGACGAGGGCATCGATGCCGTAGCAGCTTATCCGTGACGAATTCGAAGACCGAGACTCTAGGAAGGGGTCACCCCGTCAGTCTCGGGGCCTTGCTGATGGGAGCAAGTTTTCGCCTGATTGTGATAGGAAGAGCCTGATCCCCCGCTTCGAGCGATCCACCGCAGCCTCGTCCCGCAATTTCTGCAGATCGCGCGTTCGTCTATGAGAGCTCGGAATCATAAGCTTGACCTAGGCTCTCTCAATGCGTATCGGCCTTCAGATATACGGTCGGCGATTACTCGGAGCTCGGAGCAGATCGGGGCGATTCCCGGTCGGAGGGGCCTATCGTTCGCCGACGTCCTCAATCAATTGGAGAGATTGGAACGGAGGACATCGCCTCGTGAGATCGATCGCAAGGCCATGAACGCGACAGAAGAAGATGAGAGCGTGCTAAGCGGGAATATCAATCTCAAGAGCAGGAATGGAAACGGATTGAAACCGAGCCATATCGGGTTCGAGGCTCCGCCCGAGGGAAGCCCGCGCGCGCCACCTTCCAAGTCGTCTGGTACACCGCCATGCTCTTCGACATTGCGGCCGCCGCATATGCCGAGGAGGAGCGCTTCCTTTTGTTTACGTTCTGACAAACCATCGTTGAGCGCGCAGAATAACACTTCGAGTTTTTTACTCCGGACGAGTCGCTCTCCGTTCTGTCTTGTCCGGGGGGAGCGTGACCTCCGCTGTGCACCGAGAAGGGGTGCATGCACCCGGAGCCTGTCATCATGGATACAGAACGAGACTGCGAAGGCAAGCCGAAATCGAATAGAGTCTCCTACTCTGCTATTGAATAATCGCACCGCACACTTTGGCCCCTCGGAACAACGAGCTCTCGGAGTAATTCTATCGAATCGTTCGAATGTCAGTCGTCGCCAGGCGGCTATCCGACGAGTAATTCGAAATTTGCTCCAGACCTCTCCGATCTTGGATGGAAGTTCGAATAAGATTTCGCTCCTTCCAGATATGCTAAAAGATCTGAATTATCGTCAAAAAACTCAAGTTCTGGAATGGGTTAGCGAGTTTCGTCTGAGTCTGAACGAATTAGCTACATGGCGAAAAGACCGAGAGGACTTTGTGAAGTCGGTGAAATACCGGGTAGGTTTGTCTCGCTCCTCCATACCGGATTTAGGAATTTTCGACCGAGAAAATTGAATCAGTCTGGAAAGGACTAGGCGACGTAGAGAATCGCGCTTGTTGACCATGCCCTCGGGAGAATTTAATTCCTAGCCGTCCTGAAAAAATTACAGGTCCCCGTAGACTCCCCCGTTGATCTCATTTGTAGGGATATATACGAGCTGAAACTATTTGGTGCTCGAGTCGCTGACTTTTTCCACAAGAATGGACAACCTCTAATGTTGAAAATGTGCGGTCGTGTGTTCACCCGAGAGGAAGCGATGAGATGGGCAGTGATAAAACCGCACCTCCTGAAACCTTTCAAGTACGTCCTTGATCCGACTCGGAATGGCCAGAATACCCCGAGACCTCTCGTCGATGGAGTCGACGGTTTATCTCCAACTTTGGCTCCAGGTTCAGCGCTGGTGAACCTCAGAGGGTTTTGAATGAGCTCGCCGCTGATTCTCGCCCCTTTGGGAAGAGAACTCGTTCATCGCCCGGGAAAGAGACTACAGGTCCGAAGAAACATCGTGAGACGATCATCCGAGGCGAGAGCACCGAGTCTCCCAAAGCAGTGGAACATGACGAACAAGACGTTGGAAACGAGGATCGGAAGCCTACTGAGGAGGAACTCCTCCGAGCAGCGGCCAGCTTTGCCCCCGACAGTGCGAAGCGAGACCTCCCCGACCCCGCGTCCAGCGTCGTGCCGAAGGCCGACGAGCTCCCATGTGGCACGAGTACTGTTACAGCGAAAGTGGACCGCGCGACGGAGGACGCTATCTCGAGGACTGCTGTAAGTTCGCATTCCAAGTCTGCCGGAGCTCGAGGTCTCCATTCGAAGAACGAATAATCACAATGCCTACAAGCGGAAATATTTTTTCATTGCAGTATGCGGTGATGGTCGAGAAATACCTCGCGCATTTCAAGATCGAGCCTAAACATTTCTCGGATTGGCTGCTGGAAACCGACAAAACCGTTATGGTATCGCACGCGGAGATTTTTGCGAGGGCAGACGATTTCATTAGTAGGTGGTTTATCGGATCGAAGAGAAGGACGGGTAGAAGAGCTCGTTCCTTCGGGGAACAATTTGCCAATAATTTCGGAGAATGATTGGCACTGAATTATGCCGATCATTTGAGTCAGCTCTCAGAGATGAGCGAAACCGATTTGTGACGTTTTCCAGCCAGCATCGCGAACACTCTATGCGAACTCGCGCTGCATCCATCCCCAAAGGATGAGTCCATCGCTTCGTATGCCCAACGCTTGAAAGTTCCTGAGGATGCACTCCGCATGTGGAATTCGCCGGACATTAGGTCATTTTCCTCCCGCTCACGAGCAGAGTCGTATTGCGAACACGACCTTGTGGAGGTCACAACCTGAGGATTTTTCTCGACTTTCAGAGGCTTCTTCAGCCGAGATAAGACAGCTCTGAAATACGACTTGTTTGGAAGAGTTTTCCCGCCTCCTGATCATAAAGCAGAAACGTACCTCCCGAAAGCTGAGAGGATGATTCGTTACAGAACGTAAGCTGAAATCATCGGTCGGCACTACTCGGTGTTCCGTATTTTCGGTTCGATTTAATCGAGCGATATTTGCCGCTTTCCTCCTTCCTTTCGTCAGGCGATCGGACTTTTCCAATGTGACCTTAAGCGACAATTTCCGCGAAGACAGAATCGAAAACTGTACGAAGTTAGTTAGCGACGTGATGAGGTTCTACTCGCTCGACTCGGATATCTTGGATGAGCTCCCGATTGAATGCGACAGCCGTTCCCGTAAGGGCAGGAGAGCACCAGCTTTACAGCTGTTGCTACACGAGCTCGGGATTCTAATCTCGGATCTGAACGAGGTAAGAGGAATTCCAGAGCTTAAGCCATGAACGAAGGACCGGGATTTCTCTCAGACACTTTGTCCCCCGCTGAATTCGATTCTTGATCGTTGGGATCTGGCGGAGTCGGGACGTTATCGTTCTACCTCATTACGTTTTTCGAATTTTCAATACTCTCGCGCTCAGATCTCCATGTTCAGCGAGCTCTTCTCTCGCGAAGACACGGCATTCTGTTTCGAAGAGCGGTGGTTGGCCCCCCAAACCAACCTCTACTTCGTGACGATGCAAGATGCAGTGAAGGCTGTGAATAGGAACCGTCAGATGAAGACGAAGCTCCACAGTAAGTCCGCTTATGACGAAAGCAGAAGATTCCTTGCGATCCTGTATCGGATCAACGTCTGAGTGAATTCAAACCTTTGCGATCCTGTATCGGATCAACGTCTGAGTGAATTCAAACCCTTGCAGACCGTGAGGGACAAGATGTTTTGCTCGAGAAGATCCGGAATGTCCTTACGGAGTACAAGAAAGGTCATTGATATCATCCAGGGCACGCACAATAGACGATGAATCGGAGTGAACAACAACTGGTTAGCAACCACTTCGCTGCGTCTGCTGAAACTATCTATTCCCGTATACCTCCTTTCTGAATACGCCGAAATTTCAGGTCAATGAATTTGTACGTCAGCTTCTTCGAGACAATGCTCAGACTCGGGCATTCTCTCCTCGGCCTAGCGGCTAGCAGTTCGCTCGGCTCGGTACGATAATAATCTAATGATGGCTTCGAGATGGGAAAATTCATGAGCCGTGCGTATCTTGATAATTGCCTCCGAATGTCACTCCCACTCGGACTCTGCGGTAGCGCGGCAACCATTCATGTGGAGGTAATTGAAGTTCGGTAGTAACCCAATAGATTCCGATGCCCAGTTTTTTTCGTTTTGGGTTCTCGTTCCTCCTACGTTGCTTCTGTCCCCCCCCCACTCACTCGACCGCTCAGTCAACCACTCACAGGCTCGCTCTACCGGTGTCCTGCTGGCTGGCGGTCACTGATGTGATCGTTGAACGTGTACGACTCCCGACACTGATTAAGGCTGATTCATGTGCACACGACAATATTAATATATGTATATGTAAACCCGAATAAACTCTCAGATGGACATAATAATTGAATCAAATGATTAATTGAATAATACTTTGGAACTTTTTGCCGATTCTCCATCCTCGCTTCGAGCTATTGATCCGATCGTCCCGCTGAATGGGGGGACATCTTACGGTCTTAAGCAAGTTCTTGCTATCTCCAATTCGGTATTGACACCTTCGAAGCTAACAATAAGAAGATGTTTCTTTCCACCTTGGCTCACGTAGTTTCGTCTGTAATGTAGAAGCAGGTCGTCATGAAGAGGGACATCGTCCCTCGACATTGTCCCTCACAGGCGGAGCTCATGTGAATTATGACTCGAGACAGTTACGAGAAGGTTGACCCCCGGTGATATTCCGGACCATCAGTGATTGGGACTAGGTCCTGCACCCAGGCATATCGGGTCTCTCGGGGGGCGGGGGTCAAGTAAGATTTTTAGGGGGCGGAAAGCCGAGGTAGTATCAGGACCGAAGATTCTGGGGGGGATGAAGGTCAAGTTCGAAGAGAAGATCGGCGATCAGAAATCAGATCTTGGAGTTGGTGGTTAGAGGGTTATTTGATCCTCATGCATATTCTCCGTAGTCAGATGGACTGATGCTGATACGGTCCTTTCTCCCAATCGCGACCTTGCCATAGCCTCATGCCCAAACGAGCTTCTTACGATGAACTCATGAAGGCAGGTGGACGACGGAGCGCGAGGTAGTTGGCGGAACGATTCTCCAGTGGCGCTCTTCGCTCTAGACCACTTAGAGCGCGAAGAAGTTGAGTGTGTCGAGTTCCTTTCCGCACGAGTCGGGACAAATTCGCTCGCAACATATAGGGGGAAGGACTTGGAGAACTGGAGATGCCGCGAACCACGGGTGCCGGGAACCACGGATGCCGCGGAGATGAAATGGTGAGAGTAGGTAGAGCACATAGATGAACGTGGAGGACTCACTTGTTTGGAACGTTCGATCAGCACTTGGGACGGATATCGGGGAAGCGGCTAAGGCCGACGAGTTTCGACTCTTGAGAGTCATCTCAGTAGTCGAAGATAAAAAGGTGCAATACGAATTTCTGGAAAATTATTTGCCTTTTATTCCCACTTCTCCGGGCTTGGAAAGTCCGCTCGAAGCCTCTCTACCTTGGTAGGTCCTTCCATCTTCTCCTTCAAACCTTCCATTTTTTTTCAGCTCTAATAATATGGACTCCGTGCCTTTCGACACTCGAAGGGACGGAACCCGTGCCATGAAATGCGGTCGTAACATCAGGCTGTCGAATCAGTTCCGTCATAGTACACCGATCGGTCGATATGTCGGTGTACCAAACGTCTAGTGTATCTGTTGGTCTGTTTGTGATTCGATTCCTCTTTCGCCGGCGAGTGATACCGATCGATCGGCTTGTATTTGGAGCTGTGTCGTCATGGCGTACATCAGTCGAGTATAGATGATGAATATCATACAGTACAGCGTCAAAAATACTATAACAACTTGTGCCTCGGGAACTAATCCACTTTAAAGCTGTGCTCCCTGGCCGGAACCGGTGAAGGTCATCGACATGGAAGGGCGGCACGAGAGACTCCAGCCATCGATTACAACCGGAAAATCTGGCTCGAGGGCCCAGTAGCAGGCCTTCGTGAGCCATCGGGGCGCGACACAAAACTCCGGGCCGATTGAGCTGCGGCGACAGGCCTCATTCGAATGATCTCGACCTTCTGTCTAGCCATCTCCGCTTTAGACTCTCATCGGCTGCAACAGTGCGTGGATGGATGCGCAGGCAGCTCACAAGCTCATGGAACCAGCAGGTTCTCGGTTTGTCCCGGAGGCTGGTTGTCAAGCCCCGCAGGGTTCAAAGACCGTGATTTTCGTCCCCCGACAACGCACCTCTGGACACAATTTGGATGGTTCAATATGGAGTGGGCTTCGCCCCATCATATTTATTAACATCTGCTTCATTCTCACCGATCGTCTGTCTAGTTCTCCTCGTTAGGCACCTCACCGGTGCTCAGTTTTTGCCTCGTGAAGTTTGTATCAATTGGTTGAACTCTGTTAGTATAATATTTTTTTGTACACTCAAAGACAGTGCTTGAATCACAGCGGCTTGCTCCACTCAATGACAGCAATTCGCTCCAAGCGCAGGTCTCTCTCTTGGTCCGACGTTGATACCGCCCGAGGTTGCCGCGTCTACCGCCTGTGAAACGAGACGGTATTCTCAATCAGAAACTCTCTCGAGCGGATAGATTTCGGGCTCGATTTTCCATCCTATGGAATGTCTCGACTCTCTCGACTGTTCCACCCGAAAGTTGGAAGCAATGTCGATTCAGAGGATCTAAGACGATACTCACTCTTCCCGAAGTCTGTTTTTGGAGGATCGCTTCCGCAAGCTGCGTGAAAGCTTCTTCAATGTTGATGTTGGCCTTAGCGGAGGTCTCGAGGAAACTTATATTGTGATCTCGTGCGATTGCTTCGCCCTTATCCTTAGATATGACTCGCTTCAATTCCATGTCGCACTTGTTCCCTAAGATCATCTTTTCGACGTCTTCGTTCGCATGTTCGTCGATGTACCTGTCCGGGATAGAAGTCGTTGATTTCGGTGGTATCTTGGGCCCATTACCGCGAGCATTCTCTTCAACAGGGAAATTGCCGAAACTAAAAATTGGCCTGACTCTATGGATCATTCCTCGAGATTTCACACCGCATCCCGGCGAGCATTAGGAGCATCGGAACCGATAGTCCCTTGAGAACGATCTATGATTGAAGAAAACATTGCACCATAGTGGACGTCCTGGTCCTACGCACAAGGGGGGATTTCCCGCCTACGATCGTTCGAACGCTCTTTTTCCCTTTGCCCAGCCCATTGTGGGACAGAATCGACACTCAATCCCTCTACATCAGCGTGGAAGCAATAGCTCTCCGATCGGTCATCGACGAGCTATTTCCCTCGTGAATCATGTCCACGCCTCAAAGGTTCTCTCTTTTCACTCTTAGCGCACTCTTGGAAACATTCTAGGGAAATCCAATAGATTCGGCTCTGATGACTCAAGCACAGAGAGCTCGTATCAGTCTTCTGGCATTTCGCATTCTCGAGCCAATAGCCGGAGCTTATCAGATTATCCACGATTTACGGGGGGCGTGGACCCATATTGATCGAAAGTTTAGCGGACTTCCGGAATACGCCAGCCAATGTCTCAGGAACAAACCAAGAGTCATGATCTTCGGACTCCGTCTTCCTACTGAGGTTCGCTCCATCGATCTCGAAAAAAGGTTCCAGTCATGCTTCCGGTACTATCTGTATGGCAGATCAAATAGACGGAAGACCTGATGAAGAGTTTCTTGACTGATTCTGTTCTGGGGATCGTTTTCTTCCCCTGGGCCATTGTCTCCTCCGTCGACTCACCTTAACCATTTTGCGATATTCTCGAAACTCCTCTGGTTCGTTATGTCGTAGACGAGCATGATTCCCATGGCTCCGCGATAGTATGAGGTCGTGATCGTGTGGAAACGTTCTTGACCCGCGGTGTCCCATATTTGCAATTTGATCTTCTTCCCATGAAGCTCAATGGTTTTTATCTTGAAATCGATACCTGGAATGAATTGGATAATCTTTATCGAACGAATCCGAAGCTCATCCGCCGCTTGATGATTGCAATCTCTTCTATAATATAATAACGATGACTACCGGATCCCTTGGGCGGAGAACGCGCCATAGAAGATCCTATTATACAGCACAGAGACTCTGACAATCACGTAACGTCATATCGACAGTTTGCTGAGCTTCGTCAAGTTCCCCCTCTTTCAGATGACCCTCGAGAAATACGACGAACTCTTGCGTTTCTCAGTAGCTATTCATCTCGTGGGAATACATACTGGACTCGTCGGAGCATTGAATCCGTTGATCATTACGAAGATCGAACAATCGTGGAACGACCACCCGATTCAGTCAGAAGGCAATATTCAGAAATCTGAGTGTTTTAAACAGAGACCAAAGAATCGAGTGTCGGACCGAGATTTCGTTCCTAGCGCCTGCTCTGCCTAGCCCCAAGCCAAACATCCCTCATGGGGAGATCGGCTCCCTTGGTAGAAAACGCAATCAAGAATGGACCCCATCATTCAGCGAGACTCTAGAACGAGAGGCAAAGGGACCGGAGAAACGCTGAGACGAACGTGATCGAACCGCGACGATTGAGAAGCACCGCCTGGGTCTTGAGGAGAAGAGAGGAATCGTCAGCGAAAAAAAATATTGTAAGTAAACGTGTCGACAAGCCGCGGGTGGCACCCGCCATCAGACTGAGTCAGACGGAAACTTCTGGCTGATGTCAGAGACCCACCGTCGGAGGCCCATCAAACAGACAAGCAAGTGGACGGCATCGTCGGAACGGGACGATTCTTAATTTCAGATTGTTGCTTGCTCAATTACTCGGCTTCGGTCGAAGAGGTATGCTTGGCTTCTGTTTGCGCTCGGGTATTCTCCCGTCATGCTAGAGAGGAAACCGACATACATTCAACCGGCTCAATCGTCACCGAAAAGTGAGCGCTTCAAGAGAGAGAATGAGTGTCACGTCATCTCGTTCCATTCTTCCTCGTCTCAGCAACATGACAACCTATCGTCTCAGAGGTTCTCGAGGACACAGCCAGCGGCGTCTTATTCGTCCGCACTCGGGAAATTACGAGGCCGAGAAATTTCTATGGGTCATCCACTTTCCTTGCTCAGCACCACGACTAGGGAGAGGACTATTGCCGTCAACAACAGAACAACGAGACACACCAATGCAGGGCTCTAGTTTTCCTCCGCCGGATGCTCCGATTTCCTCGGTGAACTCGAGCATCGGGGCGGCTCCGACTATCGTCAGCCCCGCTTCTAGTCCATCATCAAAACTCACCGATCGTCGAAATAAACGTCGTATGGAAGGCATCGTCGGAAAATCGGAAGAGGATGCACGTCTTGCCAACCCCGGAATCTCCGATGAGTAAGAGTTTGAACAGCAGGTCGTAGGTCTTCTTTGCCATTGTGATCGCAGATTATGAGCGACAGATTCAACTTTCACTTAACAGAGTACGTTTATCGATCAGCAGCGATATCGGCTACTTAAGCAGCAGTGATATAGAGGCAATCAGGGCGGTGTACAGATGCAATTTTTGTCGTCGTCGAAAGACACGAAAAGAGCACAAGCGACAACAGTCACAGTAGCTGCTTGGTCGATTTCGGTCATTCGAGGCAAGTTGGGCACTTCGAGTCCGGCGCACTCCCACCGCCTAATCCCGCGTCCAAAACACGAGCGCAGGCTTCCTACGCGATGATGAATTTTCAACGTGTGTTGTTGATACACCACGACGAAGAAACGTTCGTCGGACGTAATCGTCGTCGTCTTGCTCAGGTCGCTGCTGTGGCTACCACACCATCGCTGCCGCTGCTACTACCGTCGTCGTCCGCACCGCCGCCGCTGCTGCTGCTGCCATGACCGTGAGTGGTGCTCTTTTACTCTTCTGAGCACCACGAAAGAATCACACTCGCTGTGCTGCCCCAGACGCAAGCAGACTCGAGCGATCGATTCAGAGTCCTCCGGGAGAATAATCCTATGGAAGGGACGCTCGCGGGGTTCTCGAGCGAAGAGTGGGCTGGGACTTGAGAGGAGAAGACTTTAGAGATGAGCCGATTCGAAGCGCGCGTTCTGAGAGGAAATAGGAAATGACTCTGGCTGATGATCTTTGCTGAACGCGCTGTCGATCTCAAGGCGGGTCCCGACCGCCGACCGTGCGGTCACGCCATGCTTTCTCAATATTTAGTTCTTGGTGTCCGTGAGGATGTCACGCCGCGGCGAGGCTGGAGAGGAATTCTCCAGGCCCGGCTCAAGGGAAAAATCTGCCTGATGATATGTATCGGGGACAGGATGAACCAGTTTCCCCAATACTTGCGTTGTGGACTAGAACCGATTCCTCCATTCCATTCTGACTATTATTGCAGCGGCGCAGCGTTCTGAAGATTTTTCGTAAGGTCCTTAGTACACCGAAGCCATGTTGAGGTGATCGGGAATTTCCTGAGGTCCTATGCTGATTCGACGATAGTTGACTATGATCAGGAGGATGATTTACATTGACGGTGGAAGGTTGTGAGTCCCTAGGGGTTTCGGCTGCGAATTCTGTCAATTACACCATTTACTCGAATTGATAGATTGAGGCAGCTCAAGGATGCGGTCCGCTTACGATTATTGGCCCCTATTTACTATTGCTTGGAATCGAGGAGTCCGGGCGCTTCCGTGGGACGGGGGCCAAGAAAGCCTGGCCGTACCCGAAGTTTCTCACTCATCATCCCGATCTTCATTGGCATTGAGGAGGCGTCTAACCATTTCCGACCCTTGCTTCCCCTTATCAGTCATCATAGAGCAGCGGTTCCCAACCTGGGAGCCGCGGCTCCTAGGGGAGCCGCGGGACTTTTCTGCGGGAGCCGCGGACGAATTTCTGGTGTAGGTCCGGGCCGTCAGGGTTTGTCAATTCCGAGGGAAGGTTCCGAAACGGATCGACTTCATCTGCCACCGCGTCTAGAAAAGCTCATGAGAGACAAACAGGAGCAACCATCTCACTGAAAGAATCCTTGTGTCGTGCCCGGTTCTCGACGACTTGTGATGTTGGTGGCCGAGATCTTGAGGATTGTGGGAGGAAACAATAAGCTAATGAAATAAAATGAAATTGTCTTCTCAGTGAATATCTCGCTCTGATTTCTCATACTCGGAAGAGTCCGCTGCATCCGCCTCAGTTGCCGGAATTGAGCTGCGAATGGTCCTTATAGGGGAAAAAGAAGGGAGAGTAGGTAGGAGCCGCTTGGGCACTGGGTATCCTGGGAGCCGCGGGAGCCGCGTTGGCACTGGTTATCCTGGGAGCCGCGGGGGAATTCTGGGTTCGCTACGGAGCGGCGGAGCCAAAAAGGTTGGGAACCGCTGTCATAGAGTCATCAAGCTCAGGCTACTCCTGGTAGTGCTCTCAATTACTTCTAGTCTCGAGCAAGGGCTCTGGGAACGAAATTATATCGGGGGGAGGCCTGGAACGGCGATGATGCAGGATTGGGTCGAAAGAGAATGACTGATAATAGTGACTATAGCGATGTCTTCTTCCTATCGCTACGATCGGATTACGTCATACCGACATTCCTCAATAGATGACTCCCCTTGTAAGTCTCCAAGGAATCTCGACCACTGTGAGTACAGCTGCCGATACAAAGCATTCAGGACCTCGTATCATCATGGCTTGACGTGAATCTGCCGACGAGAAACCGATTGGTCGAGGAGAGGCTCGTTGGAGGCTAACCCCTCGGGCGCATTCCAGACATGAGCTCCCTTCGAGAACACAAACCAAGACAGTGTCTTACCAAACGGGTAGTAAAGTGTATAATTTATCTCCGCTAAACGAACCTCGAATGCATAATAGGTCAGCTTTTGTATTCTTGACTGATATCAACTTTTTAAAAACGTCCCAACCAGACCTAAAGTGGATACACACGACGACCACATGTTGTCGAAACTTTCCCGAAGGCCTTTTGTAGCTGGGGTGTCCTCGTTGTTGAATAAATGACTGAGATTGAACGGCAGCTTCTCCATCTTATCGAGTTCTGCCAGAACGGCTTTTTTGGCTGCTTCACTCTGAACGGTGATCGCAATACAGGAAAGCGCGAGAACGTACTGCGACATCATGTTGATAAATCTCTGCAAGCTCCTCAGAGACTTCAATTCGAAATCCCGCATCTTGGCTGTCCTTTCGTCGAGACGGTCGGCGAGCTTCTCCTCATCGACGATTAGAGGATAAACAAAATACTCGAAGGCATTGCTCAGATCCTCTCTGAGAGACGGATCCGGGGTGAGTTCTCTCTCGAGCTCCGCGCGAGCCGCTGGTTGACTTTCGGTCTGGGCCGCCAAAAAATTCAGCACCAACCATCGCAGTCGGAGCTCTGGTTTCTTTATCTCGAGGCTGGGGAAAATTGAGTGGTATCGCTTGGGCAAAACGTTCATATCACAGTTCTCCCTGATTTTATCCCAAGGAATCGAAGGCACAACCACGGCGGCTTCTTTGACTTCTTTTTGAGCTTTTGTGACTTGTAGCTTCTTGGTGATGCACATGTCGAGGTTGAAAATGACCTTTGCGTTCGCCAGCTCGTAGGAATTGTCGAGCCGTTCCCAGAGCTCTTCCATTTCCTCGATCTTGAAGAAAGAGCCGTACTTGTAACAGTTGACGATGCCGTCGGCGATATCGCGTTGCGAGTGCATATGGAGCCCGATGAAGTTACGGTAGTGCGGTCTCGCGACCGCGAACGAGGACCGTTCCAGGAACGGTGTGAAAAAATATCCCAAACTTTCCATCTGCAAATATTTGATGTTCAACGACGAAATCATCGAGCGCGCTTCTTCTCCCGCATTAATGGCACAGAAGCACCAGAGGAGACGCAATTTCAACTTGAAGCCGTTCGGTGATTTCTTCTGGGCCGCGTGCAGAGTCGTGATCATTTTCAGAAGAATTTCGTCATTGTCTTTAGTGAGGAACAGTTCCGCGGCCATGTCAGCCGCAAGTTCAAGATATCCATCGAAGGGGTTGGTGTCAGACTGTCTCTCGAGCTCAGGCCCCTGGTCGTATTTATTGCACAGATCGCTGATGATCTCCAGCTGTTCCTCTTCAGATTTCGTTGGACCGAATTCAAATTCTAAGGTCTGCCATGATAGTGAGTCTTTTTTGGCAATTTTCGAAAGCGATTCGAACACTGATTTCCGCTTCTCCTCTGGCAGCTCCCGGAGTTGATGAAGAAGATCGACTGTGCACCAGATCTTGCCGTCGAAACGCTCGTAGAAAGTCACGAGCAGACTCTCGACTTTGTCGAACTGCTCCAGTCGCTTTAGTATTGAAATTTTATTGAGAATTGTCTCACGCCGTTTGTCATGGTCTGGAACTTGATCAATGAAATCAAGCAGCTTGTTCGCAACGTCTTGGATTTGCTCGCCGTTGAGCTCGCCCACCTCGAAGCGTTTTTCCAGCCACACATGATCCAGACACTCGCTCTTCTCGAACATGCTCTCAGCCTCACGTGCGGCTTCCTGCCAGGCCTGCATTTTCGTCAGGAGTACGAATTTCTCGAAAGGAGGAAAGTGCTGTTTCTTGACCAGGTCGTTAAGCCTCTCCAACGCCTGTTCGAATCTGGCCGCATCTCGATAAATCATGTACTCGAGGAAGATTTCCGCATCTACATTCGGTTTGAGTCGATCCAACATCTTTTCCGCCAGGATGTAGCACATGGATTTCTGGCGCTCGTCGGAAGCGTCCTTAGCGCTCAGGTACTGGAGCATAACTGCCGTATAGTAGTATGTACGTTTATCGGTGAGCTTGTATAGCTGTAGAGAAACGTTCTTGGCTTTTGTGCGCTCTCCATCCCGCACGTACAGCTTGAATAGAGAATTGTGGACCTCTTCGGAAGGACACTTTCTGCATGCGGCTTCGTATAACGGCGCCACCTCGTCTTGACGCCCGGTTTCGTGTAGAGCCATGACCATGGGCGACAGCGTCGCTTCTTCCGTGGGTTGGTTCGAGATCAGAGCGTCGAGCACCGATCCGGCTTCCGGAAAGCGACCCAGTTTCGAGAGCGCGAGCGCTTTCAGCGCATGCACCGTGTCTCCCATTTTGCTGCCGTACTTCTTTATGATACGTTCGCATTCTTGCAGAGCTCGTTTGTACTCTCCACTGTCGAAGAAATCGTAGGCTCCTTTCAATCTGCGCTCCTCGAGAGCCGCGCGCTGTTCATCTTTCTTGGCTGCCATGCTTCTGCTGCTGTTGTTCGATTTTTCTCTGCGGAGGAGCCGATTCTGGCTCGGTGCTCTTTCGCAGAACGACTAATGGGCCTCGCGAAACGAATCGAGCGAGCGGATTGGGAGATCCGACGATTGCGTCCACAGTTAATTCCTATGAAACCAGGGAACACGACTGCATTAATTCACCGACTTCTCGCGACTTCCCGACGTGCTTCTGCGGCGGCGGAGAAGTGCTGCAGCAAGCAGTGCCCGGTGCTGCGGCTGCTGCTTAGTCAAAACAAAACTTACAAACTTGGCGCGCTCATTGTGATCTCTGCTGACGGCGCTCATTGTGATCTCTGCTGACGGCTCTCCCGCGGTCTCTACCAGCGTCTCGCTGGTGCGCTGAATTCGAGCGCGGATCCGAAGCAAGCGATTATAATATTATCCATCGGAGACTCATCAGAAACTTCGAGATCCGAGAACGGATGATTCGTGTCTCTCGTCGACCACGGTTAGCGGGAACCCAAATACAGCGGGGGCCGATCGAGCGACCCGCGAAACTTTATGGAATCGATCCCCCACCCGGCCCCCGTACATCAAACAGATCTTCATCGATCGATTCCGGACCCCTTTGCGAACAAGCCACAAGATCACAGTCTGATGAGCTCACTGTCCAAGGAGACACACGTGACCAGTCGTATGGCACGGGGTGAATATCGTGCTCGTGACTATGCCACCTGTAAGGGAATAACGATCCACACGTTTTCCCGTCGCTTCTCCTCGTCGAACGATCCGATTTTCTCCGGGGAATGAGCATGAGGGAGCCCAAACGCTGTGCAGGCGAGCTTCCTCATCCTCGGTCTCCGTTTTTTCTCCCACAGCATTGAGGTACTCGCCTATTTCGATGTCTACCCCGTCTCGATTGACGAGACAAGTGAGCTGCTTGATCCTCTCGTCTCCTCCGTGAACTCTCACTCAGACCGGGTTAAAGTTGAAGCAGTTTATCATTCCCTCCCGCGTGATCCCAATGATGATGTCTTGTTAGAATCGACGTGAGACTCACGCCTCGCTTAACGACTACTCCGAACCTCCTGGGAAAGGAAATGAGTCGCTTATCATACATCTGAAGCGACCCTGGGCGATATGTTTTCCGTAGGGTAAATCAGCGGTACGGACGATTCTCGGAAAATTTCGAGACTCTACCTTGACCGGATCGACAGGATCGACGATCGCAGCTTCTTTGGTTTCTGGACAAGTCACGAGATACATGTAGTCAATTCCGAAGCTTCAATGATGGTGACATTAGCCATCTTCCGCGCTGATGGATTGCTCGGGGCTGGCTGAGAAATCGAAACGCGCCAAACTCTCGACGGCTGGACTTTGGCGCCGGCTCTTGTCAAAGAAACATGTCTGTATTTGCTCGGATAGAATCCTCGCCTAAATCATGGAACGATCGCAGCTTTTTGCGCAGCGAGTGTTCGATTCAGCTTTCCTGTCGCATTCTCGGGACTCGTGTGCTAAGGAGATGGTCCGACGGAGTTCTGGTCTGTGTCTCCCCCCGCAGTGAACGAGAAAGCACTCCGTCGGGGGCAGAGAGCTCCGAATCCAGCTCGTTGACGATTTGCGTTTGAGCAGACGACTCTCCGAGAGATTTCTTCCTCTCCGGGCTCAAAGGCTGGCGGCTTTCGCGGTTTCGTTCGCAAACTCCTCGATCTGCCGCCCTGTTCTGATTGCAAGCAGTGTTCCAGCACAACATTGCTCAATAGGTGAAATCGAATGTTTCCCGCCTCCCTGGGAGTCTGTCGCATGATCCTCACTCGACTCGACCCGCGAAGTCGAGTCGAACCCCAGATTCGTGCTTCATAAGTTGATGAAGTTTCTCTGTCATGGGATAAGCAACGAAAAAGGAGCATCGAGTACAATCAGCTGTTGGGGCAGTGATTGCGTATTACGTCGCCTTCACGGAACTACAGCTGCTCCAGATTTCAGCAGGCAACATATTCCTCTCGATTGCGGCGACCGAGAGCTGATCGAAAGAGCAGAGCCGTCGGTGTTCATCCTCGGACCAAGTTCCCGGATATCGCTGAATATTGTGGATGAAGTTCCATTCGGAGATGGAGGATCTCGTCAAAGACTTCACCGTTGTCGTGGGCTCCCGGAAGCTCAGGACCAACAGAAGTTGCTTGGAGAAGCATTCGGACTACTTCAAGGCGATGTTCAGGATCGGCATGAGGGAAAGCCTCACGAGCAGCGTCAAACTCCAGAATATCGATGAGGACCTAATGTGCCTGATAATCCAGCACTGTGAGCGGGGTGTGCCGGTCAGAGTGAATGAGAACAACGTGTTCCGCGTTCTTGCGGCGGGAATGATGCTCCAGATGGATGCTCTCAGAACCAGTGCCGAAAACTACCTCATCACAAATTTGAACATTTCGAACGCGCTAGACACGTTCAAAGCGGCGGACTTCTACGGCGCGCATTCCTTGCGTGAATATTGCGAGAAGTTCATCTGCCTATGGCTCGAAGAAATCGTCGATAGTTTGACTCCGGAGAATTCGGAGGTGGTTCGCAATCTTCTTCGAAGAGAATACTCACACTGGAATGAGGATCTGATGTTCAAAGCCGTGATGGCAGTGATCCGGGGCCAAAGCGCGGAGAGAGCGCAAGAGCTCTTCGATTGTCTATACGCCCAGGATGTCACCCTGGATCACGACGTTTTCAACCTGTACAAAAGTGCCGGACTCGGCCTGAGAGGTCACCGGAAAGGAAACTCGACTCTCGCCGTCATCATGGATAGCAAAGTCGCTCTCCTCCTCGATAGACGCTCATCGAAATTTGTGAGATTCGCCGATATGCCCATATGCGCCGTCGGCTTCGGTCTGATCGCGCACAAACACCATTGGTATCTCATTGGGGGTGAAGATCGGATCGGCTACGGAAAATGGAATAAGACCGTGTATCGGTACAATTTCCTGAAAAGCTCGAATTCACGCTGTTGGGAACCTTTCACCGAAATGCCGGATTGTCGCCGGTCCTTCCTCACTTACGTGAGAGGCAATCGAATCTTCGTTGTCGGTGGATACGGGAGGTTTCGAAAGAGCCTGGAAGGCGAGATAGCGACCCTCGACGTAGAGACCCGGACTTGGGGACGTGAACAACCGAAGAGCTCGCGGAGAGATTCCGACCGCTCTAACCATCTCAACAACGATGAGCATTCGGATAGGAATAGGTTCAACCTTCTTTACAAGCTTCGGGAGGAAAGCCTCGCGGAGATGGACGATGAAGAGCTGTCGATCAGAAACTTCCCGAGGGAGATCGTGAAGTGCTCTCTGCATTTTGGACGCAACAAAATAGTAATCACCGACCGGAACGATCTTTATTTTTGCGACTTCACCGCAAAAGAAGCCAAAAAACTTGAAGTACAAAGCTCTTCTGGCGCCAAGCCCGATTTCTACCGGTGCCGACTGGTCGATCGCACCCTCTTCAACGTACTGCTGCGTACAGTTACCGAGTACCTGATAGACATCGAGACGTTGAGCCTCAAGGAAGGTAAGACCTATCGGATGACGGATGAGACGAGCTACAAAAATGTTGTCTCAGCTTGTGTGATCCCGTATTTTTGAAAACTGGATCTCTATCTTTCGAAGTTCTGAATAAAGAAACTTTCCGACATGTACGATAGGTGCGTCTTCCGTAGCCCGTCATTGCGGCTCATTAGAGCTTCTTTATACTTCTTCGTAAAGTTGCAATCAGGACATTTGTGTTTTCCACGGTGACATGGGAAAATTCCCGACTCGTGGACCTCAAGGGAACGCACAGCCCACGCTCTGGATGCGCGAGTGAATGAATTCCCACATAGATTTTATTGATGTTCGTGTAGAAGCGGAAAGTTACTTGGATTCGGTGCCGATCTATGGACGAAAAATAAAGCTGCGAAATTCCCCCGGAGAGGAGCCACCGAGGAGTTCATCATAAAATTATCATCATGGCGCAAAACGCTCATGCAATGATGAACATAGAATCATGAACGACAAGACTCGCCATCATGATCCTGGGGACCCACGTGCTCCGAACACCCGATCTCGATGAACACATCTGCCAAGGTCGACCGGTAATAATAATTCATGTCGGAGAATAAGGATCTTCAGCTGAGTCAGATGTAAGGTCGTAAAAGTCGGGATTCGGGAGGATGGAGTAGGCCCCACGTTGGTCCCTTCTTTTGGTTGTCGCGGCGATAAGAAAATATATATTATTTTATATATATAGATATAGTTGACATCGGATTCATGATGTCCGCAGATCATCGTAGATGAGACTTCGACCTAACCCATGGAGCACCTCAGTCTTGCCTGCATGCAGCATGTCAATAGCGCCGGATGTCGACTGCCAGTGCAGTAGCCAGGACCGCGGTTTTCGGATCAAGTTATTCAGCTTCCTCCGAAGAGAACGTCACAGTCCGCTCCGGAGCGAAGAGCCTGCTGAGACCGTGGTGTAACGGAGGTCTAGCTTGTAGTAATCGTCTTTTTTACTCCCCGAGACAATTCGTCAGAAGCAGAATGCCGGGACTGCAGCGGCCGTAGCGACGGCCCGGAATATAAAACCAGCATCACACACCGACACTCTCCGCCCTGGCTCATGCGTTACTGCGGCAAGGAAGCAAAATAAACAACACATGTTTCAACGATTGACGTGAGCGATAGCGTGGAATCGTGCACGGGCATCGTGATGTCGCGCAGCGATTCTTCATCAAGCGATATTGGCCCAGGACGAGGGGTGAGTTCATCCGAATTTAGAATCCTAAGGATGCTTGAATTCTTAGCTCCCGAACCGAGAGTGTACGCCGATGGGGCTTGAGTTGAATCACGTCTTAGATTATCTGAGAGTTCGATTCCCCCCGAAGCAGCTGGGAAAAAGAGTGCGGCCTTCGAGTTCCGAGTCTTCAGACGATAGTCTGATCGTGTCTCGCAAGAAGAATGTCAAAAGACGAGCCTTGAGTGAGTCCTCCGACCCGGATGGCGAGATCGAATGGCGGAAGAGGCGGAAAAACAGATCCGACTCGAAGCCTGTGATCGCGAGCGAGTCCGACAGTGACTCAGGATCTCTTGGAGATGCACCGGCTTGCCCCATTTGCCTGGGGAAGCTGTACGAGACAACTTTACAAGGTTTGATTTCTAAAGAATTGATTGGGTCATACACGACGGGGATTCACCAACACGTTCACAGTCCATTCCGTCAATTGCGACTGAAACTTCGTAACTTCATAAGATTGAAACTCCCGAAGGTCGTCCTGAGTCGTGTGACCACACTTTCTGCATAGAATGCATCACTGCGTGGAGCAAGAACAACTCGACTTGTCCATTATGCCGGAACTCTTTCTCAAAAATAAAAATCAGTCTGCGCGGTAAGTCCATGACTGGAAGCCCCGGGGAAGTTTGATTTCGTCTCGAGTTGCATCCGATAGTCGAGACGCGGATTAAACTCGGTCACTCCATTTGTAGGTGACATTCTGGAAGAGTTACCGGTGAAGACAGTCGAGCCAGAAATCAATGAAGCGGATCAATTTCTCAATGATATCCTTTGCCTCGTCTGCCACCGTTCTGATCAAGAGGACACGTTGTTGCTCTGTGACGAGTGCGACGACGCGTACCATTGCTCTTGTTTGACACCTCCATTGCGGAGCGTACCTGTTGGTCAATGGTTCTGCCCCCGGTAAGCATTCCACCGGAACCACGCACCCGATGCGATCTTTAAGTTCAAGAACATGGTCGAGCGCAGACATCGCGAGGACTCCTTGTTGACGGGGAAATCCAGCGACCGTTCATTTCTCAGCGCGAATCGGCTGCCCCATCTGAGAGAAAGAGCAATCGAAGAAAGGTTTCATGGTACTCACGCTCATCTCTCTTTGTTCCAGATGCCGCGAACAGGACATAGACTCGGATGGTGACGACGAAGATTTCGTTCTTCTCGGGGATTATTCCCTGTATGTACCTCGGACGAGAGCGACTGAGAGAGTTCGGCGAAGCGTTCAGTCAACGCGACGCACAACAACTCGGCAAACGAACCGTTCCTCTCGGAGAGGTCGTGGGGGTACACAGAGAACCTCGACCACCAGACGTACGACAAGCACCAGGAAGCGTAAATCCACTGCCACAACCAAGCGAAAGAAGACACGCCGGAGAGCTACGCGCAAACGGAAAGGTGGTCGCAGATTGACTATACTCAGAAAAGCTTACGCGGCCTCCAGCGACCAGCAATGGCGGATCGCAAGGTCTCTGGGGCTCTCGGACAGACTGCTGCATAAGTTGAACAGGAACAACATCAGTTTCCCCGTACTTTCGACGGAAGAACCGTCAACCAGTAGAGGAACATCATCCCGGGCAGAGTCGTCCGGTCATCGTCGATCGCTGCTCGGCGTAGCCCCCAATTTGACCATATTTGGGGATAACAATAGCTTCGAGCCACAGGGTTCAAGCGGAGACGACGAACCTCTCGCTAGGAGACAAGAAACCCACACTAAGAAAGAAGATCGAGCTGGGTGCAGCTCTGCCTCTGGTGTAGACTTTCTCGGCGGTCTCTTGGAGAAACAGTCAGTTCTCTTGGACAAGAAATCTGAACTGAAGATGGACAGTCAGGGCACCTTGCGTCTCGTTGGCGGGAAAGAGTTAGAGGCTATGGCAGCTTCGTCGGGCCGAAGAAGCTCGGAAGACAGTCTCTCGTCGAAGGCGAAGAGCCTAAAAGTCGGACAGGCTGCACCTCGGGCTTCTTCCAGCGCCTTGGAATACGACACCCGGTATAAACCGCAGCGAGTCTCCCGTGTTTCAGGATCCACTGTCACCGCTATTTCACGCAGCATCGAGGACGTGGTGAACAGTAATCATGTCGAGAGAGGGGAGCCGGAAGCTACGAGCCAGAAGAAATCGAAGAAAAATAAATTTTCGAGTGTCCCATACGCAGATGAAGCGCACAATGTGGCAAGAGGGAAGGCGATCGAGGAATCGCAAGGATGGATAAACTCCCTCAAGCTGACTGTGCCAAAGGTCATAAATTCCCTGAGTATATTCCGCGATCTCGACGGCGAACAGCCCTCTACCTCCAGAACGGATAGCAATTATTATCGGCGCTCTGAGGTAAAATCCGAGCCCGTCAGGGTGAAGGAAGAGCCCAGAGATAACGACGAAACCTGTGATAGCTCCTCGCATCGAGGCCACCGTGAACAGAGAGAAGTCCCGCGCTCGAGTGATAAGAGATGTGAGTTCTTTCGCGTAATGCCTATTGACCGGAGAGTGACCTCCTCGATCCATGTACTGATATTCTTCACCAGAAAGCGAAATTTCATATGCGATTTTATATTCTGCCGCGAGATTTCACATGCGTTGAATACGCATCGACATGCTTTCGTGAACGCGCTAACTATGAGTGTTCTCGGGAAACTTTCATTTTTAAGCATCGGGGGAATCGGAGATTCTCAGATTCCCGTACGGCTCCTCAGGCAGTCGAACGCCTCTAAACTCTTCAACCTTTCAGATGACGAGAGAAGGGATCGATTGAATGTCGACAAGGACTCTGGTGGAAGCAAGCGGAGCCCGAGCCGCGATGGGATTCGGAATCGTCGGAGATCCGGAATTCGAAGTCCTTGCCGTATAAAGAACGAACGATTCTCTCGTGAAAGAAGCGTCAGCCCTGCCAGGAGTCCGGCGACTCCGAGAGTCAAACGTGAAAGAACCCGTAGTCCAGGCTTATCACGACGGAACACTATCTCAGATCGATCCATAAAAATTGAGAGAGATTCGGTGCCGGAGTCTCTTACTTCGAATAAGCGCCGATTGGATACTTCTCGGCCGGAATCCTCGGCGCATGGAGACCAGCGCAGAGATCGTGAACGTCCACGAAAAGCCGAAGACCTGATCGCGAACTCAGACTCCGCACCCGTCTTGGACTTATCCCGGATCAAGATCGAGCCCGTGGACTACTCCGCTCCCCAGCCACCTCAAACATCGTCTACGACTATCGAGGTCCACATGGAGGCAGAGCCAACCGTTAAATCCGAGGTCTCGGATGACGCTCCTATCGGCGACTTGGATAATGTGGGACGGCCTCTCGGGCTCGATGACGGCTCGTTCCCACTTGTCGACCAATTGAAAGCGTCACCGACAGTCAAGTACGAAAGTGCGGAGGATTTTGTGGGACCTGAAACTAAATTTTCGCAAGCAACGGAGCTCCCCAAACCTTGGGGCGACATGGAGCTACGTCAAGTTTCATCGAACTCCGCCGATGCGAGTGACGCCCTCCTGCCTCAGTCAACTGTCAACTTTTCTCACACAGAGGGTTACAGTAGCGGTATGGAATCCGAGGAGAGCTTTTCGGATGTTGAGAGAGCTGTTCCTGGTGTGCCCACCGATGCAGACACTATAAAAAAGAAAGAGCCACGGAAATATGTGAAGTACTTCGTTTCTAGAGAGAAATTTAAAGATGCTGTTATAAAAGAAGTGGGACCTTATTTGAAGAAGTTTTACAAGAAACATCAGATTTCGAAGGAAGACTACAAGGAAATTTTCAAGAAGGTCATCAAAAAAGTCTGTACAAGTTCCTCGGAGAAAAAGCGTCTAGTTTGTACGAAGGCTATACATAGACTTTGCCACACATACGTGAAGCGGGCTAGGATACAGATAAAGTTGGACTGTAAATTCGGAGAAGGTACGTGACGTCTCTTCTCGCAGCAGCGTCTCGTCTCCCCATGTATAAAGTGAGGAATAATTGTTCATAGATTTCGTAGGTCGACCTCAGGATCCTCCGGGTGGAATTGACTAATTGTAGTGATTGATTATCGACTCATAAATACTGCGCAGGTCTCGCTCATTGATACATATGGACTGACTTTTGATTATCCACCGGTCACGAATGGGGAAGGCGTCCCCGTCCGGGAATCTGGATGGTTTCCAATGATAGAGAGCAGGGTTCGCGAGCAACGTGCGGAAGTCCTCTAAATATCGGTGGGGGCCTTCTTGAGTATTTTCGGCGATCGTTCTGAGAAGGCTCCCGCTCTGGGACTCCGCAGGGAAGCTTAACCCGTGGGGCGGGGGAACACGACTTCTTCGATTTCAGGACATGTCAATAGACTCGGTCGTCTGCTTTCGGCTCAGTAGCTAAGCCCGCGCTGCTCGCTGCTCGTATCAAGGTTTGAATTTCAGAGTCTTTTAGAAGAACGCATGAGCTGCTCTGGAGTACCGATTCGTTTCTACAAATCGCGTACCTCGCGACTCGCCATACGAGGGATCCCGGCTTGAGTGAATAATGAAGTGAGGACGGCAGCGGCTGAAGGATACATCGTAGGTTCTGGAAAAAGTTGCGCTGAGTGTGCCTATACTCGAAATTTACGTCTCCGATAGTCCTCGTAATTGATTGAGTCCAGTTCTCCGTAATGTCGAGTAGCTCGTCGTCCTCGACGAGCCGGCGGGATCGCAAACGCAGGGTGAGTGGGCTTACCGCTCTTATTTTGATGGAGGAAATCAGAGACCCTTGAATGAGCCCCCCGGTGCAGCGAGATAATGCTTATTCTCTAATTTCTAGCAACGAACAAGAAGTCGACCCGCAGATAGCGAATCGTCAGACGAGTCCCCAATCCTTCCTCGAAGGAGAACTGTAAGAAGACGCGTCATGAGTCAATCATCGGATTCCGAGAGTCCGGTGGGAGCTCGAGGGCCGGGGCGCAAGATATATGATCAGAAATCAGTCTATAGTAGTGAGAGCGAAAGCGAAGAAACCGCCTCAGGAGGAAAGCAAATGTGCCCGATTTGCCTCGGAACTTTGGACGAGACATCGCTACTCGGTAAGGATATCATAGACTCGGAAACCGTTGTGATTCCCGTAGCTTTCACGAGGGACTTGTGTGCAGCAGACATCGGTGGGATCATGGTCGTTGGTTGAGAATTTTCGATATCAAGGTCTTAGAATCCCCGGTAAACGCGTAAATTGCGACGCGTAATCGTTAGTATTCGGGATATATAGTTGAGTTTCTGAAGCTTCCTTGCTCCTCAGGTCGTCCAGATTCCTGCGAGCACTCATTCTGCGCGACTTGCATCGTTGAATGGAGCAAGAACAAGACATCCTGCGCTCTATGCCGGAAATCTTTCTCGATGATTAGAATCATGCTTGGGGGTGAGTTTCAAGGTTTCTGGGATATCGGAAGGGGAGGTCGAGTTGAGATCGCGCCTCTGCTTCCCCGGAAAGGTCGGGTCGAGCTCAACATGCACAAATCTTGCATCATCAGAGAATTTATGTGGGAAATATTCTCTTCAGACGACGTTTTGGAAGAAGCTCACGTGCAGGCATCCTCTCCCGAAAGTGACCGATACTCGCAATACTTCGACAGCATTGCCTGCATGCTCTGCTACCGTTCCGACCAAGAAGCACTCCTGCTGCTCTGCGATCATTGTAACGATGCGTACCATTGCGGCTGTCTATCACCGCCTCTTCCGACCGTACCGGAAGGTACGTGGTATTGTCCTCGGTGAGTTCTTTAATCGACTCTCGTATCCGTTCGTCGATTCGCAAGCTTCACAGAATCTGTTTAATATGTCTAAATCGTCTCCACAGATGTTCCGAGAGGGAAGTACGCAGAATCCAAGTCGCTGCTCTTTCCGGATCAGGATTAAGTGATTAGAATAAGATAGTTCTTCGCTCCGACACATGCTTGGGCTCCAATAAAAAGACAGAATGCACTTCCCCGTGAGCGGATCAGTACTCGGAGACAACTTCGAATGTAGGGCAGACCGGGCATATCAGGTCCCTGGATAGAGTTGGAAGCTTGTGGAGACCGCTCGAAATTCCTAGAAATCCCTGCGGAGTGTCACTCCGAGCCGCGGAGAATATGTACGAATATACTGTTCATAATCACATAATCAGGCGAGGAGTAATCCTCTCATGGTGTCAAAGACGATGATAAATGCCAGGTCTGTGTCGGTGGGTCATCTCCCCAGTGAAGTCATCGCTCAAGGTCAAATCTAGGCCCTGATATCTGTCGTGATTTAAGTCGTAGATGTAAACTCGCTCTGCACTGAAGATATGCGAACTTACTGAATTCCCAAATGTATAGAAACGCTTGCGATTCCTTCCATCAACTTATTGTTAGACGAGAGCAAAACTCATCCGCATGCATTGTATGCAGGCGACGTCGTCATAAGTCACCGAGTTCACAGAACGAGACATACGCTCTTTAGGGTTCTCCAATAAAGCTGAAGCTGACGACTAGTTATATGGAAATAATTGTGTTGGAATCTTCAATCTTCTGCTACAAGTTCTCGCCATCCACCATTAAGAGCTTCCTGAATTTTGAACAGAACACTTCAGGAGTAGCATCAAGTCTATGCTTTTGCGGGGTAGACTAAACAGGCGTGGTTGTAGATCACGCTCGCGAATGCCCAAACTCAATGAAAAGGAGCTGCTCCAAATCATCATCGAGCTTGGAGCTCCGAAGAGCAGGGAAATGGAACAATTCGAGGAAGAGAAGGGAATTTGAGGCCCGGCAACTTTATAGACCTCGTTGACCCACCTGTTCGCTGGGAAAGTAGAAAGATATTCAAATTTTTCCCGAAGACGAAGAGCTGCCGAGGGAGATAACGGCCCATTCTTCTCCTGAGAAAGAGGAAGGGGGCTCCACCGGATTCTCCCTCCGCTCGGAGAAGATATCTATATACTGAGCTCATTCTTCCCGGATAATCGCCTGGAATGCCGGGCTCATGCGAGGCTGCGGTTCCAAAGCTCCTGATCTTTCCTCGATACAGGAACAGTGCCCTTCTTTCATCGGGGGTTGAGATTCGGGGCCCCAGTACTCTTCGTTGCGCAATTTCAGCTCATTCTCTGATAGAGTTTGTCGTGCATCTTCGTCGTGTTCGGAGCGGGGACGGAGTCGGAGACTCTCCCCCATGCACAGGGTGTGGAAGCTGCCTGAATGAATTATTATTATCCAGCTCATCCGTACTCCTGTCTCGATATCAATCTTTCGTCGTGAACCGAATGCCTACCTGGGTCCCGTCGACTTCTGGATTCGTAAAGATCAATCGACGTCCGACGTGAGCTGGTCGCGCAGTCTCCGGTCAGAGCAGTAGCCTGACCGGAAATATTTTGCACCGAAAGACTTTCGCCTGAATCAGCGCGAGAACTTCCCGAATCGGCCTCCCGACCCGTAGCTTTAGAGTTCTCCCAATGAAAGAGGTTGGGAACTAGTCTCTTGACTCTTGCCACGCCACCAATGTCCGCCAGTTCTTCTTCGACGATTTCTCTAGGTCGCAGCCGCCGAGTGAGTAAGCAATGCCCTAATTTTACGGTCTCGCTGATTGAGACCTGTCCCACGTAGCTCGTTTTATTGACTAGATAGTAGATTGTCATGACTCGTTTGAGCTTAGGTTTCAATTATAATCCCCTCCTCACATAGTGCCTGCGAAGAATTCTCCCGACAAGCCCCGAATCCTCCGGGGATAGCCCAGTCTTGCAACGCAGGACGACAATAAATAAACGCGTGACGAATCCAATCGAATCGACCGAGTCAGAAAGCGACCGTGAAATTCGAATACCCAGGATGATGGATGCCGAATCGCGAGCAGTTTTTACCAGTGAAACCGAGTACGACTCAGACTCGGCCGGGAAGGACATAATCTGTCCGATCTGTCTCGGGAAGACGTATACGTCGCAGCTACAGGGTACGAAGTTTCGACTTTGACGACGCATTCACCCATGGACTCGGTGTCCGTCTGCGCCTTAAGCCCGAGGATTGAGCTACTATTATCTTATGACAGGTCGACCTGATTCGTGTTCTCACACATTTTGCCTTGAGTGCATAAAAACGTGGAGCAGAAGCAAAGCCACTTGCGTTCTTTGCCGGAGTCCATTCAGCAACATCAAAGTCATACTTCGAGGTGATTGGGGGAATCGAGAACTGAGAACCTTGCCCAGCGGCTTCCACTAACTATCAATCAGATCGAATGGATCTGAAGATAACTTCTCAACTTCTGTTTTGTAGATGAAGTCTTAGAGATACTACCGGTCGAGGTCGATCCACCTCAACTAAACGAGTCGGATAGTTTCCTCCGGAACAATCCTGTCTGCAGAGTTTGTCGGAGTTCCGAATTCGAGGACAGCATGTTGCTTTGTCAGTGGTGCGGCGACGCTTATCATGCTCAATGCCTGTGGCCACGTCCGTCGAGCGCCGTCCGCGGCCGATGGCTCTGTCCGCAGTGAGTCTCTCGTTGCTGGATTGGCGATTTTGCGTGTCCTCGATCCTGCTGCGTATGGAGTCGAGGGCGAAACACAAAATGTTCCATCCGGAGTCTAATTCGCATCACGCTTCCCAGATGTCAAGCTCCAACCCCGGAGGATGATAGCGACGATTCCTACAGGCCCGAGGAATACGTCAACGCTCCTCGACAAAGGATCATTTCGAGACCCCTCTGGAACCGTTTAGCCGCTCTACGACCCACTCGGAATCGCTTAGCCACAATTCGAGCCGCAATGCACAGACGTTGACCTGGAACTCGTAGGGAGTTTCCACTGTAGAACTGGAACGAGCGTGGGTTTATGGGAGTAATGCGGGAGGCGGGAAGCAACGATTCGGGCGCAACCCGACCCGTATCCGCTTGAACACGAATCGATGAGGTCATCGATGAAGCTGCAACGTTTCCCCGGAGCTTCCAATGGACTAACTTGCAGTTGTAGAAAGATTTTCACAGTACCGCGATACATCTCGATCGTTGTATCGCGAGATTTCACCTTTTAAACGTTTCTTCACTTCTGTAGATACATTGACAAATAAATGACGCAGGAATATTCTGGTTCGCCCGCTTGGTCCGATAGCGTAGGCCTCTCTTATTTTCGGGACGGGATTGCTTGGGGTGTGGGATGTTCGAAACTGAGCCTGCCCCGCCCAGGGATGCTAATCGCAACTTTTGGCTCTCCATTCAGAATGTCGCCCCTCAATCTAATGTGCCCCTCGACCCTCGAGCTCTCATTGTGATAACTGAGTTGCGTAGGGAGAATGCTAAGCCCTTGAGTGCCGCGAAGCTTCGGAGCTCACCAAGCTGCCATATCAGGAGCGAATTCCCAAGTTGACCGGTACCATTCTATTCCTGCCAGATCTCCTCTTCGGAGGATTCAGGGAGAGGGGCTAAGTCGATGATCCTCAAGATACTGACAAGTAAACTCTACACTCAGGTACGCCTCAAGGAATTTTGGTTTCGTCTGACTTATCCAGGCATCGGAAAACAATGGGAAAATGCCGACAGGCAATTCGGAACTGCATATGTTGATGAGTGTGCGAGCACCATCGAGGTCTAACTCGGCCATGTGAGACGATTTTTGAGCGTCTTTGCCGAGCTCATATATCTCTGTTCTCCCGATGCGATACCGTCATCATAGTCTCGTTAGGAAGATGAGATCGAGACGTGCTTTCTCCTCCTGTAATATTCGAATCGGGCTGATAGGGAGCTACGTTGTATCGGCTTTTCATCGAAGTGTCTCTTCGTCTACAATGAGCAACATTCAAGATCTAGACCGAGAATCGTCGGTTTGGCTAATCGTACTCGCAGCGAGTCTCCTTCTCTCACGGCCGGCGTCATGAATGCCGCTCACGGCAGACGATGAGACACGCGTCGGAGTGGATCTCCGATAGGAATTAACACCGGTGAGCTCAAGAAAAACATGAGATTGGATGCGACGTAAACCCCTCATTATTCGGCCGATTTCAATGCTCGGAAGAGAAGATTGCACGTCGCCGTCGAGAGCAAGAAGGACCAGATCGCACCGGAGGGGACTGGGATCTGAGCTCCAGGAGGACGCTCGGATAATGTCTCATATGGCTGAACTAGACCTCGAATGTTCTCGCAATCATCCTTATGAGCAGCGTTGCACTTCCTGTCAGCTTGTTCCTGGATCTTCTGCTGATTCCGGCTCCGAAAAAAATCGCGCGGAACCGTGGAAGCAATCCCCCAAACAATGCTTCTAAGAGGAGCAGACGAAAGACTTAATTAAAATACTTCCCGGACGACGATCGACGGCACACAGAAAGCGTTGCCCCCGTCCGATTGAGGTTTGCGTCATCACACTCTTTCGAACACAGCTCGGGGATGCTCACGCGGTGTTCGAGTGAAACTTTCTCCAATCACTTCGCTTTGAGATCGTACAATGTCAAACGTAGGACGCAAAGCATCATCACGATCACAACTCTCCTCGTCCCCGATATTATATTATGGAAAATCGGTAATCACCAAGTGACCGAAGAGCGATCGGAGATCGTCCTTCAGCCATTCCATCTGTCGAGGACGAATTACTCATTCGTTTCGCTCGACTGGCGATGGTGTTCGCTCGTCGTCAAGCATTTTGAGAAAATCAAAGTTAGCCGATTTAATTAATTTTTATAGCACGAACATGTCTCCCTTCCCTTCCGATAAATCCTTCCGTCGACTGCAGAAAATGTGCGTGACTAGGTACAGTGCTTCCTCCTGGATTCCAGGGCTGATAGATCCTCAATTTCCTTGATTTGACAATTGAAGGTTAGGACTTGGGACGCTCCGTGACGCTCCTCCTCGCATCTTCGCTCCTGCTCGTAGGCTCCATGCTCCATGTACGATGGCTGATCCTCGAGTGTGAGACAGAGAAAAACGATTTCCGATATACCCAAGCTCTAGATTTCGATCGAAAGTACCTATCGCGCGAACTAGGAGTCGATCGCTCGTGAAGGAGTGAGTGTAAGTCTCGAGATTAAAGTAATGAGACCCTCCATGGTCTGGACGACTCCTCCCCTGAAGTCGGTAAATAATTCCTATGTTTGCCCATGTTGACGGGAAACGTGAGCTGTATGTCCAACGGGAGGATGTCCCTCGTGCCGTACACGGGGGATGTGAATTACAGAGTCCTTGGGTGAGCGTTCCTCGTTTTCATTCAGAATAGTGTAATGTTTCCGAACTAGCTTGTGATGCACCAGACACATGTTGTTTCCTTGAATTATAGAGACCTTCCTGGCTCTCCTCAAGTTCGCGACTTTCCAAGTTCGCTGCTCTGGCTGCACCCACTGCCGCGAAATAGTGCTTCGAGGATTTCCGATTAACTCCGCCTCTACAACGGACCTATCACAATAGGAACGAACATTGCATGTTGTTGAGCTCATGGAAGCGTCGCGAACATGCTCGAGTCCTTATCGGAATGCAAACAAGAGAACAAGCTATTCGGTGTCGTATGGGCCAAGAGTCAAGGTCTAGGTGCCGAAAGCAGGACACGGAACGAGCAACCTCGAGTGTTCACTGCCCCGAGCGTTGTCTCTGAGACTGGAAACGCTGAAAACCCCCACCTGAACCTTGACCTGATTCAGTTGAAAATCTCGGATATATTGGCTTCGTGTGATTTGCTAGGCCCTCCCGCTGAGAAGTGAGCTCTGGGTCAAGGTTCCTCTAACTACGACTGCGGGGCTGGGTGTGGTGATGTCAATTATTATTTATCGAACTGTACATGAAGGATCACAACCGATGACCTTGACCATAAGCGCTTTGACGCCTAGATAAACTCGCTTGTTATTCACAGACTACTGGCCTTGGACGAGACGTTTCTCGTTCACCGCCCTAATCCCACCGTTCTACTGCAGCCTCTTCGTGAGACGCTGGAAAAGTTTTCAATCTGATTGGGCCCGGCAAGCATCATGAGCAGACCAACCGTATGACAGAGTTCGATTGAGTCGATGGCTTTCTTTCGCGAGTGGAGTGTTCCGCAAAGTCTTGTTTGAATGGCTCCGATGTGAGTAAGCGTGAAAGCTCAAATACTAGTTCCTCAATGGAGCCTCTCTAAGCTTCGATACAGGAACGAGGCGGTCACTTTGTACTTAGCCGAAACGTCCCTGGACCATGAATCATGACGAAATTCTCCACAGAGTATCAAGATCAAAAATTCAAGGGCCCCAGACGACTTGAAACGCGACACCTCTCTGAGACTTATTCTGGAATCTGGGTCAGCCGCACGGCTAGTAGGAAGATATCTCGTTTGAAGTTGAGTTCCTGAGCCCCGGGGGAGAGCTGCTCAATAATCTGAATGATTGCAGCGCCCCAGTCCGACCGTCGTGACGTCGTGACCAAGCCGTATCAAGATCGCCGTTTTCGAGCCGTCGCGGAAGCAAAGGGATGTTGGTGGGTACATCATTGATGAGCGCCTAGATTGATGTTGCGGCCGCGGCAGAGAAGGCAGCAGCGGACGGCGATCCTGAGATAGACCTGACAGCTGAGGGATTTGAGTTTGTGTCCAGCTTTTTTGGCGGTCGACTCGATTCGATTCCGACGGCATCCTTAGAAACCTAATATTCGAGTATCACGCACTTCCTGGGCTCCGCCTGGAATCTGCAACGTTCGTAGAACACCCGCTGACAGTCTATCGTGAACGATTAGCTTGTTCGCGTAGACGATACTGATCCATTGAGAAGAAAATCTGCCGAAGGCACTGACCCGGGACACCGACGAATCCTCGAACGGGTCAGCTGACTCCACCTAGAGCTGCACCTCCCAAGGGAGTCACTACGAGAGAAGCTCCTTTCTAGGCCAAGCCACGGAGAAATGAGCGACCGAAAGTCTGCGGGAGGATATCTGTGGAACGCTCGGGCAGCGGGGTTCTGGAGCGGACGAGCTCCGGTTTGGGTAGGCATTGATTTTGCTCGTGGATTCTACAAAAGCTGTATCCAGGTCGCACACTTCTCACTCCAGCCCAGATACCGTAAATATTCTAATGGACGGGCATGTCCGTTTATTTCTCGATCCACCTGAAGGTGCCCGTTTATTAGAGACTGCCCGCCTATTTTGTGGATCCCCCAGAAGATGCCCGTTTGTTGGAGACTGGCCGTCTAGCGGAGACCGCCCGTTTATCAGAAACTGCCGATCTATTTGGGACTGCCGTCGATATTGTGCGATTCAGGAAGAAAGTAATAATTGTCCATTTCTCGAATCATCAAGTAAACTACAAGAAGCGATCAACGTAGTCCATCTGTGGACGAAGAAATGGAGAATAAAGCTCAACGAAACGAAATCAATGCATGTAAACTTCACATAAAGCGAGTAGAATACGTGCCGATTTCCATCAATGATCGGGAGGCCCCTCATGAAAATTCCGCGAAATACCTCGGGACGACGCTCGACGCGAAGCTGAGGTGGGAAGCCAATGTCAAGAAAAAGGCTGACGAAACCCACCTAAGATATCGAAAAATTTATTGGCTCTTGGGCCTTCAGCTCTTTCTACCCATAACAAGCTGCTACTTTATCGCCAGGTCTTGAGACCGATCCGGACCTACGGAATCCAATTATGGGGTTGTACCTGCGAGAGCAATAGGAATATCGTCCAAAGGCTCCAGAATAAGATATTACGAGGCATTGTCGACGCCCCGTGGTTTGTTCGCAATGATAACCTCCGTAAGGACTTGGAGGTAGAAACTGTCGACGCCGTCATCAGGAAATACGCGCAGAGTCACCGAAGCCGACTCCAAGTGCATGTTAACAGAGAGGCGCACCAGCTCCTCGACAATGAAGGATTAGTAAGACGTTTGAAGAGAAAAAAACCCTTTGAACTAGTCTAAGAAGCACACCGCCAGAACGTGCTAATATTTTCGGAAAGATACAGGTAGTGATCGAGGGATCAATCCTCTGTAATAATCTCTTACATCCCCTCCAGAATGAAATATGCTCATTAATGTACTCACTAGATTGCTATAATAAATATTGGGGAGGAAAAAAAATTCTCGATTCGGATCTACATCAAAGCCGGATTTCCCTCCATTTTCTTGGCGGGTATATCTTGCGCAGATGCCAACAGCTGAGCTCACCGAGTGAATGTCACACACGAGGTAGATGGACGAGCTCCGCTCACACGAAACGGGTCTGAACTATTCGACTGCGAACACCGAGCGGATCATGAGCACATTCGGATATCGAAGAAGGTCCGCTAAAGCGGCTGGATTCGCACTTTCTTTCAAGACACTGGCTGAGTCATGCAAAATTCATTCTTCCATTACGTGATTTCGAAGACAATCGTTTCGATTTGCGAAGATACTGGAGACGGATCGGTCATTACACTCTGAGCCAGAGCCCGTCAATCGGAAACTGCCTGATCATTGGAGACTGCCCGGCCATTGGAGACTGCCCGAGTACTGAAGACTGCCCGACTATTGGAGACTGCTTGTCTATTTCCCGTATACACCGGGAGATGCCCGTCTACTGGAGAGTGCCCGTCTATTAGAACATTTACGGTATTCGACCTTATCGGATGGAGGCATGATTTCCCTGCTGCGAGCCGCGTTGTGTATGAAAATCGAAATGAAAATGAAAAATATGAAAAGTGGTTTGTTATATACAAAACGTATTCTCTCGTCAAGTGGGCCGATTAAGATTCCCATCAAGAAAAAATCATTCTCAATTCTCCGTCATTCTCTTCCTCATCGTTCATGTGGGAGCTTGCGATCGACTTTCCGATCATTCTAAACTGCCTGCAATCTTCTAGCGAGCGAGTCAGGAGTTCAGGGAAGAAGGGGGCTGACGGACCGAGGGTGGCGCACGGAATGCCGATCATGTAGGCCCGACAAGTTTGAGTTCGAGATTTCGTGCTCGCGGCTCACCGCCGACGATAAGTCAGACGATGAATTCGTGAATTCCCGCTCCGAGGCAACTCGCCCGAGCACTCTGAAGCTTTCGACGAGCTACCAAGAGCTTTGCATGGGACACGAAATTGCCAGATCCGCGCAGCCTGGCAGCATCTTCACCGGAGGAGCGCAAATGCGTGTAAGAATCTACGCTGCAGCGTGCCAACCCTGTACGAACGGAATTCGGTGTTCCAGTGTGGACGAGGAACGACTCGACTTCTGACCACGAATTATTGGGAAAAGTCCCCAGCTGTTCGAAGGCTCTGTCCTTGCCGATAATTGCGAGGCGAATTCTCGGCACGAAAACCCAGAGATACCTGCCCCAGAGATACCTGTTCCCCCAGAAGCTCCTTATTCATCAGGTTAAATACCAACCGTGCTTGAAAGGTGGGGGAGAACATTGCTGTCTAGGAACTGTTGAAGCTTTGTGCCTCCTCGCCGAAGTCTGACGTCCCCACGGAAGGGCGAGGGCCGTGCTCCCTCTCCACAAGGGGCTATAAAGCCCATTGCACGTGCTTGCAACACCGTGCTGAGCCGCGAGCCTAGCGAGCCCGGTCATGACGCCTAAACAGAAAAGTTCGAAGATCAAAATTATCGTGCTAGGTGCTAAAGGAGTTGGGAAAACAGGTGTGATGCTTTCATCAATACAGATCCCACGGTCAAATGTGATACGGAAATGTGTAGAGCAGTCCGATTATGCTTGCCAAGTGTACCAATGCCAAGTTTATGATTCTAGCCTTCATAACACGCTTAGTTCATGGGAAGTTCTTCCATCCCGAAGCTCATCATTCGAGGGACATCCATCATCGCACCTTGACTTTCGGAGACGATACCTTCGATATTGAACTCTTCGAAGTGAATAAATCCAATGTGAGTGACTAGACCTCTCTCTGTTTGCGCCGTTTGTTCTCCAGGCAGCGACTCACGAGAGCCCGAAAGTACAACGTATCGATCCCATCTTCATACGGTCGAATTTCTCTTTCTTGCCTCAACCTCCCTCGCGACTGGAGAATATCATGGACCAAGAGCAGGTCGGGGGTTCCTGCTGATTTTAATTAACGTTCGCTCACCTTCGACGACTTCCCGAGAATCGTATTCAAGGGGGCTGCTTCGAGGTATACTCATGGGATGGAATGCTTTGAGATGTTTTCCAATGCCATACGAGCAAATCTATCGAGCGCCACCGCACGTACACGCTGGTGGAGTCCTTTGTCTAGAGTCTAGAGATAGATCTATGCAGACGACGAGACGACCGTCTGTGGCAATTTCCGACTCTGGAAGGGTCGCTTGCTGTATTGGGGCTCTGGAACTCACTCTGCGTCTTTTCTGCTAGAAAAACGTCGTTTCTTTACTCGACGCTGATTTTCAACAGCGCTATGGTTGGCCTACGCTCAGTCCTCACGAGGCGAATGCATCCGGGGCATTCTGTCTCCGAAAAGTTCTAACCGGTTCTCAAAGAGAGCTTCTCTGCTCCGGACGATCTGCATGCACATCGACATAATATGGGATCTGGCTAATCGAGAACTGCAGCGTTTTGACCCCGACGGACTTGAATTCTTCTTACAGACCGAACACTGCCCAAAAATGGATTCCGCGGATGCCTTCATTGCCATTTACTCGATAGTCTCCCAAAGGAGCTTCGACGAGGCTGCTGAACTGTGCCTGAGACTCGAGTCGAAATTCCCCGAGATACCGATGCTGCTACTAGCCAATTGCTGTGATCTCAACTACGCCCGTGAAGTCGACGCCGAAGAAGGTGAGCTCCGTGTTATTCACAGAATTCGGATTCTCCAACGCGGAACGAAGGGAGCTCGAGACATGGCATTAATCCAGTTGTTCCTTCTCGATCCACCAGGTCGGGAAGTGAGCCCTTGTTTCGCAGAAGTTTCGGCGGCGGAAGAAAATTCCGAGCCCCTGATGTCTGCCGTTGAAGGTCTTCTGAGACGAGTAATGACTCACCGGGAACTGGGTCAACACAGGAGACGGCGGAGTATCTCTAACGTGCTCGAGAGTATCTTCGCTTGGAATACTCGTGGCAGTTTTAGCATATCAGTTTAGTCGGCGAATGCTGTGGAGAAGAGAAAAAGTCCCAACTTAGCTGATCGAATGTAATAAAGTTTTTGTACGCCACCATAATCAAACTTGCATTCTATAACCTTCATTCTCGTTAGCCAATAAGATGTGCTTTTCGCGAGCAGCATACGTCTTTCCCTTCAGGCTGTCATGGGCCTGTGCGCGGATTCCCTTTCGCGAGGTTGAGGAGTTGGGTACGAGTCGACAGTGGTGGGCTTATAAATGCCAGCGTTTTATTATAATACTTCCCCGCGTGACCGAATATCCGGCATCTTCTCGCTTTGCTCTAAAGAGACGCGGAAGCAACCAATTTCATCCCTCAATCATAGGACAAAGGCACCGAGTCTCGTTTTGTCTCGCTCTGAGCGAGCGTCCGCTTTCCGGTGCGCACTGCATTCCTCGTATCTGTGGTATCGTTCACCATCGACGAAAGATCTCACTCGGCGAAATTCATGGAATGCTCCATGGTTGTATTCGAGCCGCTCGCTCCGGAAGCTGTCCAACGGGTCGCCCTGGGGCTGCGCTCCGATGATCTCGATCAGAAAATAAGGAAGTCTGTGAAAAGTGGGCGACGATCTGCCCTTTGTCTTCTGAACGTGCGGTGGTCCGGTTGTAACAATCTATCTCTCGAAGAAGGTTTTGACAGCGTTCGCCTCCGCTGCAACACTATAGACTCCACAAAGTGGCTTAAGGGCTTCCCGGATCGCCAGGAACGAAAGCGAGCGAAGGAGACCGGAATCGGAGATGTAGAGAGCGTAAATGGCGAGTCTGGCCGAGAGTTGTTTCGGGCATGCGGCCAGACGGAAATTGTGTTCACCAAGCAGCAAAAACTACGAAGCGGTCAATGCTCCCCATACGACCACCGATTCACGATTAGTCGACCTGCTCTTCGAGCTCACCGTCGCCGACAGTCGTCTTTTGGGCTGGGGCTCGGCAATCACAGCGAAGCGATATCGAGCCAGCTCCCTCTGGAGGTCCGAGCTGGGACGGCAGACCTCAATCCACAATACGACCTGGCTGTCCAACGTTCAGCTTTTGGGCTGGCCCCACACCGAGCTCCCGACTTGTCCGATAGTTGACTGTTTCTAATGAGGAGCGGATTAATTCCCTCGAGGTTAAACAACGGCCGGATAGATAGGAGCTAGGTAATTTCCAGATCACTCCTCCCGAAACAGCGGGAGGCAACTGAGTTCAAAGTACTTAGACACGCTGTCGGACGAACTCATTAAAAAATTGCAGTCTGGAGATTCGTAGTGCGGCGTCGATTGAGTGACGCCTGAAGTTCCAGGGTGCAATGGCCTCGAGTCGCCCTCAGGGAGCAATCTGAGGGTAGCAAGTTGTGATTATTTGAATCGTGAGGGCTTGTTCTCGGGTTGCAGGCTACTTCCGCCTTAATTTTTTCCTCGTCTTCTGTCGCAACGGCTTCCGTCTAATCAAGTTCGATCAAAGAATCCGAAGTTCGCGTCTTGTCTCGCCGTCGACGCCGAAACCAAAGTTTTGCCTCCGACAAGGCATCTCCGTCGTCGATCGCGCCTTAATGTACAGGCTTGGATGGAGGTGGCTACGTTTTCTAACTAGGTGACGTGAGCGGGTCGTTCGGTTGTGGAGCCTTCCGCTAAAAATAGATGACTGCGGTACAAGTGAACCCACGTCTTGTGAACGCCCGTACGGTGTCGTGACTTGTGCAGTCCTTTCGGGACGACCTCAACAGCTACATGCGTAGACGCGGCCGAAGCAGTTGTGGTGCGAGAGACATCCCGAGCAGACGCGCCCATTCAAGGGTCTCTCTTCTGTTCATTCGAATATGACCGATTTCCCGCTATTCCGTGACCGATATGGTAGCGATCTCCCCCGCGAATCATTCACGGGATTAGTGGTCTGTCGTCCTACCCGGTTTGAGGAATTCTTCCCTTCCCGGTGGTATATGTGGATCGCACGAGTGCGTCATTGGGAGGCGAACGACCGAGTCGCGTACTCGTTATTCATGGGAAGGCAACATTGTTTTCCTCATACCGATGTCATCAACAGCGGGGGTGACAAGCATGTCGAGCTCCGATGAATCGATCGAGTCCGCTGCAGACCTTGTCGGGGCGTGCGCTATCCAGAACGTCGAACAATCGGGGAGTCCGACTCCCAGGCCGAGAGCAGGGACCGTCGTCGGGAGTCTGAGAACTTCTCGAGAATGAGCATCTCTCCGGGAGCCTTTCGATTTCTCGCGGATCGACAGCACGAAACCTGAGATTTTTGTGCCTATTACGAGCGCGAGAGTCGCTCAATAGGAGAGCCTAGGCGTTGATCTAGGTGCGAATCCCAGCAGAGCTCCGGAGCTCCCGGAGGCGATTCCCTCCCTTCGCAGGGAGAATAGTGTGAATTCGAGATGACTTCTCCTCTGCCGCAGCACAGCTCACTGAGGGTGATGGTCGAGCACTTTCGAGATAACCTGAATGCAAAAAATATCCTCGGGAATGCCTTCGCGGCTCACCTGGTAGCTTGATAAACCTCTCCAGAGTCTCGCTTACAGCCTGACCTGCATTCACTGAGCAAGATGATCGTCAATGATCAAGAATGAATCCACTTCGCGCCGCAGATCCACTCACACTTTCCCTGGGTTTCTCTTATTGAATACATTTATTTGGCATCGATGGAAAAAAGTTTGAAGTCTTTTCGGTGAAGAAGAGCGCCAAAAATCTGTTCGATGACAGACGAAAACTGCGATTTCATTCTATGAGGGATGTTCATGGATTGGATCCGAGGTGATTTCTTCGATCGATAGATGCACTCTGGTCGCGGGGCTCCCCGGTGCCCCGGACTTTCGGGTTCCGGGCAGAACCGCCCAACCTTCGGTCGACACCCTGAAGGGAAAATCTGATAATTATTCCCCGCCGGGATCCAGCATTAGGCACCCGGAAGAAATCAATGAACGGAAACTGTTTTCACACAAGCGTTCCCTCACAATAAGGTTGAGGAAGTTCCCAAGTGCACTTCGTGTCGAGCGGAAGTCGGGGAAAATTCGAAGATACCGCGCTGTACACGGTATGCCTCGTGAGATCGATTCTCCGACTTGGGAATGCCTGATTGTCGAGAATCTTGAATCCGTTGACGCTCATAGCGTCAAGCAGCAGAATCGCTGAAAACACGTATCAACGTATCCGATCGGGTGGAAGGCGCTAGCTCAGTTCTCCTTGTAGGAGCGTCGCGGTATCAACTTCCGACGTTGTTATGCGGAGGGTAATCACCTCAACTAAAAGCCAACACGTTGTCCTTTTTCTACGTCGTAAGAGCGTAGCTAAACAGGCTGCTCTATTCATGATGTCTCCGACGAGTGACGCATCTTCAAGATGTCGTGGGTCAGGGTCACTGAAAACATTACCGTTGCGACCCAAGCTGACGCATGACCTCAAAATCCGCGTGCGTGTTTCGTCTCGTCACCTCATCTCGGGTTCCACTCCACCAGTATGACGCTCATTTGAACGGCGAAATGAACGGGCAGAGCTCGAGTGACGCTCAGCGCCGAGCAGATGAATGGAATGTTTCCCCCCTTTACCCGTCACTCACTGGAAGGGGTCTCGAGGTTGCGTGAACTTGGATTTCTCGGGAGCCACTCGGATCGTATCGAAGCATTGGAGCTAGTCCCTACGTGCTGATAGGGGTTAGCGGGAGTTCCTAGGAGGGCAGGACAATGGGGCCTTCATCAGAGAATGCAGCGTTATAGCCCAAGGAACGACCGAGACTCTCCGGATCATGGGCCATTTTCATCTCAGCTGAAGGACACATCCCCTCCGTCTGACCTACCTGTGATAATAAATCGACACGAGTTCGCGATTGGGACAAGTTCGCCATCTACAGCAAGTTGAGCTGACCGTTTTCGACCCCTGCGTTGGGTGGGGCTCCGCGGAGTCTGTGTCTAATTAGAGGATTCCACTGGGGTCATGGTCCAGGCTATCCTTGAGCAAATCCCGAATCATGAGTTAATCGCTAAACTGTTTTTGTTCATTCATATTCGAAGCCCAATCGTCTAGGGAGCTCAATCACGTCACGGCACTTGTAAATTCGCCGGTTTGCAATTTCGCCAATGAACTCCATGACCCGGAAGATACGGTCAGAAAGAGAATACGCTGGGGCCCGGATGCACAAGGCTGTAGGTCGGAACCTCACGTCCGTTTCTCTCAAATAGAAGATCGAGGAGCGGAATCCGGCGAGCGCACTAGGGTTCATATTCGGTATGGTCTTGAACCGGCTTTGCGGTCATCCACTTCATAAGAGAGATCTGCTGTAGAATCTGATCCTTGCAATATAACGCGTTCTGTGCGGCAGAGCTCACACAGGGAGTGTACCTCCCGATCGGCATCCGAGCTCCGAGCTCAGAATAGGATAGAGCACGAGGCTGCTGAAGGCAAATTCCAGGGTGGTTTTATTCGCTGCTCCTTCCCCAGCTCGCGGGGAGCTAGCTGCCCAGAGTCTCAAGGCCGTAAATGCGATCGACGTCCGAACATCAGTACCGCTGCTATCGATGATTCCGCCATGGAGCTGATGGGTCGGGAAGAAGGATTGTAACCAAGTTTGTCCATGTCGCGCTTCACCGGAGAATACAGCGATTGCGCGGTGCCGATGACCTGGACTCCGTGCGATCAACGAGCAGGTTTACCGCTAGTGCTTCGGGGCAGATTCCCGAATGATGCTCAAGAACAAGGTCGACGGGTTCTCTTCTCGCGCGAAGCCTGAGAACCGCCTTTCCTCACCTCAATGACTTGTATCGAGAGGAACACGGTCACGGAGCGTGGGGAACGCATGTTTCATTTTTTTCGTTGGTGGATTCTTCATTTTCATGCATTCAACGCTGCATGGCAGAGACGGGGCTGAGAGCCACTGCGCTTAAGCTTGTGCGTAGCCGATGACCGAGAGCTTAGCTCTCTGCTCACCCCAAAAGCCCAGAGCACCCGGTGGGTTCGTTCTAAGATTCCTCTCTGAGAAAGGCCGCTTCTTCTCCGAGATTTTACCCGAAGGAGAGACGCCGAGCGACCGGAAGATGACACCACCGTCAGAGGACCCGATTCCAGCCATCGACAAAGAACGACTGATTTCTCAGAGAGCCGTGACGGTGGGGATTCTCCTCCGATACAGTCACCATGTCCCCGAACTTCCCAGAAAAAGGACTGGTATGTCAGTGTTGGGAGTGAATTCCTGACGGTAGCGTAAATCCCTCGAACTCGCTCCTTACGCTTCAACACTCCGTCCATCTATCCAGTATGAGTATGAATTCGATGACATCCCGCCCCGAACTGGATGAGAAAGGCTTCGTGCAAGATTTGGGAATAGAGTTCGAAGATCCCGTCGATGCCTGAGATCCGGCCCCCGATCGGGTGCGTCTTATTAGTTCTGACCGAGTGGAGATTTCATCGAACGAGAACACGCTTCTGAGATCGATCGGCAGGACCAGGCAAAGTCAGCAGCCCATCTTGCCCGAATCAGACTCGGAGTTCTCGATAAAATCGCGATTTCTGAAACTTCAAGCTGCGAGACAACGTGTGCCCGCCACGTGACCCTGGAGTGAACGGCGCGTGAATCCGCATCGTGGCGATATATGCCCTATCTGTGTTCATGGAGCTCGAATTTGCCTGAATATTCCGTTCCTGGGCAGGTGTCCGTCGATACCGAAATAAACCTGCAACAAGCTCCAAGATATTACGCAAATGGTTGTTAGGCGAAGCGCGAGATTAGGCTTTAGGACCGCGCTAAGATTAGGCTTTAGGACCGCGCTAAGATTAGCAGGCGTCGGAAGGTCGAGCGGAGTCTTAGCGGTTTCTAGTCCTCCGCTATTGACGGATCTTACAGCAAGCCGGCTCGGCTCCACCAGCTCGGGTCTGCTCCCGTAAGAGAATGATCATGGACTGAAACCGGAGCTGGCGTCGTCCCTGACGTAGGAGGGATCTCCTGCTCCCAAGGACGGATTGGACGTGATCCGATCGTGCTCCGGCCACTACGCTATATCAGATGGCTGAGAAACGACCGCAGGATCGATGCTGTGGCATCGGAAAATGAGAGAATTCTGGTTTCGCATCCGGGAAGAAAATTGGATCGGACCAGATGTGAAAACTCAAGAGCATGGCTGCATCCGTTCGACTCGTTTCGATCATCGACTCCGAGATCGCGGTAGAGTGTGATGGGCTCAGAGGCGAAGCAGGGTGCTCATGAGTTTTCGATCGCCGAATTCTGTATCACAATGAGGTTATCGGCAGACTTTCTGATTCCGTCTTCCCGCACCGACGAAGAACAAGCGCCGTCTGGTGACTGACTCCGAAAACTGAGCATCAACATACGGAGCAGCTTTCGTGCGGCCAAGATCAGCGGAAGCTCCGAAGTGAATCGACGATGTCACAGTCGTGTGGGAATATTTCTTTGCCTAGGAGATTGCCCCTGCTCATATTGGACAATGTGCTCTTCCCAGGCACCTCTGTACGGGTACCTGTCAACTCGCCGAAAAGGTAAACCTGTCTCCTTCATTCGGAGTGCATAGTCTGCGAAGTGGGGGCGAGATCTCTCACTCAGATCTTTGAGCGGGCTACTGGGGTTTCGAAGCGCGCTCCAGCAGAGGTTAAGCGAGAGCTTGAGCGCGTCGAGTACGCGAGAAACTTAGCACAAGAGTTCGTCGCTGCCACAGAAATGATCGACTCCATTCCGCATCTGAGCTGTCAGCTGTTTTTCCCTGACGGGTCGCTGAACCCTGGACCAGTTGCAGCCAGCAATGGAGTTTTCTTTGCTTTTCCAATCGCTGATCCCCTAGCTCACAGCGTACGGATCCCCTCCGAGGATTATTCCTCTCCGCGGACTGCTACCAGACGTGCTTTTCCATGATCAGGCGGCTACACGTTGTTTTCCCGAGGTGGATTTCGTGCCAGCTACTGGAAAATTCCCGAGTCATGTCGCTCGGGGAACGCCAGCTGATTTATTGATTTCCTCGGCTCATAAGGGGTTCGGCTCGGTGAGGTTCGGCTCAGTTCAATCTTCTTATGCTTAAGAACGAGTTGAAATTTATAAAATATCTTTGGGGACCTGGTGCGGACAAGAGGCAATTCTGAGGCAGCAGCTTTTTTCATCTGGTGTATCCGGCATCTTTTTCCTCAAGGACTCCGCCGGAATCCTTCCTGTTCCCACGTCAGATTTCTCTGTGGAGACTTCCAAAATATTGTTCCTCGTTCTCCATACTTGTCTCGCTACATCAAAGGACACTCTCCGAAGCGAGCTCCATAATTACTGCTGCTTATCGTTATTTTCTTTCCATTTCCTCCAGCGTATTGATGATAAAGAACCACCTTCTAAACCACCATACAATCGGCGGGGCTTTCGTCGGTGTAGTACCGAGAGAATATCCGAAAAAAGAGGTAAAATTCTTCAGATGATATTACGGCCAGAGGCGACTTGAGCTCATCATGCACAATATTCAATGAATGTATTATTGTTCAATAACTCGAGATAATTGGTCCCAGTCCGGACAAGCCGAGATTCTGCATCCTATCGGAACAGCGGGATTGGTGGTTCAGGTGATGGGCAGTAGCTGGCCCCGGACGACGTACACATTGCAGATAAACGGAGTCTGCAGATTCAGGCAAGAAACACGATTGGACAATGCATCCCCATTCCCATCGAAGGGCACCTAAGTCATCGATTCACTAAAGATCGAACGACAAAAATCTTCCGATTTCAGCCTCGATGAAATTGTTCACGAGTCGCCGTACCTGATCGGATCCGTGACACAGTTGGATCGACTTCCCGGAGAAGTTTATTCCGTAACCTCTCTCAATTTGGAGGACCCGTTGGAGCTAGAGCTGAGCGAACTTTTGACAGAAACACGCTCCCTGGCGGCCGATCTCATCGAACGCCTAGAGCTCAGTTCTGGCTCCGCGCAACGGTACAAGGTGAGCTTTCCCCGATTCGGAGACGTCCCGTGCAGCTATGAGCGTTTACGGAAGTAGTTCCATCCCATCGCCTGTTATTATTCATTTCATCATTGGTGTCCTTCCAGCGACTGATGAATAGTCTGCCATCGTATGCGCTGCCGGACATCTGCACATCGATAGTCTCCGCCAATCATGAAGAACGCTTAGCGGTTTTGGACGCGGTTCTCCTGACGGACCGAATACGAAAAGCTCTGCCCCTCTTGCGACGCCAGATCAATTCTCTTGAGGGAAAAGTGAAAGTCACGAAGCACAAAGACAAGATAATCAATGGACTGTCAAAAGACGTAAGAAGAGGATTCCAAATCGACGATGACGACGCAGAGGATGGAGACGAAATCATGGCCCTCGAGAAGAAAGTCAAATCCAACGACTTGCCGGAGCATGCGAAGAAAGCTGCTCTGAAAGAGCTGTCAAGACTGAAGAAGATGCCTCCTCACATGCCCGAGCACGCAATGACGCGCAACTACCTTGAACTTCTCGTTGAGCTGCCCTGGAATCGAAGAAGCCAGGAGCATATCGACCTTCAGAAAAGTAAAATCGCGTTGGATCACGACCATTTCGGTCTCGAGAAGCTCAAGAAACGAGTTCTGGAATATCTGGCTGTTCGGAAGTTGAAGTCACAGATAAAAGGACCAATTTTATGCTTCGTCGGCCCACCGGGAGTCGGGAAAACCAGCGTTGGTCGTTCAATAGCCAAGAGTCTGGGTAGGGAATTCTATCGCATTTCCCTAGGAGGTGTCTCCGACCAGGCTGATATTAGGGGGCATCGCAGAACATATATTGGATCGATGCCGGGAAGGATCATTCAAGGTTTGAAGACTGTTGGCGTGAAGAACCCCGTCATTCTTCTGGACGAGATTGATAAGATGGTAGGCTTTATTCCTGGCCTGAGATATGGAATTGAATCTTCTTTCTTTCTGAGCGTTACTTCATTGCCTAAACCTCCCATCCTCAGGCGGCCGGCATCCACGGAGATCCCGCCGCAGCTCTACTGGAGGTCCTGGACCCCGAGCAGAACTCATCCTTCACAGACCACTACCTGAACATATCGTTCGATCTGAGCGAGGTTCTGTTCATAGCGACCGCGAACACCGTTTCCACTGTTCCGGGGGCTCTCTTGGATCGCATGGAGCTCATCACGATTCCTGGTTACACACATGAGGAGAAGGAACACATAGCTCGAGATCATCTCCTCCCGAAACAATTGGAGCAACATGGCATTCTGTCTTCCATGTTTGAATTGACCGATGATGCGATAAGGAAAATCAGTGAGTCAGCGGCTTGGTTTGCGATTCAATTTCGGAAAAACCCACCCCGGAGAGTATCAAATAGAAAAGACGTCTCTCGTGGGAGCATAATCAATTGCCCGCTTTTTCAGTATCGAGCTACACGCGAGAAGCGGGGGTGCGCGCCCTCGAACGTCGTCTGAGCGCTATTTGTCGCGCCGCTGCCGTCAAGATTGTCGAAGCAAATCCCACCGACTTGAAAAGTGGACATATCGGCATCGATCAAGAGGTCTTGGAAGAGATTCTCGGTCCTCCTCTTTTCGAGTTCGATATTGATTCGAGGTAAACTAGCGAATTATCGTAAAAGTCTGTTCGAGTCAGTTCTTTAGTAGCTTACTCATCACGTGAATTAGCGTACCGGGAGATTCTCATCGCTCATGCTTTCAATCGGCACTCTTTCCCACATTCAGATTGGTGCAGCCAGGCGTAGCCATTGGCCTGGCTTGGACCGCTGTGGGGGGAGAAATCATGTTCGTCGAGGCCTCGAAAATGGGTGGTTGCGGTCAGTTGACCCTGACAGGTCAACTGGGCGATGTGATGAAGGAGTCTGCAACATTGGCCTTGAACTGGTTGCGTATCAACGCCTCCCGATTTGACCTTAATCCTGATATAATGGAGGGAACGGACATTCATATCCACTTCCCGGCGGGAGCTGTAGAGAAGGATGGTCCATCTGCTGGAGTCACGATCGGTGAGTGGCGAGGAATCGAAGTACCTACATCTACACGAAATTCGTGGCGTTCCGTGGCATGCGAACTCATCGATTTTATCTCTTTCCTTCTTTCAGCTTGTGTTCTCGTGTCTCTATTCACGCAGAGGATCGTGGCCTCCGACGTAGCGATGACAGGCGAGATCACCTTGCAAGGTCTGGTATTACCCGTTGGCGGCATAAAGGAGAAAGTATTAGCGGCCCACAGGTGTGGTCTCAGCCGGGTGATTCTCCCGCGTCGAAATCGAAGGGAACTTCAAGAAATTCCGAGGAACGTTCGAGAAAATCTGACCTTCTATCTCGCTGGAACCATTGAGGATGTTCTCCAGCAAGCGTTCGTTGGGGGATTCCCGCAACTGAGGCCTGTGGTCTACAATACGCAAAACGCCATGAGTAAACTTTGAGCCGGAAAAGAGCACAGCGGTTTCGGTGAACCCCGCGGGAGAACGCTGTCCACATCGTTTCTAATGACCGATGACGTATCGGGGAACAAACGACCTATCATCTTTCTGGCGGGTCAGCTGTTCTCGACGGGCCTAACATTCTCACAACTTGCTCATGTATATAAAAAGACTCCTCATGTAATCAACTCTTCCAATGCTCAGAGGTTGTGATAAGTGATGTTGTTTCTTTTGTGATACGATCGGGGGCGTGTTTCCGTTTCGAATAAACCGTTAGTTGTGTACCTTTTCTAGTTTATTCTGAAACTCATTATTAGATTCGGGAACGGGAGCGTCAACCTTGCGCGTTCCTGTCGAGGTCCACTACTCCTAAGATCCAATCTATGTAGGCGAGCACGTTGACGTGTACTCCTGGAGAATTCCTCACGGCACAGCCCCTCCCCCATGACACGATTCCCATCTGAACCAATCTCCCTCGCTCCTCTTGGAAAACCGGTCCACCCGAGTCTCCCTGCAAAAGAATTCAACTCCTCAAGGTACCTTCTCCGAACTCTGAGCATGTAATTATCTATGAATGATAAATTGAACGAGGGTGGCGAAAATATTTCCGAACAACTTACTATGCAAGCATCTTTGTTTTCTGATAAAGTGCAGAAGTTAGTCGTAGGATTCAGCTTGAATGCCGGCAAAAGTTCCAGGCATCGGGCCATGGGGAGAATATCCAAACGGACGATTTTCAGGAAATCTGATGCCGGGCCATCTGCAATCGATTCGTCTCCGATTGAGGAAGAATTCTCCAGCACTCCGAATCGGACAATGTTCATGATTCCTGTAAACTCACTGGGCTCAACGTATCCGTAGCCGGAAACGAACACTTTGGGAGCCGGTTCGAGGGTTCGAGCTGGCAGACAAATTATGTTTACGAAACCATCGAGAACGACTCGCTGTTTCAGACGGATGATCCCTGAGGGAGAAAAATCGATTAGCTCGGACCTCCGTGAATCGAGAATCTTCTCGTTCGATTGCTTGAAAATCTTCCCTCTCCGGATAGGCTCGCCGATGCTGTACCGATATCGTTCGCCAATGATTGTCTATCGAAAGCTGGATGAACGAAGAACATGGCGTCCGTCTGCATACGTCCTCTCGTAATTAGGGCAGGCAAGCTTTTTCTGTGGACTCCGATCCAAATGGTCACTTTCGAGCTATTCATCCTGAAATCGTGCTTGCCGCTCATCATTCGCTCATCGGATAATGGAAAATTTCAACTCGAATTAGGTCTTCCGGGATCGCAATAGGGACAGAGAATCCGAATTTCGATCACAGATAGACTCACCCATCTATACAATGGCCGCAGGTGAGAACGTGGCGATCCGATATGAGGGTTCCCGTGCCGTAGTATGTTCTCTCGTTGTAGAGAGCGACTTGGAAAGGCAACTCCCCGGGTAGAACGTTTCTACCGCCGATGATCCTCGACGGCATGCGCTGATGGACGAGTCGGGTACCGCACATCGGGAACTATTCGACAAATGAGAGGCACAGTGATTCTCGCAGGTTCATCGCAATCTCCGGTTACGGAATTACGTCTAGCTGCGAATTAAGTCTCAACCTGTTTAGCCGATCCGAGGAAGACGCTCGTCACAGGAGCATTCAGGAGAGAGATCAGGGTCGATGTCCAGAGGAACTCGACTGTGGGTCGCATTCTCGTGAAAACGCAGTCGAGCGATCCAGATGAGAAGCCTTAGTCAGAGCTCCACACGATGGGGCACCGACACTGGAATCGCTGTTATGAGAGTCTGTGGCCATCGAAGTGAACTGTTTGCCAGGTTTGACGATTGATTTGCGGTCGCGCTGCCTGATCGTCAGATGCTCCTCCTCCCGCTCCGACGACGACTATTCTGACATCTTTTCTTCCGTGGTCATTTGTTGACCCATTTATCCTCACGCAGTCGATTTCCCAGTGCTTCTATTTCTTGATAGCACTGGGACCTGCCCCCTCCGTCCCGCGTTCGATGCCTCGGAGCTCCGTCCAGACATCCCGGGAAGCCGCTCATTGTGACTCCGGATATTTCCCGTCCAAGGTCAGCTTCGAGATGCAGTCGATCCGGAGGAGAGAGAGCATCGCGGGAGTAGGCTATCCGGTGGAGAGAACCGAAAGATTTTTCCGAACCTCATTGATTGAATACTCCCGCTCTGGGGTCCCTTCTGCGGTTCGAGAACATTGTGCGGAAATGGAATCAATCCAACCAGACAGGACGGTCTTAGATCGCGAAGCGCCCGCGTCAATAGAGAATTCGGATATAAATAGCTCTCGAGTGCTGCCGTGAAACCCTCGGGAGCGGACTCCGCCGAGGATGACCGCTGCTACCTGCTCGCGAAAGCTCCGAACCTGACAAAGAGATAACTTCTTCTCCACAGAACTCCGGAAATTCGAGCAGCCCCGGTGAGCGGCGAGCAAGTTCTGCTGACAAACATTGACAGACTATACGCGACCAGGGTCAAGCCGAGACGATGATTCGCATCATTTGATGAGATGAGCCGTAATCGGAGCTTTCACTGGACTACCTAACCACCCTTCTTCGACAACCAAGATAATTCTGGTTCGTATATACGAGTTGGTTCCGTTGGAGAATATTTCAGCTCTCCGAATTTTATTCTCCTCTTCAGGGTCGAAACTCTATGTACACTGAATATTTAACAAGTCTTAGGCTCTGGAGACGGGCGTTTGAGCGTTTGGGTTTGCTTGGCTGCCGATCTGCCCGGAAACCGGTGCTTGGGCTCCCTGGATCGGATTCGATTTTCGGAGAGCATTGAAGTGTTCCATGTATTGTTGTATCGTGTCTACAGGGGTGTAGATCTCTCGCATGCGAAGAGCGAGATACTGGACGGGTTGGTTGAGTGGAAGACCTGCATGAACGAAAATTCGGTTTTACATCCTTGGGAGCTCCGATTGATGACTGACAAGCGATCGAAGAACTGACAATAAGTTCAGGACTCGATCCTCACCCAAAAGTGGCTCCATGAGCTCACGCATCAATTCCCAGCACGAGGCGGTGACAGCGCAAGGTTGATATTCGCATTCCACGAGAAGACCGCGGGCGGAAGTTCCAATGGTCACGGTGCCGATCTTCAGGATGAAATCTTCTACCTGACAAGGGAGACGGAGCTGCCTTAGTACAACGTCAATGCCAACAGAGAAAATGATTTTAGCCTCCTGACGTCCTCACCTGGTATCGAGGTCCCTTACATTCGACCTTGGTGCCAATTTTCGTCGTGAATAGCTGAGGATTGAGTTTGTTCATCAGACTGTCGAAGTTGGCGTCTGCGACCAGACAGAGACCTGACTCGAGCAGCGAGAACACAGATGCGGGATGCTCGCTATCGTGGAGAACGTGTTGAAACCTTCCCATAGAGACGTTTTGATAAGTTTCACAATCGACACAGAAAACGCCATCTCTCCGACCGCCGAGCTTCTCGATCATGCGACAAAGGTTGTCCGCAGTCGATTGCAATGCCTCCGGTCCGGAGCATGGGACCATATGAACGGTGACAACACCCATTCCCTGGTTAGCGGCAAGCCTCTGGAAGATAAGTTCCTTTTAAGTTCTCCGGCGCCATGAGGGCTGGAATTCGGGCTCTGAATTTGTCGACCCAACAATCGCAGGCACCCAGGTCAATCAGTGCCCCATACTGATCCTTCTCCCCGAAACGCCATCTAGGATACCGACTCACCGCACATTCGATCCGCGTAACCCCCAAGGGGGTTAAGACTCTCGAAGATGAGGAAGATGGACTCGCGGAGATAGCACCGAATCTTCAGTCTCAAGTCTCAACGAAAGTCCGCCGGCACTATGAAGACTACCTGGACCGGGCTTGCGGGACCAGAGACCCCCGATATTTACAAAACACAAAACCGTCGGACGGAGGAGATATGGGGTGCGTATTGGCGGGAAATTCAAAAGCCGACGATTGCTCTCCCTGGATCTCTCTAATCTCAGCTCTATTCCCGATTCGGGGGATCAGCGCAGGACATGGATCGGCGCGTCCCGGGGAAAGATGGTTGCCCGAGATTTAGGGAGGATTTGATGGACGTGAACGAGAATAGAAATAGGCCAATGGTTGGCATGCTCTGTCAGTCGCAAAATCATTGGAAAATCAGCCGATTAGGGAAGCCGCTTTATACCAGTCCATGAGGGGGACAGTCAACCTAGCCCGCTCTGCAGAAGCTGGATGCGGTTCGGCGGTCCGCGCGAACCATTTGCATATTCCATACCGGTCCAGTCACCCCGCCGCATATTATCCTGCGCCGGCTCGCATTGATTGTGTGCTCCGTCTACCTCGATAGCTTCGATGATGAAATGATGGGGCATGCATGGTCTCTCAATTAGATCGAACTCAATCGAGAGATCCGAATTTTCCATCAGATCGGCGTCTCGTCTTCAGCTTCCTATCGAAAAGTCTGAGGGGGGCTATGAGCATTCAGAAGAGGTGTGTAATTGTGGATCAGTGTCGGCCGTGAGAGCACTCAGTACAGTTCACTTTCAAACTCTCACGGCGAAGGTGAGAGCTCCCGTCAATGTCGCAGATTGTTGTCCTGATACCGAAAATCGTCAATTATTGGTCTTTCGGCAGATCGCTCCCGAGATTTGTGGAGCAGATCATCACGAGCGCGCGCTCTCTTTCTATGACACTATTCCGACCGCGTGAGCTACTGCGTCCCTCGACGCCGGAGCGCTTCTGCGCGAAATACGTGAATCTGAGCACGCAGATAATTTCCAATCGCGATTTGATCGTGCCAAGTCCCAAGCTCCGTCTCCGCTCGCTTCGCAGGTGTCATGGTCGATATTCGAGCTTAAGCCGCTCGGAGGCCTACGTTTTATAGTTTGCCAGTCGTCTAGCTCATCATTCGCTCGCGCTCTTCCACTGCTCGTGAGCAGCGGCGGAACCCAGATCGGTATTCGAGCTTTGGCGCCTCCGCCAGCAGCCAACATGGCGGTGACTCTCGTCTCTTGTCTTCGTCTTGTGTCTACCTACCCTACTCTCTCGTGCTCGAGAGAGCGGCGGCGGCGGCGAGCGGCGGCGGTAGTATGTGTCTGGTAGTAATACAGATGTGTCTGTATTAGTTCGATGCGGTCTGTCCCGCCGCCGGTAATAATTTCTCGTGGTCGACTATTCAACGGACTCCGGAACGAAGTTGTCTGTGCGTTGTCCCTACTCCCGCGTGGATTTCGGCACGAGCAGCGTACGTCTCAGGACGCTCGCACTCCGGTTGGGACGATGACCGAGACGAAGAAAGAGAAACCTATCGAGATAGACGGGAGCGTTCTAGAGGGTGTGAGTAGCCTCGTCGATCATCGTCTCCCCCTTTGGAATCTTATGGGTGATTTAATGGAGGTCTCAATTCACGATTCCGCCGATTTGCCTCCGGTCGTCTTCTGGGTTTGGAAAGAATTTATTCTGGTCCCCCCTCCTCTCGGGGAGGGATCTTACATTAAGTTACGGACGATCGATCACACTTTTGATCTTGACCGAGTGGGGGAGACCGAACGCTTTGTCCTCCGGGTGGTTCTATTTATTTGCACTATAATTACTGACGGTCGATTTTCTAGGGCGGTCAAGTCCTCCGGATAGCCGTATCGCTTTCGGCGATCCTCGGAAAGCCCGTCAATGTCTACAACATCAGGAAGAAGCGAAGCCGGGAAGGACTCAAGTGAGAACTGTAGTGAATGATGACAAGGTGTTCCCTGATCGATGTTGGCCCAACGGGAGACATGAACGAAGTTCTCTTTCAGGAATCAACACATGAAAGGTTTAGAGCTCGTGACGAAAATATCTAATGGCACCATCGACGGTTGCCAAGTCAACTCTCGAGAGATCACATTGTATCCTGGACGAACCACGGGAGGCCGACTGCTCGAAGCCGATTCAGAATCTGCCGGGTACGTTGCAAGCGCTTGCTCGAACACTCGCCGCATTTTTCGAGGAGCTCAGAAACGCAAATTATGAGTCGTATCTAAAGAACCAGTAATCTTGATGTGGGACTCGAGCTTACGAATCGAATTTCCAGGAGCATCGCGCTGATGTTGCAAGTCGCTCTGCCTGTTTTGATATTCGCGCCAGAGACCCAGCCGACGAAATTGATCCTCAGAGGCGGAACGAACTGCGATCTCGCGCCCCAGATCGACTACTGTGAACTTGTAAGTAGCTGTTAGGCGCGGGGGTAGGGTTAGTCGACTTGTCACGGACCGAGATTCTAGTGCACCTCGGACGGCTCGGAACCTTGTCGAAACGTCGTTGGCAAACGGCGTCGGTGGACATTGTTCTTGTATAGGTTCAGCTTGCTGAAGTATGTTGTTGTGTGGAATTCAGGTAATTTTAAGCCAAGCGAATGCACACGAGGCCAAGATGGTCTCGAACGGCCGTAGCCTTCTGAGTGAGCAGCTCGGGCAGGGCCAGGATTCCGCTCTGATGTTTCGTCCGTGAGTATCTAGAGCTACATCCGTTCGCTCCCCGCAGCCCTCCGAACAACCGAACCGAGGGCTCACCGACCGTCGTGCGCTCACCGTCACCGCGACCTCTGGGAAACTTCACTCTGCCAAGCTACCTGTGGTGTCTTTCCGAGCTCAACCCCTCGAATCGTATCATTGAAGTTCGTTTTGCTCTCCACAGGTTCTCCGGCCCTGGTTGAAACATTTCGGGGTGAATTTCGACATCGAGATCAAGCGGAGGTGAGTCCCTGACGCACGTCCCTGGCGCTCGATCCTCATGGCGGATAGTGTTGCTATTTCCAAGTTCTCGATTGATGCGATGAGCTTGATCGATGCCTTCGTTTCTAGGGGCTATTTTCCGAAAGGAGGAGGAGAAGTTGAAGCTGTCATCCATCCCATCACTTCACCGTTACGCGCTGTCGACAGAACTCGTCCGGGAGAGATAGTCTCCATGACTGGCTACTCCTTCGCTGCGGGTGGGCTGCCGCTAAATGTTAGTATGCACGTCGCTCCTTCTGCGATCCATTGAAGCGGTCTGAGCAGCCCTCGAGTCCGAAGAAATTCAGAGGATTGCGCGATATCGAGACATGTGGTGGCTCTTTTCGTCGATTTCATCCCATTTCTTCCCTCAGGTGGCTCAGGTTATGGCATCGGGGGCTTCGGCGACCTTGAAACAAGACTATCCTTGCGAAGTCAACATCCGCCGGGTCAAGGAACCGGCGGAAATCTGTGTCGGCTCGGCTGCTGGCATCATTCTGGCTGTAGAGTTCTCGGAAGGTTGCGTTCTGGGAGCGGACGCGCTCCTGCAGAAAAGTGGGTCTTGCTTCCTCGACCCTTCGGGGACCGTACTATTCCCTTGGTGCTACCCTTTTGCCAATACCACCAGCTGAGTGAATGGAGTGTCCGTCAAACTCGATTGTTTCTCAAGATTCCAGAGCCGAACGCTTAGGCGTGAACTGTGTGCGAGACCTCATCAAGGTCATGGATCGCGGCGTGACTGTGGACGATTACATGCAAGATCAGCTCATCATTTTCATGGCGCTGGCGAGAGGGAAATCCAGAATTCGGTAAGAGCTCCCGTAGTCCGGAGCCCAGAAGACTTTTCGCGAACCGTCACTCGAGTTGAGACCTTATCGGGAGCCTCTGCCTCCTTTCAGGTGTCATAAGCTATCGGAACACGCCGAAACCGCGATTTACATCTGTGAAAAAATGACTTCGGCGAAGTTTAGAATAAGCGAACGAGACTCCGGGACAACGATCATCGAATGTGAGGGCATCGGGTGGGCTCCCCCTACCCTTGACGGGACCCCAGGACACTCGACGGTGGAGCAAGAAATCGTTGGCGATACTGTTGAAGCACATCATGGATGATATTGCGGCTATTGATTATTATATCTATAGACTTGGCGATTCCTTCGAACGGACGCGATTGTACATTTGGAGAGGCATACAGCACGGCGCTGCACGTTATACAGGGGGAATGAATCAGGTTTCCAATGTAAATTGGGACATACGTGTCCAGCCTGGTCGAGTCTCCTCTTTGGCCGATGGCGGTTGATTTTAGTCCCGGTATCGAGGTCAAAAATAAAAGAGTTCTTGAAGGAGGCGTGCATACTACAAGGTACATACTAGTCGTCATACCACTCGTTACAAGGGGTCGGTTCTTGAGGATTTTTTCTCGGGGAGAACCGATTCTAGAATTGATGGCCCTGTCCCCGTCCGATAGCTTCATTGATATCGAGACCCAGTAAATTCGAGGAGCTCACGGGATCCCTTACGAGATCAGAGCGGAAGAGCGGAACTCGAGGGTATGCGCCCGCATGACCCCTCATCAGATGAGAAGAAACATGCCATTCCTCGCAGAGTATAGAGGATACACATCGATAGAGAATCATGGATATTCACCTATCTCAGCAGATGACATTTTATCGTCTGGCTGGAAACAGTCGATACAAAGGGTTTGTGGGATTGCAGCCGATGGTCAGTCTTCATTCTTCCCCATGCTCCCTTCCTCTGAGTTCTGGCTTCAGCATGCGATCATTATAAACTCTTGACGTCGACACTCACTCTACCTAGGAAACCTGATACGATCCCTACGGTGACTCACAGGAGTGCCCGACACCGCCTGGCTACAAAGACGAGGCGATCAATGAATCCGGGGAGTGTAGCTCAAGCTCCAGAATGAGCGCATGGATTTAGCTCGCTCTACTTCAACCCCATGAATCTTCTCCGCCGGTACGGGGAAGGAACATTCTAATTCGTACTCCATCAAGGTCGGGATCTGCCTCGGAGGGGACCCGCATGTTGTAAAACCCCGCCGATACAACGGACTCACTGCAGATTTGATTTTAGTCAGAACAGGAGGTCTGAGCTTTTGTCGTAGATGGTTGGAATGCGTACCTGGTTCCCAATCGGAGAGACCCTTCATTTTCAGGAATATTGCCTCTGGCCACGAAGAGAATGTGAGAAATCTCCATTCTCAATCGTCTTCCAAATTATCTACACATGGCACGTCGTGCGTCGTGCCAGGAATGACGGGCAGGCCACCGCATGCGTCGTGATGCTGCTCCTTTCGAGAAACGCTCGTGCAGCGAGCTCGTTCACTTGTCCTGTGTACTCTAGGTGCTTCTGGGAGTCGGAGAAAGAGGATTTCCCGGTTGCGAACGGACTGAGTTACTAGGTGGCGGAATCTGGCGGAGAAGGTAGTAGGAACATCTATAGCAGAGAAGGTAGTAGGAACATCTATGGCACAGGAGGTTGCAAACATCTGATTGAAACCTCGGGTGAATCCGGAACGTTTCCCTCATAAAGAACGCAGCGTTCCGGCCTGCGTTGACGCATCAATGGCATGGGTGCGCCCCCTCAGGCCAACGTCTCAGTCACCTGACTTTATAGTGGACAGGCAGAAAAGAACTCCTTCGCGATCAGGTGGAGACCTCCGGGTGATTCCGGGAACAATACGCTGAGCACGCGACAGATGACACATCGTCCGATACTCTGTCTCTCCGTGGCTCCCCTATCATTACATCGGTATCTTCTTCCATACGGAAGGGGGCTTGAGGATCCGCCTCTACTTCGCCGCGGGAAGTTCGCGGGAGCACGCATTGAAGGGATGCATACTTCACCCAGAGACCTCGAGAACCGGGAAAGATTTCCATTCAGTTCCGTTCACTTGTGTTCGATCCTTGGCGTCTTCGCCTCCCTCCGAATTCCCCCCCTCCCCACCTCCGGATTCAATGCCGTAAATGAGGAACAATTCATCCGGATCGGAATGCAGGACACATCATACATCGCCCTTTGAAACATCATATCTAGAGGAAGAGTATCAATCTTCAGAAGTCGAGGGACCGGAAAACTACTACCACAGGGATTCTCATCGTTCGAGTTCTCATAGGAGTCGAGGTTGCCTCTGGAGACTATCTCCTCGGTTCGAGAGGTGAAAGGATACAGCAAGGAGAATATATCTCGGGAATCCGTTCGCTTAGCAGAAAGTCTGTTATCCGAAACCCATTCTCCTGGCCTCGGCTTTACGCTTCCGCTGCTGCCTCTGGAGTCCGTCAATCAGGACTAGAGTAAAGGAGAATGATCCTCAGGAAGTAAGAGTGGGCGTGAAGGCTTCTTTCACATCGATGAATCTGAGGTGAAAGGGGTGCGGCTTCCGGAAGGTACAAAGTGGAACGTTCCGAGTCTCAATATACGAATAGGAAGGGGGACCTCGGGAGGATAGAGCTAGCAATGTGGTGTTGAAAGAAGAGTTTCAGCCACTTCCGGTTCTCGCATGACGCCGAGGGGAGGAAGCTCCCTGTCGCAGTTTGAAGAGTGTCCGCTCTCTGGTTGAGACCGGATTCCACTCTCTGAAACATTCGGAGTCTCGTCTTCTTTACTCCGGGAGACTCATTGGAGAATTCTCCAACCTCCAGTCTCAGACGATAAGGTCGTTAGAGACTCGGAGGAAGTTCGAGCGAATAAATATCGATGGTGCGCACAGTCCCTACTCTCGAGATAGCATCAGAATGCAGCTGAGGGGCGTAAATATCGTGTGGTTGGGGGGGGGGAGATTCGCAAGACTCGAATGTCGTCAATCAATTTCCCGTCATTTGCCATCAGGCATGATCATTCATCGAGAGAGTTCCCGTCGGGTTCGGCTGGCTGGCTGGATGCTCCTGGCCGTCGCTCCAGGGATTTTATTCGCGCTCCATGAGTGAAATGTATTTTTCCCCGATGATTTGGGCGGAGCGGTGTCGAAATGAAGTCTCCGATCATATAGGTATTTCGTCATCGACCATGAACATGCTCCATGCTTGCAGTCATGTCGAGGGAGATTCGCGGTTGAGACCTTCCTTTCGTGAATTTATCGTCATAGCAAATCTCCGTCCAGGTGCTGTCGGAAGACAAGTCGCTGCTTTGGTAGAGTCCTTAATGTCTGCTGCTCTTTCCGGTGATTTCATCTTTCGCTCGTCTCGCTGGAGCTTGAGCCTTTCGCTTCGCGTCATCGTCTCGGCTCTATGCGGCGAGTGGGTTCAAGCCGGCTGGCGAGCAAACTTGCTCGCTCATCTCGCGTTCGCTGACTTTTTCAATCTAGTGCAGCAGCGACCGCCGGTGCCGTCCGAGATGCGCGGCAAGAATCGAGGAAACGTGTGGCCTCCAGATGTTGAGGATGCGGAACGACCGACCGACCGACCGAGCAACCAACCATCCAAACCAGAAAGCTACCAAGCACCAACGACGACGACGACTTTCCCCGGAGTCGGGACGAAGATGGCTCGGAGGGAGGTAGGCTGGGACGGACTCGAGGTGGAACCACATGGGTCGTTGTTGTAGACCGTCTCAGCGACTATTCGATTCGTCGCTTGCTTGGGTTTTTGTCTGGTTTCCGAAACAAGAAACTTTTTCGTGAGACATTCAGATGACAGAGCCTCCAACAATTTTGGCCTCTGAGAAGCGGAGGTCGCTGAATTTCAAGAACAGGATGCCGGTCGGCGGGCTTTCGCACAGTGAAGAGCCCGAGCGCTGACTCCCAGCTAAGCGAGAGATTCTGAAGCTCCGAACTGGAATTTGCGCTCCGAGTTCCTCCCCGTTGCCGCCTGCGTTCGCGAGCCTATGCCCAACCTGGAAGTCACAGCTCACCGGAGGTAGAAAATGAAGTAATCATTCATACGATGATCACACGGTGTCCGCCATCCCGAGAAAAGATTCCTCTCGCCGATGCTGAGACTCGCCCATCATTCGGTAGTCTCGCGCAGAGGTGATTCCGCGCTGCGGGAAGTATAGTAATTCCTGAGTTCTGACGCATACGGGAGAGCATGATTCACCAGGACCGGCATGCATGATAATGTGGGAGGCGAAGAACCTCTGCTTTGAGGAATGTACATGCTCTTCCAAGAAGTCGTGTCATTTGCGATGAGGATTTTACCGCGACTCTGAGGAATGCCCTCCGCGAGCCGCGGTCCCTGGAAGCGCAGCCGTGAGATTTTATGCCAGAGCAGCGATGAACGCCACGACAGCACCCAGGGGGAAATGCGGATGTAAGAGTCCTGCTTGTGAGAAGCGATTTATTCCCCCCACTTTCGCGACTCCACGCGGGAGAACTCCAACCATCAACATCGGAGCGCAAGTTCTGGTGAGGGAGATTCCGCCTTCGGAGAAGCTCCGGACTCTGCTCGGGCATCTCCCGAGGAGCTTCCACCCCGGAGTGGAATTATTCCAGGTTGAGACTCCACTTTCGATAAGCGCTGGAGCCCTCCAGGGATTCATGCGTCAGTAGCACGTCTTCTTGATACTATCAAGTCATTTCCGATTGGCTATCAGGATCAGGTATCGGATGGATCGGATAGAGAGAGCGTCTGGCGCCGAAATGACTCATGCCATGGGTGATATTCATCCGAAGAAGTGAGTATAAGTTCAGGAAAATTTCCGACCGTCTCGTTGGTCGTGCCATCCATCATTTCCAGGCACTGCCCTTTGGATGAAGCAGGTCCTCTTCGATCAAGGTCAACGAATAGGAAAGATTTCGCGAGCTCGACAGCGGACCTCGCTCGTACCGAACCTTCTCAGATACTGATGGTGTGAGCGTCTCTCGTCGAAAGACTCTTGGTAAGACGTCAAACTCAGAGCTCATCGGGAGAATTCGATGAACAGCCGACGAGAGCGAGATGGTCTGCAACAGTCTTTCTCTCGAGGCGCATCACAGGAAGAGCGAGCGAGACGAAAACTTGGTGAGAATAGACATAATGAGCGATCGCACCGGAGCAGAGAGGGGCTCGAGAACTTGTTTGTGTCGTCGTTCCACCTATGACATCGGTTCTCCCTTCCACTCGCTGATTCTCGATTTTCTCCTCATACTCTAGCTATTTTCGGTTGGTCGCCGGCGG